TCCTGGCAAGAGGCTTGAGGCTCAGCAGTTGGGGAGACAAAGATCGATTGGCGAGATATGTCAGCAGTGGCCTTGAAGATCTGAGCAGGATTGAAGGCTTGTGATGTTGTTGGAAATGACGGAAGCAGGTAGCGGGAGGTGGGCTCCTCATGAGCTGCCTGCGAAAGCAGCGTGCTCCATGACCCCATCGAGTGACAGGAGTCTGCACTGAAAACTTGCACAATAAGTGGTCATTGGAGTCCATGAGGACAGGAGGGAAAGCGACCTTGACCACAGCGCGGGGTGCCGCTCATCCTCCTAGATCCTCTTTCTAGCCCCTGGCTACTTAAAATGATTAGACAGGAAAATGCATCAGGAAATGGTGATGATTATTGTTTGAAGTGAGCCTTGACACAGGCGAGCCGTATGTCGGAAGATGTTCTTTGTGCTGGTTGGGATTCGAGTGCAAGCCTCCTTGCTCCTGTGACCTTGAGATGCTGAGAGTTCCTGAGTTGGAGGACTACACATTCCCTACTCCAGATGTGATTGAGGGTAGTTATACAGATTGGCTAGCATCCATGATCGGCCGTGATCATTGCTCCGAGAAAGCCCAAGTTGGCAGGGCATACTCGCTGAGCAAGGCTTGGTGTCGAGTGCGATAGAAAACATCAAGGTGAATTGCAGTTAAAGGTAAGGCTGGGTACGTCGGACTGGGCAGGTCAACAAAAGCGATAAAGGGTGCCTGATTAGAAGTTCAAGAGTGGTGAGGACACGAAGAAAAAGAGACAAAGATAATATCAGTTGGAAGTATCCAAAGCATCCCTCCAGGAGAAGCCCCATCTCAACGCTCTCTTCTCCCTGCCGCTTCAGGCATGGCTCCTCTAACAACCAACGATTAGCGTGCAGTAGTTGCAAAGCATCATTAGAGATGCACGAAGGCGACACAAGAGGTTGAGGAGACCAACTTTCTCAATCAGATGACTATGTAAGCGACCATCAACGAGGCACAAATCAAGCTGTTTTGGCTCGGACGAGCGCAGTCACACCCTTGCAAGTCACCAGTAGCAAGGACGATCCACCTATACCGATGGTTGTCGATCGATGAAGGCAATCCTCCACCGAGGCAGGTAAAAATGTGACCGCGAGGTGCTGGAAATCCGTACAAGGCCGGTCGTTCTCGTTCAATATCACGGGCATCCACAGCAGAATTTCAGATGTCGAGGGTCTTGGAATTGTTAGATAAATCCTTACGCTTGTGTTGAGCATAGAAATGGTCTGTCAAGCATTTAAAATGTCCTCTTCCAGGTATCGAGGTGTGCAACTCACCTGCGTCGTAACCTGTGCGTGGACAATCCACATGGCGTCCAGCTATGACGAACAGCTTGGGCTCGGAGATCGAGTGCAAAATGTTACATTGTAGAATGTTCTAGATATTTTGTATCTCTGTAAAAGTTTTTTTCGGGCTGCACGTTCCGAGCGTGGAGCCGAGCAGTACCCATCTAGGTAGTCTTAACACAAGAGATATTCTGTGATCCTTGAGCAGATAAAGTGGATGGAGCGACCAGGTTAACTCGCACCTCTCGTGGGAAACACACGTGGAAAGATGAAAGTAACTGCGTAGAAACTCTTCGGACGAAGCCCTCGATCCTGGTCACATACGAGTTATCCGTGCAAGCCTGTTGAGCAGTAAGTGGAGTGATTATGCATGAAGGAGGCTGGGGGCGGAGCTACAAAAACCCACACAATCGTCTTTTTGTCACATTCGTATCCAAGATCCCTGAAAACGACGCGGGATGGCTACCTCTGCGGCGGACGGAATCAACTTCTAGGACAGAGATGCTTTCCCTCACGGTCCTAGTTGATTGAGACCCTGCAAGAACGAGGAAGGCTCGTACCTTGCAGGATCAGAGGTTCGACGGCACAACTCGATAGACCTCTGTGTGTTGCCCGGTGTACTCGATCGAGGTCCCTCGTGAGACAGCACTCTGGATCGTGCAGTCTGTTGCCATTCAGCCGGCGAAGTCAAATCCGAATAAATCTTTCAGGTTGCACCACATTGTTAAGCGTTGTTCTAGTGCGACAAGATCGTTTTGTTGGGACCAAGGACTGTGAACCTGGCGTTCCCTGTGACCTGATGTTAGGTAGCGTAAAGCCAGCTTGTCATGTGTCAGTCGGTGAGGGGAAAGATGTTTGCATCATCCATCGGGTCTGACTAGCCTCACCAGGCTTCTATAGACGATGAATTCTGTGAACGACCCTTCTAGGACAATTTTGTCTGGAAAAGTCGAAAAAACATGCCCCCTTGTCGATGGGGAAGCTGCCGATTGGACGATTTGGAGAAATGCCTTCACGAGTAGCGTGGGCGCGTAGATGCAGAAGCGCCTGGGGTGGATGGTGGTGACTCTGAGAAGAGGACGGGGGGGAAAGGCACCCTAGAAGGTCCGAGGGGTCCCTCCCTCGGATTAGCCAGACCTCTTGGCCTTTGCAGCCAGTGCGTTTTGAGCATAAACACACGACTGAGCTCCCCTTATCGGCGATAGCTTCACACTATCTGGCAGGCGAACCCTCCATTATTGTTTCCACCCGAGAAGCGGTATACATGCTGCAGAAGTATCTGGCTTGAGAGAGTTCCCGTCCTATGTGACAACTGTGAAAAGAGCAGTCTTTCACATCAGGCCTCATCGAACGATGGTGCAAATTAGGTCGCCTCGATAGGATGGGTGGGTGATCCTACTGGTTTGGAGATGGATGGATCGCCCCGTGGCCTGGGGCGCCCTCCACAAGAAGGAGTGACAGATGCTCCATAGTGATCGACATGAATTCTCCGGGCATGCTATGTATCAAGAACCTCGTACAGAGTGACCTTTGTAGTTACTCATACAGCACTGTTTTTGATGGGCTTCGGAATGCGGTGTAGCGAGTACCTTTTTCACTCGAGATAGCGATGCCCAGGGAGTCGGCTTGAGAGAGCAAAGAAGATGTTGTGCTGCATTCCGAACGGCAGACCTCGGGCACCACTGCATGTCATTCTTCGAATTCAATGCAGGAGCATCGCGCTTCCGTGCCGCCCATCTCCAACCTTTGCAAAGAATGTTGCAGCTACTAGTAGTACCTCAGGGCTTGGAAGCGGCAGAGAGGAAGGCCAGATCCAAATTCTTCTGCACCACCTCAGCGACTGCACGACTAAAATTGCATGGAACTGAGCCGATACCAGGTGGTCCCTCCTCGGAGGTGGCATGTTGGGGGGGTTTTGGGCCCACTGGTACCTAGAGCTATACTTAGAAGTCGGCGTTCGGGTCAAGCCAGGTGTCCAGGGTCGGTCCAAGCAGGATAATACAACGCCATGCAGTACCTCCAACTATCGAATGTTGGGATGTACAGTAGTACTCCGTACGTTGTCCCTAGGCGTGTACTCTGTACAAAGTACATTATAATCGTGAGAAGCAGAAACTGTCAAATGCCGTCTTCGGCGTTGGGAAACGTGGACAGCCATCACTTGACTTGTCTCGCGTGTTGTGTCACTCCACGTTTAGGTATGGACGATGTAGCTACTACTAGTAGTAATCAAGTTCTTTCTGCCTTTGTGATGGACGATCGGTCACAACCGAACCCGCCACGAGTATTAACCACAAATATATAGTCCCTTCCAAGAAGAGTTGGCGAGTCCTTAGCAGCAACGTCCTCGTAGGCGCTGAGCCAAAGCTATCGGGAGATTGAGATGGAGGAGGATGAGCACCAGCCAGAATTAGGGCACCAGTCACCGTCAACGGGCTCGCAGGCCAGAAGTGAGAAGAGTGAGGCCTTGGACGAACAGACCTGTCGGAACAAGGTTTGGGACAGGTGGACGGTAGCAACCTTGCATCTGTGACGAAAGTTAGACTGGGTCAACTTGCAGCCGGAGTATATCTTCTACCAGTCTACCACCAGGGCCTTGAGCAGCCGAGGACTGTGCTTTGGGCTCTGATTGGGCTGAGGGCAACAAAGGACCCGGGAGAGGGTGTGTGACGGACCAAGCATGGCGGCCAATCGAGCGGCTGTAAGCGCCCAAGCCTGTCCCTTTTTCGTGGCATTCTGTGCCTCCCGCAGTTTGGTGCCTGTCCATGCACCGCCCAGCACCATCATCCACCCCTCTCACAACCACTCATACCCACTGTCGTCAACTTATCCTCCATCCATCAATCCACCATCGTCAAGGCACTCACGGCCATTGTCCAAACAGCTTCCCTGGCTGCAGATCAACCTGCATTCCACCCTGACCCTATCCCATCCAAGCCATGATTCGGCCGGCCTCGACACCACATGCCTGCCCTTGCCCACCTGCTTCTTCCTGCGGGGCCGCAATCAAGCGCCCGCCGACCAGTAGTCCTTCCAGGACATGTTTCCATCGATGTCGTTGGTACTTCGAGAGATGACCGCCATCTGAGAAGCCATCTGCTTGCCCGTTGGCTTGCTATTGTTGCGCATCACTTCTGAAGACTGCGCCTCGTTTCCTGTTCATGTGGATCGGATACTGTTGCCTCAATGTATAGCCTTCTGGTCTAGAGAGAACTTGTTTCACTGCTTCATTTCCTGGCCGAGATCCCCAGATATACTCTCATCGAAACAATTTTCACGACCCTGTGCCGGGTACCTGTTGGCCTGCGGTCCTGTTCTCAACCGCCTGCTCGGTATTTGGCCTCTCCTGATCTAACCACGAAATATCCCTCTTCCTCCTGTCTCTCATATATCACCACCTGCAGGAGATCCTGTCCGCGGCTACTGAGGCGCTTCCCAGGCACCGTCGACTCAGGCCTGCCCACACCACGTCCACCTCCTGCTGCCCACCCAGATTCATTGTTGCACCGCCGAGGGACCAGTCAAAATCCAAACACCTGGTCTTCTGGACAGATTCCATCCTACTACAATTGGTGCCATGTCATAGCTGTGGGCAGCATTGCAAAGATCTTGGGCTGTAGACGGCACTATACAACACGCTCGATACCCTCGTGCTTGTATACAGTGGTCAAGAACTTGGTTCCAGGATGGCTGCTCAAGGGGCCACATCGCGGCAGCGCTCCGTCACCAACAAGGGCAAGGGAGTCATACTGCCACCAAATCTCAAGGCCAGAGCTTCTGCCGAAGAGATTCCATTCGAACCCTTTGCCTGTACAGCTTCGCTGCTCCTCTTTGCGCAGGGCCCAACCGTCATCTGTTTGCACCATGACAGCTTGGCCCTTGAGAGGCGGTTTCAAAAGCATTCCAAAGAGGTCATCCTAATCTCGGCCGATAATGTCAGTGAGTCAGGTGCTGGGAGATTGGTAGTAACCTACGATGTTGGCCAAACAGCTATAGTCTGGGATCTGTTCACGGGCGAGCAAATTTCCAGATTTGTGTCATATGAGTCTTTGAAAGTGGCTCATTGGATGAGGAATGGGAATATCGCATTTGGTAAGGCTTTCAAACAAATTATTGTCGTTCTGCTTACTCACGCTGAAAAGGCAATACAAAGGGCGAGGTCATCCTGTTTGAGCCGGCCACGAGCGATCACATCTCGGCTAGAACCATCTTTGATCCCATCACCGCAATAGCCCCTTCTGCCGACTGCAAGACTTATGCTATAGGGTATGTCCTGACGAACCACTCCCAAGCACAGCCCTTACTAAATCTGCACAGATACAATAATGGTTCGATCCTGCTTGCCGCACTCCAACCAGCATTCACGATTCTTCATACACTGACCACATCGCGGAGCCCGTCACCAATCGTTTCATTAACATGGCATGCTTCTTCCTCAAAACAAAAGTCCGATATGCTCGCCACTCAAACAGCCGACGGAGATTTGAGGGTTTGGAGTGTATCTAAGCCTCCGATTGCCGAGGCTCCCCGCGTCATTCGTGTCTTGAGGCGCACCGATAGCTACGTTTTCGGTCGTAACTGGATCTCTTGGTCAAAGAATGGTCGCATTGTCCAGTTTTCCGAGGGTAAAACATGGGCTTGGGATGTTCGAACGAAGCATGTTACTTACGAGCCAATTCCAACTGTCGATGGTGTTCGAGCCATCGCCGCTCATGGTCCCACGGGAACCCTTTTCACCTTGGGTCCGGATTACACGGTGCAACAGTATGATGTGGAAAGAGCCCATTTAGTAGCAAACGTGCGCCATATGCCGTTCACCATCCCACCTACACCACCTGAGGATGTGCGACAACTGTGGACAACCTCTGAGAGCGAGGAGGAACTTTCGTCTCCACTTGCAAGAGCAAGACAAGAGCTGCGTGCGAATCCTGCTGTCAAGATGACCAACAACAACATCCCAAGTCCAAGCTCAGCAGTTAGCCCCCTACGGTCAGGGGCGAAGAATGGAATCAACGACATGATCTCTCCTGCTGGAAGAACTGACTACACCACAACATCCTTTGATACTGGTATTCAGTCTTTCATGACGTATACGCAGCCAAATAACCAATCGTACACTCATCAACAGTACTCCAGGCCACTACCAGCCCCCAGTCAGCCCCAGCAAATTCAGTCACCGCAATCAGCAGCTCCCAAATCAGCGAGAAAGGCGTCTCGACTACGACAAGAAGTGGTAATGAGCCCTGAAGAGCGAGCTGCAGCTGCAGATCTTTTCCCATTCACGCGAGCTCGCCTGCATGATGTCCCCTATAAGCCGCCCCGTGCAAGTGATGACAACCACATGACACCGGACGACTTACGAAAGCAGATGCTCAGTGTCGTTTTTGGCTGGGAGGGTGACATTGAAGATCTTATCCGCGACGAGCTTAGCCGCCATGAAATGGACAGTCACAATGCAATATTCCTGGCGAAGTGGCTGCATCAGGACCCAGATCACCTTGCAGAGCTCATGGGAGCGACTGGTCCAGATTCAGACTTGGACTGGACCCTTCTGGCTCTGGGCACCATCAGCAACCAAATGGGTGCAAAGAAGATCACACAAGTCTTCATTGAAAAGATGCTCGCAAAAGGTGATATTCATGCAGCAGCCACTCTCATGCTCGCACTAGGTGACACTAGTGATGCTATTGAGGTCTATGTCTCGAGAGCTCAGTATATGGAGGCTGTTTTACTTACCTGTGTCGTCTCACCTGACGATTGGCAACGGCAATCATATCTAGTCAGACGTTGGGGAGAGCATGTTGTTGAGAATTCTCAGCAATCCCTTGCTATTCGATGCTTTTCGTGCACAGGTGTGGAACCTTCAGATCCATGGACTTCTCCAAAATCTCAGATTGCTGCCGGCACAGTAATAGATACCTTCCCGTCTATTGAGCCTGAGCATAAGGTTCAGATTCTCGAGCCTGCGGAGCTCCCTGAAATCTATCAGAAAACTCTAGAGAGGCGACGTACTCTCGATGCACCCACTCCTGTGGCCATGCCTCGTCCTGCACCACAGGCGATACCGGCTCCCCCAACTCCTTTCAGGAATGCAGCAGCATCAGGAACTCGAATTACACCCCAGACATCAGCACTCAAGCTCATCACATCATTCTCGGACGGGCAATCCAACATCAGTTTCAAATTCCCAGGTCTGAAAGCGGAAGACCGAACACCAACAGTCGTAGGGGCTGTGACCCCCATCGCTGAGTCTGCAGTTGGATCTGCTTTGTCGCCTGGTGGATCGGGTTCTTATCGGTTAAACAACATTCGCAGCATCAACAGTGCTCTTTCCACCAAAACTCCAACTCCTGGTGGATTCCAACCTAACAGACTACCCTCGATTGGAGAAACCCCTGTCGATGTCGATTCGCCTTCTTTCCCAGACGCTATACCTCCAAGGTCGGTCTCAGTACCTGTCGAAATACATTCGGCGAAAAACAAAATCAAACAAGACTCACCTCCTATTTCCAACGAGATGCAACCCGAGCAACCACCGCCACCACTGCCGCTACAACAGAAGTCTAAGCAGGGTCTGACTCTATTGACCTCTGCACGTTATGATCCTGGGACACTCAAAACTCCGGTGAAGGAAACTCCGCAAACGGCTGTTGGACCACAGACAACGATTAAATTTCCCTCAAATAATTCTCGATATTATCCCTCTTTTGACAGCGACATACCCGAGCAAACAAGGACAGGATCAAGGAGCAGGAAGCCGGACGGATTATCTATTCAAACAGCAGCTGTCGAAGAGAATGACCTACTAGATGATTATCTGCCTTCAACAAGCTATGGCGAGTTCGTGAGTGGAGCACCAACTACTGGATCTCTCTCACAGATTGATGCCGCAGCCAGTCTCATCAGTCCTCACACCACATCTGGTCACAGCTATCGTGGTGGTAAAAGCCCTCTCGTTGCAGGTAGGAGTATTGATGACTACATCAGCAGTCTCGATCAGGCTCAGTATTTCGGCAAGCATTCTCGGGCGCGTGGCTACAGCGGAACGAGTCGGCAATCAAAAGACGATCAAAGCGAGAGAAAGAAAACAAAAGGCCATAGCATCGATGGTTCACATGAGACGCGCCGTACTATTCCTGCCGCGAAACGCTCGCCTTCCTCGCCGGTGCCCATGTCACCCGAGGATCTCCGTCTTTACAGCACCAGTGTGGAGAGCTTCGACTCCATGTATAGCTCGAACCTTTCAGGATTGGACAGGTCTGAGACACCCGCCAGCACATCAAAGCACAGCAGGCGAGGTTCACAATCCACAGCCAAGGGAACCAAAACTCGGCATCGGTCTCGATCTCGAACCATAGGAACAAGAAGCAAGCCAGGGAGCCGTGGAGCAAGTAGACAGCAAAGTCCTGAGCCCTATCAAACCATGATATCTCCAAGAGGACGAAGCTCTTCCCGCAAAGACAACTCAGGACACAGATCGCCGTCATCTCCACGGCCAATGGTCCCCTCCGAAGAGGACAGACAAAGCCGGTTTGACAAGGGTTCTGTCCTTCGACTTGTCTCTCAGGACCGTCATCGTGTCCAGAGAAGTTCTAGTCGTCAAGCAAATCGCAGCACGAGTGCTCGCCGTGACAGATCCCCAGATCGTCGTAGACAACACCGTACCAGATCTCGGAGCCGTCCGGGCGGAGAAGAGTCCGCTCTACATCGAAGAACGAGCAAAAACGAACGAAATAGGCGCCATCGCCGACCCAGTGACGCCTTACAAAGTGCCCATCCTGATGATCCCGAGGATGGTATACCAAGTAACTTCGAGGAGTTCCGTGCCGCTAGCCAGCCTCAGCTAAATCAGGATCGCAACAAGAAAGCAGCTGCTGAACAGTTACAGGCACGCCGTCTTTCATTAACTCGTCGCCCCTCTATGCCAAACGTGCCGCATCCCGAGGAAGGTGCTTCGCACACCAAGTCGCATTCCACCAACAGTGTTCCTCAGCTCAACCGACTATATAGCGATGAAGGCGACGTGGTAGTCAGCGCACCCATAGCACCCCCGCTCGGAGCAGACATGTCGGAATTTGGCATCGTGAGGGAGCCCTCAACCACCCCATCCAATACGGCAACCACAGCCTCGGAAACACCGACGGTCATCAAGGCAGGGGTCTCAGAACTCTTGAGTAGTGATGTCTACCGGCCTCCGACACGAGGTGAGCTTTCTTCGGACTCGGCGTCCCGACCAGGCTCTGCACGCGCACCAGCTTCGCTCGACTTCCTCGCGCAAATGCCTAAGCATCCAGCTTACAACCAGCGTATCGCGAATAGTAGGTCGAGTAGCAAAGGTGCTGAGGCCCGGCAGTCCTCCCGTTCACGCGGCGAATCTCGTGACCGTAATCGTATTTCGCCCAAAGATCAACAGCACCCACGCGGCGAGTCTCGAGACCGAGCAGCGACGGCAACGACGGCAACAAAGCGTGTCTCTCCGCGCGGGACGCCACACAGCCGTGAAACGTCACACATCAGTGTGGGAACAATGCCAGGCTCCTCGCCGGAGATCGTGTACGCAAATGCGTACTCCCCGCCACCACAGCAGCAACAACACCAACACCCTCCGATCCTACCGGAGCTGCAGCACCTTGTAGCCCCCCTGCCACCTCCACCGCCGCCGCCACCACCGCCGGCACCGACACCGAAGATAGTTCCGCTATTTACCGGAAGTCCAAACCTCTCGACACTGCGCGGCTTCGAGGTCGACGCCAGCAATGTTCCACTTCCTATGTCTGCAGTCGGCACGGGCGGCGGGCATGCTAACTATCTCGACCCACCACCACACTCGGCCGCGCTACAAAGCGCACCGCTTCCTCTCCCACCACACGGTGGCGCTGGTCATCGACGGGGCCGTAGCGGAAATGAGCATGCCAGTGGGACAATCAATACCAGTGGGCCAGGCTCCGGGTCTGGCTCAAGCCAGCTTTTCAGCAAGCTTCGCCATTTCACCGCCCGCACTAACAACCGCAGCCCGTCCCGTGGCCGAAAGGCCGGTGATGATAACCAGGCCATGAGCCCGCGTATCGCCGATGGCCATGTTCCCCCCTATGAGAGTATTACTCAGACGGTCTTGGGAAGAGGCGTGGAAACGAACTGAGACCAACCGACCAATGAGGAGATTGCCAGAAAGTCCAAACGAACCACGCTCCTTGTTCTGAAAGGAAAAAAAAAAGAAAGATTTATACAATCAGTTTCCCAACACCCATTTTTATTACACGGACGCTCGCAAGTGCGACTTGATTCTTCTTCCTCCATTCTGGTACTTTTCGCTTTTGGCGTTTGGGGGAAAGGAGAAGAATCGAATGGGGACCGAGGGGCGCAGAAGTGGAAGTGGAAGTGGAAGTGGAAGCGGTAATTGGTTATTATTTCACATTGAAACCGGTTATTGTGAGCACGGCAAACCGCAAAGGCAAACAAACAAGCAAGCAAGAAAAAAGACCCAAGTCAAAATGAGCGAAGATGTTTTTTCTTTGTTTTCTTTCCCTGTTTATTTTTCAGTTCAGCAAGCGATGGATACAACATAAGCAACTTTTTGTCATTTTCCTCGCGCACTTTCTCTTTCTGTCTTTCTCTTCTTCGATTTTGTCTTGGTCTTTCTTGCCAGAGGAGCGGGGGCCGGGGGGCCGGGGGCGAGCACTGTTCCCGCCCCGCCCCCCAGGTGGTGAAGATGAGCGGGAGGGGAAGAGGGAGGGGGAGAAGGAAGGTAGATGGTGGGAACGGAGGAACAGCTGCTGTGCCTCGACGACAGCGCCGGACGTCGTGGGGTGAAGTGACTGAGGGCTTTGGAACGAGAAGCAGGGTGGAGGGAGGAGGAAGATGAAGAGCTATAGTAATTGTTGAGAGGGATATATTTCCTAGGAGATCCGGGAGACTACTGCTGCTATACATACCCACTTGCCAGGACTGGTTGACTGGGTTTGTTGACGCGGGTGGCTTAGAGAGGATGGTAATGAATGAGAACCTATCTCGAAGAGTGATGTGATCAGTGATGAGTGCCGAGTGAATCCATAGCTCGATCGGTGATTATAGGTATCCTGCTTTAATTCTCTCTTCCGCCTTCCATTCATGATGCGATATAGGAGTTGAATTTTTGGGCTTTGGTGTATAAATATTATGTAATGTATGTACACATGTCATCAAGCTAACATAATATCAGTGGCGAGACTGCCCGTGGCGTTCACTTGGTATGTCCCTCCGTTTCGTTGTGGTAAAGAAATGTTGATAGGCTGGTTCTCTGACTAGGTATACCTGCTTTTAGGTTTATAATTGGCGGGCCGGTACTCACTCCATCGCATCGCCGCTGGGTCAGTATACCAGGCAACCATTCCAAGCGGACTGATGACGTGGTGTAATAGGCTTGAGGCTATCTATCTACCTATAGTTGTAGTGTTTCGTGCCGGTTCTGGCGCGCTGCCTGTTTTCTGTCTCCGAGCCAAGGATTTTGGCTTTGTCCATGCGGCTGGCTGGTCGAAGAATCTGACCAAGGGTGAGTTCTATGGAGAGGACTGAGTTGCAATGAGCTGGATGACCGTGCCGCGGATTTCATCGAGTAGGTTTTAATGGTCCGGCGCAGTGCCAATTCCAAATAGAGCTTCAGCTCCAGGTCCAGCTCCATGAGTCCAGTGGGGTGTTTTCTCTCTCTTCCGGATCGTTCGTTCAAAGGTCGTTCCATAAATCCATCCTCTTCGTGTCGGTTCGTCAAGATATGTGGTTGTACAAGTACTCAATAATCGCCCAAGTCCCCGGATAGATATACTGGGAGACTGCCAAGCTGATTGGCGATACTCAAATTCCCCCGCCGCTTCTCCCGACCGCGACGCTCAAATCTTTCGCCGAGAGACGTTGCTTTTCAGACTGGATCCAATTCCGACGGCCTTCGTCCTCGAGTAGCCTTGTCTCTTGTTTGGATTTGGCTTCGAGGCGTTTGAGCCAGATGTAGCTGGCGGTGGGAATGAATACTAGGCTTGCGAGGAAGAGTTTCTTGTTCCTGCTGTTTTGTTCCCAAGTTAGACAATGCTTGGGGGTGAGAAGAGCTGCAGGAAATCACCGTGACTGACCTGAGAATGGGGCCAGGGCGGTAGCCTGGTATTGAGCTTTGAGGTTGAGACGGCATCGCTGTGGTGGCGGTTGGGAGCATGGGGAGTTAAAGGGTTTCTTGGGTCAATTGTGGTGGATGTTGAGGTGGTGAGTGGAAGTGTCGACTGCGACTCGGTCTCGTCTTCTCTCTGATAGTGGCTCTTGTCTCTTGTCTCCTGTGAAGGTTGGAGCTCGCTTGTGAAATGCGTTGAAATGTGACAAGAGCGTTCCCTGTCCCGGTCTGGCGTTCTTGCCGCTTTGAGCAAAGGCGGGAATACCTGTGGGCTCTTGTCGACGGGTCGTGTAAATTTGTGATGTCTGGAGCCGCTCTGATGGCCGCTTCTATCACCAAGCACAAGAAGCTGGGGGAAAGGTGGTTTCTCTGAAAGAGCTTGGAACGTTCTAGTCAGTCGGTTGAAATTTGATTTGGCCAGGCACGCGACAGTAAATTAGTGAGGACTTACTACCCGGGACTTGTGAAATCGGATGGGATGGGATGGGATGGGATGGGATGGGTCAGTAACTGCGCACTGGAAGCGATTGGTGACGAAATCGAAGTGGAAGAGGTGGAGAAATGGAAGCGTGAGCGGATGGCCGCGCCTTGTACTTTGCGGGGGAGCGGAATCATGTCCACATCAAGCAATTATCAACTCTCAAGCACGAAACACGGAGTATAGGATAGCATATTCGTAAGTACGAGGTGGTGTCCTTGACATGTATAACATTCTTTTCATTGACATTCCTCCGAGTCCTCCCTGTTGTTGATCAGGACTATCGTCTTGGCCACGGCTACCAAGGTGCTCCGTATGTTTGGCCATGGGAGCGGGTACGAAAATAGTCGGGATGGGTATGGGTATGCATCATTTTTAGATTAGATCGGGAGGAACCCCCGTTCCCCTTGACAAGTCTGGTTGTCATGCTCCGTCTCCCAAAAGTCTCAAAAGAACTCCATAGACGTCTGCCTCATCAGAGCCTTGTCGCTAAATATGCATCCCATAATATCAATTGGACCATCTTCATCATGACAACTCATCTGTCTTTCTCGACGCATTAGTCTTGCCGTGAGCTGCTACCTTCTCCCCCACTGTCGTCTTTCCCGGATACAGATCTGCTACCGTCATTGTCGTTGTCGTCGTCATCTCGGTTCGGCAATGGCTCTCCATTTTCCTTGGCTAGCCGTTCTTCTTCCTTCAGCTGTCTGAGCCGTTCGGTCTCCCTGCGCATAGCCTCGAGATTCCACGCCCCCGGGGCGCTCTCATCATCATCGTCTTCATCGCTGTCTTCGTCTTCAGAGTCTTTCCAGTCTCCACTTTCGAACATCGCTCGGCCTGTTGCTTCCTTGGCTTTAATTGCCTGTGCCTCGGCGGCCTTTTTGTCAAGGCGGTCCTTCTTCCATTTAGCGAATGACTCGGGGGTCACGGGAGTGAGTGTGCCAGTCAATTTGTGCCGTTCTGATTCTAAGAAGTCTTCAAGGGTAAGCGTAGCCAGTGGGGATTTGTCCATTAAAGCCTTTTCCGCGCGTCGCTGTTCTTTTGTCTTCAGTACGAAACTAGAGAAATACAGTCAGTAGAATTCAAAAGAGGAGACAAAAGTCCTCGTACCCAGGTGGAAGACTGTGGCGGTACATGCACTTGTCACCTCCGTTGGGACAGGTCCAAAACCAGCCATATTTGCCATCTTCGACAGCTGAAATAAAATATTTGCAGACCTTGTCGGTGGTGGTGCGAGGATTGCCATGTTTGCTGGTAACGACGTCGCGCAGTTTCTCTTCATCCCAGTCTTCCATATTATCTTTCTCCTTCTCCTCTCGCTCTTGTTCCCGAGTGTCCTGATACAAATCTCTCTTGGCCACCTTCTTGACCACATCGAGATCATGGCTAAACTTGCATTTCCGGCCCTTTTCGCAATGTCCTTGTTTGAAGAACTGGCAGAGAACGGTTTTCGGATCCACACCAAAGGGGACCTTTTGTACCTGGATTGGCTTGAACAATTCGGCAGCTTCAGCCTTGGCCTTTTCGGCGGCGAGCTTGTCTTTCTCCCTCTGCTCCTTCTCAGCTTCTTTTCGCTTTTCCTCGGGCGATTTGTTGGATTTTGCCTGCGCTGCTAACTGTGCAATTGTTCTCTTGGCCGTGCCACCTTTTTTATTCTTCATCCCAAACGTTTTGTCCTCCACGGTGGCCTTCTTCTTGGGAGGCTCATTGCCCTTCGCTTTGGGGGCCATGGTGGTCGAAAACGATAAGGAAGGCTTGCGGCAACAGTCAGACTATTGAGGGGTCGATGGGGCTTTTCGAGTGGCGTTTCTTAACCACGATTTCCTGTTCTACCACTATGGAGAGGGAGCCGTATCCAATGGGTGAATGAGAGGAGTCGAACAAGGGACAGGCGATCTCGGGCAGTGGAGTTGTGAAAATGGAATCCAGAGGCCGGAGTTATAAGTTTGACTCGTGTGAGAATCTTGAAGAGAATTGGAAGAATAATGTGCCAGTGTGGGGGACGCCGCACGCCGCACGACCGTAGGGGAGAGGACGTCACTTGCACACCACTACTGACTACTACCTACTAGGATCACACCCTTCTCTTCTGGTCTCTTTTAACTTGAATGTCCTCGTCCTGTACAGCTTCAGTATATCTCCCCTAGCCATCTCCGCGTCCATCGAGGACTCCTCCCTGCCCTCCAACGTCCATGCCAGCTGTATGACTGACCGAAACTCTTCCTAGCCTCAAGGCTGCACCCACAATGGCAAGCCAAGGTCCTCCACCATCATCGCTCCCTCCCTCCATGGGTCCTGGCGCCCATCCTGTTCAACCTGGAAATACATCTCGAGTGCAGATGTGGGACAGGTCCACTTACAAGGTTCAGATCGACTCTGAATACCTTACTCTAAAGTACACGCCGCGTGACAGAGGTGAAGTTCAACAGCATGTTTCCTTCAACAACCTTCCCCTCGGTTCCTTTAAGAGATGGCTCTTATATGGTGGTCCCCAGAGGGCCTACTCTTCTGGCATCTACGCCATCGACACTATCCGTGTCTTTGAGGGTTTGGTCGAAAGACAGCTCACGCCCCGAGAAGCCGAAGGCCTTGTCTATCTGACCTCAAATACTGAGGTGTATGCAATTACCGGCAGCTTGGTCGGTTGTTTGGCTGGCAGTACATATGCCTGGCGCACTCGCGAGAAAATGAAGTTCCCTCTCCGCGCTGCCCAGCCTCTTGAAAGATATAACAACTTTCCTAATCGATACCTTCCCATTCTCCGCGGCTCCGTCGCCCAGACCGCCTGGCATATAACGAGAGCCAACGTTTGGGCCGCTGCGGGTGTCATGGCCATCCGTCCACTATTTGCCGCAATGGGGAACTATGCCTTATGGTCGGGCCTCGCTGAAGACGAGCGCACTAAAGATCTACCCCCGTTGATACAGGCCAATAGTAAGGAGAGGCGCCAGAGGGGAGAAAATACTCGCACGCGAGGGCCTCATCAAGCTCAGCACATTAAAGCACAGGACGATCTACAAAGTCAAGCCTTGGACCAAGATCAAGCCTATACCCTTGACCAAGCCCCTCAGGATTGGGATCAGCAGACCTTTTCCAAGAATGACTCTGAGACTCGTGACTTTCGCGGACCAGGGGATTTCAAGCCGACAGAGCCCGTTGCTCCGTCGGTCAGTGGACGCGGTAACTCACACAGTTTCCCGAACCCCAACAAGCCACCAGCAAATGCAGATGTTTTCTTCGATGACGATGATGACGCTTCGCCAACTGCCGGTCAGGCCCTCAGACCAGAATCACAGGGCGGAAGTGCTTGGGATCGCATTCGCAAGGGGGAGAGCTCTGGCCCTTCCAGTCGACAAGCACAGAACCAGGGTTATACACCTAACTCGCCTTCCCCTACATCCCCGCGTGGCTGGAGGCGAGTAGGAACACAAAAACAAGACGCCCAGTTCGAGAACTCGGCCGATAGCTTTTCCTTCTCCAAGACTGAAGCTGATAAGCAGTTTGGCCGCGAGCAAGCGCAGAAGGACTTCGACGACATGCTCGACCGCGAGAGAAGGCAGAGTGGCAGTGACGATTATGACCGTGGGATGAAGGCTGTCGAGTCTGGTCAGGAGAACCCGACAAATTCTGACCTGAGTTTATGGGAGCAGAGGCGGAGGAGAAATTGAGCAAAACAATTGGAATGCAATGTAAAACCCCGGAGCCACCGCCGCCGCCAGCACTGGCTCGAGTCGGTCGTCCGCGTTACGAACCCTCTTTTCACTCTCCAGAGTCTTCAATCACGACGTAGTAAAGCGGTGCCGAGCCGAGAATCTGCCACTGTCGAGGACCTGGGGCCCGTTCTGTCTCCCACACATTAAATCAACAAGCTCGACGTCTCTTGTACCATCCAACCTCAAAAAATCAGCCGAGTTTTGACTATTGGAAATCTCAAACTTGACGAATCAACGCTAGTCCTGTCAAATCGACCGCCATCTGGGCATTTCGTCCACATCATATCTCTAATGAGCAAGCTGCTAGGGTTACAATATTATTGTCAGCCTCCAAATTAAACTCCGTCCTCGACTTCTTTCAGGGATCCAATATGGGGCCCACCAGACGACGGCGAAACTGCGCCATAGTCTTGCCAACACTCAATATGCCACCAAGATGGTCAGTCAACAAGCAAGCGTACTTGTTTCATCCGAGTCCACAACTTAAAGCCAGGATCCCCCGTTGCGTTGTACTGCCTTGGGATGTCGACTAACCTCAAAGCGCCCTACCAGTGCCTTGCTGTACCCTGCTCATCAACCTATTCCGGCGTCCTTATCTACCGCATTGTACAGTCGATATATGTTCTCCGCTGATGCAATTTCCTCATGCCATCGCATTCATCTCGAACCGGTTCATGTCTGTTCCTAATGTACCAATATCAACCCCATTGCATTTTGTTTACCAAAATGCTCGGACTGAAAAGCAAAGATGCGGGGGCTGGGGGAAAAACATGGCTGGCTCCAAAATGTGGCCTTTCTCTTCCTCTGTCTTTCACAAATTCACTGTAAACTATTTCCAGCTAGGGCTCTCGCTGTCAGGGAGGGCGGGAAAGAGGATAACCTCCACACGAAATAAGCGGGATATAGTAGTAGCCTGTCGCCTACTTACTGGGTGTATATTAGATTAGCTAGCATGATTGTACCCACAAGTGATGCAGCGTCTGAAAACACAAAGCAAATTCTGGAAGTGCCGCACATGGGTATATATATAACATCTAATACCGCATCTGAATCTGAATCTATTTGTCTCGTGAAACATCAATCACGAAGGAAAGGGAAGGCGAGGCGACCGACTAATTGCCAGAATACCCTATATATGTATGCATGTGCCTGCGCGCCTGTGGCAGTGTCGCTGCCCTGCCTAGGAACCTGCCAGTTGGTTAGTCAGCATGTAGATAGTCACGATGGAGAATTGCTCGTGGTCAGAAGGAAGGCATTAGTTTCAAGGCGAAAGCAGAGGGAAATGGGCAGGTTGAAGGAGGTGAAATGGCTTATGGATTGGGTTCTGATATCCGAGGGTCTGACGTTTGTGGGTTTGTATCGAGATTCCAAGTCGGAGAAATACGAGTTTCATACGTCTTCCTTTCTGGTATTCAGTTGCATTGCATTTGCACTCCTCTAGTGCGCCAATCCGTCTGTAAGTGTCCTCGCTCTCCAGTCCCGTTGAATTTGCCGGTTGAAAAACAGAAAATGGGACAAAAGGGAGGTGGCCATCTCAGTCTCGGTTCAACTTTTTGAACTTGAAGCTTAAGCCTTAGCCTTCCCTTTCTCGCCGGCGGCAGTTCCCTCCTTGTCATCATCTTCTAGGTCAGGCATCTCATCATCATCTTCTTCCTCGTCATCGTCGTCATCTTCCGCATCACCAGCTGCACCAGCACCGCCAAGGCCTTCCATACCAGGCAGACCACCTTCACCTCCGCCGAGCTTGGAGAAGTCGATGCCTCCGAAGCCACCATCTTCACCGAGACCACCTCCAAACTGATTCATGTAATCATCCTCGGGAGCTTCGTTTTGTTCGTCCTCGTCAACCCACTGAGAGATATCAGTATAGTGTTGCGCAAAAGTGCTTACGCATAGGGCCAAGCAGGCTGGGGCAGTGGAGACTCACCTTATCGAAATCTGTTCGCAGATAATGAACCTTAGCCTTGTCTTTGAGTAGTCTGGGCCAGTATTCCTCCTTGAGCTCTTTCTTGCGCAGGACCAATTGAATATTTGCGGCGGTGTGGTGGACTTTTGAGTTCTCTACATCGATCTCCTCGAAGAAATCCATTTCGAGGTGATAGGTGGTCTTCTTAGTTTCGGAAGCGCCGGTGAAGGTAAGGCCAGTGGGCTTGAGATCAAGCTTTAGAGATTTAGCGGGCACATCAGGCACGGAAATTGTCAGGTAGACATAGTTCTTCTCGGGATCGCTGGTGGAGGAGCGCTGAGCCCATAGGACTGTTTTGGCAAATGGTCAGGATTGCAATCTAGAGCAGTGGAGGTCCAAGAGAGGCTGTAGAGGGATGGGAAGGGAGGGGAAGGAATTGGACTCACCTTCTGGAGTGACTTGATCCGACATGGTGAGGAGTGGGCTTGTGATATTGTGATATGGCAAGTTTGAGAATTGCAGGAAGCAATGTGCGGGGAGGGAAGAGAGTGCAGGACAGTCAAAGTCTAGATGACAAGTGAAGGGGCAGGAGCAAATGTCTAATGTGAGGAAGCGAGCTGGAGCGTGAATGCTTTGGTGGTACTTGCGGTGCTAAAGGAAGAGACAGGATGATTGTGTGCGGGTTGGGAATGGAATTGCTACTAGTAGCACCTTTTTGGGAAGAGACGAGGCTGTTCGAAATGCGACGAATGGTATCGAATTTCTGGGTGACCGAGCCGTCACGGTTCACCTAGTACAAACAGTACAAACAGTACGATACAGGTACGTCCTCCGTACCTCGTACCCACTAGTACCATTACGTCGACTGCCTGTGCCGCACCCACCGTTTGCTGGGCTTGACCCCACCAACTGGCCCACTGCAGGCTGTCACCAATTGTACCCAATACTTGAATGGGCGCCCGCAAGAAACTGGTAACCGTCAGCCCTACCAGACGTTCTTGTTTATCGTCACTTCCGTAATCATACCTAGGTACTATACTCCGTACTGGTAACTGCACCTTCCAAGTACTGAGGCAGAGCGGGCTTTGCTATTCGGCATGGCTCAGTACTAGGGGCATTCATTGACGCGACTCTACTCCGTGTCTGCGCCCATATATTGCAGCGCACCGTCCGTTTACCCCTCTGATTGTTCCTCTACGACTGGCACTGCAGTGTGACCATGCAGTCGTTCAAAGCAGTCTTCTTCAAACCTGATCCACAGGACCAAGTGAGGACCCTCTTTCTCTTTTCGACAAGCCAACGGAGAACCCCTTGACACTAACGTCTCTCTGCTGATAGAAACGGAAATGTGACTCGATCATCCGCAAGAATGTGCGCGGCCTGGACCGTGATATCATCAACCTAAAGGTCACCGAGCAGAAAACCAAGTCACTCATCCTTCAGGCCTCCAAGCGCGCACAGAAGAACCCGTCCCAAGCCAACCAAGCTACAGCCGAAACACGAACATTTGCTCGAGAACTACTCCGGGTGCGGAAACAAGCAGCGAGATTACACACAAGCAAGGCGCAGCTACAGAGCGTACAGATGCAAGTCAATGAGGCTTTTGCAGTGCGGAAAATAGAAGGAAGCCTCAAAGCCAGCACGAGCATCATGAAGGACGTCAACACATTGGTTCGATTACCGGAGCTGACAGGCACCATGCAAGAACTGAGTCAAGAATTAATGAAGGCTGGCATCATCGAGGAAATGGTCGGTGATACATTACCAGACGACCAGTTATTAGAAGGAGAAGATGAAGAGGCAGAAACTGAGGTTGATAAAGTATTGAGTGAACTACTCAAGGGCAGGTTGGGAACGACCGACCAGAAAATTCCGGATCTACCGGTGGAGGAAGAGGAGGAAGCGGAAGACAGAGAGGCCGAACTGGAACAAATGCGAGGGCGGTTAGAGGCATTGAAGAGTTGAGCTGGCTGGTTGAATAGGGCCGTGTCTACAGGTCGATGCCCTGTACGCGCCGTGAGTACGAGACATGACTGGCGTTTGGCGGCGCAGGATGGGATGCAATGAAAAGGCGAGCTTGCTGAGGTATTTTGCATATGGAAGAGGATCTTCTGCTGAGGATGTGACAAGTGTTCTGCTCTGTGTAATGCCTTCAAATCTTGTAGGTGAACTTGGCAGGTACATAGAGAGCACTCCACACCGAGACCATGCTGTGCATCACATCACGTGAATGCGGTATCACGTGCGATCAGGCTGTGATGCTGTTGTTTTGAAGTGAGGCGTAGCCTAGCCACGTGATTTGGAAATGGCAGTGGCAGGAAGTGCTAGGCTGCCGGAGGTGGTGCCCCCTTTCGCCCCTTCCCTTCTTCTGCCTTCTTTCTCCATGTCGTCCCTCCTGTATTTCTGTAAGTCAAAGCTGACTTGAACCAGTTCCGTACATTCCTCCTTCTTTCTACACTCCTCCGTTTGCAGAACTGCCTTTGGTTTCACTTCACAAATCTCTATTTAATCTTTTTGCACGCGTCTCTCTCTTCTGCGCGCCCTCTGAAACCCCAATTCAAACCAACTTCATCAACCTTACTCTTCAATCTGCAGCTCGCACCGACTTGCCACTGCCCAACTTGCGCGACTCCTTCAACCGCAACCTTCCTTCAAGGCAAATCACTTCCTCGCTTTTCCAATCAACTCTTCAAACAATCACACCAAACTCCTTCAATATGTCTGGCAGGCTAGATCAATCCCTCGATTCCATCATTGATAGCCAGAAGAAGCAGAAGCGCGAAGCTCGCCGTCGCAAAGTTGGAAAGCCACAAGCCACTGCTGCTCCTGTGGGAGGCGTCAAGAAGTCGACGAGGCCGGTCAAGTCGGCAATCAAGCCCACTGCAGGTGCTCTCGCTCAATCAAAGTCCAGCAAGATCGTCGTTAGTGGTCTGGTATGTTTCACCCAACCTTCATCCCTCCAAAACTTGCACTGACATCTCTCCCAGCCACACGATGTCAACGAAGCCCAGATCAAGGTATGTTGATGAAGAGGCTTTCGACCTTGGATTTCTATCGCCTGCCGTCGTCACCTGCTGTTCTTCCACTCCTTTCGCCGCCGTAGACGAGAACATGTTATACCATCGAACGAGGAAGAGCTGGATCTGTTGATCGTTGCGGAGCGTATTCCCATGGCACCATCATACCATGCTGAAACATTGCTGGTGTGCCAGTGGCAGGCTTCTCTCTCTCCCTCTTATTGCATGTGCCTTGTCCCATGCATCATGGTGAGCCCAGAGATTGCCATAGATCCTACATGTAATGCCTTCCGGCTAGCCACCGCGATGGGTTTTGATAAGGATCTGCCACGAGGTTGATTTGAACATGCTGAAAATGCTGTCAATTCTCTCCCGCCGCTGCTCGATTGGAGCATCAACGAGTTTTTTTCGCGCAACAGTATGCAAGCAGTACAGTACGACATCCTGGATTTTCATAACCGTTCCCTCCGTCTAAGTCAGGAAAAGAACTAGCCTGCAATCTTAGCGGTAGCCGTGAGGAAGACAAACCGATGAGAGGTACAGGAGCAGACTCTCATCTACAACTTCCCGCCTGCCAAAGCCATCCAAGTGAAGACGTGGGTCCAGCCCAGCATCACACTCGGATCGCCATGTTCTACGGTTTCTGTTTTAAATCCACCAACAGACTCATCACCCAATTCTGTGGAATATGTCCCCGTGGACTACCACATCTGAACAACACCAGCTCCCGTCTACCCTCGGGAACAACTTTTCAACCACCCACTGCTGGACCGCTTCTGGAATCACAGGCCTTCTGCTGCTACTGCTTGTACAATAACACTCGTTGATGCTCCTTCGAACGATTTGTCCCGGAACTATACCTTGCTGCGAAAAACACATCTCATGTCTTATTCTATGGAGATGAGGCTGCGTGGATGCGAACCTCAATGCTATTGCTATCTTAATTTCACCGATTACTGATCACACTGGGACCAACAGGAATACTTCGGCAAGTCTGTAGGATCCGTCAAGAGAGTCTCCCTCCAATACAATCAAAACGGGCAGAGTCGTGGTATCGCCGACATCGTCTTCTCTAAATCAGATGCTGCGGCCAAAGCAGCCAAAGATCTCAACGGAATGCTTGTGGACAAGCGCCCTATGAAGGCAAGAACGACTCTACTCGATTTAACTGGCTTTTCGTCCTGACCTCGCATAGATTGAAGTCGTGGTTGATGCCAGCCACGTTCCGGAACCGACTAAAGCGAAATCTCTTGCCGACCGTGTTGCGTACGCAGACCCAAAACGCTCGGCTAAGTCGGATCCACTGACCAAAACCAGTGCCAATCCAAAGGCTCAACCCAAATCTGCCGCCAATGTGAAGAAGACTACTGCAAAGGATGGCACAAAGGGACGATCTGCAGGCAAACCAGGAGCCAAGCCAGCCAAGCGTGGTCGACCGAACCGCCCAAAGCCAAAGACTGCTGAAGAGCTCGATGCCGAAATGACCGACTACTGGGGAGGAAACAATCCATCTGCTGGTGGTGCCACAACTCAGACAGCGACTAACGGAGCCGCTTCTGCAGCTGCTGCCGGCGACGACGCAATGGATGAGATCTCAGTGAGCGAGGTTGAATTCATCTTTTGAGGTGTTGAGAACTGACACCCGTATCAGTGAATAACTCCACGGAGGAGACCGAAATTAATGGTGATGTTGGCCGGTGATCAAGGAACTCGGCCCTGATCGACAACTAACCATTATCTTTTCTCGCATCGATCATCAAATGTACCAAATATCAATCTGCCGAGACCCTGGTTTCATAATTTCCCCATCCTCGTGTTTTCATTCAACAAAGACTGTGTTGCTACTTCTCGGACAGCGAGGGTTTGGGTTGGGCCCGGCGTGAAGGGGAAACAGCTGGTTGTGAAAGTTGTCTAAGACCATCAGAAAACCTGCTAACTCAGTGAGATTGGTTCGAACCACTCGATCAGGGAAGGGAAATGGGCAATTGTGAGGTGAACTAGCTAGGCTTTAAGGGCTCATGGATAGGCAGAGAGAATTAATGAATGCGTCGAGAATCATACTAGTAGTCATGGCTAAAACCAAGTCATTTCTGAAGTCATTATTGTACTTTTTACCGTGCAATCGGCTGACTCTAAGTCTAGGTCTCGCCCTGTGGGAATATTTTTGCACTCACTTCCAACTCATGTCCATGTCCATGTTTCTCATTCTTGTCGTGCTCTGATCACTTCGTGCCGTTCCGGCCATTACCCTGAAGAAAATCGCCCAATGTCTTTGACTGGAGTAAAATAGAATGGGATTTTCGATGGCATCGTCGTCAACGTCATCGTCGTCATCATCATCATCATATCATCCTTTGGAATCTTTGTAGTTGACTTTTCCCTTAGCCCATCAATTCTCTGAAAACTGCAAATCCCAGTTTGCATGCATGTCACTTTCATCTGTCCATCCATGCAGTCGTCCCATTCGTTCAGTCAGCCAGTCAGTCAGTCACCTACCCTTCATTCCATCCATGCCACGGGGAGGGCTGTTCAGCTGGTATCAGTCAGATGACTCAGACGAACTCAAAGTCGTCGTCCTCGTCGTCACTCTCATCCCTCTTTGATTTGGCCGAGACACTGACGATGGCAGTGGCATTGGATTTGAATCTGAGGCTGAGGCTGTTGTCGTCTTCCACAGGGAAGATCTCCTTTTCTTTGCCTTTGCCTTTGCCTTTGCCTTTGCCTTTGCCTCCAGTCGATCCGTCGAAACTTGCCACCTCCTCGAGCGCTGCCCCATGCTGCTCCAAGAGTTTTTCGAAGATATTTTGCTCACTGGCGGCATCAACCGCGGGATCGACTGTGGAAGTCTCGCTTAGAGCATTGGTGAAGGTTTCGTCATCGCTGAGGTCGGTTCCGCCGTTGAGGATGCGGTTGTCGTCATCGTCGTCATCGTCGTCGTCGTCGTCGAACTCGTCGTCGGATTGGTCGTCGGATTGGTCGTGGGCCTCGAAGTCCATGTCGGTGTCTGCAGCGTCGCCGCCCGTGTCGTTCGGGGTGGCTGCCATGCTTCTCATGTAGTGGAAGCTGTCACTACCATCATCGTCGTCAGTGCTCATATCCACGACGGTTGCTGTGTCGGCGATATATACGATTGAGGTCGTTTCCGACGCCGCTTCAGACGCGGAACGAAGGCTGACGATAGTTTGTGTGCCGTCGGTAGCGTTCTTGCTTGCCTTGCCCACAGTGCTCAATACCTGGCTGCTGCCAATGTCGTCGAACCAAGACGCGGTCCCCACATCAGAATCAGAGGGTGCATCGTACGCCTTGTGGATGCGACCAGGTGCGAAGCTCTCCACGCTCTGGCTCGCGGCATCGAGATTGGGCACGGGCATATCATCGTAGACTCCGCCGGTGCCGTCGTCGTTGCCACCGGCCCATAGCGGGAGGTACTTGAACTCATCGTCATCAAGACACATCAAGCAGTCGATGAGATTGGTTGGCAGCAACCCTGTCGAGTGGAACAGGTGTGCAGGCTGCAAAATCGGCATGCATATCCTTGAGATCAGACTGTTGACGGAATCGAGCAAGAGATGTGAGAGGATTCGCGTGTAGATTGTAAATCCTAAATCTTGGAACCCGTTGTGATCCAAAGTGTTGTTGCCGGCGCCCTCACGGACAGGACCGGTGGAATCGGTTGGGAGATTGTCGAGGCCAGTGTCGAACACTCTTCGAGGCCTCAACTCACTTGCATCACTGGAACGTTTACCCAAGGATGCACTAGGTTCAACTCCTGTGCGTGCCAGAGGTGATTTCTTTACTTCATTCATTGAATCGTTGCCGGAAGCATGCCTACCGGCCGTGGCGGAACCGGCTTGATCATCAGCACTAGCACTTTCAAATTGCTGCTCCACATAGTCCCGTTCCATGACGAGGTTGTTTGAGGGTTTCTGGCGGATAGGCAGCGCATGCATTCTCGATTCCACAGTCACGCCTTCATTAGTATTTGATCCAGAAGACACATTAGCCCTGTCCTTGCCCTTCCCTGAAAAGACCTCGTCAGTAGGAAGCTCTAGAGGCGTGCCCCACACAGACGAAATGGTAACTGCTTCAGTCTCATCTACCTCCTCAAGGGTCTTCCGACGCTTGCTTGGAGAATCTTGGTCTTGAAATGACGGGCCAACCGAGTCTGAACCGTGTTTCGAATTGCCGCCTATTGCTAGAGAGGAAAAATTGATGGCTTCTGGATTTAGGGGGTTGACAAGTTGAGGAAGAGTACGTTGAGACTTATTAGTTATATCTTCATCCAACACAGGGTTTAACTTTGCTTCTAGAAGAGGGTCAACGCCAGGCGCCTTCCCATTTTGCCGTGAACTGAGAATATGGCTCACAGCAGCGATCTTGAAATCCAGATGTGCGCGAGAGATCTTCTTGATGCCATTCATCGGGTCATGATCATACAACTCCGTCAATGCTTCGTGATAGCGAGTCAAGGGAGAGTCACCGATGGTGCCCTCTGCACTTGTATTATGCATGCCCACATCAAATCGTGTTCGTGACAGTGCAGTCCAGAAAGTTCGCGTGAACATTCTCATTGGTTGATTGAGCAAGTTGTAGGTGGCGGCGAATTTCTCACTCCTACCTGCTCGAAAGTTGGCTGTTGATGCTGGGTTACTCTCCAATTCGGGGATAACAAACTGGTCCTGGCAGAGGACATGATAGATTCGTGACCGTACATACTCACGAAGCAGTTCTCTTGCTTCATTGATGGTTTCGGTTTCCAATTTCGTACGACCAACCAGCTTTTCGAGTTTCTGATACTCGGTCGATCCTGAAAGCCAAGACATGTCTCTGCAAAGCATGGAGACAAGTCGACGTTGTCTCTGAACCAAAGAGGAAGCGGCATGGTCGATACGATTGCGCTCATCGTCATCGAGCGACTCCACCTTACGGCCATGAACAGTGGACACGAGGGGATTGAGGATTTTAGGGTTGTATTCACCATATGCTTCGAGTAAGGCTCTCTCGCCAACAAGAATACTAAAGGTATCCCTGACTAGTTCTGCTGACTGGATGCCCATACCTATTTTGTAGGCCACTTCAGGATTGCATTGAATGAAATTGGCATTGTTCTCCGAGTAAATCCATGTCGTGATCCAGCCAGAAACTCGTTCATGATGACTACAGCCGAGATATCTCGCAACTGCGAAGAAAGTCCAGACCTTTGGCGCCGAGTCCAGTTTCGGATCGTTTCCTTGGATTGCATGCAACAGGCGTTCAATTGCGGACCAGTGACGTAGAGGGGTATATTCAGAGCCAATGTGGTCCGGGTCGGAAGTGGCAGCAGAAGTCAGATTTGTCGGTCTTTGATACTGGCTCCTCGTTGAATCAGGAGCGCCATCTTCAACTTGGGCCCCTACATTCGACCTGGAGGTGTCGCCTATCTTCTGGGGTGGAGTGGGGACGGGCCGTGGGACGGGATTGAATCGATCATGGCCGAGCACAGCGAGTGGTGAAAGGCCGTACTTCTGCCTCGCAAGATGCCAGGTCAGCACACCCTTGGTGCAAGTCAGGTCTGTGATCAAAATGACAGCTTCATCGTCTTCGGTGGGTGGGCGTAGATTGATATAGTACTTGAACTTCCCACCCCGTCGTGCCTCGGGCATGGTCAACAGCCCCGTCTTACGGAGTTTTCGTTCGGCTCTGGCTGACATGGGACCAAGCATGGTGGCAAATTTGGAGCCCTCTCCCATGAGCATCAGATTCGCGCTCTGGACGATGTAGATTCGGTCGAAATGTTTTTCGATTTGGGCATACTCCCTTGCACTATCCTCTGGCATCTTTGGAGGGGGACCAATCCAAATTGCGGTGTCACCCAATGGATCATCCAAATTGGCGAATTCATTATTGAGACTTAAGATAAGTTGGTCTGTATGACGAATTGCTTCTCGAGCACCAGATCGAACGGCATTTGCATTATGTTGGGGCTGCTGGTCTTGCAAGGACAGTTCAACAGCATATTGAACTTGCTCAGCTTCTCCGGCAGGGACCCCATTATTGTATTGGGGTCCGGCCACTGGAGAGTTTGTAGCCATTTCTTAGGTGTTGTCGTTGGAGGAAGACAGCGTCAAACGGCCATCGAGTATGTGAACCGAACTAGGCTGAGAAACCACAGAGATACAAGGTAGATGGCAAGGCTGGAGATCAAACGATTGGTATGGAGAGATGATAGACGAAAGAACGCAGAGTTGAAGAGATAGGAAAGAAAAGTACGATGAGTGAAAGAGAGACATTGAAATGAGGCTGTAGGTGACGAAGGCGTGCATCAATGCGAACGTCTGCCTGGATGGAGCGACTGGTGACACGTGAGGTCTAGTGAATGCTCAGACTGGGGCGGAGGCCTGTACGTAACAATGAGCATAACAGTCAGTATCCGTTTGTCTATGGTCCGTACCCAACCGTATCTTGATTGCCTTGCCACAACCACTAAGCCGCTTCAGATTCGGCTCGCGCGGGAGTGGACTCACGTACCCAATCAAACGGGTTTGATCTGCCGCCCGGTGACGCCGTAGGTTATGGTATTCTGTATCCGTACCCCCAAGTACAATACAGATACTCCGCATAGAGACGCTGTGCCGCCCTGGCCAGTCATCCGTATGTGGATCCTTCCTTGCCTTCTGCTGCCTTGCGTAGCCATACCGTTGAGAGATACGGTGGAATACACAGGCATATATGCAGCGTCTATCCTGGCAGAGAAAGAAAGCAGAAGCAGTCATCGCTCAGAGAGTGACGAAATCTCAAAGTTTGGAAGTCTACCCATTCGCCCATGATCTTTTTACTCCCCATCAAGGTAGCGGTAGTCTTAGATACTTATTCCGTAATGTTTTACTCATGCCAAGCGTCAGAACTACGGATTTCTGTCTTGCATCTACTAAGGTTAACGCAGGTTGTCCATTGGGTCTGTAACAGTGATGTGATGCGCCCCTGATGGAGAAGTGAGTTTTTATTCTTATAGCTATAGCACCGTGTGTACCGTATGTCCCCGTCCCTTTTTGACAGCCTTTCAATGGCAGTCCTGCATAATCCATATTAGATTGAGTGGAGAAAGGAAACTAGCAGCCCTAAGCCTCCTCAGCCGAGACGTTGGATTGAGCAGGGGTTGTTTCGTCGGCCTTCTTTACTTGCTTAGCCTTAGCCTTGTCCTTCTTCAAGCTCTTCCATTCCATGCCGAGCCCTCCAAAGACGGCGGCACAAGAAAACGCAACTGCGATGTAGAAAACAATCGTTAAAGCATGGTTGTACACCTGCAGAACCTCCGGTAATGCTTCTGGAGAGAAAACGTGCCTCAGTTCCGTGGCTCCAGTGTTGACCACATCATGTGGGCTGATATCGCTGATGCTCTTGAACCCCGATATGAGTTTACTGTCGAGAACGTTCTGGGCTACAGCAACAGATATCGTGCCCCCTATACCCTGACAGAAGAAAACCAATGAAACTCCTGTCGGCGCATCTTTCTTATCCAGGACAGCCTGCGCAGCAATAGAGGTTTGCTGCAGCCCGAGGCCCGTCCCGAAACCATACAGGACCTGGACCCCTATCCAGAAGGGATGCGCAGTGTCAGGTTTGAGAAGTGTAAACAAGCCAGCACCAATAGGGGCCAAGAATCCACCTGCCAGAATTGAGGGATTGTAGTATCCGATCTTGGTGACAAAAATCCCAGACATTATGGACGCAATGACAAGGGCGAGGATGAAAGGCAGGGTTGAATATCCAGACCTAATGGCTGAATCACCTTTGACCGCCTGGAACCAGATAGATAGATAATAGACTATAATAAAGAAGGATGACCCGAGACAGAAGGCGTAGAATCCGGCGGAGACAATAGTCCGTTGTTTCGCAATCCGAGGTGGTACTGTGCCCGCTTCTTGCCGGATGACTTGTATCACAACAAAAGTGATGAAAAGAACCCCAAACAAAACGAGCAGGGCGATGATGCGACCAGCAGACCATTCGTATTGTTGACCTCCCCATTGCAGTGCTAGAAGAAGACAGACCATGCATGGGATGAAGACCAGGGTACCGGGAATGTCAATCCTCGAGAGTTTCTCCTTGAACGGCAGGTCGCCGAGCGCGGGTGGAAGATCTTCCACGAATCGGAACAAAAACGCTAGAACGAGAGCGCCGATAGGTAGATTGATGTAAAAACACCACCTGAGACTCATGTCAGCATCTGAATCATCGCGCGTGGCATCGCCGCTGATATTACCGCCAAGAGACCCTGGTTGTGAACACACCTCCAACGAGAGGACCAGCCACGGAGGCCACGCCGAAGATGGCTCCAATGAGGCCCATATAAAAGGGTCTCTTTTCTAGAGGTGAGCAGTACATCAACATAATCAAGGCGCCGTTGAACAGGCCAGCTGCCCCAAGACCTGCCACTGCTCTCCCCCAGATGAACGCGACTGAGTTCGGTGCGGCGCCACATATCGCTGAGCCTAGTTCGAAAATAACAACCTCACCGATGAAGAGCCATTTGGGTGGGTAGAATGTATACAGACGTCCGAAGAAAAGCTGAAGTGCTGTGGTTGGGAGCAAAAACCCAGCGTTGTACTGTCAACCAATGTCAGCGAGGCCACGAGTCGTCAACAAGTTTAGCTGAAACAGTTGAGCGCGAGGGAAGAAATCGATTTACTCACCCAGCCCACGTCGCCAAAGCTTTGGAATTGATCTGTAATCTTTGGGAGGGCCGTCGCGATGATAGTTCTATCGAGGGCGACCAAAAAGACAGACAAGTAGATACTGAGGAGAATCAAAACTAGTTTGATCCCAGTTGGATAGCTTTCGGCCCGGCTCTCAGACGGTTCGAGAGGGTGGTCATCGACATCTTGAACCTCCTTTGATTTCTCGTCACCGGTCTCTGTCGTTGCGTCTGTCATGTTGCTGAGCCGCTCGCGCGGGGAAAAGGATGGCACGGCTGAAAAACTGAGGATTGTGCCATGTTTTAATCGACCTCAAAAGATCGCTCGAAATGCGCACCAACAAGCAATGCTAGGGGACAGTGGGCATGCATTTCGGCGGGGTTAAAACCCGCCATGTTAAGATATCTCCGGTCGTATTCGTAAAACCCAAACAGGCTCCATTGAAGTGGGTGTTGTAGCCAACACGGCAAATTAACCATCCAAGGTTCGCTAAGCTTTACCCAAGAATGTGGCCCATGGCCCACATGTCATGGGCCTCCCAATGCAGACAAAAGAGGTTGATGGGTTTGTCTCATTGGTCCGTGAACTTGATGCCTAATCTCTTCGGATGCAGAAGTACTGTCTTCGGAGCCGTCTTTAGAGAGACCGGGCAATGTCAATCACCGAATACTCGGTATACTGCGAAAGCCCGTTGCTGGGAGGGACATCCCACCATTATTATTTGGCGACGGCTGCACGGTTGTGCGAAAAATCAATTCGTACTAGTTTCCTCAAATCCATGCTGCGACATCCAGAGTCAAGACAAGAGTAATGGGTAGAACAAACAAGCGGTTGAAAATACGATGCCTGCTTTGGATCATGCTATAATACAAACCGCTGCAGTCCATGGAATTAGATTGACCTCCCAACTCCCTTCCCACTGCAAATAATGTATACACTTGTTGCCAAAGCCATTCCTCGGTCCCTTGCCCTGGCTAGTCTTCAACCCACACACCTCCCCCAAGCCGGCAGGCCACACCCGAAGCCAACGAAGAGGTAGATCAGAAACAAAACCACAACCACCAGCAGTACCATCACTCTGACATTCTTCCACCACATCTGCCGTCTCAATCCTCGGCTTCTTACACGGAAATCTCGTGCGCTGCCACCCAGACGGTCTGTCTTGTCGACCAGTAAATCAATTCTCTCGCCTCTTTCAAGCACCCACTCGATATTTTCCGTCATGATGTCCTTGACACTGTCGATCTCCTTACGTGCATTTGCCAATGCATCGTTTGGCGGTGCAGTATTATACTGTTGTAGCATGCCTTTGAGCGTTGTATTGAATGCTGCGGAGCCGTATGCCGGCAAGGATTGGAAATCGGTGGACTCGGGGTTGTATTGTGCCAGGAATTTCTTCTTGAGTTCTAACAGAAACGCAAAGGGAATTCGACGGCCCAGTTCGGTCTGGGCCACCACAAGGTAAGTGAGCGCGGCATGGCTGGATAGTTGCTCATCCGGGCTGTTTGATGTAGAAGAGGGAGAATCGGCTATGTAGTGAACAAACAAACGATCATGCGTGTATGTGAGTTTCGCTGGGCTGGAGTGAGAGATCTTGGGAAGAATGACAGACGCAAGAGACGATGCGGACGAGGACGAGGTGCCTGGGGAGGTATGTTCAGTCAATATCGTGGTTCCATGGGCAATACAGGCACTGCAGCACAATTAGAAATGATCAATTTGTTAAAACAGCGATGGTTTGCCTCACTAGAGCAGTTGGCTTTGGCTGGAGCTGGAGCTGGAAGCCATGCTGAATGGATGCAGATGATCTTGCGATGACCGATGCAGAGTTTGCTGGAGGCCTTGTACCCTTCCGTTCGCGGGTATGCAACGTCTCTTTTAGCAGATAGTGCTAATGTCAACACTTTCTCGTCGCGCGACGTTGAATGGGAGCAGCCTGCGATATGGAAACGAACTCCCGATTGAAGGAGCGCCACCTCCAACATTGGTTTCACTTGCGTCACTTTTGGCCGCCGAGGATTACGTTCGAGTATTGAATCACTAATGCAGAACGGTGAATCAAGAGAGCCACAGCGCCACTTTCTTGGTACCCGAATGCTGCCTTTATGGCTAATCTTTGTCCTGCTTTGACTTCAGGGCAGACATCCTAACCATACTATCAAAAGAATACGACGCCTTTCATGTATGCAAGCTCTTTCAAGGTGCATATGAAACAATGCCAGCCCTTCTTGAGAAGTGGGTATCTACCTCGCAAGTGGACCTCGACTTAAATCACTCCCTGTGGTGGCAGTTGGGTAGACCCCTGGTCACATGGCAAAAGGGTGGAAAAGAATGGCTATCAATTCACAAAAGACATGCCAGACTATGCCACAATATATTCCCGTTTCCAGTTTGAGGAGGCCATCCATAAAGAACAGCCTCAGTCTAATTGTCGTATCTCAGCAATATTAACCCCCACAACCCAGACCATCGTCTGAAACCCCTGCCATGTCAGCCTTGCCCCGTAGAGCGCGGAAAGCGCGCGACTGAGCTTGTTGTCGTTGCTTAGGCATTTAGGTTGGTCTAATGCTATCGCAATACATCCACTGCCCGCGATATCACGGTTTGCCGCGATGCTTCCACAGTCGTCGTGACGCTGTGACATATTTCTTCTCTTTCAAACGCCTCATCGGCGTCCCAGATTGGCATAAATTGAGAGCTTTTTTAATCCAGCAACTCTTAAGCTTCTCCCAGCCGCTCAGAGCCAATTGCACAACGAGTCCAGCCACAATGGACCTACAAATCCCGCAGGCTTTCGATTAAAGCGAGATGAAAGCCGAGCTCTAAGACCTCGCAGACCCGGTCCAATTCGAACAATTCTGAGTCGTCGCAGATGGATACATTGACTGGATCTTTCATGAACCACCTCGCACACCGGCCGAAGAGTAAGCTCTCCGAGAGTTCACGAATATCCTCGACGGCGACAATGTATGGCCTCGCATGCATTGCCCCTTGGTGAGACGAACGCTTGGTTTTGGGGGCCAGGTATGAGCCAGGAAGTTGTTGCTCTTCCAGCAGTCGATGGAAATTGGAAAGGCATATATTAACCTACGCAATCAGAGAAAGAGTTCTTAGAAACCGCTTTGATACTGCGTTTGGCTGGTTTCTGCGCAGAATTCTTCCCGCGCCTTCGTCCAGACACCAAATACTAAGGAATGACACTTAAGAAACAATTGAGCTTCCGCATGCACTTGGGCGCGGAGCAGAGAAATTCCGATCACTATGATTGGAAGAGAGAGTGGTCGATGATATGGAGTGACGAGGCTAAGGAGAAGCGCGGCGACGCTGCGAGTGGAGGCGAGCCTACAGCGGAAGGCGAGCAGGCGAATGAAGACACGGAGGCTCCAAAGATGTTGGGTTGGCCAACCTTCTATTGATCGGTTCTTCGCCATTTTGCCGTCTTCAGGATCCCAAGATCGAGACGATATCTCCATACACCCAACTGGTTACTACATAGCCCTGCAATTCCTGCAAAAGCATAGTCCCAACTTGCACCAGCAACACGAACATCTTTAGCGGAGCAATTAGGAATTACTTAGCACAACGTCGAGGTCAAGCACATCTACTACCCATCCAATGCCGAGAGCAATCACTTGATTTCGGCCGAGGTCATAGTAAACAGTTTTTCGGAAAAAGTCATGTATTACAGCTTCGAAGAAACAGTCTCTCACGCTTCAAGCACTTTCTCAACAAGCATGTATCCATTGCAGGCGCGCTGGAGCATAATATTTACCACTTGCTCATTCAAGACTCTTCATGTTCATCGTCATCATCGACGTAAGAGCAACAACAATCCACCATTAACTGTGTGCTTGCCAGCCCCGTTTGGCTCTGCTCAAAACTGTGCCCAGCTCAAAGGAGCAACTTGTTCTTCAGCTACCCCGGCCATTCCATCCTTCAAAGGGTCTTCTTGCCGACCCTGTTCCTCGCTGCGAGCAGATGCTCCTCCCGGCATTTCTCCACCGCCAGTCTGAGTGGCATCAGCTGCTTTCTTGGCCATGAAACTCTCGTATTCAGCCTTTGCCTGTTCCCACTTGTCCAGAGAAAACTCCACGTAATAAGCTTTGGGTCTCTTGGTGTTATGCTTTTGCTGGATATAGTTGAGTTCACAAATGTGTACATGGTAGCCAAGCTGTTCTTCGAAAGTCTCGCTCATGGTGTTCTCATCCTTGGGGAGGCGGTGCCACAGCTTGCGAATCAACCATCCCATAGCTGTATCATAGGGGTGGGTGGTGCAGTTGAATACAGTACTCCTGTGTGATGTATCAGCAGGAGGTCACACAGAGGAAAAGCAATATACAATCTGCTCTGTTACTTACCGCGAGCCATAACCGAGACCTCCAAGACTCGTAGGCATTGTTTGGAAGATGGCCCAGACTGTGTCATCATCCAGTAGCTTCGCCACTCCCTCGATCGCTAGTTCTTCCTGAGTTATTCGTGGTGGTCGAGTCTCGAGCCATTTAAGGTATGAGTGGAGGCGACGCTTGAATTTTCTTTCGAGTCTGAAGTTTGCTGAATCGCCGAGGCCGGCCCAGGCACTGGGCTGCCCGAAGATATCCTCGAAAGGCTTTGGTCGGTCAGTCATTTTGGGATAGCGAAGTTCGTTGCACGGGAAAGAGGAGGAAGAAGAGTGCGAGCACAAAGTAGAAATATTATTATGCGGAACGCAGATCTTGGTGTGATGTGTGACTTTTTTGATCACTCAAGCACGTGCCACGGCACCCAGAGCCGCGAAATAAAACACTTGTAGATTCAATCAACGGTTTGCAGTCCAGGAACAATCAAACATGTTGTTCCTCTTGTCGTCCTAATCATAGATGGGTTTCCAAGCGATGATTTCGAAAGAGTGAGCACAATAATGTACATCTAACATCAGCACATGACAAAGAAAAGGATGATGTACCGTGTTCCTCCCCCTATCCTTATTATCTGAGCATCTGCATGATGGTGCATGCATGTATGTGTACGACGAGGCTGAGACCTCCTTTATTAGTACTATCATTGTGCGGGACTTCCCGTTCTGTGTGGGCCCCTCCAGTCGGAAGACACTTTTCAGGTTCTTCCGCAAGCAAGGCTGTGGAGGAGCGACGATGAACATACATACAATCGTTGAACACGGAGACAATAAAGTTCAGCCATTCCGAAGAAATTGAGGACAAGTTACATGCGGTCTTGTTACCCTTTCCTCACGGATCAAGTCCATTGTCAGGTGTGGCTTAACATCCATTGAATTGACTGATCGACTCTCGACTTTCGATTTTCAGGGCATATGACGATGACGATGATGAAGGACCCTATTCCTCTCCCGGAACAAACTCACCATTGATTCGAGATTGTTATTCATTCGCCGGTGGAGTATTTGCAAGCTATTTGACCAGGGCTTCTCGCTTTGTCTGGAGTTTCGAGGATCAACCATGGCTGGTGACTGACTACCTCGCCCCGAGACTTTGCAGCTGACACTTTTCGTGGAGGTCAGACATGACCTTTCAAGGCTCAGAGAACTTGACAACAGCGAATTTTGGAGCGACATGTATAAACCACTGTACTATTGTTTGACAATTACGGCTGCTTACTTGCCCGTGTACATGTACATTTGCATAACGACAAGATCCTGGACCTTAATATCTATCACTTACAGCGCACCGGCTGAGCACATTGAATATGGACACAAGATACACCGAGAAGCATGGACTTTTTGGCGATTCCGTCACTCCATGCCCGCCCTTTACTCGTGATTAAGAGCCACGGACTCCATTGCAACAACAACAACAACATCACCACCACCATAACCGAAGATTGAAACACTAGCGCCCGGCATTCTCGTTCGACGTGGCGTCGAAGATGAACGTAAAATTTGCGAAGACGGCGGGCAGGCTTGGAGCAGCAACAACACCGACAAGCATATCGATCACTCCTCTCTAGGGGTCTGGATGCCAGGCGAACGTGCTATCCACCGCAGCGACATCGACCTCATGGACTGGCATCGACGACCCAGATCCTAACACAGGCCTCGAGGCTGAGAAAAGACAAGCTGTCGGGAGGCATCGATGCTGCGGAGTGGATACCACGTCCAAGCCCCCGATTCCCTTCATTCACGATGACTCCTCAATCTTTAACCAATTATTACTGTACGCATAGAAGACCACCGCCAAAGAGCTGCACTCAGCGAGAAGAAACAAGGCTAAACAGAACCAGTCCCGTTTTCTGAGCGGCACGTGGGAGGCTTTCCGCTGCCGCTGTCTTTGTAAATGGCGGCGCCGTAGAGTTGGGAGAGGCGTGGGGGCCCGGACGAGATGGTAGAGATTCACGCGCGGGGCAGGGGGAGATGACGAGCGTCCTCGGTCTTCAATGAACGATACAGTGCGGCTTGGTCGGGGGATCGCCAGTTCGAGATCGTCGGCGACTGAGGCGCATGATTGCGGTTTCATGATGCTGGCTGGAGACGAGCAGCAGTCCTTTGTTGATGGGAGTGCAACAGGGGCTGTTGAGGGCGAGGGAGCCGCCATGGGGAGGGAGGAATATGGACATCTATCTTCGACGAGGGACATGCTAGCGCTATTGCTGAATCGGATAGTCATTATTCTTGTTGTAAAAGGGTGCTGGGTCCAACTTGGGGTTGTCAATAGAGGGTAGGTATCACGTACGTGTAGATAGAACGTATGTGAATATGGATGTGTGCATGTCAAACGGGGAAGTGAAGAGGGCAGAGAGGTTGATAAAGAAGATAGAAAATAAGAGGAATAGAAAGACGATACGTGCCTACACCTTCTCTTTACGCAGACTTGACAAGAGCTCGAGGAGCAAAAGATAGTGCGCGAAAATCACTCCCAAGACATGGGGGAAAGTCCTCTATCAACAAGGAATCCGTTCAACCTCGTGTTTTGTTTGGTTCCAATAAACTCTGTCAGCATCACGCGGACACAAGTCATTGGGCTGATGAGGATTGTGAACCAGAGGTTTCCAACGTGTCGTTGTCCTCTCCGCGTAGGTCAGCTCGTGTCAAGAAAGCGGGATATGATGGGACCCAAATTCAGGGATCGAAGCCGGATGAATTCCGATTTAACGAACCATGTGGTCATGACCCGAGCGAATGGATGGATAGGGTGGGAAAGGCGTCATATATTCCGGAAGCTTTGTTGGGTTGTGCCTTGCCCTTGCATTATCAGCCGCACAAGAGGTCCCATAGCACCTCGTGATAAATACTGTGGGTAGACGTGACAAGACTAAACCATTTTCAGGTTCACGAACCCATTGGCGCCAACATTGACGCGTCCCTGTAGGATTGTTTTTTTGGCTTTGAGATCCGCCAGCTGACCTGGGTGAATAGGGTGGGATTGACATGGAGCTGGCCATGACCTGCTAACCTACCTCGATGGTATCATACAACATAACTCCTCACCTTGAGCCCGCCTTCGACAGCACATCACCCAAACTAGAGGAGAAAACTTGTCGAAAAAGCCTCCAATAGCCAATGACGCAATCAATTTCGTCGGCATGTCCGGATTTCTACCTACGATGTGCGCCGCGCAGTAGTTGTCGAGCAGTAAGCCAACAGTTATCAAGTCACTGTTCCTGACAACGGTCTGGATCATGGTCCTACCTCATCTCGCTGAGAGCCAATATTTCAATACTTGCAGGTCAGCCTTCGTGAGATTCGGTTGTAACGAAGGCTAATCTGCGGCGGAACCTGAGTGGACTGAATGGGCACCGCATCTTGCTAACCTTGGAAGAACTCACTCGACTTCAAGAGGCCACATCCCATAGAAGGACCGAGACACAGAGATAAGAAAGGACATGAGCGCCGTGCCAAGCAAGATGTTGCCGTCCAGGTTGAGACTCGGGTCTGCGCACGAAAGAAGCAAAACAAAATGGAACAGACAGGCTGGGCATGGGTGGGCTTCAACAATTTTATTGATAGCCCTGGGTCTCCATCGTGCATTTCGGTACTGCGCAGATGTCAGACTCGAGCTCCTTCCTGCTTCCAAACAAAGCATAGGGTCCTCATGGTACTCGCCCCAAAACCAATAATACCAAAACTCGCTTCGTGATGATCTTCATCGACGCCATCGCTATGTAATGGAAAATTATATGCATCGAATCAGATATGCCGACTCGAACTCCATCGTGTGGGGTTGTCGTGAGCTCTTCAATTCGTTTCCCATATGTGGATTGATGTCCTTATTTGTTGAGGTACATTTTCACCTCCAACCGGTGTTTACTCCCAGCCTCTTTCCGATCATCGTATCATATGAATATCACTGTGCCATAGATTGGGCAACCAAAATCTATGCTCCTCTTATTTGGCATCGGAGGGCCAGAATCTCCAGGGACCACTCCACCAAGGGCCTTTCCTTCCCCAGCCCCAGTCACCTTTTGTGGCAGAGTGTAGATCATCCACGCTTAGATAGTCCACCCCTTCACGGACAAGGACTCGCCATAGGTAGTTTCTTAATCCTCTTGGCCAGCTCGGTACACCCCAGTATCTGACTTTTAAGCCACGGGCATGGGCACCGGCAATTTGTTTGCGAATTGTTTCCTTTTGTTCAGATGAGAGATGGCCCCTCCAAGGGAAGCCAATCGAGCCTCTGAAATCTACAGAGGCGTAATAAGAATTTGCAGGAGAATAAATGGCAGGATTTTTGGGTGCAGAACCGGAATGGCCTTGACCTTGATCTTGACTATGATCAGATCGTTCGCTCGGGCTTGTGGCTCGCACGGCATCCGTTGGTTCACCATTCGGAAGAGAAGCACCAAACGGAACGGGAGGATCGACAAGCTTGCCCATCAGATCGAGTGGCGCGTCGAAAAACATGTCGCGGTAGTGTGGGTTTGCTACCACTTTGCTGAAGGGGGCATTTCCCGTCACAACAACCGTGATGGGCCCCTGGACGACGCTGCTTCCATTGAAGTAGGTAAGGTACTTCTTTTCTCTAAATTGTTGCAGTTGTTCGGAGACATATGGCCAAAGTGTCTCACCGTCAGTCTTGAAATCAATGAGTAGAATCAGTGTTTGAGATGGCTTTGTGTCGAAGACGCCGTTGGGTGGAAGGTCACTTGTGGGGTGAAATTGTGAGAGGGGATTTTGCGAACTCAGAATCTTGAGTAGTGGATCAATGTAAAGAGAGCGGAGGGTCCTGGCTGAGGACAGTGACTGTGTGGAATGACCCACGAACAGATCTTTATCAAAGAGCCAGACGTCCGCTTCGACTCCAGTGCAGCCAGCATTGAGAGCGGAGAAGAGTGGTTCTTTGCGCCAGTAGTCATTGTGAGAATGGCAAGCAACGGGTTGGATGCCAGCCGAGAAGTCTGTTGGCCATCGTCCCAACTCCGGGGGAAACCTTCCCGTCGGTTTTAAGGAGTCGAGGGAATCATCTAGTTCGTCGGGGAAGAAAGCTGTGAGTAAACCACATGCTAATATGATGAACTCGACGATTCCACTGTTGCAAGGTCAGTTCAGTCAACTGGTCAGGAAGATGTCCAAGGTATAATGTCTTACAGCAGCATCAGCGCAATGGCCAGTAGGCGCAAAACCCTCCGCAATGGAGTGGACAACCTTGACTTGGAACGAGTGGCTTTCTCAGAGGCACGACGTTTGTGGGCTACCGTTCTTCTTATCCAGGAAAATCGGCGAAATGGATTCCACGACCACCACCTTGTGGAACGGAAGTATGGGGACCTTTGAGAACAACAACGGCAAGAGCATGCCACATCATCATCGTCACCATCATCACCATCGTCAGAAGAGCAGGTGACCTTTACTGATTTTATGTCATCTGGGCGACCGCGGGTAGTGGAGTCTTTTAAGAAGCCATCCTCAAGGCCGGGGCCGCAGTCGAAAGACCGTTCCTGCGTTAGAAAAGGAACACTCTCTGTAGCAGAAGCTGATTCGTTCTCGAAGGGATGGCTATGATCGTGGCGGAAGGTTCGGATGGCCGAGGGAGTCATTACTCGTGATGCTTCGACCGCAGATGCAGTCTGGCGGAAGGCTGAGGATGAGAAATGGAGGGGTGGTGAGGATGCGGATTGGGACCGCGATCCTCAGTGCCTGGGGCCTGGGATCTGGGATTTGGAGGCTGGAAGGGCTTCGGGTGAGGGCTACCGGAGGGCTTGGAGGGGACAGCCGAGGTGTCGGGTCCTGTTCTCCTGGTGGTGGCTCTTGCAGGGGACCGGGTGGTACGGTAGTGCCTCGTGGGTGCCTCGTGGGTGCCTCGTAGTTCAAGGTGCTGAGGTCAGCGGCCGGGCGGTGTGGAGTGGCACTTGGTGCATTGGGTAATCGATACACAGTTAGGGAAGGTGGGGGACTGCCGAAAGCGAACACTGGCGGTTGCAACGATTGCTTGACGATAGGCAACGAGTGACAGGATTCTGCAGGTCGATGCAGGCAGGTGAGTGTGTCGGGTATGCGCTCGGAGGGTGGAAGGAAAGGCAAAAAAGAAGTTGAGAGGGAGACGGATGAGCAGTCGGTGTAGTCTTTAAGAGGATTGGATCTAGCTGCAGCAGGATGGGTGCCGACTGGATTAGTCCCAAAGCAAGATCTGGATCTGGCTTCAAGGACGACAGAGTTCTGGGCCGAAGGGTTGACGCCGACGCCAACTCGACTGCATTAAGACATCGAGAAGTGTGGCATCAGTGGTGGATTCTGTAGGAATCGTTCCCGCCGTGGACAGAAGGAATTCCGTCAGGGACAGCAGGAATATTTAGCATTGAAAGGAATATTGTGTGCCTGGAACTGTGTTCTCCGTACGGCGAACGGAGTACTATAGCAATCACAAGGACATACAGGAGGTCTTGCACCTTTGACGCGTCATTGCAACAAAGATGGGCGAGGAAAGACAGTGTGGGCGGCCCTACCATACGAACTACTGGAACTTGAAGTGAGCAGGTGGCACTGAAGCCAGACTTGACTCCTGCCCCAGTGGACTTCCGTTCCCAGTTCCGACAACTCTGTCACGAATCACGAAGCACGAATCCCGCCCGGGGCAACATTGACAGGTGATGGTAACCAGCGGCAGAGGCCAGGCAGCCACCCAGGAACATTCCTGGGCGGTGATGGCGACATGGCGTGTATTCACTATTCAGTCTGGAGTAAGTAGCTAGTACTCGTAGAGGACTCGGCCTCGTTCGGGTTCGGCCTCGGCCTCGGCCTCAGCTGCGCGACTGCGACTGCGACTGCGGGTGGTCACGGGCACCCCTGGCAGGCCCCCTTGACCTTCCTGTTCAGGGAGCCCTCGCCCCCCCCGTCGCGCCTACGCGTAGCTATGAGCCGATTCTCTCCAGCGGTGCAGCCACAACAACAGCGTATGCACATATGCTGCTACTCCTTCGATAACCAGAGACTTACGAGTACGAGGATGTACGACGATGAGATTCCCAACATCCTTCCTCGCGTGGGCCGGGATGTGCTGACTACCTATCCGTACAGTAGTCGTAAACTTGTTGCCGAGGACTCGAAGGTGCCGTACCATCTTGATCAAAACGAAGAATATTGATCACTAGCTGCGGCACTAGCTAATGTGCTTAGACCACCAGGAGCACGGAACAGCACCCAAGAAGTCCAGGCTTGGACCACTTGCTGAACAGAAGTGTCCGGCCAACCGTCTTATGGCTGGAGCCGACTCTCCCACATGGCATCCACTTTGGCCCGTCATTGGATCCTATGGGAGTCGAGGACCCTGATCCCCTTCTCCTAGCCTGTTCAGCGCATCTGAATGACCTTTTTAAGCTTCCCAATTGCGAGCCCGCACTGCGCTTGCTGGACGTCCAGTGGGCCTTTGAGCTGAGTGGTATTCGGCACGACCGCGCAGATTGTACTTACAAACACTCGGTACTACTCACGAAAGTCCTCCGTAGAGTCCACATTACGCAGCAGCGACGCGCAACCCATCCTCGCGGAGTAGTAGTAGTAGTAGTAGTAGTAAATTAATCTCATGATCCTGGTCATCAAAGAATTGCGCTGTCTGATAACCACTGTTCTCGTACCCCTTGAGAAGGAAGAATAGAAGTAATGCAATCATCAAGTGCTTCCAAATGGGTTCATGTTCGGTGCCAATTAATTGAGGAGCACTCTCGTGGTGACACACTCTAGAAGTTCTGGGAGTTCTGGAAATTCGGCCCGGGTTAAAAACAACACTCTTGTAACTCGTACCTAGGTGGTGGCACAACAATCATCCTCAGCATCCTTGTCGCTGTCCGTTTCATCGTTCTGTTCGACCCTGCCCTTGAGCCTGATCGTCTTCCGGCACTTTGGTGTACTCGGGCTGGGGCAGGTAATCCTTTCCATCCCTTTTGGCTGTTGACTGTACCTCATTCGCCTGTGTCACGCCATCTGGTTTCTCAGTGCCAGTCAGGGGCTCCTTATTCAGGAGTGAATCGATCGCATCACCGGTGCCCCTATGGTATCGCAAATCACTAGGTTTGCTACCAACTCGCGCAATCCATTCATTGCTTGGTGCGCGTCTGTCGCATTCCCCTGGATATTGCATTGCCCCGAGCAGTCGCCCTGAAGACAAGTGGAAGAGATAATGTCGGACACGCGCAGGCACACCTCTCCCTGAGACGAATGACGCAACCGCGGCAATGACGACCGCCCCGAAAAGAAAGAGCGAAACAAATGCTGGAATTGCAAATGGCCAGTGATACCGAATACGTCGGTTGTACACGGTGATGGGGACAGTCGTCTTCTCATCACCACCGCTGTTCGATTCATCGCGTTTTTGCAGATTCGAAGGAAGCGCCTTGCCCGATGCCCAACTCCTGGTACCGATAAGCATGTTTGCTGCTAGGTCTGTCCAGATGAGGTTGGGGATCTTGTTGATCGAACCATCGTTGACTGAGAGATCTCGCCATCTAGCATACCTACAGTTCGTTATACAGTTAGTTGCATTGATCAAGAGGGCAAAGCAAGGAGCAACCCATTTCAGAACGTGGTCAGTCACACCCAAGGGAAACACGCTCAAACACTTACATCGCCATGTTGGATGAGCCGGTATAGTCAGGCAAACCACTACTGGAATAGGGGTTGCCATAGACGCCAGCTAGCAGATTTGTTATGCCATCGCCTGCTGGTAAGTTACTTGAACCAGGAATACCTGTCGAGAAGAAGCCTCCATTTCCTGGCAGGTAAAGATGAGGGGCGCGAATCGTGGACAGGTTAGCTGATTTTTCCATATCCCGCGAAATGAGACCCCAGAGCTGACTTATTTCGCTCAGGTTCCATCCAGGCGGACTTTCTACACCCCAGAGAGGCATCGATTGATTGTCAGGGTAAATCTTCTCGTTCACACTGACAACCGAAAGAGCCCTGAGTGTGTTGCCAGACATTTCCGTCACGTTGTACCTGAAGACAGTCTCCTTGATGCTAGCCTTGGATGTGCTAGCACAGCTATACACTGGCTGTGTCCACCATGACTCTGGCTCAAATACCAAGCTTTTGGAGCCGTCCTTTCGTTGCGCTGCGCCAAATATCAGGCCGCACTCTACATGAATGTTGCTAATATTAGCTTTGTCAGTACCCCCCGCTCCCGAGCATATCGTTGATATATCCGTGTAGTTCTGGAAGGATAGGCCGAACGGGTTCGAGTAATTCAGCCGGGGATTTTCTGCAATGCTTGTGTTGGACAAAAAGCCATCAGGATTCAAGAGCGAGGTGAACATATTTTCCATAAATATCCCTCCCACCTTGGCTCCTGTCGTCTGGTCGTCAGTAACTGGAAATTTGTCCCCGATCTTGGAATTCAAGTAAGCGAAAGCGTCAGGAGCGGGTCGAGTTATATTCATAACAAGCATGGCTGTTTTGGTGAGATAAACATGGTTAGTTTTGTGACTCGAATACTTTGAGAAGGCATGGGGTTGGATTGGATATGGGAAATCGTAGGGAAGAAGACTCACTATATGCATTTGTCATCCAGGCCGCTTTATAAGCCCTGTTACGAAGATTCGGTTCGCGTTGGGCATTCCATACATCGACAACAGGCCAATGCTGAACCAAGTTGGCGAAACCCCCGTCATCAACCAACGATATATTCTCTAAATTGAAGCTTGAAATGCCCGTGTAAGGGATTTTGAACTCAACCGAAATATTGGTGTTCACACAAGCTGTTTCAGGCTCAACCCAGAGCAGGTCCTCTGTCCACTCAGCGCCAAACTTCATCCCCAGCGGCACGGTATGGTTCCGGAAAGCGATTCCTCCAGTCTGGGTGTCCACCACAAGGCCCTCGACCGGCTCGATGGCGTCATTCAAAATGATACTGGTAAGAAATCGGAAGGATTCAACGACATATTTCTGGTTGTTCAGGATTCCACTCTGGTTTTGAAATGAATACTGTCTCGATTGAATGTCAAAGAAGCTTGATACACTCTGTGGTTGCTCAGCTAGACCGCTCTGGTAGATCTCGGCTAGAGCTCGTGGTACTCGTATGTCGTAGTCGTCGTTGGTGATATTCGCTTCATAATAAGTCTCGTTGCTAAAGAACGTGATCTCCACGGTAGTCCCTGGACACTGCATTGGGAGACGCGAACCACAAACTCGTGTATAACCTATGCTGTTGGAGGCACGTTCAGGTGTCCCATATCCCATAGGGCCAGAGTCCTGCATATACGCAAACTCGATGTTCTGTTCCTGTCTGGATGGTACAATATCGTCATAAAGTCCCAACGGGGTCACAACAGCTGCTATGGTTACAAGACCCAGAGCCAGTGGTCTCAACCATGTCAGGAGTCTGACTCGCCGATCAACCCCTCTGCTTGCGGTGGACTCGGCGCGCAGAAACAATGGCCACAGCGAACTTAACAGACTTCGCTCCACCACTGACCACGTTACTGTGGTGTGTTCGTCCTTGAGGAGCCCGACCAACACAACAATCAGGGCATTCGGGATCACAAACTGGAGAAGGAAAATCGCGGCAGCTATAATACCGGAGACGTATCCGACGGTCAACGATATCATTTTTGGATCGTGTGCTGGGGTTGAACGCAAGTGGTCGGTCGATCTGCCGGTGCACCTAATCAAAAGTTAACAACACTCACAAGAATGCGGCATCAAATATGCGACATCTCTTTCAGGTGGGCGTGGAGTTGAACATCGAGAGAAGAGAACCACATAGATAGAGAGACCTGGGACTCTATGAATGCGTTAAGTAGCAGATAATATTGGGCCCATTCGAGCAGCCGCTCTGGAAGAGCATATTGGCCGTTGACCAGGCTAGTCACCAGAGCCGCCTTGATTCGCTTTAGATGGAACAGGGGGAGTCATTGATGCCCTATTTGCCAACATCGGCAAGACTGGGATCCCATGGTGATTTGGGTCGAGCGTTTTCTTGCTCCAGTGGTATGATTCGATAAGCAATATCAAAAGTCGGGATCAGCATGCTTGTCAAAGCGTGAATCTAGGGGCTAGACAACGGCCAAGGTGGATCAGGCTCGGTATGGGGCAGAGATCGAGAGCTAGATATCAATGAACGTGGTGCATAGTGCCAGGTTAGAGCCACACGAATATCACGAGTTGGACAAGCCCAAGATTGGCAGGGTTTGAGTAACCTATTCGCGGAAGTGCCGTTGATGAAGAGTTGCACTGTGCTCGAACCTACTGCCTTGTATGGAGTAGTGACCGGCTGCTGCTCTGTACGGAGTACTCGTACACAAGGGTAGAATGCACACAAGGGGAGAGGTCAAGAAATTGATAGGGAGCAACGCCGTTTGCTTTTGGCTGCGGAATGAACAATGGCACTTTTGCCAATTCGACCAGCCAAAAACATATGAAACCGCCAAGATAGATATGGCCAATAACAGCGCTCATAACAAGGACGAATTCTCCTAGCACACCGAGAATACGAGAGAGGAAATACGAACAACCATCAGAACCCTGTCGGGGGGCTCAACTCTGTTGGTTCTACCGGATACTGTATCCTACCTGCAATTGACTATTGTCCGAGAGAGTCATGAGTTGACAGCGATCGTTCTATTGACACAAATAACCTCGCTCTTTGAGATGAAGCTCGGCAGAAGCACAGGGCTTACTGTACATGCTTGTCTCAGATCAGGCTTGGGCCGTCAAGGCGAGGCTGACGAGTTCTCGCACTGTGGATAGAAACGCTCGCGATCTCAAGCCATTATTGGACAGGAGCAAGATGTGGTACAATTAGGCTTCTGAGTCGTTCATTCTTTTACGAAGCATGTAACAAGTGCTTGGTACGGAGTACCTCACACCCACTATTTTCATCTCACAACGGCCCATTGGGATGGATCAACACCTTGGTATATCCCTCGATTCTCTTGTCGAACTTGTCGTACGCCACCTCTGCTTCTTCGATACCAATCTCATGGCTCACAACAAAAGAGGGTTTCGCCTTCCCAGCAATGATCAGATCTCGGAGATATCTGTTGTACTGCTTGACATTGCATTGGCCGGTGGCAAGCGAAAGCCCCTGAGGAGGTAAAGTCAGCCTGAGACATTTTGACGGCCCAATGCCCATTGGGGTTCATTCATTACCTTCTCAAACAATTTGCCAAAACTCAAACTGATGCGGCCCTTTGCGCTGTTCGCGTCTGGCGCACCTGGATCGGTGGGGACATAGAGACCTAGCGATAGTTAAAAACATGGACTGATCAGTCATGTCTTTAACAAGGGGACACTGACCTGGAATGCCCAACCCACCACAAGCTCTTGTGGCTTGAATCATGTTCTCAAGAACAATGTTTGGCTGCTCGGTCTTTCCTCCAGTGTCGACAGCCTGGTAGCCAACAGCATCGACGGCTCTGTCGAGCATCCCGCCGTTGTGGTCCAGGATCTGTTTAACAGCATCTCCCTTGCTGAAATCGATTGGGATACACCCAATCTTTTCGGCTGCAGCCAGTCTCTCGGGGACTCTGTCAACCACATAGACCTTGCTGGCACCTCTGAGTGTCGCCGAGTACGCGGCCATCAGCCCGACTGGTCCCGCGCCCCAAACGCCGATAGACTCGCCGGGCTGGAACCCGCTTAAAGAAACACCATGCCATCCCGTGGGGAAAATGTCTGCCAGAAGAATGAAGTCCGATTCATGCTCCTTTCCTGGTGGAAGCTTCAGAGCATTGAAATCTGCGAAGGGGATGCGAATATATTGTGCTTGTCCACCTCGGTATGGACCTGAGAGAAGGAAAAGGTTAGTTCACTCTGTTGAATTTCAGAACAAGACTCGGGACATAGACAAACCCATGGCCACATATCCGTATGCACCGCCAGCAAAGCCTGGATTCACCCCCGTGCAGAAGGCCGTTTTGCCCACTTCACAATTGCGGCAACGCCCATCAGCGACATTGAATGGCATGACAACACGGTCGCCTTTTTGCAACAGGCTGACACCAGTTCCCACTTCGTCAACTATGCCCATGTTCTCGTGACCTAAACAACGGTGAGTCCCTCATGCCGTACTGTATGGTGGTGTCTGAAAGTCAACATACCAAATGTGATACCGGCTTGTGCACCAGTACGGCCTTCATACTAAACATCAAAGTCAACTCTCTTTCCATATGCCATATTTTCCCTGTCCGGAGTGAATAGAACGTACCATATGCAGATCCGAGCCACAAATTGCTGTTCCGATTGCACCACGTTAGAACCCACATCCACAAAAAAAGGGACAACACAATGATTTTCCTCCCTCGTCTCCGATCTATCTACTCTTCGAACGACTTATGGACCAGATCACAGAAGTCCTCACCTGAGGTTGTAACCTTGACGATAACATCGTCAGGATGCTCGAGCTGTGGCTTCGGCACGTCTTCAACCTTGACCTTGAACGCCCCCTGGTAATTCACCGCCCTCATAGTATCGGTGGACGACATCTTTTGAATCTCTGGGTCTTTCCAGAATCCGCTCGTATCTCAAATCGCTATATATTTCCCTAGTTGAAACCTGGCTTGATCCCCGATTGTCTTCTCTCTTCTTTGGACAGGTCAACGTAAAGGATGTTGGGCAAAGGAAGTACTTGCAGGCAAGTGTTGTTATATTCAGAGGCTATATAGCAAGGGAGACAATTCTCAAAAACGATGATCTCAAAGCCAGGTAGGTTAGAGGCGGACGCAAAGTGATCCTTTACCTCAATCACACCACCATAACACTCTGGTATATATAGGTAGGTAGATACCCTAGACTGCGGAGTACCTTACTCATTCTCATTCTCACGGCACTTACAAGAACCGTACTTGTCCAAACCAGTGCGTGTTTTGCTTGGATATTCATGTAAAAAGCGGAGTAACCAGTGAGCTGTTTGCGTTTCTCCTCTTGCTCCAGCTCCAGGACGTTGCGTAGGAATCGGTTCAAAGACAGCTAAGCCACTATCCGCCTCCTCACCCGGCTTTTGCGGGGTACAGTTACGACAATTTGTCAAATCCTTGGGAATACTGGATGCCGTTGCAGAATCGAGAACAAACACGAGGGGTCGCGCCTCCACTTGGATGCACGCCGATGCGTCAAGGACTCAGCATCATTGTAGACGAGGGTTGGCGATCACTCATGTCGTCATCTAACTGGTCAGAGCACCTTTGGAGAAGCTCATCAATTTTGCAGAACATCTACTCCTCGTACCTAAAGTACCTCCACGCATCCATCCATCTTGACGTAGCCCGCCGCCCCGGCCAACGGTCGGTGGTCTGCACGGTTCTGAGGGGCCTAGGGCTGCCCATTTATTGCTATATCGGGTATCTGAGACCGAAGTCATGCCATTAACTCGGGCTATGAACCGCGAGGTACAGAAAAGAAGGCTGATTGATTCTTTTGGATTGGTTCTAGAAAGGTGTTCGACGTACATGGGCAGAGCTTCAGTTTGCTAAACGAAGTCTGTTGCATTATCCTGCTTGATCTCATAATTCCACCCTAATCTCCTCTCCTCCATGAGAGCATTGCCGGGGCTTGACACCTCCAAGATTCTGCCGAAACAACGCCTTTATCGCATGCTGGGTCAGGTGATGTGCGGGGGTATGTCGAATGTGTCGAGGGGTATACATGATGGTGCATCTGTTCTGATCGTGGGGGATTTTCAAATCGTGCTGAGCTTGCTGGGCGCGTGAAATTCGTGCTGGGTTCGGAATGATGGGGCTGAGGGGTATGGGATTGGCGCACTCATACAATTTCAGCAAAACGCGGCGCCGGGATTCGCTGTCCAGGATATGCTCAACTCTTTGACTTGATCGGTTGGCACACAATTCATCTGGTTACAGCGGCGTGAACTGCTCATTCCCACGAAGTCTTCCAAACTATCGTGGCGAAATCATATCTCGGACTCGAGGCAATCACATGTCCATAGTATCGTTGCCGTTTGCAAAGTTGAATTGGCCCTGAGGTTGGTTGGAGCCAAGAGTGAAACCGGTAGCATTGGCCTGTGGGGCGAGTTCTTCGATGTCTGCACCGGCATCCTCTTCATCTGAGAAATATCGCTCGATGATATTGTATGCTTTCATGTAGATTTCTTCGTTTGCATTGTTTTGGCAATCATGAATCTTTTCCATACCTCCTGCCTCTTCAATGAATAGGGCATAACGGTTGACTTGACCCTCGGTGGAGCGGTTGTCTGCCGCCTCCTTGTCCATTTCTCCGACCTTCAGAATATTCTCCAGACCATCTAGTGCAACCTGGATGATCTTATTATCAGGGCAGGCAAGAAGATCACAGAGAGGCTTAATACAGCCTTGGGAGACCAAGTATCTGATTTGATCAGGCTTTTGAAGACCGCCAGATGTAGCATTTGAGATGGCCCAACAGGCTTCTTTACGGGTCTTGAAGTCCCCATTTGACAAAAGATGGATCAACGGAGGGATAATGTTAGCATCAACGACGGCTTGGATTTGTGTGGAGTTGCCTGCAGTGATGTTGGAAATGGTCCAGCATGCTTCCTTGCGGATCCCATCTTTCTGTGAGCTGAGAAGAGACAACAAGGCAGTCAAAGCACCGCAGTTAATGATGACTTGAGTCTGTACGTCATCTCCAGTGACAATGTTACCAACAGACCGGAGAGCTGGAGTTTGGACGGATGTGGAAGCATGCATGAGTAACTCCACCAGACGACGAGGAATGCCAGCTTCGATAACTGCTTGTATCTTGTCGTTTGCTCCATCAGAAAGGTAGGAGATGGCCCAGCAGGCGTCAATCAAGACCTCATCGTCCAACATGTAGACAAGCTTCGCCAAAACAGGGAGGGCAGGTTGAATCTAGTTATCGTTAGCACGAGGTTTTGAGGCACAATTGTGGGAAGCTCACAGTATTCCAGTCGGGCTGGGGAGTTTTTCCACGACAAAAGTTGCTCAGTGTCCAAGTGGCATTTCGTAGCATGCTCAACTTCCGGCCATCAGCAATTAGATTTAGGAGAGGCTTAAGCGCCCCCTGGCTGAGGACATAGTCTCGGCAAGCGGGGCTGTCACCAGCAATATTACCCAAGGCCCACACAGCTTGTTCACGGACGTCTGGCTCATGGCTACTGAGAAGTTCAACGAAGATCGGGACAGCACCTGCTTCAATGACGACTTGAGTCTGCTGTGCTGAACCGGAGGCAATGTTGGTAAGAGCCCAGGCTGCCTCAAATTGTACTAGAGTGTGAGGGGAGCGCAGGAACTCGACGAATCGACTGACAACACCAGTCTCGATGACTTTCTCGATGGGAGGATTGCGTTCTTTGGATAACAGTTTCCTGAACTTAGTGGTGGCTTGAATCTGAGCATCGATCTGATCGGAGAAGACTCCTTTGACCATTTCTGGCAACTCTGTGCTTAACTAGACACGCGTTAGCATAATCAGGCATCTTCGTTCTATAACTCACTTCGCTCTCAATTGTTCCAGCCTCATCATCGCTATCAGCTTCGCCACCGATGCCGATTTCTCCATTGCCTCGCTGAACACCTCTTCGCTTGGCGAGATTTTCCTCTCTCTTTTGTCGTCGAATCTCTACTTGCTGTTCCTCACGTCGACGACGCAGCTCATCGGGTTTGAAACTGTTCTTTGCCTTGAACTGGGTGCGGCGATGTTCGGGGATGTATCGTTCAGCCATGGTGTCGGCTTCGGGGACAACCAAATCGTAGTTGATGATAAGTAGGGAGTATCGCTCTGGTCCCAAAGAAGGATTCAGAGAGAGTCAAGGAAGAAGTAAGATACCGCTCGTAAAGACGTAGACGACCAGCGAGGGGCAGTTGCGCAAGTGATGAAGGCAGGGCGATCAAGAAGGTGGACGTGCAGTGCAGCTGGATGGTTTCATTTTCTGGCATGCCGCCTCTTGGCACCGGCCAAAATCACGTGATCGCGCGGCTGCTTCGGTCAGAAGTTCAGGACGCGTGCCGCGTTCACTTGTAACCTGCAAGTGCTCAACAGATGTGGGAGGCACCACCTAAAATCACTGACAGAGACGGCCTATCAACACCGTAAACGCTGTCCACAGATCATTAGTTCCATTAACTCCTGCGAGTGCTCACTCTCTGGCTTGAGCCCAAGGTGACCCGATGCTGGCAAAGCCATGTCAGCCTCGTCACCACGCTCCGAAAAGGGGACGATCACTCCACCAAACTACGTTGATCTTAGCACTGCTGAAAGGGACTCCGGCAGACAACAAAGCGTGATTGGAGTTTGTATTGATTTTCTTCCAGCTACGAAGACTAGAGGCACGGACTACACTATTAAGTTCACATTACATGATCCCACATGGAACGGCGCTGGAGGCATGGAGTTTCGATTCTTCCACAAAAAGGAGGCATGCCTACCTCGAATTGAAAATCAAGGAGATGTAGTTATTCTGCGCAATGTTAAGACAATGGACTGGAACGGCCGCGTTGGCTTGTCAGGCTATAACACCGAGTGGATTGTCTTGCCTAAAGATGCGATGAGCGGTACACTTGACGACCTGAAAGCGGCAGCCAGGTGCTTGCAGCAAAGCAGCGCAAATGACCCGAAGTCTAGCCTCAGTACAAAAGAGCTGCAGTACGCAAGCTACATCTCGGGAGAAGAAGATCCAACCCGATGGCGCACTTCATGCAGCGTTGTGACAGGCAATAACATGGGAAATAGCGGAGCTGAGGCCACTCCTCGCAAACGAAAGTTTACTGAGATCAAAGACATACAGGTGCCCTTTGGGAAGCAAGGTATTTTCGTCGAACTCTTGGGAGAAGTAATCAGGATATTCTCGAAGGGGGATAGGACCGAGCTCTACATAACAGACTACACCTCACACCCTCAGCTTTACAACTATACATATGGTTGTGATGAAGATGGACAAGACGGTGACGAGTTCGGCTACATCGAGCATAAAGTCAAGTCTTGGCCAGGACCATGGGGTACCATGACGATGAACGTCACTCTATGGGACGCTAATCACTATTATGCTGTTGACAATGTCAGAGTAGGAGGCTTGGTATACTTACGCAATGTCCACATTAGTTTAGACAGTGATGGAAAGAAATTGGAAGGTAAATGCCATGGTGAAAAAGATCACCCTACCAGAGTCAATGTCAAGCGCTGGAAAGCAAACAGCGAGGATCAACTGATGAAGGACCTCCTTAGCCGAAAACAAACATACGAAGCAAAGCACCCCAAAAAAAGACTAGGAGCAGACGATGAAGAGCACCCTCCACAGGAAGATAGCGCCCCCAAAAGCAAGAAAGCCAGAGCCAGAGACCGCAAGAAGAAAAAGCACCGCGAGTCTAAGCCGGACCCTGACCAAGAAACCATCAAGACCAGCCTCGAAGGAAGGATGCCGCTGCGTACATTGAACGAAAACGTCCGATGTCAAAACCACGAAGACGTGCGCTACAAAACGATTGCAGACATCCTCGATCCCACAACCTTGCAAAGAACGACACCTACCGGAAACGGCTTTTGCGTCCCGTTCCAGAATTGCAAGTACAAGTCAAAGGTCCGGGTGGTTGATTTCTTCCCCGACAATGTGGAGGATTTTGCCGTGCCGCGAGAAGAGCCTGAGTCAGAGAATAATGATCCATCAGAGCTCGATGGCAGTGACAGCGATGCAGAATCGAAGAAAAAATGGGTATGGCGCTTCTTCCTGCTCGTTGAGGATGCGCAACATGCACCAAAGGCCAGCAACCGCGGTGACATAGCACCTGTGCAAATGCAACTACTAGTCGCGGATACCGACGGCGAGTTCCTCCTCGATCAAATAGCCTATGACATGCGAGATCCCCAGAACAAGACAGAATTGGTACGCACCAAAGAGCGACTCTTTCACCTATGGGGAGATCTCCAGGAATGGAAAGAGGAAACCAGGACGACGGCTGCCTCGGCAGATGTGGAAATGCGAGATGAGACAACGAGGACGCCACCGCCGCCTCCCAAGGCGAGGCCGTTTGAGTGCCTGATCAAAGAATACGGCGCGACGGTCCCTTCACATCTCAGAGCATCGAGCGGAAATGAGCGTACTGAATACGAGAGGATGTTCAGGATGTTTGGAGTGAGGACTGGATGAATTGATGGAATCATTTCATCTTTACGAGGCTGACGGAGAAAAAAAGATAATCTCTCTACAATCACGCGTACATGTGTGTCAATCTCCAGTGTGAATCACGCAGCCAAGTGCATATATATATCATGGATCGATGCATAAACGGTTGCATGGAACTCGCCCGGCAAGTACAGATACGTTGTAGATCGATTCATGAGCGCTGCGCTGCGCTGTTCTGTTCTATGAATCGAGCTGGCCATCAATGTGTTAACCCAACAAATGGCTGCACTTTTTCACCATCCCACGGTAGGCCTCTGAGCCCGTTTACACAGGGTGGACAAGTCAGCGCGGGCCAAGTAGTGGAGGAAAGCCGTCGTACGTGATTGTGCTAAGTTGGAGCCCAAGGTCAAGGTCAAGGTCAAGGTCAAGGATCATATGAAGTCGCCATTGTGGCCGCTGCCGTCAGACGAAGTGGATGCTGGCTGCAAGTCCGAACACGCCGCTGTGCATCCTACTGCTTGCTGCATGACTATCTCGGCTTCAGCCCCGATACTCCTGCTCCTGATCCAGCCTGATCCAGCACGGCACTAGGAGCGAATTTGGATGTGGAAGGTCGTTTGTTTGAATAATGTATTGGGCATGACCCGTTGTTGAGACTTGGTCTCAACATCTTCTCCCATCGGCAGAGCGCAGTGCTCTGGGACAACGGAGCATTTTGATCCTTGCATGCGAGGCACATATGTTATGCGTCAGGCGCAGCATGTGAAACTCATTGCCATCTGCTAGCGCTGAGATAGGCGGTGCAATCTCAAACCGGATACTGATGGTAGCGAGTTTGGATATGGTTGTAAGATAGTCACGACCCATTCGCACAGCGCCGGAAGTGGACCAGTGAATCCTGCACTGATTACATGAGTCTGCGCAGCTACCCGCAAACATAAGATTTGATATGGTATCTGTCTCTGTCAACAGTGGTTGTATGTGGGCTCCTTTTGAGGCGAGAAAGTAACATCCCGTATTCATATATGCCACAGAGAGCCACAAGACTCCCAACATATGCACTCCGAGATTTGGTGAGTGAAGTGACTGAACTATTTACCAGAAGAGACCTGGACGGGCTCACTCCGCGCCAAAGCTGGGAACTCCTGGCATTGAGATTCAATTTTGGGAGTGGATCGGTGGACCTCGGTGCATGCATGAAGCGAAGTGGGTGGAGATCGAGTGCGAGGATGGCAGGATAGTTCAGGGGAGCTTCGATGAATCGCTCTATGCAAGGCCGACTTGTGATCAGTTGAGATAGTAGGAGGCTAGCTGTAGTTAAACACTACTCCTCATTTCCGGCAGCGCCGGGCACCAGGCGAGCAATGGATATTTTCCGCAACGAGCTCATTGCGAGGAGCTGCATTGAATCTGATAGCGAGTCTTGTCATCTCAAGGACAAGCCTTGGAGTCTGTGATACCCAGCAGAAACCCACACGCCCAGCCCAGGACTGCCTGGGCATTGGGAGATGCAGCATTCACCCTATTCGGGTAGTCTGGGCTTCCAAGCGAGGCCAATGGAACAAAGGCTGGTCGACTCAGCGTGCACGATGCCTGGCAAGCCCAAGAGGCAAAGCCCAGTGGAGCCCATTATGGCTATTCGGCACCTAGGTTGTTACCTCGCCGAGGGTATGGAGTACCTCGTCCAAGGTGCTTTGGAATTGTCTCAAGATTATTAGTAGAGACACCAATGGTGGTTGCAAGGACGGCCGGTGTTCGGCCGGAATACGTTGGGCCATCCAAGCATGAAAACGATGGTGAAATGAGTCTCCAGCCTTATACATATGATATGCAACAGATTCTCATCTTGTGGATCGCAAAGAACAAAATAGGGTTTCGGCATACCGGTCCTTACGCGCCGGCTTTACCTGAACACGTATGCAATGGGGCCATGGTTCAACTGCCATCATGCTATATTCCGGGTGAATGAGACGTCTTAGTGTGGTGTGGACGGAGTACGAATTAGATAGAGACGTGCTGACCTACCAACGGAATGTGGAACACTTAGATCCGAAGTCACTGCGGGAAGTCCACCAGCCGGCCAGCTGCCCCTCTGTTACGATCCTAGTCAGCAGGTGCGAAACCCTTACGCAGCAGCAGAGGCGGTACGGAGTGGTTGTGTCGTCAGGTGCGCATTCACATCTGGTATAACGAGTACGAGTACCCTTCTGCATTTCCCCCGAGGTGCAGATCAACCGCGGATCCGCAGATGTTGATTTATTGCGCCCGTCTAGCCATACAGCCCAGTAGGCAGGGCCTAGAGCAGATCGCAGTGGTCGCATTATGGTTGATCGATAAGAAAACGATGTGCCAACGATGACAGCTTGGTGGAGGAATGAGCGACGAGATCGACCGAGATGTCCGGGGTACCCGTGGCCAGGGCCAGTGACATTACTACATGCAAACAGGTGTTCAGCTCAGGTGCTACCACGTACCACTACTGTAAGGACATACGTCAAGTCGGCTTTCTGCTTCTCATTTGCGAGGGATTTACGAGTATCTCAGACTCGGTACGAGGCCTCGTTGTGGGAGAGGGTCGGGTTGCGGCATTGTTTCTAGAACACCGGTCGTCTCATCCCATTTCTGAAGCCAACGTCATCATCGTGTCTCAAAGCGCATCTGCTAGCTGCTCTGGTGGAAAACACGGCACGTCATGGCACGGGTGCTTCGTGATTGGCAAGATGGCGATCCAGAGCCTAACGCCGCAAGCCTGGTCCCTGGAAGCTGTGGTGATAACTCGCCGGCCTACGCCCCAACAGCCAGGCTTCATCGAGACCTTACTGAAGGGACCTGCTCTTGAAGTACGAGTAGTCTCAGTGTGGCAGACAGTTGTAAGCCAGCTACGAAATGATTACAGAAAAGGATGTGCTAGTCAAGGGGCCTTTTCTCGATGCCACATTCGCAACACCCCGGAGCGTTAGTGTCCATGGTTAAACTTCCCGTCTTCGTGGGCCAGACCTGGCGTTCTGGATGTACGAGTAGCAAAAGCCTCCGAACAGGAATTAGTCCTGGATACATCGTTGTTGGAGTGTGGATGAAGTACGGAGTACCGAGAACGGCAAGACGGCCCAAGAACTGTTCCTAGCGCCTCGTGGGACAGGCTTGTGAACCAAATGACCCAGGTGCTTTGAAACCTGACAATGCCTCATCTGCATGCCTGATTCGTCAATCTCGACCTATCAAGGCCATCATAGCCGGTCATTGCCATCGCAGGGACAAGCCAGAGGTTGTCTTTTAAGTGTGGCTTTGTCGTCCGCCAGGCTAGGGCGACTGGGACGCGTCCTTCAGATCGTATTCAACTTTTCTGGTGAAATACGTGTGCTGAGGAACTTTTTGTTTGTTGTGCCGTTCTCTCTTATCCACCGGGGGGCCAAAAGCTTCCATGTAATAGAACGTACAGCAGAGTTGACGGACGCCTAGCCGCTCATTCTCCTTGGGCTGAGCATTGATCACGGCAGCTGGACGAGGTCACGAGGCTGAAACCCTTTGTGCCTCGCCAGCTGCCACGAGATGGTCTGACTGACAGCTTGAGCATACATGGCACGGAATCGATACTGCTGCTTTGCAGATATGGAAGAGGAAGAACACCACGGCAATTCTTTAGGCTCCCGCATGATATTGCTGAAATGGCCCTACTGCAGTGAGAAATCCAGCCTCCAGTCCAGGACGCGTTAGATAGAACATGGCAGTGACAGGGATGATTCGAGACTGTGGGGATACCCATCGCAGTTTTGACTTTTTTGGATGCTATGCATCATTGAACCGAGCCGTCTCATGACCACCCCAGATTTTTCTGGTGACCTGGGTTGTACGGATACTTGGTACGCCGAACCGCATCAGCCTTCGTTCTTGGGACCACGTTTCTCTCCAGGGAGATAGTTGACTGTCGATATCCGTGTGCGTCGCATACAAACCTTTTGGACAAGACCTTTCCAATCCGTACCCGAGTTCTAGTGATTCGCTCTTTGCATGGCCTAGTTGTCCCCCCTTGGTAGGTCTGTGGCGAAGCACCTTTGGCTCGAAACACTGCTGACGAGGCATCCGTCCAACATCGTAATTGCATTTAATCCAAAAGATATAAAAAACAGACTCTTAGATGGCAGACGCGTTCCGGAGAGCCCGACGACGTGGTTCCCAAAATCTAATCATTGAGGATCTCAGGGTCACCGCTACATACTGTACATTCACACTTGAGACTTCTTGCGAGAGAGGGAGAAAGTACCATCTCAACTCTGCTCTCGCCCTAGATGATCATGCACACTTCATTTGGCAACCATGAAGGACTTGATTAGGATCCATGCATGGGGCCTAGGGCAGGAAAAGTACACAAATGAGAGTTATAGCTCTAGGATTTGGCGTGCTGATAATATCGCATCCATAAAGTAAGTCGGAAGCCGAGTACAAACTGGAAAGGCGCCATTCTGGGCCAACCATGCCAGCCAACAGGGTTGACGGTGTCGAGCGTTGTCGAGCTTGGACATCATCGATGGGTGCTGGGGTTGGAAGATGTGGACCCTTGGGATGTGAGTGAGAACAGAAATAGGTGGTACGTACCCTTGTATGCTTCAGGCTATTTTCTGGAAAGCTTGCACATTGTCACAATTGTGCGTGTATCGGTAAAGCCATGCTACAAATATTCCCATCCTCCAGAGGGCAAGGATGAGAGTGGGGAGTCCATCGAGGTGGCCTCGCCGACACCGTGTTTCAGAAAATGATGGTCCTAAACCCGGAACGACCAAAGCTCTGGAATTCTGAAGGGGCAGTCCCTTCTACAGCAGCATGAAGGATGCGGCGATAAAAGAGTCGGCTCATACATAATGTAAGTGGCAGAGTCATGCCGTATACGAGAAAGATGGGCTTCGCTTACTATTTTCTACGTACTCGTAGTGAATGCGGGTTTGGGGCGGGCGCACATGGGAAAGAAGAGTGGGCAAGAATCCTCTGTATGGAGTAATAATGATGGCTGATCGCTGGAGGGATTCGCCAGGACGGAGGACCCTCGTACGGGGGCCGGTGTGCAAAGTACCCTGGAGATGAGCTGCAGGAGGGGCTTATTTGACTACAGTTACTTAAGTTAGTTTGTCCTCAGTGAGTTAAGCTACTGTATTAGTGGGTTAGATAGTTGCTCAAGGGCTTCGTTTCGTGTGACTCTAGGGAGTACAAGTCCTCTGGAGTCCTGACTTGGCCTACAGGCTACGAGTTGGTAGGTACCTACCCACAGTACGCAGTTCCACACCCTGAGGAACTTGGGAGGCTAGGGGGCCCGGAACCCTGGAGATTGGCCCGAGAGAGCCCCGGGAGTTCTCTGGGCACCACCCCTCTCTAGTGGTCGCTCAAAGGCCGGCCCAAGTTGTGCAGCAGCTTGTATCTCTTGCTCTGAGGTCTACTATGCATTGCCGAATTCTATCTGGCGCAGAAGCCTACCACTCAATGCGCGATGTACACCCAGGGGCCAATGGCGCCTCCAAGCCACCGTGGAGCGTGTTAGGTACGGAGTACGGAGTACTCGTCCAAGTAATTGAAAGTTGCATAGCGCCGTCACCTCAACGAGCTTTACTGTTGCTCTCAATCTATTCTTACGTTTGTGGCGCTTGCCACATGCTCCTCCTGCATTGTCTTATCAACACCAATATTCTGAAATGGATGGCGCTGCGAGAAGAAAAATAGGCCAGAGATGGTGCCGACAATCCGCCATGTTCAGGGAATCAGGGATCTTGGTCCGAATCAAACAATGCAACAGTGCGGATAATGATGAGGTGGGGTGGATGCAGTGACCAGTCAGACCAGGAGAGTGGACGCCAGTGCCTGAGCGGCTCGACGGAGCACCTAACTACCCAGGGAGGTAGGTACGAGTATGCATCCTCTCCTCGAGCTCGGCCTCGAGCTCGGCCTCGAGCGGGTTCTTTTCAGACTCAGAATGCTTGCTGTGGTGCTGATGTGCTGAGCCTGATCGTGAGTGCCGGAAGCATCGCCTGCATGGAAGTACCTCTAGCTAGGAGGAGACAGTTATGAAGGACGCTTAACAGTAGCACTTGACATGGGCATCCAGCGGTCCAGGTATCCGTGGTCCGTACGAGGTACGACGTCCCCCAGACATGCCCTGCCGCCAGCGCCGGACGAGGATAACAGGACCCGCAACTGTCATGTTGTCCATCTGACTCTGTTTATTCAGCGGTAGTACCAAGTGCATGCTCTGTGATGCATATTACCCTCAAGGCGTACAGGTAAGACTCACAACTCACCATCTACCTACCTACCAAAACTAGTACAGGGCATTTAGTAGTGTGTAGCACACGACTGGGGCGGATACCAAGTACCTCGCAACCTTCTGGTTTACTGGTAGTACGGAGTAGTGTGCAGGCTGGCAGGGAAAGTGAGTTTGGAGTGCATCACAGCTAGCTTGCTCTCGCCTCAACATACGAGTAGTTTGAGTCCATTACTAACTTGTACTGTAGGCTCGTCATGGGCTCTGGGGTAAGCTATGGCCTCCCAATATTGCTGGCAACGAACTAGCTCAGCGGGACGAGTCCGCTCTGGGGAGGGCACCAGCACCGCCTGGTCCCTGGCTCTATCCACCTGTCGATCATTGGCCACCACCCATCAGACGTTACAGGGCTCTAATGCAAGATTTACAGGCCCAAGGGCCTGTAAGTGCTGCTCAATTCGGACCCCCCAGGCTGCCCCAGGTTCTTTAACTTTGCCGAGCAAGATAGCATTTTCCTCCCGCCACTTCCTAGTAGCGGCAAACGACTCGTGCAGTCACAGACAGACTGCTGCTGTCTGCTGCTTGCTACTGCTCCTCCCCCTCCCCCTCGAGCAACAACCATTTGCATTTCCACTCTGATTTTATTCCCTTTCCCTTTCCCAGTCGAATCTCACACCACGCAGTTCAGTGGTTTGGAGCGTCTTACAAGTCGCTCATTCCTCTTGACTCTATCTTGAGCAGTTTATTTCCCTCCCCTCCTCCTCCTCCTCCTCCTCCAAGTCTACACCTGGGCATCCGCACTCCATAATTACCTCTCCAAAGTACATGTACTGAGTTCAGGCAAACCCCAAAATCCGTTTCCTGACACCCCCTTCAGTTGTCCCTCGGCCTGGCTACCCATCGTGCCATTGGCATCCATCTGAAGGCGTCGGCGTCCAACCAACAGCGTTCCAGAACGTCTATCTCCTGCCTGAACGGGCATCCTACCAACTCCACTAGTAACTTGCCTGTAACTGTCTCCCACCCTGCAGGTTCAAATTTTGCGCCGCCGCCGCCAACCACCATCCACGCCCACCCACCTACCCACCTGTGACGTCCAGTGTCTCTACTCTGCTTGCCAATCCTCCAGCACTGTATTTCGCTCTCGAGTCTGGTCACTGACGCACTGATATTGCGCTCTGTAAACAGCGTACCTTTTGTGACACCTTCACCTATTCTTGTACATCCTGCGGTCGACGAATACTTCAATTGTTTCTCCCCTTCGCCTTGTATATCAAACCTCACTCCCACTATTGCTCGCCATACTGAGAACTCACAGGAGGCTCCAAGCTCAATTCTGTCCTCATTGACGACCCAGGCTGGCCGTTTATCTTGACAGTTTTCTATTATCTTTGGTCATTAACTTGTTTCATTCCGTTCGGCGCGGCCACCTTTCGAGCATTGCTTTCCCGTTATCCGGCCGAGACGTCACGGCGCTTTTATTTGCTCCCAAGAGTCTTGCCCTCTTGGCCTTGGACAACTTTCATGGCGCTCTGAACCTACAGGGCTACGAGTTTAGGAAGAGATACAATCCTTATAATCCTTGGTTGTGTGCGGATCGAGGTGCAGTGGACTACGTGCAAATTACCGGGCTTGCGAGCGCTCATACCATCTGGAGGCCACGGTTGCACAACTGCTAGAGGTTAAGACAGAGAGATATTCTGTACTATCTGACAGACGTTGCGCTGAGCGAGTGGTGTCCTCGAGCAGCACCCTGGAAGGAGACGGTGGATGTCAATCTTGACCGGGGGCAACATACCGTCATCGGGGATGGTTGCTGTTTCTTCCCCAGACGCCGCATCAAGCCAGGTGATGGATAATGCAGGATCTACGACCGGTAAGTTTGCTTGGGAACATGGGCCCAACCATTTCTAATCCACCTGCAGCCAGTAAGCCAGCTTCTCTTAATGGCTCTACCACCTCCAATGTAGCATCAAATCCCAATTTCCCTCCACCCAAGACAGACAAACCTCGCCCACATGTCTGCACAACCTGTATGAGATCCTTTGCACGGTTGGAGCATCTAAAACGACATGAACGATCCCATACAAAAGAGAAGCCATTTGAGTGTCCCGAATGTACACGCTGCTTTGCCCGCCGAGATCTCCTTCTCCGCCACCAACAGAAGCTCCATTCCACGACTACGCCTGCTTCGCGTCCTCGTGGGGGAAGAAGAGAAAGTGCCGCTGGAGTTGCTGGAGGTAGGGTGCGAAAAAACTCCACCACAAGCACCACTGCATCTATGCGCCCCAGAGCAAACACTCTCAGCCACGTGGACGCAGGAACACTAGGAATGCTTGCCAATTCTCCAGGAAACTACGGGCGTCCTTATATGACTAGCCATAACCACCATAACAGCATGAGTATGCTAACCAACTCGCAAAGCTATCAGTATCGCCTCCACGGCGCAGGCCATCAGGCTCCCATGCTCAACCTCCCAAAGCTGGACACTCAGAGCATTCCCCTTGACCTGTCCAGTGGCTTGCGCACGGCTCCGCCTTTCGGGGGGTTTGGTGCTGAATATGGCATGGGTGCCATGGATTTCGACCATGACCTCGATAATACAATTAATCCACATGCTCTTCACATGACAAATCTCCAAGGAATGGGATTGGAGACTTCCGGATCACCCTTTCAGCAGATGTTTCCAGGAATGATGGTATCTCATGCTGTAGCAGAGGAGGACGCCAATTTTGAATGGATGACCCATGGATTCGAGAACCAGATGTCTTTTGCACATGCGAATGAAAACGCTATCGATGACTCTTCCCCTTCCGCAATGAGCACCAACAGTCCTGCGGGCATGGTCGATACGACGAATGATCACAATCTTGGGGCAATGCATCATCATCACCCTGCTTCAGTTGCGAACATGTGGGCCAACACACTTGCAACCCAAGCACAGGCTGTTAACAGCCCCGTAAACATGGACCTCATGTCTACCTTCAACGAGCTAGTAAATGCTCCAGTGGGAACGGTCTCGCCCAAATCATTACTGGCTCAAGGTGGTGTTCTGGAGATGAACCTGCAAAGCCCACCGGATATGTCAAACATGGATCCAGCGGGCATGCAACCACATCTTCATTTCACTGGCTTTCAACTGCCCCTAAGTCAAGATGGCCCCGCTTCCAGCACCTCGACCGCTTCCATGGAGAGTAGCCTTCATCAGAGCTCCGTGACAACAACAACCTCGTCTGAGCTCGTCAATGACCACATCCGCAGCATTCTGATCACAGGGCTCTCACAGAACGCCGGATTTGGGCAACGCAAGTATTCGCAACCTGCTATAAGCTCTCCGTTATCACCAGTTCCAGCCTCTCGATCGAAAGGGTTTAATGTGAGCACTTTTCCAAGCACGCATGACTTGCAACGGTATGTTGCCGCGTACATTAGATATTTTCACCCACACCTCCCCTTCTTACACATACCGACATTGAATTTCGAATCACCAGATTACACAACCCCGATCAGGCTCGTACCAGGCCAATCCCAGTACGGGCAGTCGATGGTGGCTGGAGGAGGAAGCTGCCTCATTCTCTCGATGGCGGCTATAGGGGCACTTTACGAACATGAGTCGTCTCATTCTAAGGATTTGTTTGAATGTGCTAAACGACTAATCAGTAGCTACCTGGAGGAGAGACGCAAAGCTAACATGACCAAGACTCAATTTGCACCACGCCATTCTTCGGAACGAGAAGACACACCACTATGGCTAGTTCAAGCGATGCTGCTAAATGTGATCTACGGACACAACTGTGGGGACAAGACTGCAGCTGAGCTTGCCAGCAACCACTGCGCCGCGCTGGTCAGCCTAGCTCGTGGTGCAGAGCTCGCCCGACCGGGACAGGGCTACACTGGAACAATGGGCACTGGATTCAATACCAATATGCACCCCAATGGAATGTCGAACAACGGGTGGAATTCGATGGTCAACGAGCCGGATGATTCAGATTGGTTCGAGTGGAAGAATGCGGAGGAGCGCAAAAGGACGTTATACGCGGTCTTCATTCTCTCGAGCATGCTCGTGACTGCTTACAATCATCCCCCTGCTCTAACCAACTCCGAAATTCGACTGAGCTTGCCTTGCAGCGAAGAACTTTGGGCTGCTGATTCTGCACAGACGTGGCGCAACTTTGGAGGCTCGTCACAAGCAACCATGAATTCGATCACGTTTGCAGAGTCACTTACGCATCTGCTGATGTCAGCTCCTCGACAAAGACGTCGGAACAGCACCACATCGATCATGGGGGCAACTGCAGAGAATGAGCTTAGGCCGAGTACGTTCGGCTGCTTGATCCTTGTCAATGCGCTACACAACTATATATGGGAGACACGCCAGCGACACCTGGGACGCCAGTGGACCACAAGCGAGACCGAGCAAATGCACGCCCATATTGAACCAGCACTCCGTGCTTGGCAAGCAGCCTGGGCAAGCAATCCCAGCCACAGCCTTGAGCGCCCAAATCCATTTGGAGCTGGGCCACTTTCGGCTGATTGCATTCCTTTGCTCGACCTGGCATACGTTCGGCTGTTTGTCAATCTTGGGAGATCGAAAGAGGCATTCTGGCAACGCGACTATGACGCAATGGCGGAGGAACTTGCGAAAGGACCGGAAGCCATGCAGAACCAGGACATGCCCGGTGTGAAGATGGAGGCCAGTCCAACCAACAGTGGTACGATGAGCCGTGGTCAAGAAGAGACACCAGCGGCGATGAACGGCATGAATCAAGTTGAGCACGAGCCGCGTGACTCTCGTTCGTCTCGCCGAGAGCGTCATCTCCGGAAAGCGGCCTTTTATGCAACTGACTCTTTGTCTATGTCTGACAAGCTAGGACTTACCTTTGCCGAACAATCCTCTCGAGAGCTTCCAACTCAGTCGGCGATGTGTGCGTTTGATTGCGCTCAAGTGGTGGCAGAGTGGATTGCAACAGTCCAAGAGCGTGTGGGCAAATATCTTGGCATTATTGGTCTGGATGACGTGAGTCTTGTGGAGATTCCAGGCATTCTCCTTCTCGAGGATGAGGACAGGAAACTTATTCAGAAAATCGACGAGGTGCTTTCGAGTGCAGAACAGAAGATCGAAGCACGAGGCGGTCCCGACATGATCGCTGCTCGCCAGGGCGGGCACGGCAGTCGAATCCTTGTACTGACCGCTCATATCCTTGAAAGAGAAGCGGTCTGGCCAGGTAAGAGTGGTTTGGGTGATAGTCGGGTACCGTTTGCTAACGTCGGTGTAGTGTTTAAATTAATGGCCCAATCCCTCGAAACGCAGGCTGGACACATCAAAGAACGAGCCATTGCCTCGGTCTCCAATTCTTAGCAGACCGAATCTGGTCACGAACGATTTTGAAATGGCTGCTCTGATTCATTTCTTTGGCTTCACGGCTCAGCTTCTATCAATACCATTTTTTTCTCTTTCTGGCATGGCACTAATCTCCCCAGAGCCGATACATAGGATTTGCGAGGACATATGCACGCGATATACCCCCGTCTACGATATCTGTAATGAAATCTGCACGAGCAAGATCTATATATGGCGTCAGGTTACGATTCTTTGGAAAAGTTTGGCCTTTTTACGAAATTTTTATGGGAGGGCAGTTTGAACTAAGCTGCTTGTGCTGATTCCAGGGCAGCGGACATGGATTTGAGCGGCTCTACGTGCTATGTAGAGGAGGGCTCTGTTGCTTGAAGGTAATAGAATGCTACGATGACGAAGGATAGGATTGATATTCAATCTGGGGCGGGTTGGCTAAAAGCAGCGGTTCGCAAGCCTTGCCGATTGGCGCCCTAACTACAAAATATGATAATGTTGGGCGATATTCTTTTCGTAGTAAGCTGGCGTTGTTTACGTGCCCGGCCGCTACCTAGGTACAGGGAACACAATGATTTTATTATCACAACAGTCAGAAAGTGAGGTTTGGAGGTGACATCGATTCGACCATGTGCCTGCCCAGCATCTTCCTCCCTGATGGATACGGTGATACTACTGGTGCATGCACATCCACGCGTGGGTGTCAGCCCCCTTGACTCCTACAGGGGACACTGGTACCTTTCTTTTGAGAGCAAAACCAACGACACTCCGCATTCTGGCTTAGCGAGATGCATTTCCCCCTCTTTACTGGTCGTTGGTGGTCTTCGCTGTCGATTGATGACTGTCCGGCACTGGCTAATCAAGGAACACCAGTCTGCTGCCAGTGACAATTTTCTCTAGACTTTGCCGTGGACTAAGGTCCGATTATGAATGCCATGAGAAGCGACGAGGATGACTGCGGGTAGAATGCCCTACTCCGTACAGAGTACCTATTACAAAGTACCTATCGACTATTTACACACGCGATTACCGTTCAACTTGTCAGTCCTGAGTCTGCGTCTTGACTTTTGACTACTGAGTGCTGGGCCGCCTGCAAACTCTGTGCGTGGCAGTCTTTTTGCCAAGACAGCCCGGCGCCCACAACCAGTTAGTGGGAGTCGGTGAGAGGCTCCTCCCAACCTTAGCCGGACATTTCCGACTAGGGGCTCCCTTTAGCCTTGCTAGCCTGCTGCTCTTGCCCCAGTGGCCAACCACTCCTGCTCTCTTCCTTTCACCCACATGCCCGTGACTTCCGCCCGCAGGCTGATGCACGATACTGCACTTCTCAACCTCAACCATCCAGATTCCTGCACAGACCGATAGCAACAAGGATGCGGAAGAAAAAGCAACTCGGCAAGCATTCTTTTCGGCCGCTCTCCTTTTTGACTCGAGACCCTCAATTTTCATGGAGCGATTACACAGAGCTCCTCTTTCATTAATGCATCATGCTTCTGAGCCCTTGAACGCATTCGAGACTCTTCTGCAGGCCAACTAACATCTAACGAATGTCGCTGGCGTCGGGTGTCCAGGTGCCCAGTGTGTCAGATCCAAGTCTGCTTACAGAGTGGCGCCGCTGCCGGGCGCCCTCTGTGGTTGGCTCGCGTTCCGAGGACGGCCGTTCTATCTTGATGCTGCACAGGGATACCTATCCGCGTTAACCACGCTACACCCACTCCTTACCTCCAATCCATTCGCTCCTCGACCGCCAATACTCCACCGACGACGCTGCCGAGCGTGAACTGCCCAAAATCTGTCTGTCGGAGATAGTTCTGATCGAACTTGGCATACACATCTCCTCTCCTCTTGGAGGGCACAAGCTCCCGTGCTAAGTCGACTTGTCACAATCAAGTCAGCCCAGCCTGGACTTGTACTCGTATCTTGGTTTCTTGGAAGGCTTGGTGTCATAGCATCCACCCATTTAGCGGACCTTCCTCCGCCGGTCGCCGTGCTTTATCTTTGCCTCCCTTCCCTCCGCTGTCCTTTCTAAACTCCTGCTGCTCTCTTGATTTGCAACTGTCTTGAGCAAGAGCAACTGAGGCCTTCTGTGCTTTCTTCCTGACTCTCCGTCCTCCAAACCAACGAATCTGTTTCCACCTGAATGCATCGAGTCCCGTTTTGCGATCTAAACCACAGAGAAGTTAGTGACTGGGGATAAGAGAAACAAAGGACGAAAACACATACTCCAATAACGGCCAACATACTGGGTTAATTGTATCGTCTAATTAGCAACATAGAAGGAGGAGTCTGTCACCCCCGCCCCAAGCTGACCACAACCTACGATAACCCCTCAAGCACGGGTGGAGGACTTCGTCTGTTCTGTCCGGTACCGGAATCACCCACTCAAAATGGCTTGGGAGCACTTGTCTATAAATAAACCGCATCTGGTATATATCATCCTAGGCGGCTTTACGAGCATTTTTATGTTGTGCTCGCTCTTTATCAAAGAGAAGCTGTACATTGGAGAGGCGACAGTGGCAACAATATGTGGTGTTATTTTTGGTCCTCATGCTGCTAATCTAATAAACCCATTGACTTGGGGCAATACCGATCAAGTCACTCTCGAGTTCTCTCGTATAGTACTCGTGGTACAATGTTTTGCCGTCGGCGTTGAGTTGCCAAAAGCCTACATGGAGAGGCATTGGAAATCGGTGGTCTTCTTGCTTGTCCCGGTCATGACATTCGGCTGGCTCATCACCAGTCTCTTCATTTGGTGGATGATTGAGCCTCTTACTTGGCTGGAATCGCTGGTCTGCGCTGCTTGCGTCACAGCTACTGATCCCGTCCTGGCGTCCTCTGTCGTCGGAAAAGGTAAATTCGCCAAACGTGTGCCGAAACATCTTCGAGATCTGTTATCCGCCGAGTCTGGCTGCAACGATGGCATGGCATTTCCATTCGTTTACCTCTCAGTCTACCTCTTAAGATACGACCTGGGAGGTAAGGAGGTTGTTTATCACTGGGTCTGCTTCACCATCCTGTACGAGTGTATCTTTGGTGCATTCTTCGGTGTCATGGTCGGCTATATCGGCCGCCATGCCATCAAATGGGCGGAGAGAAAACAATTGATCGACCGAGAGAGCTTTCTCGTGTTTTATTTTGTCCTCGCTCTCTTTTGTGCAGGCGCTGGCAGTCTGCTCGGTATGGACGATCTTCTCATTGGGTTCGCTGCGGGAGTGGGTTTCTCTAACGATGGATGGTTCACCGAGAAGACAGAGGAATCTCACGTCTCGAACGTCATTGATTTACTCATCAATTTGACCTACTTCGTCTATTTCGGTACCATCATTCCCTGGGACCAGTTCAACGCGCCGGATCACGGCATGGTTCCCTGGAGACTGGTGGTCATCGCAATATTTGTCATTTTCTTCCGTCGACTTCCTATCATGTTGGCATTGAAGCCCTTCATCCCGGATGTCAAAACTTGGCGAGAGGCTTTCTTCGCTGGCCACTTCGGACCCATCGGAGTGGGTGCAATCTTCGTGGCCATCCTTGCTCGTGCCGAACTTGAGACAGATTCCACAGAGCCGCTGGCTACCCTCCCCCCCCCAGGCTCGAAGGATTATAATTTAATATACTTGGTCTGGCCAGTGACGACGTTTCTTGTTATTTCGTCAATTTTGGTTCACGGCTCATCAATCGCCGTTTTCACCCTCGGAAAACGTATCAACACCTTGACCATTACACTGTCCTATACCCAAGACAACGAAAAGGGTCCCGCTTGGATGACTCGATTGCCAAGGATTACCTCTCAATCGAGATCAATGTCACGTATGTCTGGCTCGGACATCGATGAGAACGAAAAGCTTGAAATTCCTCCTGGCGAGTTACCTCCGGTTGGTATCCCCAAACTCCACCTTCGCCGTCAACGTGAAGATGAGTATGAGAAGAAGCCAGGGCCCCGTTCCTCGAGTACTGGCAGGGCTCGTAGACGTCGCAGACGTGATAAAGACTCTGATACCCGTCTGGGTGGGCCTATCAGTCAGAGTGCGATCGCCCCGGCCAGACACTCTGAACCCACACTATCACAACAAGAATCAGGCTCGGATACATTGTTTGAGAAGTCCGAAGAGCCCACGCCAGAGTTACGTCAAGATCGACTGGCAATGGAATCATCAACGCCTTCGCCTGGTCCTGAAGATGGCAGCGCTGACCAGGAGCATGAGCCTGGCTCACGACAACGACGCAGATCGCGATCGGTCTCTGAACAAAATGTTGAGATTGAGGCCTATCAGGAAGGCGATGTTCTTGTCGTTGAGGATGAAGAGGGCAATGTCGTCGACACAATTGATACTTCTGACATGACAGAGGAAGAAAAAGTCCAGGCAATTGAGAAAACACGGACTCGTCTCAGGAACGACACCAGTGGTCAATTCACGAAGCACAAACATGAACCGCATCCCAAAGACGAAGGTGAGGAAATAGAGCGGGAAATAGATGCAGGCCTCGGCCAACCGTCCAAGACCCTCAAAAGCCGATTCGATCAGTGGAAGGGCTTTGGGAGGAAGAAAGAGGATGAACCAGAAGGTTCAGGACAGCCTAAGCAAACACAGAGGAGGAGAGGTCCTGCACATGCCTATCAATTCGGAAACACCATCATTGTTGAGGATGAGGACGGTGAAGTTATCAAGACATATACCATGCCGTCAGAGGGCGGCGGTGACCGCAGACGAGAGCAATATCGAGAAGGATTGCGGCGGATGAGCACTTGGGTCGGTCTGGGCAAACAAGCGGTTGGAGTTGACCCAGGCAAAACTGGAGCCGAAGGAAACTCTGAGGGCGCCGCGGAAGGGGAAGGGGCCACTAAGAACATCGCTGATCGAAGTATTCCAGAGGGCCTGACAGATGATGGTCTCAGAATGATAATTTCCAGGAGTGAGCAGTACGGTCTGACTGGCCTCCAGAAAAAGGCACGAGATGCCCCGGGCACCATCGCGCTTGGTTCGGGCCGACGACTCTCAACTGCAGATTTCATCAAGCAGATGCAACAAATGGATGCCAAAAGCAGGGCTCAAGAAGTTGAACAGAGTGACGCTCCTGAAGAGCTGAAGCGTGAGGTACGCAAAGGGGCTGCATATCAACGCTCAGGCCGAGAGCAAGGGGTGACTCCAGGCGGGCAGCCGGCCAACCAATCCGCAATGAGCAACACTGGTTCAACGTTGCAAGTCCCTCGCTCACAAGACGGGCAGGGAAATCGCAGTAGTAGCCCTAGAGATGCTGATGACTATTTTAGCGTTCAAACACGGCCTCGCCCGGATCGAATGACCAGCAGTGACCGCACTTCGACATTGGAAGAGGAGAGTGAAGACGACGAGGCTGACATTCCAACCCACAATGTCCAAACGAGTCTTACCAGACATGGTCAAGGTCAAACAGCTGCAGACATACGGAGACGCCAATTGGCCACTATTCGGTCTAATGAAGAGGAAGAAGCTGAAGGAGAGAGAGAAACAGCTGCGGAAAAGCGACGGCGACTAGCTGCATTGGGAATTGGTGGACGAGATGACTCGAGCAGTGAGAGTGATGATGACAACCAACCTCGAATTCATGAAGCAGCAGTCCCTGAACCTGGTCAGGAAGGGCCCTCATCACAGCCTAAAGTACGGATCCAGTGGGGTGGCGAAAGTGGCAGAGAGAGGCAGCAAGACAAACAGGAAGAAACCAAGGAGGAAGATATGTATGCTGGAGATCCCATCGTGGGTGCCGCTCGCAAACTTCGAGGGATGCTCAAGAACAGGAATAAGCCGGCAGAGTCATAAGTTGTTGATTTGCTGGAGAGATGTTTTGGTAGAATCTGGATGGATTGATATGCTGCTTAGGTAGTCCGGGTATTTCCGAGTTCCAGAGTCTGCGATAGATCCCAGGAGGGCATAATATTTGTTCTCATTTTGGGAAGTTCTGATTGTCTGATTGCACATGTTGGCCCCTTGCTGCTGAGGCATATTGGACCAGTGAGGGAGCAGCGTAACTACAAGAGTTGATGCAAATACAAATCTGTTTCTTTGTTCAAGCTCAGTCGAATGTTCTTATTTCTTCGTTGCTGTGAAATGGAAAAGTTTCAAACCTAGATATAGGTGGTTTGACATTTGTGGAAATTGTGAGTATTTTCTTTGTGCAGAATTCTGGTTAATGGGTGTCGATGAGAAGAGCTGCACTCCCTTTTATTGAAGTAGATGCACCGCCGAGTGAAGATGCCGCGAGTAATGCAAGACTGAGGTCATTTATTCAACCTTGTTGTGCAAAAACGCGGTTCTCCTAACAAAGACGCGCACGACGTATTGCCACTTTATCGACGCGTTCATGCAGCGCCTATCGATTAGACGTCACCCTGCTCCGGTGTCCAGCCACTGGTTATGCCACTGATTATGCCACTTCAAGCATCGCTTCGCAGCCTTGTCTTCACAGACAATCAACACCCGATCAGTCAGATCGTCTTGTCTGAGGGCAACAATACTTGTATCTCCAATCTCTCTCCATATATTTGATGCTCAATCAGCATTTGTCCTACTTTAAACTGCCTCAATATTGAAACCATTTCACGATGGCGAAACCATCCAAGCCACGGTTCCCTAAGCGTCCAGCTCGCAGTAAGCCGAGACAGACCACTCTCCAGTTGTCGCCCTTGGCCCCCTCTTCGCCTGCCAAAGGAGATTACAGTTCTGCGGTGCAAAGCAGACTGGCTTCCGTCCGATACAAAGGCGCAAGACTGAATGCGAATGCCAGCTTAGAAACTCAGTCCAGCGAGGAGATCTTGTTGCCTACACCAGAGCCATCTTCTCAAATACAAGACCTGAATACAAGTGAATCGAAAGTGAGCGATGCGCAAGGTGAAGTTGCAAACATCTATTTCGAGGAGGACCTGAAAGATGAAGACGAAGATGATGAAGATGATCTGATCTCTCCGGTGCAAAAGAGACGAAAGATATCTGATGGCACACCCGTTCCGGTCAAGAGTTGTCCGCTCCCACGTCGGTCAACGAGACTGAACTCAGGATCATCGCCTCTGCCTACCATCGAGGGCATCGGCACGTTTGCCACTCCAGTGAACAGCTCGCCGTTGGGCAGACAATCAACGCACCTACGACGAGGCAAACAGTCGGTCTCGCCTTCCCGTTTGACCAGGTCGCCATCGACCCAAACGCTTGTTTCAGTTGAAATAGCCACGCCCCCACAACGTCGTTCCTCAAAGCTCTCCGATCTAGGCTCTGCTGAGACTAGCGATGAAGACGACAAGATTTTAGCCTCGCAGCCTGCAGCTCGAAGGCGACACTCAAGAGCCGCCAAAGACACCAGGATTGTGAATGATGATGAATTGGAATACGTATCAGATGACGAGCCAAGGAAGAGGCGGGGCCCAAGCCGTCGCAAAAGTACCTGTGACGATTTTGTAGTTGATGACGAGGAGATCGAATACATAACATCTGATGAGGATGATGCACTTCAAGCCGGGCCAACGAAATCCGATCATTCCTCGTCCTCCTCAGCAAAAAAGGCAAGAAATACAGCACCGCGGCGAAGAACTAGAGACGAACAAGACGAGCTCGATGATGATCTACAGAATCTACACGACTCAGATGAGGACTTAAGTGCTACGAAGACACGAACCAGAGGCGGACCAGTGACGACCAAGCGTGACCAGGCAAAAGAACATCTTGAGCTCTTAAGACGGCGCCGTGCAGGAGAGAAAGTACCTCGGATCGAAGATTCTGATGATGATCTTGATGATCTACCTGAAACACATCTCGATCTCATTGGACATCCGGACTACGACGAGCAGGGGTCTGTCCATTCCTCAATCGACACTGATCCCGACCAGGAGCTCGCACAGGTCGAGGAGGATGAGGACGATTTCGTGATTGAAGACAGCATAGGCAGGCTCGGTCGACCGAACTCTGATATGCCTCTCCAATTCACCTCGTTCGCTTCTGCCAAGCCGAGAGAGCTTTTCGTTCACATCATAGAATGGCTGGTCAAGAACAAGATTGCGCCCGCATTCTCACGCGAAGACGAACTGTATACCCTAGCATTTTCACGGGTGGACGACCAAGTGAAGGCGCAAGCAGGTAGTAGACTCATCTCGGCAGCATGGGGCAACGAGTTCAAGCGAGCAATCTTGGCAAGGCCGGCGATGAAAGTGAGTATGCTGCCCGGAAGCGACGAGGACAACGTGCGGACCTGCGACGCCTGTAACAGGCTCAATCATCCTGCCCGTTACGAATTCGTTTTCTCCGGTCAACCGTACTTCAAGAAGACCTTAGAGCCGGTCGACAGCTCGTCTGACGAGGGATACGAAGATGAGTTGGACCGCGATGAAGAAGGCCACACCCTCCCGAGCGAGACTCGCCGTTTCTACCTCGGCAGATTCTGCGCCGCAAACGCCGACATGGGCCACAAACTCACACACTGGAAATATCATCTCAACGACAATTTGCTGTCGTATCTCGAGGAGCAAGGGGTTCTGTCTCCGGACGCGATCGTCGCGCGGGAGAAGCTGAACAAGAAGAAACGCGAGAAGCAGGCTGAAGATATTGTGGACAGTATGCAAGAGATCGGCATGATTGCGGACCTGTGGGCGGAATTCGAGAATAATTTGAATGATGCGAGGCTGGGGATGGAGGGTTTTGATAGGAGGGGAGGAAGGTCGAAGGGGAGGGTGGGTGCGGTCAGGAGTACGGCTAATGGGAGGACGATGGAGTGGGACCGGGATCGCGTTCGTGTTACGAGAGCTCTGGAGTCCGATTCTGAAGATTGAATGCGATTCTGCCAAAGGATTCTGGTGTTGAACTGTTACTCCGGCAAGCAAGGTAGCACACCAGGCCCCGCCAGGTGTAAAGAGACAGCAGATCACGGAAGCGCCATTTGCAATACATGACAACGCTTTGATTTTTCTGGGAAAACGTGCCATAGCCAGCTGGGATCTGCATAGGTGTCTCAGTGACGTTGTTTAGAGACGAGATACCTTATTAATCCACAAATACTAAAACAGCTCATGAAGCGCTCCCGCCAGGATGCAGGCTGCCCTCTCGTCTTTTTGTCTCACAAAAAATCAGAGCCTCTGTTCGTTTGTGTTCTCCCTTTCCCGAATGCCAGCCCTGCCTGGCCGCCTCGTATTATACAGAATTTCATCGTCGCCTCTGCTGCTACCACTGTTCTCATTCCAGCATCGCCTCACCCTCACCAATAGTTTCCATCACGATTCTACAAGGCAGGCTTAGCTTCACCGGCCTCACCACCTGCCTGCTGTATCATGCCCTGCGCGCCCTCCTGCATGAGCGCCCGCTGCCTCTCCTCCTCGATGTACTGCTGCTCCTCGCCGAGCGCCAGCGCGTAAGGGATTCCCAGCAACAGGATGCTTGTCGCCAATACCCACAGCCCCTTGCCCGAGTACGTGATGCCCGTGCTCGTCGCGGAGACTATCGAGTTGGAGACGGACGAGATCTTCGCGCGGGTGTTTGGTGGGACGATGTCGCGCAGCGCGGAGAGCCGCTCGTACAGCGATTCGTCGATCGTGAGCTCGTCTGTGTCGCTTGGGGAGGAGATTTCCGAGTCTGTTTGGGGTGAGAGTGTGTCAGAGTTGGGGGTTTTTTTGATTTTATTTTTCGATTGAGAGAAAGAGGATAGGGGCAGTCGTATGATTAGGGAAGGGAAAGGGAGTCGTGAATAGGGCTGTGCTGGGTTGGTGGTTGATTGCTCATTGAAAAGCAGAGACGAAAAAAAGGGTAGAGTGAATGGGCATAAAGACAAGAGAGACGGATAGTATCAAGACAATAAAGCGGTCGCAGGTCCAATGCTTCATACCTGTGTCTGTGTAGTCCTCGTCCTCGTCGACAAGCAATGCGTCGTCCTTGGAGCCTGCGGGCCTGTTGATGAAGTGCTCGTCTTCCAGTTCTTCTAGCTTGACCATCTTGAATGATCACAGGTTGAGTTGCTCCAACGAGTCCAAAGTTTGAAGAAAAGCGGGCTGGAAATGCGTGTATCGGTAGTGAAGAGCAGTTTTAAATGGAGTCGTGAGTGATGGGTTTGCGGGAGAGCGTATGAGATAGCTTTCTCTTTCTCTTTCTCTTCGTGACCTCAGTCGAAAGATGAGCCAGGAAACTGCAACTTTTTGGCGAAGGCGTAGTACTGCGGAGTATATTTCCAACGGGATGCAGCATCTTGGCGCCTTTGTCAGCAGTGCAAATGGGCCAAACTTAACAAACATCTAGTAGGAGGAATTGTGACACGATCTAGAGATACAAATTCAAGGACCGCACGTGGTGCTATGGATCTGTCCCAGATGTCGATAAGCATATAGGTACGCGTGAACAGTGCCCTGTATTCTGATACCATTGTTGGCGCTGGCTGTCCCCCCATCGCGAATGCACCTGATAGATTTTTGAGGATCCCACCTCCATAGAATGCCGGAATCCGAGTACCAGCGACAGCTGGTTGACTCGAGAAACGCAAGACATCATTTTCTTTTGTTCTCTTTTGCTTTGACTTTTCGTGCCCGCACTATTGAATACCTTGCTCCTTGACGCAATCGTGGAGAAACATGCACTGGTGGTGCAAGTTTGTAACCTTTCCCTTGAGAAATATACTCTCTCGCGAACTAAGCCCAGATACAGGTCAGAGCACAGCCTTATTCCCTGCATCACCGGTAGACAGCATTCACCGATCCAGAAGTTTGGAACCCCAGAGATGGCACATTCCGTACCATTCGGAAGCTTTAACGCGTATGAGGCACCAGTTTGCGTTTGGTGCTGGACCTCGCATCTGTTTTGGTATGGATATCGCCATGTTCCAGCTACGCCTGACACTAGCGCGCATATCTTCTGCATACCAGACCAGTCTCACCCCTAGTTGGTTTGATGAGAATGGAACTGTGATCGATTTTGAGGCCAATGAGACATCAACACTGGCCTCATCCAAGTCGAAACAACGCACATGTCTTGGGGAAGTCTGGCGTGAGTTGGTCTGTACTTTGGAGCTTCGAGATATGTGGAAACTGTATCGAGGACCGGGTTGTCCTGGGGTCAGACACTGTAAGAATAATTCTAGGGTAGGGAAACGCTACGTACAGTGCAGGTTTGCTTGGTACTACGCCTTTTTACGGCTCATATCTTCAAGAAAGAAATGTTTCAACTCAAGTTAGCCCTCATATACCCGTGGTCTGCTATGGAGATGGACACGTGTGGTCGACTTATCTGTGCACTATACTCACCCTTCGGAAGACAGTTCAACAGGACGATGCTCCCGGATAACGTAATCCTTTTCACCCTTGAATGGAAGCCTTGTCATCAAAGCCCTGCCTGGGTACATTTGAGCCATTCCATTGCGTCTTGTAACGAAGTTAAAGGATCAGTCATAGACTCTACGCGGGATCTTCTCCATATAGATCATGATTTCTCTTGCCAATTGGATATATCTCAGCATACGTTGTGTGATTGTGCCCACAAGGCCGGATCGGAGCCTCGTCGTATGACTAAGACGCCAAGCATTGGAGAAATTCCTCGCATTGTCAACTTTTTGTCGCAGGCAGCTGTACGATACATTATTCCGCTTGTACTGCTCTCCTGGGACTTCATACCAACTGCTTTTGTCCTTGGTCAAGTGGGACGTCCACTCTTTGCTTTTCCCAACTGAAATGTCATGACTGACCGACGTCGGGTCAATGGCCCTCCTGGCCATACCAGCGCGCCAGTGTTTGCACCCTCCCCGCAGACACAGAAGTCCCAACCCTTGCGATTGAGAAAGCCCAACGAGCTGCGCAAGATTTGTACGTGCTCTTTCCCTGGGTTCTATGGCTCTAACTGACGGTTTGTAGTTCTCCAGACTGGAATAATCCCATCAGCCAGCGGTTCGGCATATCTCGAACTCGAATCTCAGCCGACGGGGAAGCAAACCATTTCACTCTCTTCCTCCACGATCAAGTTGTCATGTGCAGTCCATGGGCCCAAACCGCTACCCAGAACAGCCGCGTTCTCACCAAATCTACAGCTTACTGCGTCTGTCAAATTTTCACCGTTTGCAACTCGGGTCAGACAAGGCTACGTTCGAGACTCTATTGAAAAAGATCTAGGTATGCATTTGGAAAATGCGCTCAAAGGAGCTATCATACCTGAGCGATGGCCGAAGAGTGGACTGGACGTAGCAGTAACTGTACTTGAAGCCGAACAAGATCATGGCTCTGGAGAGCGCATCACAGGTGTTGCTTTGTTCAACGTCCTTGCAGGGTGCATCAATGTTGCCATGGCAGCAATTGCAGACTCGAGGATTGACTGTTTGGATCTGTTGGCTGCGGGAGTCGGTGCTATTGTTCCAGGCCCAAAATCGAGTCAGATCAGAGTGTTGGATCCTGCGGCTGCCGAACATGAGGAGCTGCTCTCAACTTGTCTGGTTGGATTCCTGCCTACTCGGGATGAAGTCGTGGAGATCTGGTCTACCGGCTCAGTGACTCCTCAAGCATCGGAAGAAAACTTAGGATTTGATGAATTGGTAGACAGCGCGGTCGCTGCTGCTCGTGGCGCACAGACGGTCTTGAAAGAAGTACTCCTCGAAAGTCTCACCAGGACTCAGGTTGCAACAAAGAAACAATCCAGCTCTGAAATGAGTGATGTCGAGATGGATACATGAGATGACGATCCTGTAACTTTTCATGGGCTTCTAACTTCTGTCGATTAAGACGAAGATTTCAGTAAATTTTGGAAAATGGGTCTTGGATGGGGAGCAGTGGAAGGGGGCCCTCTTCCGTCCTTCCTGTCATCATCGTCCCATCATACACTGCAAGTTGGCTTCTACATGACGAAACTCCTTGCAGAAAGGAATCGAAAGAAATACCACGTCCCTAGTGGACCATACAGGCCCTCTGGACGAAATAACGTGTTGGTGAGGCGATTTCCTGGCTGGTATCAGCCCGACTCGATTGACAAAGCCTTAAACAACTTTTGGCTCAACAATTCTTCACTTGAGGTTCATCATCCATTTGCCCGGCAACAGGCAATATTCACTAGATGCGAACAGATCTATTTAGCAACCAGACTTGACAGGTTCAAGACCCTCCTCCACATTTGAAGTCGATCCCACCGTTTCTTCATCTTTCAGCACCACATCCCTGCGCCGTTTGGACCATTCGTTTATGCCCAATGCAAGTTCGCATCGTGCCTACAGTTGTCATCCACCATGGCACCAAAGTCGACTGATGACAACTTAGCATTTCTCTACAAATGTCTTCAAGCAACTCCCGCAAAGGCAAGGATATTCGGTATATCTGACCTTGCCCACTCCACTGACTATGCTAGATCGACTACAGTGTCCTAGCTGCTGCAACTGATTTGAACGTACCTGCTGCTCGGATGAGGTTCACGAGATTGAAAGACAAGCTCGAGGGTGGTGCCGATCTTGCAACTACCCGTGCTTCCAATGCAACTCCTGGTCAGAAAGCTCCACGCCAAGTCCCAGCCATTGCTAGAGATCCTCCAATGCGCAAAGCCCGCTGTGTCACCAGGAACGGCAATGAAGGACAGATGGCTACCAAGCAGATCGGCTCAAGACCACTGCGCCGAAGCCAAAAGCTCGAAAAACGTCAAACTCGAGGAAAGAAGCTCAACTACAATCTTTCCGATCTGCAAAGATATGAAGACGACGACAGCGATGGCTCCGACCTCACTGAGTCGACCAGCTTTGACAGTGATGGCGACTTCTGTGTTGATGAGCCTGGTCCGCGCAGCCAAGTCGATTCTGGTCTGAACTTTGATTCGGAGAGGGAGACCAAACCTGCCAGCAAACGTGTTAAGAAGCAACCACCCGTCGAAGTCACCGGCATCAATGGAAGGCAGATCTTGAACAATCGCAAGCATAGAATGGCCGTGGCCAAAGGGATTCCTCCTTCCAAACATCAACTTTCAGCGAACCAGGTCCCTATCATAAAGCGTATCCCAACTTCTCAGAAGAAAGGTCCCGTGGAGTTGATCCTTCCATTGTTCGATCAGCCGATCCCAAGCATTGAAGCCTCACCACCTTGCAGCATTGCCTCCAGCTATGACCAAACTGGAAGCGAGAGTGACTCCGACATCACGCGTTTGCAACCCGGGACGCTCCTCTACTTCGGTTCTACTGGCGGTGCCGGTCTTTTGGGCAGCCCACCCAGCAAAGGAAAACATGCACATGCTACCAGTAGCCCGCCAGTCCCCAGTATAGTTGAGAGAACTTCTCAAATCTCCGCCTCTCCAGACTCAGCCGGTGTCGTTCTCCAAATAGAGCCGAAGAATCACGTTCTGGATGTCACTCCCGACGACAGTGTTTCCATGGCCAACAAGAATGATCTCGAGGAGAGATTTAATCTGCGCCCAAGCCCCAAAACTCCTTCGTCTACGACTGGTGAGTGGTTCTCTTGCATCCTGTTTCTCGAAATCCGTGCTTTTCGTTCGCTCATGGGACCTGGGAAACTGATTGAGCGATTTTGATTGAGTAGGAAGGACTAAATTCCAACTTTTCAAGGATCTCCTGTCTCCATGGAGGAGCGCATGAGCTGGGGCATGGGCGACCATTGCATTGCGGATGCAGGATGCAGGATACAGGCTTGGATGGCAAGAACAATGGCGATAGAGAAAACAATGGACACTCGAAGTCCTTGAATTTGAGGGGGAAAGCTGGAAACATGGAGGTTGACCCACTACGCGTATCACACGAAGAATCTGAGCTCTACACAAGGTCGAAAACAACACGACGATGAGGACAGTCAATCCGTTCGATTTTCGGCGTTTGGGGGTGGATGGATTGATAAGGATTCAGCAGTGCAGCGCAGTACAGAAAAGCGAAATAGGGGTGTTTTTTTTTGTGGAATGAAAAATCCATCGATTTAATTATCTTGATTTGCTCAATCTGATTGAGAGGCACTGAAAAAGCTTTTAAATCCCTTTCTCCTTGCTTCAATCGATACTAAGTGAGCTCTCTGTTTATTACACGCCGTGCCCATCAGGCAGACAGGATTACGCTGCAACGCATCTGTCGTTCGAAAAGCTCATGAACTTTTTTAGGGGGCTCTTTCCACCCATGCCCCTTGGAGAGTAATCCTCTCTCTCCCTGCCACAGTTCTGTCTTGCCTGTCCCATCCTTTTCGTGTCATAATTTCATTTCTCCTCTGTCCTTTTGAGTCGGTACTTTCCTCTCGTCACTGCCTCCTTTTTTTAATTTGGTTCAATGGTACACAATATGAAATCCTGGTTTGTTCTCCCCCTCATGGCGGTATTTCCTGGATCCCTGGGACAGCTGTTTTGAAAGAGTTCCTATTCAAAGCGGATTTTTCTCTGCTCTGGTGGAGTCCTGTTGTAAGTCCGTTGTCATGCTCTTTCGTTGCGGACCCCAGAATGGAGCTGATGGGAAGGACGTTCTGTCATTGCTCATGTCTTCTAGTCGGTCATGCTGTATGTGGAATGCTGTACTAACGATAGTAGTCGTTGGATTTGAATCGTTTCCCTGGAAATTTCCCCCGATAATGCTTCGCATCACCTCGTTTGCTTTCATCTAAGGGCCCCAAGCGCACGTCATGGTCATTCAAGTCTTTTTGTGCTCTCAATGGATAAATCATGTATGCTGTTCAATCTCCTCATTCAGTCCTGGTTTCACTCACTGCTCAGGAAGCAAGATATTACTACTGCAGGGGCACAGCACATCACCGAAGCGAGTGCACAGCTTGCTGCAGTAGCAGCCGCCCCAGCAGACGCACATGTTGGCGGCAACGTACTCCTCGACGCTCATGTGGCCCTGGTAGTAGCGGTACTGGCCCACGGCGACGCCTTCGAGACGTGCGCCGGCACACTCCAAGTGGGCCTCGCGGCGCAGGTTCTCCTCCGATGGGGTGCGGGTCAAGACCTTGGCGGCACGGTTTGACTGAGAGATCGCGTGCTCCCATGCCATGTTGCGCACGGGGAGGCGGTCGAGCATCTGCTGCGTGTAGTCGAGTGTGTCGGCGTCCGGGTCTAAGATGAAGTTCGTGTGTGTGTAGATGTTGTTCGGGTGGAGGGGATGTCCGAACGGAAAGGTGTCGACGGTGTTATTGCGGACGTGACGGGTCTTTTTGCGCTCGAGGTAGGGGGCTTCGAAGCTTGTGAATTGGCCTGGGAAGCTGGTTAGGGTTGGCGAGGTGCGCTTCGGGCTGGGGATTCCAATCCCTGAGTACGAGGTTGAATTTGGAGTGTCGGCCTCGGTGTCGGAGTAGTCCGAGTCGTCGCTGTGGACTGAGATGGCTCGCAAGCTTTGCACGCGTTGGATCTCTTCGTTGGCTGCGTGCTCGGTAACGCGGAGTTTCTTGCTTGGGAGCACGTCGAGGAACTCATCTGATTCTGTGGGTTTCAGTAACGTTGGAGTGGGTGTGTCGGGGCCATTGAGAGGTGGACTTCTTACCTTCTTCGTCTTCGATCGTGTGGTGTATGGTGGTTTGAGCGGAGAAGGAATCTGACGCTGTACGCTTGTTTGCTTGGGAGGTGTCAGCAGACCTTCAAAATCGTGCAGTCACCGTTATGTAGAGACTTGAACATACTCTTGGACAGCGAGTCAGTGTACGCAATCTGCTCGGTGGGTGGTGGAAAGACGGTCGGAGACACAGCATTGGTCGAATCGCCGTCGGCCATATGGATGTCATGCTTGGGAGCCTTGCGAGACTTTGGCTTGAGAATTGTCTTTGGAGCTTTCACGGGCTTGCCAACCTCAGCTGCCGTTTTCTGAGAGCCCGCGACCAAGGGCGGTGTCATCCATTCCGTATCAGGCTGCCACATTTCAGGAAAATCTTCCATGCCGTCCCGGTAGTTGCCATAGCCGGAGGTCTCATCGAGGAGAGGAGCGTAAAATTGGCCTGGTGCTTCTTCAGGCTTGACACCAACATAGAATTCTTCGGTTGCTCTTTGTTTCTCCGCCTCTTCAGCCTCGTCCAGGTGCGGGTGGCCTTCATGTCCAGTGCCAAGAGAGGCAAGGTGGTTGTCCACAATATCTAGAGGATTGTCTCAGTAACGAGAAAAGGATGGTGGCAGAAACTGGATATACCTTTGATGTCGAGGTCAACTCCTGCCATTGCAAACGCAAATTGGGCAGCTGTTGAAGTGTCCAACACCATTGGAGCACTGTCATCGATGGAGGCGACATGGCCTGGAACGACAGTCGGACGGACTTTAGAATCTGTAGGTATAGATTTGAGGGCTGGGGATGGGTTTGCTTTACCATGTGAAGCGGTTCGGCCAGTGTAGCTGTTCACTCCACCAGTTGCAGACGTCAGAGAACTGCGTGGACTAAGTCCGACGGGAAGAGCAGGCAGCGGCTTGTTCAGATACTCTCTGAAGGCTTTGGTTTCATGGATCAGCTTGACAGATTGGTCGGAGGCCCTGAGGCTCTTTCCTGTTGTTGTTCAACAGTGCAAAGATGATGGAGAGTTTGTAAACTTACGGGACGGAAAGGCATTGTAGTACCACTCATGGTCACCTTGTTCTGCTGACATGCGTGGACTGACAACTTTCAAGCCATTGCCATTGTTGAAGCCGATGCTTGTTCTGGTAGAGTTGGCGTAACAAACCCTGGTTTCTCGACCATAGTCGGAAGCCATTTCACCTTTGAGTGAGATATGGAATAGAGATAGAATTCTGGGGATTGAGCCACAAGCGGCACAGGCAAGAGGATCTAGACAGGTCCAAGCATACAGGCAGACTGATGCCGGGACAGGATTTCATGAGGTGGGCTGGGAGTACATGCTGGTAAAGATAGAGATGGATGAGAGGGTATTGCAGAGAATTGAAACTGAGGTTTTGCGTGGGTGAGAAGACATCACTTTCACTGTAGCAGCGAATGTGCTCCATGGCTACCAGACCCAACGCGAGAGTGGCTGGAGTGCTGATTGAGGATTCTCGCAGTGAATGATTGTGAATGGGAGTTACCAGAGACTCACAATAAGAGCGGTTGCTGCGAGTGAAGGCCGAAGGCCTGGCCGAAACAGTGAAGTACATGGCCATTTTGGAGAGTTGAAGGCAGAATGTTGCCTGGAGCAGACCATATTTTATATATCTTTTGGGCTGAACTTTACATATATTGTATCCTTCATGAAGGTGTTCAATATCTGAAATATCATTGGGATAGTCCCTGCTCTGTTTTGTAGGCCATGACCGGTGTCCTACGGCCTAGGTACTTACAGATGAGACATAGGACTCGAATGTTGAGGTGAACAGCTGCCTCCCGACGGAGTCAGCGTCCAGAGTTCCCATCAGATCATGACTCTGACCATCTTGCCGTTGATGATGGCGAGCTTCAGTCAACTCATGTACAAGGCGTAGTAAGATGGCGGAATCCTGCATAGGAAACCCCATAACGGCGAAGGAATCCATGTGGTAGTATGCGCTCCTTCCATAACTCCAGCATTCGATACATATTATGGTAGAGACCAGGAGTCCAAACAAATTGGTGGAGTCGAACAAATTCCGGAAGACCAAGGATCCGGATCTCAGGTCGCTGGAAATCTACATCTTGAGTCAGCCCAACGCGCTGGCATTCGAGATCTTCGGCATTGTTTGTTTCATCGAGGCCGTTGATCGAGCATGGGAGCCTCGGGAAGCCTTCCGTATAGGGAGCCACCCACGCTAAGTCTAGGGGAAAATGCCAATGCCATATGCCATATGCCATGCACCTGTACCGAATATCGGTGGGTGGGTGCCATGGCCCAGGGCTTAGGGGGGCAAAGACAGGGGCGCCGAGGGGGATTTGGGGCAGGATGAGGGATGCTCGGGCTGCCTAGGCTATGAAGCACCGGGGGCCTGGGTAGACCGACCCTTATGAGCACCCAGTGCTTGTAGGCACTTCTCCAATGTATTCGTAGCCCTTGTTAACAAGGACTCTGCACTAGCTGGCTTGGCCTTCCGCATTCTTTGATTGCCAATCCTGTCAAAGACGCTGTCCGCCCGTCCACTGAAATCGCCCAGGCAGGGCAAGTTCAACCGTGGATCTGCGTGCTTCAGTGCTTAGTAGTGGTACAGAGTACGTACTCTATGTAGAGTCGAGAGTCTAGACTCGTGGCCTCTCGGATATCCTTGAACCTCACTGCCTCCTCCGTTCTGTAACTAAAACTTTTAGACGCCCTTTTATTTCCATCACCCTGACTGTCAGTCAACTCAATACGCCGCTCTCTTCTTTCTTTCCATCTTTCCTCTTCCGCCTCCGCCTTCGGTTCCTGTTCTCTCACCATTTGTTTCTATACCTTCTTTATTCCATTCCTATTCTCGACTCCTTGCGGCCATTCTACACAGCCTCCTTTGATTCCGGCCGCCTCCTACCACCCGCTGCTTGTCCTCTGACCGACTGCACTTGCAAGACTGAGAGCAAGTGGAAATGTTGCCTGAGCAATAGCAAAGACCCAATTGCTTATCCCACCGTGTCTGTTTCGCAATGGCGCGGTCTCATTCCAGGCACCACCGTTCGTCAGCGTCGTGGCTGACGCGGTTATTACCTTGGGCAGTCACAGCTTTATTGTCCCTCTCCTCTCCGGCAACTGCAGACAAAACTGCAGCGGATTACTATGTAAAATCCTTACCTGGTCAGCCCGATGGGCCGCTGTTAAAGATGCACGCTGGGTACGTGACTGGTGCTCAATGAACACTCTGCAGCTGGGCTAACCCTGCGCACAGACATATAGAGATCACCCCGGAACATAATGGCCATCTCTTTTTTTGGCACTATCAGAATCGACATATCGCAGACCGGCCGAGGACGGTCATCTGGTTGAATGGCGGACCAGGATGCAGTTCCATGGATGGGGCATTGATGGAACTGGGCCCATATCGTGTGAAAGAAGGGGGCAAGCTGGCATATAACGAGGGTTCGTGGGATGAGTTTGCTAATTTATTGTTTGTCGACAATCCCGTCGGGACTGGCTTCAGTTATGTCAACACTGATAGTTATCTGCACGAACTACAAGAGATGGCAGATCAGTTCACAATCTTCCTCGAGAAATGGTTCGCGCTGTTCCCTCAGTACGAGAACGATGACATCTACTTTGCTGGCGAATCTTATGCTGGGCAGCATATCCCCTACATTGCTCGGACCCTGATCAATCGCAACATTAAGGCGCAGGCAGAAGGAAAGCGACAGTGGAATATTAAGGGTTTACTGATTGGAAACGGCTGGATCTCGCCCGCCGAGCAATATCGGGCCTATCTCCCATTTGCCTACGAAGAAGGCCTGATCCAAGGCGGCACACCCGCAGCCGACAGAATCGAGGCAGCACAATCCAAGTGCATTGAAGAGTTGGCCAAACCAGGAGTGTCAGAAAAAGTTGATGTCAGCATATGCGAAAACGTGTTATCCCAGATCCTGGATGCGACCAAAGCAGATGGTCAATGCTACAATATGTACGATGTACGATTGAAGGACAGATGGCCATCGTGTGGAATGGCATGGCCGCCCGATCTTGAAACCGTAACACCGTACCTTCGACAGGATGATGTGATTGAGGCTCTGCATATCAACAAGGACAAACGAACAGGCTGGACCGAATGCTCCGGCGCTGTTTCTTCGTCGTTTCGAGCAAGCCACTCGACACCAGCCATTCGATTCCTTCCCGAAATTATTGAGGCCGGGGTACCCATCCTTCTTTTCAGTGGTGCAAAGGATCTCATCTGCAACCATAAAGGCACGGAAGACATGATTGGCAATATGAAGTGGCTCGGAGGAACAGGCTTTGAACTTTCGCCGGGAGTGTGGGCTCCCAAGCAAGATTGGGAGTTTGAAGGCGAGTCAGCTGGGTTCTACCAGGAAGCCCGAAATTTGACGTACGTGCTGTTTTACAACGCCAGTCATATGGTACCATTTGATTGGCCACGCCGGAGTCGAGATATGCTCGACCGATTCATGGGAGTCGACATTGCCAGCATTGGCGGGCAACCAGCGGACAGCCGGCTCGATGGGGAGAAGGCAGGCAGCGAAACCAGTGTTGGAGGCCATCCTAACAGCACGGCGGCAATTGAAGAAGAAAATCAGAAACTCAAAGACGCGGAGCTGAAGGCCTACTATCATAGCGGAGAGGCTGCGTTGGTGGTGGTGCTGATCGCGGCCGGACTATTTGGCTGGTGGGTGTGGCGGGGCCGGAGAAAGTCACGCGGGCTGGGGTATATCAGCGTGCCTCTGGTCAATGGATCCTCGCTTAAGAGGCGGGATGTGGAAGCTGGAGATTTTGACGAGAGCGAACTGGACAACTTGAATTCGAATCGACGGCGGGATGACATGGAGGGCAGCCGTTATGACCTGGCCAGTGACAGTGAGGATGATGACAACGACTCAGGAGCAGGAGGGAAACGCGGGCAATAAGGGCAGCTTCAGCAAAGAACTTTCAAGTACGGATATTGATACAAATCAGGTCACAGTCTAATCCCGATAGAAGGCATAGGCAAGCAATGGGTGCAACAAGGTGTTGAGCGGAGGGAGTCTTGCTCGAAAATGGGGATATACTGGGTGGGTTGTAAGGGCAAACGAAGCATCAGGATGGGCAGGCAATATCTGCGACTTTGAGCACTATTGAGACAATCTACTATTTTCACAGTGAAAAGGGAAGGGTGTCTCCATGGTCGATGGCTGGTGGTTTCAATATCGCCATCGCCATCGACATGACATTGATCTCCGACCTACGGAGAAATGCAGCCTGATTTCCCAGAGAGATCGCGTAGTCCGGTCTCAACAACTTCGGCAAGCAGATGCTCGATCCTGGGTACATGCCTCATACGGAGTAGTCCGTACCATACCTGTACTCGTAAGTCTGGGGGGGTGTCTGGGTGCCAAGGGGAGTCTGGGTGCCAATAGGTGCCAGCCCTTTGCCCCTAAGATATAAGAATTCCTGACAGCCAGGCCGACTGCAGCTGACAGCAACTGCACAGATCCCCCCGGCCTACACGCGGGATCTTCGAGCAGTTCATCGCCTTCGTCTCCGGACACAATACGGACATGATTCTTCACACGAGGTGATCCACGAGTGTCCCTCCGTCGTCCGTGGCCATCCATCTTTATTACCAATAGTGCCGCCCGATTCGACCAGGATTCACGTCGACAAACTCAACCACCAAGACAACGCAAACCCGCCCAGCTGTCAAGTCCGTCAAAAAAACATCTTTTCGTGGAGGTCCACCGGTCAGTCCCAACCCTCATCGCCTCCCCCTCCCTCTCGTCTCCCTCTCGCTTGCCCACGCACTGGCATGTGGACAGAGGTCGCTGTTGATGAGCGTGCAATGTGGCGGCACGCACGGGTTTGTTGCACGATTTACGAAATGACATGACATGACGCTGTCTGGCTGGATCCGAACTCCCGTGTAACTTCTAACCCGTTGGCTCAACGCCTTTGCCCTTCCACCTTTCGTTTCCGCTTCAACGGTGGGTGCTTATACGCAAATGCCTTTCCAGTTGGGTGTGGATGCAACTCCGTCTGGGGTACTCACTACCCGAATATTCACGTAATGGCAACGCCAGATCAAGGCGATCTCATGTCTTCATCTGCGTCGTGTTGGCCATCGAGCTCCCCGGCATGGGACATTCCTCCTGAGGGATGAGGACGACCAGTCAGTTCATCAGTTCTCATCCCAGCCTCTTCCGGACTTTTCACTCATCCGCCGTGGCCCCTTCTCCTCGTTTCCACCATGGCGTTCCTATCAATTCATCCTCCTCTTGGCCGCTTTCCTGTCCGTCTGTACCACGTCAAAAATGCCAACCGTTCGACCTCCCGTTTGCGTATGCGTCTCCTCGCTGTCAGTCAAGGCATGCCCATCCTGGTCTTCACATCCTGATGCCTGGTGTGGTGCCAGTCTCAGACCTAACCCATCTGGCTCTCTCGCGCTTCGGTACAGTACACTGCCTATCTCGTACCCGACACCCGGCACCCCGTAATGCCACTCTGAAAGACTATCTCGGATTTTACGCCACGATGCTCATTCATCTGCTTTTCAACCCACTTTCCCCTTCTCACTTTCGGGCTGCACACCTTCATGCAGCGCCCTGGTCTCCTTCTTGACATGTTCCTGAGCTCCTGCTTCATTGGGATCATCCAAGAATGTCGACTGTCTTAGGCGCTCAGAGCTGAGCCTGTCGTGCGTGTAACGCACGTCCACCTCAGGAAATCGCCACCATCGCCTTGGTCCTTCATCTATGGTCGTTTTGTCTTTGATTCATTCATGTCCATCTTTTGGCCCACCTCGTGAGACGCTTCAAGCTGCTCTTTCCTCCTCTTCCATTTTCATACCCATCTCTGTCTTCATATCCCCATCCCCGTCCGTAATCACTGCCAACTGGTCTCCTGGTCTTTTCTCAATTCTCGAGCTTTCCCATCCATCCAATAATGCCTCAAGTTTCAATATTTCCTTAACACAGACACCTCAGCATTTTCACACCTATCTCCTTTCATTCTCTCAGGGACCCTCGCCATATAAATTGATAGGGAATACCGGCATTCCATTGCCTCCCCCTCCGCTCACAGCGTTTGGCAAGGCTCTACACCTTCATCGCTCAGTTCTATGGACAGGTTGGTCCTACTCACAGCTCGTGATGTGGACCCTTTCAATATGGAGCAAGTCGCCTCAGAAGTCTCTTATGCAGGATGGCATATTGTCCTTTCCTTCTTCACGTCCTTGGTTGGATGTGTAACCACGTTGGAACTGCTTCAGCGCCGGACATCTACCAAAGGCGTCTATAATTGGTAAGTCAGCTCCACAACTGCCCAACTACCTATGGTTAAGTATCTTCCCTAACGATTGTCAAGGTTTATGCTATTTGGCGCTGCAATCACCGTAAGTTCTCATCTGCAAATCTGACATCAAATCTCCACAAAACGGTCCCAAGTCAGACGTTGGAATAAGCCGCGCTTTCTGAATGGATATGCTGACCTGCTCAATCTCAAGATGGGCGGCTTTGGTATTTGGGCCATGCACTTCGTAGGTAGTAGCCATCCACCCATCCTTCACTCGTCGTCACCCAGCTAATTCAAGCAGGCAATAGAGCTATTGTACTGGAGCGTGGTGACCCACAACGCCAAATCTTGTACAATCCTGGCTTTACGGCACTCTCCTTTTTCATCCCCATAATCGTATTAGTCTTCGCCTTCTATACTCTCGGAGTCACCGATCGAGCGCGTCAATTGCACGTCGCCGTCGCTGCATGTCTGACCGGAGCTGCTGTTTGTGGCATGCACTACCTTGGACAGTTGGGTATCGAGAATTATCATTGTTCCTATCGTGTCCAAAATGTCATAGGGGCAGCCATCATCTCAGTCATTGCAAGTTATGTTGCTCTGAGTGTCTTCTTTCGACTAAGGGAGGCCTGGACTGATAGCTGGTGGAAAAGGTCCTTGTGCGGTGCAGTATTAGCTGTTGCTGTGTCAGGAATGCATTGGACTGCTGCTGCAGGGACCATCTATCACTGGAAAGGTGATATAATGGTCCATGGGAATTCCAAGTTAAAGACTTCAATTATCGCCTCTTCACTAGTAAGTCGTTCGACTTGCATCCTTGGCAATTCTCGACCTGTGTTAACCATCCCCCAGTCGATCGGGTCCTGTCTGATGCTTCTGGTAGTAGCTGTTATCAGAAGTCACAATAGGAGATCTGCGAGGATCAAAGCTCAACGTCTCGTGTTGGCTTGCGCTTATTTCGACGAAAATGGCCATTTGATGGTCACCCAAGAAGGTGTTCTTCTAAGCGAGAAGATAACTAACCAGTATGTGGAGAAGGTCAGTTCAACCTTCTCGAAGTACGGAATTGCCGTTTTTCTCATGGTGTTATGCAGACCTTCGGAGAAGATGAACTCAGCAGATCTCGGTCAACATTTCTATGGGTTTTCAAAGCCTCTCGAAATTGGTCCATCTTAAAAGAGCTTATCCCTAGCATGAAAGAATATCTGGAAACTGATCCCACAGCACGGAGATATCGTCCAGGACACTCTACGCCCACTTTGCAAGATGAATCCAGCGAATCATCCATCAGTTTTGCGCCAATATTCAAACAGCTATTTTGTGTGGCCGCTCAACAGCTCGCCGCCCTCGTTCACGAGCCTCTTGAAAAAATAGGCACTTTGTTCGAAGAACCACTAGACACGGGAGCTATCATCGTGTCGACCTCTACCAGACTTCTCGATGCAGGCTCGACCAAAAATTTGAGCACCACTGAACCTGAGGCTGGATCTGAATCTCAAGCCATAACGAGAGGCAAATACTTCTTTCTGACTCGCCAGTTGAATCGATCTGAGGTTGCCAGATTTGCATCACTAGGCTATCGATTTGCCAGTATTGGACAAATAGCGGAGCCACTCGCTAAGAGTATGCAAGTCAATCGAGACAACATGGTGGCTCATATCGAACGCATGAGGCTAAGTTCTTCACCTGAACATCTTCTTCAACCCGGACTACACCTGGCCTGTTTCATGCTTCGCCCAAGTATGTACAAGAGTTTCGATGTTTTGGTCCCAAAATTGAGACAGAACCAGCTGCCGTACGCAACTGTACACTCATCTGCCTTTTCACAGGGGCAAATGAAATCATTGCGAGCGTTCGATGATTTGCCGGTCAGAGAAGTCATGAGAGTACTGGCCAATCCTTCTACGGGGTTGGAGCTCAGAGAAGAGAGCCGTTGGCAGCTCTACAATGCGTTTGTGAAGCTGTTAGAAATTATGGGGGACACAGATACCATGATGCAAGCCAAGTTCTCGACCAAGGAATTTCACCTTCCTTGTCGAGGCGGCTCTGACACAACGCAAAACAGCTGTACGTTTCTTACAGTACGTGTGATAAGGAATATACATGCTTCTTCAGCAAGGAAAGATCTCACTTACATCCCTTTGGCATTTTTCAGTGCTCAGCAGCGGGTGGAAGCACTGGATGCTCAAGACTCCATCTTTGCACTGAAAGTTCGAGGAGAATTCGGTCACTTGCTCCAAGGCGAACCAGAGAAGCGCAATGGCCCAAACAGTAACCGAGCATCCCGTAAGTCGAGTCTAACTGAGGCGGGAGGGATGTTTGGGCCTCCAAAATGGTCACCAAAATACAAAAATCCATTAGCACATTTTAGGAGAAGTCGTCGAAGTGACGAAGCTACAATATTTGATCACAACAGAACGACAGAGGATGAGTCAGATGTTGAGTTGAGTGGAATTCGTTCTATGGACGGTGGCACCATCTCGCCTGTGGAGCCACAGACACCTACGACGCAATGCGACATGCTGGATCTCAGGACGGAAGAAAATGAGCGAGCCGGGTGGGTTACGGAGCTGTTTGCTTTATTTCGACTTGGATTAGATGGTTGGGGCTCGGCCCGTCGTGGAGGTTGGAAATGGGATATCAATGTGGAAAACTCGTTCGAGGTCAGGACTAAGGATCAACGGCCTGAGCCATGCGGCCACGCATAGGATGGTGGACCGAGGGACAGACAGAGCATCTAAAGCTAGTATAGCAGGACGTCAGGGACAACTGTCTTCTTTGGGGGTTGCACGTAATCGTGATTCATGCTGACACTAGCCTTACGGTAATTGGCACATGTTGCTTTGGTGGGCTCTTCCTGATGGGCTCCATGATAGGAAATCCCGAGGTGCCATTTGGGTATGTGAGAACTGTATCTAGGCCCTAGGCTCAGGCGGTCGCATACTAGAAACGGCCTACATAGAACACTGCTAAGAAGGAAAACCGCTGCACGATGTCGGTCAACGGAGTCGGATAATACGTAGGTACATGACATCCTCGGGCCTGTGAAAAGGAAGGCTTCCGCTGATGTTGAAGTTCAATGTTGGATTGGTGTGGAGTCGCTCTCACAAAGCACGTTTCTGAACGTCTCGGAACGACGGCAAGGCTGAGACACTGAGATTCTGCCGGTCCTCACCGCCTGAAATTGCCGACGGCGTGCGTCATTTTGACCACGAGGGGCCGAACACTTTTTGCACCTTGCAACATTTGCACTAAAAACAAAATATCCTGCGTATGATCGGATCCAGTAGATAGATTTGGACTAAGCGTTTTCTCCTAGTGGCGCCAGTCCCGTAAATCAATCTGTGTTGACTGTGGTGGGGGAGCGAGAGGGCGAGAGAGAGAGAGCACACGAGTGGCCCTCGGATTGATTGATCAACAACGAACGAATCGTTGCGGGCCCACCTTTCCACCAACATACTGCAGATTCAGACCTACCTCCCCTATCTGTCCACCATAGGGTAACCCAGACGAACACACCTCCCACTCAATCAAGCCAGGCTAATTTTCCAGCTCTGCCGGACGAGAGACCCCCAGTCCGACCCCCCCTCCTCCTCCCTCCATCTCCGCGGACTCTTTGCCTATCCAGAAGGGAAAACAAGAGAATGCCATTCGCACAACTGGTCATCGGCCCGCCGGGCGCCGGGAAATCGACGTACTGCAACGGCATGCAACAGTTCATGGGCGCGATCGGCCGGAAATGCAGCATCGTCAATCTCGACCCGGCCAACGACCGCACGTCCTACTCGGCCGCCGTCGACGTGCGCGACCTCGTCACCCTGGAGTCCATCATGGACGACGATGACACGCGCCTGGGGCCGAACGGCGGCGTCTTGTTTGCGCTCGAAGAGCTGGAGGAGAACTATGTGTGGCTGGAGGACCGCCTGGCCGCGCTGGGGGACGATTATGTGCTTTTCGATTGTCCCGGCCAGGTCGAATTGTTCACGCATCATGCGAGTCTGAGGAGGGTGGTGGGCAGGTTGGAGAAGACCGGGTTCAGGGTATGTCTTGCCTTTTTCTGGTTTTCTTCTGGCTCACTTGAGGGGGGGATATGCTTTGGAGTTGGCGGGGCTGCTTACTACGCTACCGATTATGCTAATACTTTGGTCGTTTCAATTACACAGCTCGTAGTGGTCAACCTGATCGACTCATACGCGCTAACCCTCCCGTCGCTGTACATCTCGACGCTGCTCCTCAGCCTGCGCAGCATGCTGCAAATGGACTTGACGCACATCAACGTGCTGACCAAGATCGACAACCTGCACAAATACCCTCCTCTGCCTTTCAACCTGGCATATTACACCGAAGTCCAGGATCTCGAGTACCTACTCCCGAGCCTGGAGCAGGAGAGCGCAATGTTCGGCCAGGGAAAGTTCCAGGCTCTTAACGAAGCGATTGTGAATCTCGTGGAGGAGTTTGGCCTCGTTGGGTTCGAGACGCTGGCCGTTGAGGATAAGAAGAGCATGATGTCGCTATTGAGGACTATCGATCGCGCAGGTGGGTACGCGTTTGGGGCTGCGGAGGGGGCGGGTGATGGTGTCTGGCAGGTCGCCGTTAGAGAGGGCTTGGGGACCCTGGACATCAGGGATGTGCAGGAGAGGTGGATTGATAATAAAGATGAGTGGGACGAGAAGGAGAGGAGGGAGTGGGAAGAGGAACAGAAGAGGAGGGAAAACGAGTTCAACGCTAATGCTGCAACCCAGGACTTCGATCCAGATAACATGGATCTCGATAATTTCAGACCAGACATACCTATGGACAGTGGTGTGAAGGTCGTGCGGAGTGGGAAGAAGAAGGGCCCCAGTACCGAGCCTTCGTGACCATGAGGCTCGCGGAGAGAACCTTTGTGGCAACTCGAACGTTCCTTTCAGCGGAGGAGGAATTTAGTCTTGAAAGACTTACATCGCATGGCATCGCTTTTGCGACCTTGACGTCAAGGCTTTCAATCGTCGGTATCGGACAGTTCGCCCTCCTCCTCTTCATCGAAATCTTCAATGCCATCCTCTCCTACATTGCAGTGGAGAGACTCGATCGCTCTATCCTTGCCCTTAGACTTTTTCGACATCCCAATGCCTGCTCCGCCGACAAGGTCGTCCAGGAGGGCAGTCTCCTCGCTCACGCCGTCCAGTTTCGCTCTCACTACATCCCTTCGCGCACGTCTGAGCAGCTCCTCCTCGCTCTTACGGATGGTCCCGCTAACGCGGACGACCTGGATGACACATCGCGTGCGCGGCTCATTGTAGACCTTACCGGGCAGGCTGTCCATGAAGGACAGACTCGCCCATACTAGCCGGAAGTGTGCACGAGGACACCGCAGGATGCAGGTTGAGGTTGCAGGCGAGAAGTAAATGACCTTCAAGCTAGATTGTGTCACGCCCAGCCCGTGTTCACCGAAGATGTTGCTGATGTTGTGGCGCAGTGCGGACAGCAGGTGGTGTGCGTTCAAGTGGCCTGGACTTGCGCGGTGGATGGAGATGTAGGGCGGTAATGACGGTAGCGGTGCCACGGGCGTGGACGTGTTGCTGGTGGAGGAATTGGAGGAGGGTGCGGATGGGTACAGGATGTTGAAGAGGAGATAGCGGTGTTTTATGCGGACCATTGTGGTTCTGATGGTGTGTCCATCCGTATGGCTGCGTGCCTACCTTGGGAACTGTCTGAGAATTGCTATGACTGCTATCGTTCCGGTTGCAGATGCACCTCCATCTACAAGTAAATCTTGTTCTCCACGATTCGTGCATGAGCGTCGATTTTCTGCTACGGCGGGGCATTTTGATTAAAGCGCTCCTCGTGATCTAGCGCGAGAGATAATTAAAAAAAAAACCATCCGCCGTAGCCCCTGGCGAGCGAGCGCGTGCATGTCTGGGTCTGTTTACAGCATTGCGGCACGAGATTGCAACTTTGAAGCTACCTGATTGTACTCGTATTGTTGTCGGTGAAGCAGGGCAATCGCAGTCTTCAGCCCCCAAGCTCAACTACGGATTACACACAGCCTACAACCGTGGATAATGTAATCCGACGCGTGCACTCACGTCAAGCGAGTCGACTCAACCCGGGGAGACGGGTCCACAGACTTGAAACATCCTTCTGGGAAGATGAAACAAACCGGGCCAGGAACAGGTCCTGTATATAGAAGTATTACTGGGGATCACGGCTACGGATGCCTCCGATAACGTAAACCGCAATCGATGACGATGGGTAGCACTCTGTCACTTATCTGGTTTGGTGCATGGACGTTCAGAAAGGGGCTGTGGAGGAGCTTCTCAAACAACCGCGTTGAGCCCTGGGCTCGCTAGAGTATGTAGGGCGAGGAAGTCGTGACCAGCAGAGATCACAACTGTGGAAGGAAAAGAGGAGTGGCTGCTTTTTGATACTGGTCATGGGACTTTGGTTGTGGGTTGCGGGTTGGCTAAGGTGAGATTGACACAAATTCGAAGCACCTATGTAATCACTTCTCATTGCAGGATTGTGTGTAGACGAAGAATCTCCAGAGAGAAACAATCATATAGAATCTGGGGTCAGGGTCGGGTCTGTCTTGGTCTGAGCCCCAAGCATATCTCGTCTCTTCCTTCTTCGGGGCTTGGGCCTTCTGGAATGCTGGAGGCAGAGGAAACAGTCAGAGCCCAAGAGAAGGGGAGTGGCCACGGGTCACTAGTCAAAGGGTTTGAAGAAGCGCGTGATACGAGCATGCCATTGCCCACAAAAGTGATGAGTTGGTGTTTCATCTTGACCACTTTGGACGGGAGGTACGATTAGGGGTGTGAAGGGCGGCTACGAAAACGAACTGGCGGGTGTGAGTGGAAGAGAGGGATCGGGATGGTGGCCAAAGCGAAATGGTGGCCTTGCCCCTGATAAGTTCAACATGGGCCCCTCGGGCCCCAACGTGGCCCCAGCTAGGCATGGGGAACGAGGCTCAGTGGCGCCCATCACGGTCGGAGAAATAAGCAGGGATTGGGTCGATCCCAGGCAAGTTCTGGCATGGCTCCAGGGCAAGATGCAGGGATACACTTAGCACTGTTGAGCTTGTCGCCACGCCGTCGCTTCAAACACGCACGGCGTGACTGGGGGGCGCTTTTCCAAGGCTCCAAGTGGCCCGAAGGGACGAGGAGACCCTGCTGAAGTTCGCCTCGAACATGCATTTGGGTTGGGGAATAAGAGGACCATCCACTGTTCACGCTCCATGGACGCGCCCTCTCAACCTAATCCGCCCTAATCCAGACTAATATCTGCATTCACTGGTGTAAATCTCCATCTTCCCAGCTGTTCTGTGCTTCTCCCTGCAACGCACTGCAGCATTTCCCGCGTCCCCTTCCCTTCATTTTCTCCCCCCAACAATCTGGTTCCACCGAATCAGGCTTCCTTCCGATCAAGAAAAGTCAATCCTTCTTGTCCTTTCCACACCACTACCCCCGGGTCTTGAAGTACTAGGACGGACTACCTGCCTAACGCACCACGCTCATTTATTCGCCATCCCTTCCTCCCTGCCTTCGTTTATCACAATCACGTTCATTAGTACTCGACGGTCGATTCGTCGTACTTTTAACACCGCGCGTATCTCGGTTTCCCTCCTTCAACTTGTGTTGCTTGTTTTCGCTTCCTGGTCATCCTTCTTTCACGTCCAAGCTAAGCTGCAAACTTGCCACAAGTATTCCTACCGACCGCAAATCAATCCTTCCAAACTGTACCACTGGGCTCGGACTGTGTCCTGAACCCCCACCACTCTCTAAACAAACCCTTCAATTCAACTGCACAGCCTTCGAAAGAAAAACAAGACCCAACCCTAAGCCATCCCACTGGATCCGCAGCCGGACGGAAACAAAGACCGTTGCCCAACGCACAAGCCAACTTGTCACAGCTGAATTCACAGTCCAAACACGGGACCCGACTTCTAGCTGAGCACCCACACAAGTCTACTGTGTGTTCACATTTCTCCTGAGGAAAGCCGGACTGCTTCCTTGATCGCCTGCATCCTTCACAAGTCATGTCGTCCTCTACCATGGCCCTCGCTCGGGCTTTCACCAAGCGCAACAAGCGAAGTGGTGATCAAGCATCTATGCAACGTGGCACAAGTGTCAGGTATCCCCCCGGAACAATCAATCGCAGTCTCATCTCTCTTCCAACAGAGCTGATTTCTACAACCAATGTTCAAGCCTTGACTGCTCCAGACATTCGAAGTGTTTCCGGTGCATCTTCTATGGGCTCACTCGGCTCTGGAATGGAGTCGGATTTCTCGACTATCGACAGAAGTTTTCTCAACAACACTGGTAGTGACACCTCATCGGTTGACAGCAGTGGCCCAGCAACCCCTGTGACACCTGCAAACGATGAAATGAAATCATTCTTTGATTCCAAGCAGCCCGCCTCCGTTGTTCCAGCTCTTGCTTCACCTTCAGCTATCGACACGCCAACAGTACCACAGCGTGCTCCCTCTCACTCCAAAAAGGCACACGTCGAGTTGTCCAAGAAGCGATCGATTCAACGCATGTCCCCTCCTCCCACATCCATCACTAAGCCCACGGTCCGCAACAGTACTGATATCTTCAACAAGCCTGCAGACCCGAATCATCCCTTTGGTCGGGAACTCGCACAAGTAAATGAGATTGCGGAAGAGTTTGGTGCTACAGCTCGATTATTGGATGAAGAAGAGCAGGATATCATGAGCAAAGGGCTATGCAAATTCGGAGTGGAGGATTACCTGGATGAAATAGCCGGCCTCTATGGTGGTATCTTCGAGGACCAACTTACGTCACTGGCAAAGCCGTGGATCTGAAACATGATCAATCCTTGAAAGATTTGATGGTATACACCATTTCTTTTATGCAAAGATTCACGACTTTATGACTAGGAACCTTACGGATAACAGCGACATTTGGGGGGGAGGCGGGCGTTTTTTTATGGTTCAAATAACCAAATGCCAGAGATGTGCTTTTTCTCTCTTCCTGCGCGAGATGTGCAAGCCAACTTTTTCTTCAAAATCTTCTCAGCGGTGGAGTCGTTTCTTTTTTGTTCTCGACGGACAGATTGCTCAACATGACATGGCGCAAGATCGGCTATTCAAGGTTAATATGGGGTATGCAAGTATTCACTACTCTGCCTACCGGTATGGTACCTTGGCTTTTGAGAAGTTAAGGGCCGTCACCGTGGTCTCTCAACAAACGGAGTGCCAAATGGGGCCTTTTTGAATCCTAATCTTGATCACAGCATGAAAGGGCGAAACACGTACAACTGCGGAGACACAAGAAATCTTCTTCTTTTTCTACTCCTTGTTGTTGAAACAGTGAAATGAATGGGCTGATTGATTAACAACTGTATGGTAACATGGTAAGGGTGATGGTGGAGGAGTTGGCTGAGGAGGGTGTTCTCCTTTGTCTTACCAAAGCCTGCTGACCTCTTCTTGAGGTCGAGAGGTGGCGAAAATCTGCTACTACTGCTGCTACTACTACAACACCTACGTAGAATAGAGCTTGTCGTTGGAGCTAGCCAAATAAGATAAAGAAACGATGCTCAAAAATGGAAAACTTTCGCTCGGATCTAGGGCAACTCAAGTCACATCTCATTCTTTCATGGCTTGTGGTTCGAGCTCTGGAGACAGGTTTCCTATCCATTCCATTCTCTATTTTACTCTATCCCGGATGAATTTTCCCTCTCTTGCATTATGAAATATTCTGTTCGCCCAATCGCCCAATTCTGCTCGCAGATTGTATCCACCAAGTCACAGCCCCTCATGTAGTGTATGTAGGCGGATGGTTCGCCCAGTCTACAAGAACACGGCGTTCGTCAGACCAAGCTTTTTCCCATCAGCATTTTTTAGCCTGTCTCCCGGCATCGAAGTCCCAGCCTCGCCTCGTTTCGTTCCGTTTCGTCTTGCCGATGGGTCCCCGAGCCATGGCAGTCACTGAGGCGATATGTGTCTCGACAACCGAGTGGGTTTGATGAAACATGACGATGTGTCCCCGGAAATATTGGTCCCCCTGCATTCGGGCGTTGCGTTTGGTTCGGCTGTCGCCTGTCGGATGGGGATGTGTCTGTCGTCTTAGATGTGCAGGTATATGGGCTAAGCCTGTTGGTCGCGTCGTGTCGCGGCTAGCTCGTGAGTCGGTGAGCGCGGCCTGGAATGTCCGTTCGTCTACGAGTATAGTGTTTTACTACGTGTGCGACGTTGGATGTATATGACTTGGCGAGCACACGGGTTGATGAATGCACACACACAAAGGACCGGGACGGGGCTGCTCAGGAGGATAACGCTTGTTGTGTGGCGAGAATGTGGCGTATATATCTGTATATAGAACTTTTTGGGGGGGGGAGGAGAAGAGGGAGGCCAAGAAGGAATGTCCAGGCCGTCGTTGGCGCTACAGTCCAATTGCTTGACCTATATCTACGCCTGGGGTAGAGAACGGGATGGAAGTGCCTGACACAGATAACGGATACCATACGAGTAGGCTATCTATCTGATGGGTAGTGAGTGCCTTTAGCGTGGCTGTCGATGGCTCCCCTAACTGTACCTCTTATCTTGGACCGTGACTCGGACGTGAGGCTCCGAAAGGGGCTAACACGCCTACATCTAACATGACGGCGACAGTGACAGCGGCAGTGACACACTACATCATTCCCAGGGCTTAGTGCAGTCGGCTGGTTCCGGAAAGCCGTGTGGTGGTGAGCAGACAGACCATCGAGGGAAGGATTTTGCGCTTTCAGCTTGTGCACAACATGTGAACAGTTCACCAGAAAAGGTGGCCACGCCCCAGAGTCGGGTGCTTAAGTTTTGCTTCGAACGCGGAATGTCGATGCGCAACTGCACAATCCAAGGAAGTTCTCTGGATGTCCCCGTCGTGTGCAGTGGGAAGCGAGCCCGTCCCGGAGGAGACAGAGCAGGGCACAGCCACAATCAAGACCAGTCGAAGCCAGCAAGAACCTCCTCTTCAGTCTCAGTCTCCAGCTCCTTTTGAGTCCTAGTTCAACTCGGAAAGGCACGTGGATGACGATGGCCACGAGTGCACAGTTGAGATCGTTGGCTTACGCAATACTTGTATGGTCCAAGCTCCCTTCAAGCAGGAAGCGCAGAGGGTCCCCTTCTGTAGATATTGCTGATGTCTCACCAAGGCCGGGAAGGACGTGTAAAGGTGAATATCCGTCTGTGGGCGTAAACCTGGATTCTGCTAGCAATGCCAGCAAGATCAGCGAGCGTGAGAAATGTCAACTTGGAATCTTGAGATCGAACTCGGCGTCCACACTCCTTGGTGCATTTTGCTTCGTGCACGCTTGGCCCTTCATAAGAGGTAAACATGCATACCATATCGAAAGTTGAATCTTGTGGAACAGATACGCTCAGTCTTAGTCCTTCAGGTTTCTAGGCGAAGGTGCAAATGGATCGATGAACGAATGAACGGATGGACGGATGAACGGATGAACGGATGAACGTCTGGAGTTAACACTGCCTTGTGCAGTCTTCGTTATTGTGTAAGTCCACTATACGAATGGATGTTTTAGGCGCAGGTGAAAGCTTCGCGATGAAGTCGATCGGACTCTTGACGCCTGCCCCTATCCTCAGGAGTCGAGGTTGCACCAACTCACCGGTGCAGGATTTTGATGGTACCGAGTTTGGTCACGATGGACATCCATAGCGCCAGTATCCAGAACTGATTTCTGGTGCCACGTTAGCCGTGGCTCGTTAGCCGTACGAGCTACCTCGTACTTGTACCCTGGAAGTCGGGCTGCAGCGCAAGTTCCTCCATTAGCAATCGGATCAATCACATGATAGGTATTCAAGAAACTGAGCCGAGAAAGCGTAGGGTTGGGTGCAATCATGAGTCGGGCATCTTCCGTGTGAAACACAGCCACGTCGTTCGAGTGTGGCTTGTTGCTTTTGAGATGTTCCAGACCCGAGGCTCAGCTGCGGAGGCTCGAGTCCAAATAATGAGGACGAATGCTCGCTGCACGACGCACTCCATAAGGAGGACCGGATTTTCATATTCCAGACTGAACGTGAGAGAAACTTACGTACAGTGCAAGCTGAAATGAGGCGCTATTCCGCCCAAGACGGCCAAAGTCAAAGGCAAAGTCAAAAACTCCAGCCCGGGGTGTTTAATCTTCGAATGTCGAGATGGTGAGGATGCCCAATGAACGCCATCAGGTGGGGTGGGTGGCTGATCTAATAAGATCCATCCCAGGGACTTGTTGCGGCCATTGATGAGGGTCGAAGCCCAAAAGGCTGAAACTGCAAATTGCATCTCTGAGCCAGCCTGGTAGTCAAGACACTAACAAGTGTGCGTGCACGGATTCCGTCGTGTGCATCTCCTATCTGCCTGCAATTCAACTCAAGTCAATTCCATTCAATTATAGGAGAGGCACAAGAGAGAAACTGCAAGGCAGGCCAGAGCACTAGTGAGCATTTTGTAGGGGATCGGCCAGCTGGACAAGGGTTCGCTAAGGCGTGCATTGGCGAGCGTTCGGCAAGCCTGAAGGCCCCCATCGGCCGCCCTATTTGGGTGCCATGGAGCCTGATGCAAGCCTGCAAGCCTGCAAGCCTGCGTCATGGTCAAAATGCCAGCTGGGCTCCCTGCCAACACGGCCTCGTACTGCCAATAAAGTGCCAAATCCGAGATGCGTACGCCTATTAATTACTCCATAGAATTGTCACCTATTTCGGAGCACGATCTGTGAAGTAGATCACTCGTGGGTATCCATCGTGGAAATAATTAATACATCGTCGATCCCAAAGAGTCAAATCCCGACAACTTTGCTCTTGCACGCGTGCCTTGTTGGCATCAACATCAACAACGCCATCACCGCCATTGATCCCGCCTGCCATCAGTACCCTGCCAAAGCACGCGTGCGTTCCTTGCCGTCAACAGCAGCATTCCTCTACTTCAACAAACCCTTTCATTCTCACTTCCGTTCAACGTCTCACTGCTTTAGATGGCAATAATCTTATTCTGATCATCGACTCCAGATCCGGTAGACGGTAACGAGATATCCTCGATCTCTCTGCCATTCGAATCATGGAGTCACTGCCCGCTCTCCTTATCGCTCGTCAGAGCCCCAGCACAAACTCCAGCAATGACCAAAACATTGGCTCTGCTCGAGAAGGCTCCCCATCCTTGTCTGGCCTCATCTCAACTCTTGTCCCGACTCTACTCATCGCTGGAGCCTACTTCGCCATCTTTCTTCTGCTGCGAACTCGTTTCCCTCGCCAGTATGCTCCCAGAACATACCTTGGTGCTTTGAGACCCCAGGAGCGCAGCCCGACTCCTCCCAACACCCTATTTGGATGGATCCCCTTCATGAGAAAGGTATGAACCAAGAATCCTTGACCATCTGGTCAAGCAAGTCGTCAGCCTACTGAACTCTACAGATTCCTGACGAATACGTGCTCCAACACAACTCCCTTGATGGCTATTTCCTACTCCGATATCTCAAACTTTCAGTCGTCATCTGTTTCGTTGGTTGTTGTCTCACCTGGCCCATCCTGTTCCCTATCAATGCCACTGGTGGCGGTGGCCAGCAACAGCTCAACATCCTGAGTTTTGCCAACGTCCAGGATAAGAACCGATACTATGCCCACACCTTCGTTGCCTGGATTTTCCTCTCCTTCATCTTTTTCATGGTCACAAGAGAGTCCATCTACTATATCAATTTACGCCAGGCATACCTTCTCTCGCCACTCTACGCCTCACGTATCTCATCTCGTACCGTTCTATTCCAGGCAGTTCCTAGTGAATATGCAAATGAGACTCGCATCCGCCGCATGTTTGGGGAGGAGCTCAAGAATGTCTGGATTGCCTCAGATGCCAAAAAGCTAGAGGACATGGTCGACGACCGCACCAAGATGTGCCTCAAGCTGGAAGGTGCCGAGACCAAATTGATCAAGCTGGCCAACGATGCACGTTTGAAGTCTGTCAAAGGAAAATCGCCCGAACAACGCCCCGGACCCGACGTTGATGCAGCAGATGACTACGGTGCTGACTCTGGATCGGCGGCTGCTCGGTGGGTTAGCCCCAAGAACCGGCCAACACATCGCCTTAAGCCATTGATCGGTAAAAAGGTCGACACGATCAATTGGTGTCGTGAGGAAATTGCCCGACTGAATCCGTTGATTGATGCCGACCAAACCAAATACCGCGCTGGAGAAGCGCGCCCGAGAAATGCAGTCTTTGTCGAGTTCTGGAACCAGACCCAGGCCCAGGCCGCTTTTCAAATGGTGGCTCACCACCAACCACTTCATATGGCTCCACGTGTGGTTGGTCTCAGCCCTGAGGAGGTCGTCTGGTCCAATCTGGGTATCACTTGGAGAACTCGTACTCTCCGCAACATCTTTTCTCTTGCCTTTGTCGTCGCATTGGTTATCTTCTGGTCCATCCCTGTCGCTTTCGTGGGCTCAGTCTCACAGATCTCCTACTTGACAACAGTCTTGCCGTGGCTGTCGTTCATCAATAATTGTCCCACGGTCATTTTGGGTGTCATCACCAACCTCTTGCCTGTCATCATGCTGTCGATCCTCATGTCTCTCGTCCCTGTCATCATGCGCTTCATGGGGAAAGTAGCAGGCAAGCCAACCTTGAGCTTGGTGGAACTTCGTTGTCACGAGTCTTTTTTCTGGTTCCAAATCATTCAAGTATTCCTGGTCACCACCCTGACGTCTGCGGCCAGCGCAGCGGTCCCTCAGATTATTGACAATCCAACATCCTTGACAACGCTATTGGCCCAGAATATTCCACTAGCCTCCAACTTCTACATATCCTACTTCATTCTCCAGGGTTTGATGCTCTCAGCTGGGCAGCTCCTGCGTATTGCCGGGTTGATCATTTTCAATGCTCTTTCAAAAATACTGGACAAGACGCCTCGCAAGATGTACAATCGATGGTCCAGCCTGTCATCTATTGGTTGGGGAAGTGTGTTTCCTTTGATCGAGTAAGTTACATCGTATCTTCAGAAATCTTAACGTCTAACCCCGTGCTAGGTTGATGACAGTCATTTCTATCACTTATGCTCCAATCGCTCCATTGATGCTCGGCTTCGCCACGATTGGCCTTGGGCTGTTCTACTTCGCTTACCGGTACAATCTCCTTTTTGTCGATAGCTCCGTCATTGACACCAAAGGGCTTGTTTACGCAAAGGCACTTCAACATACCTTGGTCGGTTGCTATCTTGCTGTGATCTGTTTGATAGGCCTTTTCGGTATTCGCGCTGCACCCGGTCCACTCGTTCTGATGGTCATTTTCTTGGTCGTCATGGTCTTATACCATATCTCCTTGTCCTCAGCGATTCACCCTCTTTTGCACTATCTACCACGATCCTTGGAGTCTGAGGAAATCGCTCTGCTCGAAGCGGAAGGTGGTACCCTTCATTCGGATGCACCCAGGGATACAATTCAAGGCCCTTTACCCGAGAAGAATGGCGTAGAGGAATTGAAACAAACGAAGAAGTCACTGGGACCTGAGGGCAACAGCAAAATTGGCATGTTCAAAAAATTCCTACGGCCAGATATCTATTGCAGCTATGCCCAGCTCCGCAAATTGGTTCCACAGGATTTTGCTGAGATCAGATATGCACCAGAGGTCGAACGGGATGCATACCAGCATCCTGCAGTCAATGCTACTGCACCGTTGCTTTGGGTTCCTCGAGACGAGATGGGGGTGTCAAGACAGGAATGCTTTCATACCAACAAGGTTACGCCAATGACCGATGAGGGCGCATATCTAAACGAAAAGGGTAAAATTGTCTGGAATGATGAGGAGATGGAGGCACGGCCTCCGATTTATGAGGAAAGGATTTACTACTGAACCTCGGTTGGTCTGTCGAGGTATGCGGACTTTGCACCAGGACCATCAGGATGAAGGAAGCAGGGATGGTTTCGATACGTGGAAAACTTTTTCTGAAAAAACTCTATTGAATTCCTTATACGCAACATGGACGGCTGCTTCTCGATGATACCCACGGGATTGTGTTAGTTGAAGGCTTGACGGAATTTGCTCTGGGATGAGGCGCAGAGGTGCAGAGGCACCTAGTGGACATGAGCACTTCGAACCAATAAGTTGACAGTATTCATTTGAGCCACAGCAGTATCATGGCACGACTGCCTATTAATGTCCTAACACCTTCTGATGCCGGAAGTCCTCATGAAGTACTAATGGAAGTAGACATGTCAGTTCATGTCATATGGGTGATTGCTCCCAGTGCCTTCCCCGTTCAAGGCAGGGGCTTGGCCGCCCGATACATGCCAACGCTGACCATCCGTCTTCTCGTCAGCCTTACCCTCGCCTTCAGCATGCACCCTGTTCTGAACTGTTTGATTCTCTGTCCGTCTCAGACACCTTGAGCATCATGGGCTTGCTAATAACTCTATGTAAAGGTACAGTTCATGTAGTTGTTTGAAATCGTCGATTTCCTTTCCTTTTTCCCGCCCTAGAACGGCCTCCAATGCCGTCCAAGCCTATTCAGATAGTCGCAATGACTTCCGCATTGCCATCATCTGCGCCCTCCTCTTGGAAGGTGACGGAGTCGAATTCATCACTGCCAGTGGGGCTTGGCGAAAGCATACGCCATGAGAGGCCAGGGTCAGAACTGCGCCTCAGACTCTATGGCCACCGTCGAGAATGTGCTCTTCGAGACGACGCTGGAAGATGAAGATCATTTCCGGCGAGATTTCCATTGGACACTGTCAAAGGAATCCTTTGGAACGAGACAGGTTGGGAAAAGCGGTCGAAACGATAGGGAAAGTCGTCAAAGTGGATGCTCGCTTCTTGGAAGCCGAATATCCTGCCCGCTTGCAGAGTGCTCTAAATAATTAGTATATTTTCATAGCCCGGGTTCGCTCCTCGGAGAGATACTCGATGACTTGAGTGACTTGAGTGACTTGATGACTTGCTACTCCTTGCAGAAGGCTTTGATAGGCCCCTGTAAGTGGACATGAAACAAAGATGGAATCTGATTGATTGATTGATCGACTGGTTTGATTTGATTCTATGGTACAGGGTTTCTCATAATTGAAAACTCGTGACTGGTTTCCTTTTCAAAAAGAAAGGAAATATGCTGGAACTCATTGGAACCGTTGCACGCTCTCATTTCCCGATCTCGTTGCTCGGCACCAAAAGGAAGGCGATGGCAATGCATACGGACTCCTTTCGCTTCTTCTGCGGAAGTATAAAAGTACGACAAGGTAGATAATTGGAGGACTCGGGGCTGCAAGGGCAGTGTCGATTGTCCATCGTGATGTAGATGTTGGGCAAGGGGAAGAAGAGGAAGGCAGGGGTTTTCTCCTTTCTCCGAGTCGTAATGGGGGAGAGGCTCGAAAGAAATTAAGACGTCTCCTGTCTCGCCTCTCCATTTCCCTTCCCAACATCAAATCCGTGGAAGAGGCTCCCCATCTCATCTGACACCATCGTCTACCAACGTCTCCTCCGCTGCGCCATAGCGGGTCTCCCATGATGGCCGTGGGCATGCATCCCGCCGACGCCGACGCCGCCGCCGCCCATGATAGGCTGACGAACGGGTTTGGACGTGCGGACGACCACTGTGCGCTCACGCCGAGAGATCACATACCAGGCGTGGATGATGCCCGGGATCCAGCCCAGAATCGTCAGGCAGATGTTGATCAGGAAGCTCGCGCCGCAGCCGGAGCGTAGCAGCACCGCGATGGGCGGGATGAAGATCGCGAGGAAGTAGAGGCATACATTGCCCTGTGGTGGAAGAGTGTTAGGTTCTGGATCTTGAATCGGGGTTGAAGTTAGGGTTGGGTATGCGCCGCACTTACAGTTGAGGATGTTCCGTGCCGGGATGACATTGTGTTTTTGTTGTTCGCTGTATGCTAAGGTGTGCTGAGACTAGGTCCTCGCTTTGGCTCTTGGACTAAGCAGGATATATCGACAGTTGGATGACGGTGCAAGGGTGATGTTTTTCGATGGAGGAGGAAAATGTTTGATACCAGCCCGGATGTGTGACAGGTTCAAGCAACGTCCCGCTTACAAGGGAGGGACAGGTCGGAATATAAATATATCTATGTATATACGTATGTATGTGTATCTCCTGCTTCACGCAGCGCACACACGGCCAAAAAGTTGGTAGCTGTAACCCAATCCCGGCCAACTAAACCGCGATGATATCAGAAAATTCTATTCCCGTTCTGACTTACCACACGTATTTTTCCACGCGCGTCCCCATCAGCCGGTTTCCCATTGCAGATCATCCTGGACTGACGTTGACCAACTCTGCGCCATTGATCTTGTGATCTTGCCAAGAATGGAAACTTGATGGGGAGTCGTCAGCCTTCTGCTCTCTTGGAGTAGGGATGTGGAGAGAGTGACGTCAATGAGGCTCTCGGTTGAGAACGGGTGGCCGCTCCGACGAGGCGACCGGCTGAAGGCTGGGTACGAGCCGAGGATGTCTGACAACGCTTTTCTGTGCTTGAAATGCGGAGAAAGTGGTCAACCCGCAATCGTCAGACACGGATTTTAGCCCAGCATCCTTCGCCCCTCCCAAAGCCACGTGTGTGTGAGATCGTGTTTGCCGCCAAACGAGAAAGTTGACGCCACGGCTCCAGGAAAAATGGTCGGGGCGTGTTCTTTTATCTCTTCTATCCTTTCTTTGGCGGTCGGCGGCTATGGCGCGCATCATCAGAATCCGAGCCTGATTGCACAGTGGGTAAAAGTATGGCCAGCCCACCCGATTGACTCTGCGAGCGTCTGTGCCGAGATGCCGACAAGACGAGAGGTTTCCAGCAATTATTGGATGATACCATATGGCAACGAAGGTGGGATTTGGTGGGGGGGGTTTTTTTTTTGGTTTTTTTTTGGCAGAGGTTCCAAGTCCTTGGGTCCTATGTCATGGAGAAATCATGGCATATCCTGAATTGAGAGCGCAGAGCACTACAGGAAAGAGAGTGTTATATTTTCTGCCCCTTGACCTGGTCGACGTCTGAAATGTTGTGTTGAACATGCTATCTCTGAGCTGGATAGACTGTCGTCTTTCAAGTCCCTAGTTGCAAGCCTTGGCTATGCGGACCCAAAAGAGATGGGTGAAAGCTTTTGCTGGGGTTGGCCACTCATTGCCATCGTCGCCTTTACTGTTGAGGTGGGAGGTGGGAGGTCAAACAAAAGCTGAGGCAGGCGTTGGGGCAACAACTATCCATTTACTCGGATGTACAACTTATCGAGTTGGAATGTCGTGCCTTTTTGGTGCGGACGGTACTATTTGGGGAGCTTCGATGAATAAAAGAACAATTAGCAGGCCCACGCCACATATATCTCTTGTCTAGGCCATTTGCGTGATTACAAAACATATCTTTATACTTTTAGGAGTATCTGCTGCAAGAAGTGAAGATAGGCCCCCCCCTCTTCCGTCAACATCGAGGCCGCGGAGATCTCAGGGGCACCCACAAAGAAAGTTGGTGAGGGAGATGGTGAGGGAAAACGGCGAACCAAAAGTGCGAGTGAGGTACTCAGCAGTGACATCCCAGCTTCGATCTATAAGGCAACCTCTCGGAGGCCGAGGGAGTCGCTTGCAGAAGTATTCAGGATGGACGGCGAGCAAAATGGCCAGCATTACAAGCACAAAATATTTATCTTGTTCGTTTGGGCAGCTGGTACTAAAGGCTTCCAGCCGACTGAGTGGGCAATGCTCTCAAGATCTGAAATGAGTGCATTGCATTTTCATTGCATTTCTTTGTCGAAGCGAATGCACAGACATTTGTGCCTGCCAACACCCACGTCATAGAATTCAGTCTCCCGAAGTTTATTATGAATAACAATGAGTTTTCTTTTGGAAATCAATGGTTTGGCAACAGTGAGATTCATAAAAAGTGATATACCACTTCCCTACCTGAAGCAGCTTGGGCAGGGTGTTGAATTGTGGCGGAAGCTACGGTTGACCCCAAGGAGAGACGTTGCCGGATTGATCGTGCTAAAAACCGGGAGAAAGTATGGATCGAGTCTCCAGCTAGAATGAGTCTGGGAACAAAGAAAGGGGCATCCAGGAGTCTCTGTAGACGTAGTCGGCGACTCCGTTGGCAAGGGGGATCTCGTCAGACCAGGAGCAACATCCAATGTACGAGTAAGAATCCAATGTAAGAACCGGGGCCATGCTCACAGTCATTGTGAATAAAGTTGACCAGTTGAACACTTCACACACCCGGTGGAAGTCTGGCGACAGTAGTGTAGTGGAGCTGGCTGGTGTATCTGTCCGGTGGTGGTGAAGACGACTTCTTGTCTGCGGAGGCATTTTCATCCTATGTTGGTTCAGATGAGCTTGAAACATCTGGAAATCAGGGTGACCTTCAGGTCGAAGAGGAAGCTAATGTAGATCGGTTGCAACGAATGCAGTGTGCTGACCTCCCAGGAATTTGAGATTATGAGAACATGATGGAAAGATCCGCGTCATCCTTCGAAAACTGGGAGAGGAGTCTGGAGCATCCCGTATGGAGTAAGCAGTGTCAACCCCTCTCAGAGCCTGCATTATTGTACTGTAACGTCAGGGTTGTCTAGAAACTGCAAGGTGAGAGGAGCGGCCCGGAACGGGACGACTCGATGGCTTGTTGAACAGGCAATCAGACGAGGTGTCGCTAGGCTTGCAACGGCCGATGGAGAAGTCCCTTCTCGTGCCATGGCCCATGAATAGTACGAGGTAGTAGCATAGGGTAGTCCTGTTCAGTCGTCAGACTGGGCCAGTAGTAATAGGTGGTCTGGTATGTCTGGCTAGTTTGGCCAGTCACACCAGGTTGGACAGGTGAAACAGATCCCCTCATATGATTCAGTAATTGGCTACGCGCTCGTTAAGATGAGTTGTTGCATGTTCGACATGCGTATGAAACGGCTGGTTTTCGTTCCACATTGCTGACAAGTGCTGTCGAGACGGATGAGCACGTTAGCATACGAGATATAGCCGAAACTGAGTACCAGGTATGTACTCCGTATTGCATCCGGAACTGGTATGTGCCAGTCTTGTGCAAAGGTACGTCCCAGAGTACCTCGTAGGCAGATCTGTAAGCATTGGTGAGGGGCGACAACTGAATCGTCCCATTACTCCTGCAAGAGGAAGTCCCAGTGAGGGCTGCTGAGACTGCTGAGACTGCTGAGTACTCGGTAAAGCAGAACCTCCCAGGATGATGAACCATGTTGATAGTAACGTGAGCTTTGAGCGTGCTATGTGTACGAGGTACCGGCCAGTAGTGATGAGTTCTCTCCACAGTACGAGAATGTGCAGGTGGTTGAAAATGCCAAGAGGGCGTCCTTCCAGAAACGGACTGCCAACAGGGAGCCCAATGCAGTCCAGCAAGGATCTCGATATTCGAACAAGGGTGATGGGACGCCTCTTTTCACCCTCTCGGTGGGCAAAAACCTGCACCGCCAGAGGGGCCAGACACCTAATTCCTTTCAAATAGTAAACCCAGCCAGTTCTCCGATGCAGTAGTACGGAGTGTCAGAACTCAGTGGCCCTCAGATGTCAACACCTGGTGGCCTCTCTACCAAGGTAGACAGACTGGAGTAGAGGTGCAATGATTGAATTGGAATGATCGACATCAGGACACCGGAACCGCTCGAAGATTAGCTGAGCAGGGGTCGGTATCAAAGCAGTGAGCCCTGGCTCCCTCCCCACTTACCACAGTCTGTTCCCAATGTGTGCTGGTAGTGGGTTTGTTTTCGCATTTCAGCTTCCATTATGACATTGACAAGGTACATACCAAATAATCTGTCTCGAGTACGGAGTGCTCCATACTGATCATGAGGAATTGTACCTTGTATAACCGTGTCGGAAATCGCTTGCTCCAACGGTAATGCATCGTTCGGAACGGCCCAGAAATTGGAAGTGGGGTGCCTTCTGAGCTGATCAGGACGACGAGAATATCAATGTGGGACATGTGGGGACCTGTTTGCCTCGACCCACCAGCTGTACGAGTACACACACTGTGTGGCTGGTGCCACTGGAATAGTTGGATTTTGATAAACTCGAAATGGAGGCTCTACTCGTACTCGTCCTCGTAGGTCGGGTTGAGGGCGATCATCACTATGGAGATGCTCACGTTCTTCAACTGAACAGGTAGAGTGCACGACAAAAGAACTTGATGATGGCGTTGGAGGTGAATTTGGGAGCTCCGAGTCAACAAGCAGCATTGTCTGAGCGAAGCTGGCACCAGCCGCCAACTGGGTCTGCTGGTACTTTGTGCTTGGGACTCCGTTCTCCGTACTGTCCAGGAGCGGGTACTCGGTACCGAGCTCTCTTCTGTAGTCGTTCTGCCTGGGCGCTGTTTAATCTCCCGCTTAGTTTGATCGAGAATGTTCCTCAGCGTTCTCAGGTTCAAGCGGAGGAAGGAGCAAAGCCTTAATTTCCAAAGGGTCAAGCCTGTCATCACATCATGGACTCCGCAATCGAGGCGGAGGTTGAGACATGCTCTGTTCTGCGAATGGGGAATTGCGAAGTGCCCATGTAAATTACTGTAGGTAGCTCCTACAGCCCAAAGACTCCAGGCGGAGTTCGGTGTACGGAGTCCAGCTGCCAGACATGATTTGCCAGACAGGATATCGAGACGTTGAAGACGTCCTATTGCAGCAAATGTATCAAGAGTACCCGATAACCGGCTCAAGATTGGTTGCCTTGGTTTGAGAATAGCGAAGAGAGTACCCCAGACTGAAACATTGACTGAATAATATTAGTAAGTCCTCTTGGACCCATTTGGTGATATGGGTATTTGTACGGAGTACTTTCTGATGTTTGTGGATATGGCCAAATGTCAATATTCTTGCCTGCAGCCACATCTCACCTGAAGCAGATCTGCTGGGAACTGATCGTCGCAAAATGACTAGGTCTGAGAGGCCCCACTAGTATTCCTTGCCTCGGCCATGTATGGTCATTGGTGACTGTTGTGGCACAGAGACGCGCCTCATGTTCAATTCTTGGGACGAGAATATCTGTTCAAACACAGACTGGAGCCCAGAACTGTTGGTGGGACAAACTGCCTAGTCGGTTCTTGTATCTTACCACTTGACTACATCCTGTAGAACCATGATTATTGGTTTCTTTGACACTGATCGACAGAACGAACTCGATTCAGCACCCAATGAGTGCCTTTGGGTGGAGACGGAGGAGGGGCAGTGTGCATTAGTCTGACAGGTCACCATCTGTACCTCGCGCTCTGTCCCGCCGTGCGAAATGGCTTTGTTGTCGGTGACTACGAGTGTAATTGCTAGATACCTCAATTAAGGGATCATCGTCGCGGTGACTGGCGATTGCCAACAGGACAACCCCCAAGTGCCTGTAGGCTCATGCCAAATGACGCCGTACTTGAGGCCGACGTCTTGGGCGAGGCCTTGATCTTGATTTGTTTGATCCGAAGGTTGCCAGGGTTGTCGCAACGTGCATAAAGTGTCATGCAACAAGCAATGTTGTTACGTGTGTGGTACGGACTACTCGAATCACCACATTGTGAGACAGCCGCGGGGTCTAACGAAACTCGTCTCGAGGGAGTTGGAGTTCTTGTACCACCATTCGAGGTGATCAAACATCAAGGCTGTGCTCAGTCACAATCCTTCGCCGCCACACGCAAAGTCTATCAGATCTGGAGAGACATGAGTACATACCTCGTAATCCGTCATGGAGGGCGTTGACATGCGCGCGGTTGGAGCCCGTTTTGGGTCACGGTGCGTAGCGGGCCGAACGGGAGGAAAAGACGCACGGGGGGTGGTGACATGCCTATTTGGGGCAAGACAGCCAGCCTGGACCGTGCCTAGGGATTAGCTAGCAGCTAAGTACTCTGGAGGCTTGTGGGTGACCACTTAGCTGACGTCCGAAAGGGTTGTGCCCTGCTGCCCAAGACTTGGCTGAGCAGCTTGGGGCGATTAAGGCCAAAGCTAATGCCTCATGCCTAACAGGACCTTCTCCCCACCCGTAGCTAGTTGGAGTTGGTGTCCACCAATTGCGGATTGACGCCTAAATGAGGTGATGAGTTAGTGGCCTTTAGCGGGCGAACGAACCCGACGACCACTTTTGAACGCCAGGAGTGGAAAGACTACTGTCCGATGCCTGACTCCTCCTCACACCAGCAAGGGACTCGTGGCTCATCAGCACCTTCAGTGCCATCCGCCGATCTGCCCGTCTTCCCATCTGTCCATCCCGAACCCTGGCGGACGTAAGTCACCCTCGGGGCTTCACACCCTAGTGAGGCAAGGTCGGGCCAACCGTTTCGTGATCCGTTCCCACCTCCCCCACTAGCCCCAGCACTCCTCCCAAGCTCAATGGCTGGCTTCCCTGTCTCTCATGCCTAGGATCAAGCAGCTACTGTACCTTTGACCCTCGGAGTCCTCGCAGTTCCCAACGCACTGACTGCTTCGTGCGTTTGTCCTCCTTGACCATGTTGCGTTGCGAATCCACCTTCGCTAAGAAGAGTAACCTTGCTTCTGCTTCCTGCCAGTGCTTGCAATCGGGGTTTGGCCTGGGCGTCGTGGGCCTCTCTTGGTCTTTGCTCGTGCGCTTGTCCTCCCTCCGTCCATCTGACTCTTGACACCGCATCTTTTTTCCCTCCTCCCCATCTGTGGCCCCCCCAAAACTGCAACTGCCCACAACTGCCCTGCAAACTTCGTCCGGACCAGGCCAGAAACCAAGTCGGCCTACCACCTCCTCTTCCACCACCACAAACCACCATCCATCCATCCATCTTCTTACATACATCCCTTCCATTCAAACTGTCGACTCCGCCCTCGCACATCAATCGTCCTCGTCCTTTTTCAACCTCATTCAATCACGTCTTTTCTGTCTTTGCATACCTGCAGACTTGCATGCTTGGGCCACCGCCATCTCGATTGACTCCTCTCTTCTTCATCAGCTGCCCTACCGCTACCACCTTTTAGAGCCGCACTCCCGGATAATCTCAATTCTATCTTCACCGCATTCTGTCCTCCGTTCTCCCTCCACCTGTCAAGTGCAATATCACCTGGCATAACCTGAGCCATCGGTATCATGTCCTAAAGTGTTGTTCAACCAGAATCAGTCTTGTCTCGTCTCATCATTATTTCCTCGTCAGTGCCATGGCTCAGCCCATGACTGCTCACTCAAGCTTTTTCTATCTTGTCGAGAACATTCCGGATTGGCAGAAAGAAGTCGACCTTTTGACCGAACGAGCTTCCGCTAAGAATGGAGAGTTCAGGGCGGATTACACTCGACTTGTAAATCAAATCAAGACACGACGTAAAAAATCGCCCTCCATCACCTCCATCCATACTCTCGACGATTTCGAACGGCCGAGCTCCGAGCATGCTTCTCTCGGTGCACCAACTGATACTAAGGATCTACCTTCACCTCCCGACTGTCTTGAGATTGACCCTTTGGAGGCTGGAAATCGGCATCTCTATTCCCAGTCACGGAGGAAAAGGAAGACTGGCCCTTCAGTTCGCTCAGGAGCCTCTGGGCCTCCAAAGAGCCGGGCCAAGAACCAAGTTGTGGTATACTATGATGGCTTCCTTCAGGAACACCTAGACGCCTTGGTGAAGCAGGTGGGAAGTGGACGAAATAACCTCCGGAAAGGAAAAAACGCCCTTGTAGCTGCCCAGGGCTTCAAGCTCCCATCCCTCACCCGCCCAACAGCTCCAGGCTACACCTCTATTGAAGATATACGAAGCACACTGACCTCGCGCAGTACACCTGGATTATTGGCTGGAAAGAAGCTAGCCCTCACCGTCCAACCCGACACTCCTGACCATGAAACTGCATTTCTTCGAGTCGATAAGGAGCTCGAGTCAGTGCAGTCACTTTGTGAAGTGGCCGCCCATCAATTCCTTCGAGATGGTGATTGTCAGACCGAAATGGCCTCCATCAAGCAGAAGCTGCGAGACATCTTAGGACGTGCAACGGCCACAGCTGAAGATCTAAAGAAACTTGCCGATGAACAGTCGAGCCATATCTCCAATGTTCAAGGGGATACTCAACACGGTGCCTCGGATTATAGTCCACCTTCCACCTTTGCCCTCGAGCCATCGTGGGCTCATCCACATAAATTAAACTCACAGCCTCCACACGCCATCAACAACACACTGAACGACATGACGGCTCGAGGGATGTTCTTCAGTGCCCCGGATATTTCGTTTGGTTCACCTCAAGCACCTATAGTTGCCGACGATATTGAGGTTGACGATGAGAGTGACCAAGAGGACATCCTGGTGGATATCACCGCCTTCCGCCTAGCCAAGGCAAGACAAACACGAGTATAACATCTCAGCCATCACCACCACATCACCATTTCTTTATCCGAAATTTTCCTGTGTTATCTACATATATATATATTTGTGTTGCATCTTTAGCGTTTATTTCCATCATGCTCGAGGCATATTTGCAGCACTTTAGCGAGTTTGCGGGATGAAAAACCAAAACAAGGAGTTCATGCGGAGAGGAGAAGATGAGACTGGACGAGAGTGCGGCCGACATCTTGTGTTATTTGTTCAAACAACATAATCACTGCATTCTGGTGGCAGGTCAGAGCAAGCCCATGTGGCCGCCGGGGCATTGTGGGTTGACTGACGTGTCAACCTCAGGTCTTGGACCTGAAAGATATTTTTCTTGGTTGCAGCCGGTTCTTCGCCGAGTGTAATCTCCGGACACAATGATGAAAAGCGTTCTCACTGAGAGGAGAATACCGGCCAGCAATGCGAACCCCCGACACCTTGGTTGGATGTACATGCTTGGGCATCCCGGTTGTCGAGGGAGGTCAACCCGGGTTATTGCACTGTTGTCGACGGCCGATGGGATGAAGTGAAATGGGAAGGAGGAATGCGTATCAGATTGTGACGGCCGACTTGGGATTGGGAAATTTGATCCGGGCTATACGGAGGCTACGGGGTTTGGTTTGGGAAGGGTGGAGTGAGCGTTGATGGCTTTTGGTTTGTCTGGACCTATGTGTTCCAGCAGGGTGGCGAACTATCACGCATCCCCATGGGCAAGCCATTCGGAGCAGCCCACTAGTTGAAACATATATTGGTGGTAGTGAGATGATGCATATCAAAGCCGAAGATGAGAAGACAAGACATTGGCGTCTTTCCTACCTATCTAGGAACATGGAATCTACAACTACATTCTACCCATCTCCGTTGACCAACTGAACTGTTCTTCGTGCCTGTGATTTCCTATACTTCATACTTCGTACTGAGGGCGTGCGGTCGGGAGTCGAAAGGACACAGGGTCATCTGTTCTCCTATCTACTCGTAGAGATATTCACCAGCCAGCCCTTTTGGCCCTCAAAGCACGCGTACACCCATTGCTGACTACTAGGCTCCTAATAACTACTTGTAGGTAGAGGAAATGAAACCCCTCCGGGCCCCCACGTCGTCCGAATCCTCATCATGTCGATCACTAGCCCGTCCTGTCCCCGGGAAAGGAAGCGTCGGACGTGGGATGGGAAGCTAAAGGGAAAGAGCAACCTCTCACAGATTGAGGAAATTATCCCCATGCGGAACACTATTGGTACCGCTCGCGGCTGTGTGGGTGAGGTATTTCAGCTCGGAGTGTAAGTTGGTCCCTCGAGAGAAGAGGGGGGTGGACCGAGGGACCGTGCTTCGAGGGGCCCAAATGGCCAGCCAGGCCGGGTTTACATTTGGCTTCTCAAGTATGAGGTAAGAGGCACCCAACAGGCACCCAACAGGCACCCCTAGTTATGTAGTGTCATCAATGGCTTAGGTAACCGTAGACTAGCAATCGATTTTTGATTTTTTTAGGATTGACCTTTTCAGAGTTTCTGGCAAAGCTTCAGTGGCTCGTGCTTGCGATGCTTGTTTGGCTTGTCGCAATGTGCCGTCCTCGCTGGGCAGTGCAAATGGCGTTGACACCTTCATCTCCAGCTGGGCAAAATCTAGCCACACAAATGACCTCCTGTGTCGATCAGGTCAATGACAAGACGGCACTGGGGTAGGGCTGGTAGAGGCCTGGCTGGAGGAGTAATACGAGGTACTCCGGTAGACTGCGGAAGACTTCGGTCAGCGTCAGATTTCACTAAAGTTTTCTCCTTTCGATCTTGACGAGAGATGGCCATGATGGCTTGTGTGTAGCTATAGTACATAGCTGACTGGCTACCTACAGGACTACGAGCAATGCACTGACGAATTTGGCTGGTACAGGAGTAAGAAATAATAGTGTTTGGGCGGGATAAGTTGTGGTTTCTTGAAGGAAAGACCTCGCCCTCTCTCTCTCTCTCTCCCCTCTTGAAGTGGTTTTTGGGTGTGAGGACTTTTGGGTGTAGCGAAGGTCTCTTTGAGAATTTTAGAGGCAACTTTCGCAGGTCGGAGCTTGCGGATCTGAGGGCTGGAAGAAGAGAAATTGCCAAAAAAACGATAATCATATCTCCTCCCGTTGGGGCTCGAGCCACCAACCACTACCAAAAATCTGCAGACGTGTACCCTCATGCTACAACGGGTAACCGTCATGTCAACGCCCTGTCCAACTTCTCCTGCCCGTGACCACCTCGCTTCATCTGCCTCAAGATCAACAGCCGTAGTTGAGTGTCAGTTGTGGAATATAGTCAGAAGGTGTATTGGGCTACAAGGGAGATACTAAATTCGACAATTCGGCTAGAGGAATTGTTAAAAGACTCTGCTTGGCAAAACAGTAGCCATATCACGGCTAAGCTCGACGATTAAGCGCTCCCCGTTATGGTGGTTGAGATAGAAGGTGTCTGGACCTTGCTCTCTGTGGCTCTTTTCTTATTTGTATAGGAAATTGGCTAGCACTCAACTGATCAGTCCCTGCTCAAATTTCATCATGTCGGTTCTTCTCCGAGCACAGTCTCATGAATAGTACTGAGGTAGTTGTAGGTACTGGAAAACCATCCCAGTAGAGGTGGTGTTAGGCATGAGCCAATCACCGATCCGATGCCAAGCCCACGGGCCTCACCCGTGACTGTCCTGTGCAAGCAGCAAAAAGTCGACTTCCCAGTCGTCGGTTCGAACCTCATTCAAACTATCGTCATTCTCACAATCACGAGATTTGCCCTTTTTTGATATGGAGCCTAAACGATGGCGAAGAGCGTGGATGACCTGATCGAGTTTTTACTGGAGGAGATTGCTCTCAGCGGGAGTCGAGGTAAGTCAAGGTGACTGGAATTCAACCCGCTGTGGCCCAGTTGGGAAAACATGGCTTTCGGCAGGTTTCTAACATTCTGCCCCACTCGTCCAACATTCCAACTCGCCTATCCAAGCACCAAGAAAACAAATACTAACCTGATCGATTCTTTCGCAGGTGCTTCTATCAACGAACTCAGCGGCTACGTTAGAAATTTTTACAATGGTGAAGATGCCCTTCGCAACAACAATCAATCACCACCTCCTTTTGTGTCTGTGGATAAAGCCCTGTTATCCAAAATCTGGACATGGTTAGGGCGGCATTCAGACGTTTCCATTGGCAATGGCAAGAAGTACAACAATAAATCGCTCTCGGAAGTCGAGTCCGAGTATCCCGGATACCTTGATGACACGTTTCCTGGCTTGAGTCCTGAAGCTGAAGACAATGATGAACTTGGTGGTGCCAACAAACCGCTCGCACGAGCATCTAAGGAATCTAACCCTGGGAAGCGAGCATTGCGTTCAGTGGAAGGTCCACGCATCGCCGTCAATGAGTACCGAATGTACCACGCTATATGTGGCCATCCGCCCGACGTCAGCAAAGTAACGCCCCTGGAATTTGTGCTCCTCTCACATATCGCTGCGGCCCGTTCGGCGGGCATTCTGCAAGGTGCTCTTGGACGAGCTTCAGGTCAAGACAAGCGATCTGTGCCCAAGAGGACAAACGACTTGCAGGAAAGGGGCTATATAACCAAAGAAGCGGTCTACGCCCACGGCACCAAAACAAGTCGCCTCATCCTTCGCAAGCTTGCCGCCCAAAGTCCAAATCAGGAACCGCTCCCTTTCGATACAACGGGTGCCAAGTCAAAGCAACAGTCCATAGTTCGGGATGTCGTTCGGAGAATCTTTGATGAACTTTCCAATCAAAATATCATTCCGCTGATTGACCTCGCCCAACGGCTCGACATGTCATCTCCTGCAAAGTCCGCAGTTCTCACGAAGGTTATCCGCCGTCTCGACCGCGTCAGACTCGTGAAACGAGTCAAGACAGCTTTCGGTCCTTCCGCGAGTGCAGGAGATCTAGAGCAATGCCTTCAATTGGTGCAATTGCCCGTTGCAGGTGGTCTGGATGGCTTTGATACCGATGAGCTTACCCTGGGCAGCTCAATAGCAGAATTAGCATCAACGATGGGGAATGATGAGCGTCTCGAAACAGCTCTACAGGCCACAGACAACGCGGATCGAGGACCCATCGCATCACAGCCCTTGGCTTCTGCACAATGGAATCCAGGCCGTCTCATGACCAACATGTTGCGAGATGCGGTTCAACTTACTGGTACCGAAGGTTTGACCAATGCAGTAAGCAGTTCTTCCTCATGCTTTATGTCCAAGCCACTGATTCATTCCTTTAGGATGCAAGAAAAGTGACGACTGGCGTATTTATACGTCGTACCGTCGAAGCATTGCTTCATCGAATTTCTTGTCGCTCGTTACTGGTCCAACCCTCACATCTCAAGCATTTGGCCGTCGTGCGTATCTATGTGACTATTGATGGGATTGCACAGTTTTATTACTATTCTTGGGAGGCCTTCTGTGAACTTGCTCATGATAAAGTCTTCGACATTTCCAACGTCCCTGGAGCGAAACAAGTACTGAAAGGCCTCCCTAATACAGATGATGGACCCATCGATCCCTCCACATCTACGACAACCGACTGGACTGGGTTTCCAGTCCGGAAACCTCCATTTCTTCAGATGGAGCGTGGCGAGATTGATTTGACCAGCATCATCAGAAGTGCTCGTGTTGTAGACGTCCTTCCCAGAAACGGAGAGCCGGTTATTGTAGAAACAGAACCGGGCAAGTTTGGCCTCGCCCGTCGCGGCCATAATGATCGAGTGATAGGAAGAGCAAGCAAATTCCAACACGCCTTAATGCGATCGCGTCAATCAGGTTCTATGGAGCCATCAAGCAGATCTCAGGCAGCTCCAAAGCCATCGGATCAATCAATTTCCAGCGAGCCACCAAGCAATATTTCGGAACCTCCAAAGCCACTGAATCAATCAAAAGAGCCACGAAAAGAACTCACGCTTGGACGTCCTCGCAAATTTATGCGAGGGACAGAAAAATTTTGGCAACGACTTTTCAAACAAGCAAGCCTCGAGGCCCGCGGAACCGGTAATGCTCGTGCGTCTCGAACAGGTACGATGAATCATCCAGCGGGCCTAGCATTGTTTGCAAGTCGTCCCCCGGACTTCGATGAGACTTTGATAGAAGCCATTGATGCTCATTTGCCAGTCCCAGCAGAAGCCCAGGACATCGACGAGGATTGGGTTCACGCGATCAAAGATATTCTCGGTCGTTCCTCCGATGGTGTCTTCGTGTCACCAAAGGGATTGCTTTCCACGAGTGCACGGCAGCAATCCCAAGTCTTGATATTTAGATCAAGCAGATTAAAGGATGTGGATTTTGTTGACAGGACCATAGTACACCCTTTCCGATTCATTTCTACCAGCGTATCACATAGCTCCCCTTATCAAAGATTTTATCCCTCGGTGAGCGGAAGCTGCGGGCAAGGGGACCTCAACGCAGGAAAGGTACGCAACGCGTTTCGCATTGGCCGCCAGAAGACCGCGAAACACAGATCTGGCCCTCAAAAGGGAGTGTTCTATGAGGAACGACATGAAGCAGAGCTACGAAATCAGCTTCCTTCGCTGCCTAGTGATCTCCGCGAGGACCTTCCTGCTCCCAACTATGACGAAACCACCGATGATGAAGTACAGATTGGGCACTCTCGACGGGAAATAAAAGGAACCCCGCCCCCTCAACCTTCAATGAATGGTGCACATAAAGATAAAGAAAATGATCGAGCCAGCACAACTATCCAGCAAGTCTTCCCAACAACCACACCTGCTCGAGCGAGACCTTCCAGAAATCGCAAGAGAACAGAAAAGGCCGTGGAAAATTCTATCAATCCGTGGATTAGTGTCAATGCATCGCTGTCTGCGGAAATTTCTCACGTGGAACGGACTCTACCACTCACGGGATCCAAGCAGGTACAACCAGCCCGTGAAGAATCAGCACCACTAGTGGATACTAGCACAGAAGAAGTGGTATACGTACCAACAAGGTTGACCGCTTCGCCTTCGAATCATGACATTGGTCGGGTGACGGTCAACACCACCACAGTCCCCCGCAAAGTAGCTGACACCCGATCAATTTTCCCCCCCTCGATGTTTCCAGATGTACCCGGGTCAGAAGTCCCTGGAAAGTCCAGTGCGCCGACGCGAGAAAGCTCTATCGCTGAGTTTAAACCAACAAACAGATCTGAACCCAACGAAACTGTAACACTGGAAACCTTGGGGCTAGAAACAGACCTTCCTGCCACAAGGCGATCCGCCCAGCATAAGAGACGGCGCAGGCGATCCTCTGCAGGAGAAGGCACCAATTCCGAAGAAGAGTACCGTAGGCCAAGAAAAGGACAAAAGGAAGCAACGCAAAAGTACACTGCTGGGTCGATCAACCTGTGCCAGAAGATTGTGCTTCATTTGTTGTCTGAGACAGAAGGAGCTGCTCCTAACGACGCTTTCACCTTGAGACGTATTGCTTCGCCAATATGGAAGGAGGCAGGGTTTGGAGAAGCCCCTCTACGGAACACTGTAAAGCAAGCCGTCAAGTATCTGTGTCAGCGAGGGAAGTTGAGACAAACAATGTTTTCGTTTCGTGGAAAGTCCGGTCTTATGGTCCAGCGAGCTATTATTTATTTACCAACGATACGCTCTACTTCAGATCTTGTTGAAAAAGTCAAGCGGAAAGTTATCGAATGTGAGCCAGCAGATTATATACCGCCTGAGTGGGCAAATGAAGGTGCCCAACTGTCTTTGTTTGAAGACAGGATCCAACTTTCAGATATCGTTGGCAAGGTCTCTCGCAGACGGCAAACGTCCATGACCCGCTCCGATGGGTCTGCTGGGTCGATGTCCGAGAGAGACTCTCGCAGTCCCACAAGGCCGCCATCGCCCCTGCCACCAGCTCCTCCTGCAGGTCCATCAACAGGCTTTGTCACCTTGAAAGCCCCTAAGCTGGGGACCCTTTTTTCAGTCCAGGTCGAAAATTGGCGATCCGAGCTCGGCAGAGCCCTCGAGCTTGCCTCAGCTGCAGCCTTTACCGAAAGGCGTGAACGAAGTACTCGGAGTCGCGGGCTTCTTGGTAGAGATCGTCCTATCAAATGGGCAAATAAGGACGTCCAAGACTTTCCATCATCATTACTGGATGTCCTAATGATCACTCCTGCCAAACAACTACACCTAAGTGTCGACGTCGAAGATCGAAACTGGCATCGCTTCGCAGCGGAGATTGAAGCCGTTGAAGCTTGGGAACAGAAGCGCAGTAGTGCCGCGCAGAACTCCCGCACGAGTTATGGCTTTATCAGCCATTCTATTCCGGCGGTACTGTTGCCCAACGCAATGGGGCCACGCAATGTTGAATTCTCGAAGCTGATCCATTTCGACGAAAGCGGCATAGAGGTAGAGGTTCCATTCCCAGACTCTGAGCCATGGCCACCTTTCGTGTCAGCACTCGCTGAGAAGGATGTCAATAAGACGGCCATAATTGCTGAATGGTCGCGGGGAAATCTCTCGCTGGTACCTTCGGAAGACGAGGACGCCCGACAGCTGAGGCCTGGGTCGAAACGGAAAACCGCAGACGATGACGTTGACTTCAGACATCCGACCAAGCGACGGCGCAAAGGTTGGAAACAGGCCAGTGCCGCACGACGAGCCAAGGCTGTCGCCACTCGGAATCCACACACTGGGCTCTCATACTTTGCGAGAGGTGTGCAATACCTCCGGGATCTTTCGCTCCAGCAGGTTCAGCGCCTGGCATTGTCTGTTATTGTGGTGCGAACACTCGCGGGTGGACTAGAGGGTTTCATCGACTGGCCCATTGTAATGGCACTATTTCCGAGCGAGTCAGAAGACGTCATTCGAGGCCGTTGGAAGACGATATCAACGAAGTACCGTGGCGACGTCAATGGGCTCACGTCAAGTTTACAAGTGAAGTATTTGGATGCTCTGGAGGCCGACCAAGTACCATGCGTCAATTTTGCAGACCTGAAAGCTACCAACTGGCACGGGATCGTAGAATGGGCATCGGATAATCTTAACAGGTTCGACTCGGAGCGAATCGACGAGCTGCCAGCAGACAAAGCCTCTTTCATGGAAGCAAACGACTTCAGTTTTGCTGAACCGCGGTGCATGCACAATCTACTCACTTATGGCAATAATATCACTTCAAATGCAAGGGAAGAGACCGTGAGTGCCATTGTCTTTGGATCGAACCATTCAAGCTCAGAAGCTGCCATCAAGTCGGGTTTGAATTTAGAGCACAAGCCACTTTTCGAAGTCGAGATCTCCGATGCTGCATTACGGCTTGCCAAATCCTGGGTTTTGGCGTCCATCTTGACAACAGACGCAGGCTTTGATCCGGAAGTAATACGGTGGAAATTGGCAGGATTAGCGCCGACACCCGATGCCACCGACGATCTTCTCTATCGGGCACTGGGAGTCCTACAAGATGAGAAGCTCGTACAGAAGACCAATAACAACCAGAAATTGGTGCAGGGCGCTAGCCGAGGGATTTGGGAACCAGCGAAGAAGTTATACGAGCGGTTTGAAGAACGTCGCATGATCACAGCAGGCATGCTTCGCCGTGCTTTCATGTACAAGCTTGAGGTCCTTGACGCTGCATTTGCGAGGGGGGAAGTGGTGACAATTCAGAAGACTGGGATCATCGACGACGGAGCCATGGTCGCTGTCCTCAATCTCATAGCCAACGGGATGGTCAAGGCAAGTCCTGGGGCTGATGTACCTCGTACGCGCTACGGCCTCGATTGGGAAAACGTCGGCTACAAGACGCGGGAAATGGACAAGAAACTTCTAGAGTTCAATGTCAATCTCGTGCAGACGGAAGACTACACTTTCGGCGACATGAAGCAAGCGGGACGAAGCATTCCTATTCCTCGGGGCGACGCAGACAAGCCAATGGGCCATATCCCTCCCTGGCTGGATATCCACGGCCGCTTCCAATCCAACTGGTGGGAGACGTTCGTCGCCGGTGTTCTCGGCTTGGTTGTGCAACTACCCGGCATCGGCGCGAGAGACATCAGTCGAACACTGGGGTTTGCCTTGGACGAAGGCGAGGTTGGCTTGTTGATGGGTTGGTGTGTCGATGCCGGGTTCGCGACCATAGAGTCTCGCTCCGGAGGCTACGAGACGACCTGCGACTGGTGGCTATGTATTTCTAATGGGAATTGGCCTTGGGGCGACTGCTGGGAATGAGATTAAGTATGCATAGCATCATTTGCGTTTGGTTTGATTCCTCGGGTTCGCCGGGTCCGGGGAAATGGCATGACTGGCGAAGGAATGCTTCGACGCACCAAGGCGCAATGGCAGGACCCCGGGGGCTGCTTTCATGGCTGGGAATTGTTGTGCGTGTATGTAGATTATGAGGAAGGGTTGTTGGTCGATTGTCCACGCTCCGGTTCAGCAGATAGATAGATACCGTGCCAGACTCGAATACTTTACTTGGAACGCTGGTCATGCTGATGGCGCAGGGTCCCCTTGGGCGGCAATCTCGATCAAGGAACCTCACGCTGGTGCCTCAGGCCTTGGAATGGTGGGAAGTACTCGTCCTCCCTCGTCCGTGCAGCCTCCGCTCGGGCTCGGTCGGGGAGGATTTCTGTAGGCTTCTGCTTGTAAGGACGAAGCACAGAGGAAGAGAGGCGTGAAATTTAACTGGGCGAGCGCTCGCGGCAGAGAGGTTGAGCACTCTTCCAGCCTGGCGCCGACTGGTCAGGCGACTGTTGATGCGAACTCCATGGATTATATATTCTACCCACCTCTCAAAGGGAAGAAGAGAACAAGAATTCAAGGGCTATTCCTAATCGATCATCCAGGGGTTTTACAATAGATCAAGACAGTATCATTTCCTCGAGCGTAAACTGCTATGGATGTTAGGTCCGTCTTTCCCGACACACAAATGCACAAAACTTTCTTGTTAGCTCGTGTATGAATACATGCTCCTATGAGTTAAGGCGAGAAATACCAGATGTGGGTTTCTGTTCCCAGGTCCTATTTATTTCAAAGACTCCCGGGTTATGCTGCGTGCTATGAGCAGGGCAAATGTGGTTTAAAATACTCAATATGCGCCTGTAAATTCTCGCCAGCGTCTTGTACCAGATAGTAGGTGTCCAATTCGCAGTCGCTGTTCAAAGCCCATCTCTCACGTCGTTAATCATATCAACTCGTTGAGTAGCTCTGTTTGCTACGTTCAGATTTCGTCAAATATCGTCCATGTTGGTATATACAAATGTTTTCTGCTCTTTCAATTTACCATGTCGGGTGTTGTGTCAGAAAAGGCGAGAGCAAGGTGTTTGGGATGACTGATCAGAGTGAAGTTTCCTGTTTCTTCTGAGCTCTCGGTTCGAAAACATCGTACCAATATTTTGTCACCCTTTTGCAGATCCCTTGTTTGCCTCTCCAACACCCAAATTGCTGTTCGTGTTCACAGGCGGTGCTCTTGATCTCCTCCCAAAATCGGTACTCGACATCAAAGCCAAATACTTCAATCGCTCGGTCTTGGTCCATCCAACAGCGCACGGAGGTCCCGTTACTGTCCCTTGTTGGGCCCCCATGGCCCGCAATGTCGTCGCTCTGGGTAAAGATGGAAGATGGATCGAACTTCGGGAAATTGGCGTGGATGAAAAAAGGCTTCACACTGGCGGCGATATTTCCTGAGGAAGGATCGGCGGGTCCCAAAACCACCTCGTGTCCGCTGTCGGTGAGGCCGGGCTTGCACACCTCCGCGTCGGTTGTAGGGTCATGCTGTATCATGGCGCTTCCCAGCCACTTCCCATTGGAATCAAGTCGGCCAGCAGCCATGACGGGTTTGTTGACAGCATAGAATGGTTCATTGAGAGCAGTTGCGGCCCAAGCGAAGGTCTCCTTGTCGCCTTGCCCAGGAGCGCCTTGGGAAAGCAAAGGGTAATAATAGACAGGGCCCCAAAAGTTGTAGTATGTGGCAAGCATGATTGACAGAGAATGCTTGGATTTGGAGTATAGGATCTCGCCAGACTCCATGGAAGCTCGCGTTTGTAGAGAGGGAATGGCATCGATTTTGGCGATCTCGAAGTAGTAAGGTGACTCGGAAGCGTACCAGAAATCCGGCCACATAACCATACCGGTAGAATTGAAGGGGTCCTGATCGAAGAGTGGGGAAGGATCATGGAGAGGAAATGCATCTGAATCGAGGAGAAGGACTTCTTCAAAGGAGGAGAAGAGTACGGCCATGATTTTGTACTGAAAATGGTTAATTGACACACCGGATCGAGCCGTGTGGAAAACATCAGACAAGAGGAGACACTTTGCATTCAAGGGTGGTAAGACGCTGTCACAGATCTCATCGTCATAGTCTGAGACATCAGCAAGAAACACCTCAACTGGCAGATGAGAAGATGTTCTGCGTAGCATTCGAATCGAGGTGACCAGCACGGGAAGTTGATCATATCCGGCGGTCATGACGATTCCCCTGGAGCCAGGGCCGTAGACGATTTGAGGTGGAGATCTCCTCAAGTCATTGACAAAGTTGGAGTGAGCCTCTCGCATCCGTTTGATATCGGCGGCTTCTACCCACAGGACATCTGGGCGTGGGTGATTGTGGGAAGGATCAAAACCAATATCCATCTTGTGAGGTACCACGGCCTCTGGAGGATGTTCACATTGGGGGTCATTGTTCTGGATGATCAAATATAGGTCTCTCCAAAAGGCGGCCTGTTCGTTCAGTAGAGGAGTCTTCACTCGAGCCGCGCCAGGAACAGGTTCAGGTTCGGGTTCGGGTTCATCCTCGAGCGGAGAATGGGCGACCCGAGTCTGGAGAAAGAGGAGACATAGGAATAGAGCCAGCAATCGTAAGACAGCACTGGGCTGTCGTCGGTGCCATGATCGAGCAGAACGGGGGAGGAGCATGTCGTTATCGAAATTCCATCATTAGTGCCTGGGGAGTGTAGAAGGAGGGAGTTCCCACAGGAGGGAAAAAAGGCATGAATGTATCTGAATAAATGAAAGACGCCGGTTACAGCATGCAACAACAGACGAGTAGCAGGGACGGTAGACAGGACCAAAGAAACGGAATGTTGAGGGCTAAAGTACTTGGTACAATATGAAATGGGAAAATGCCAGCCACTGGCACGGGCGGAGGCCTCTGCAGAGGCACAGGCAGCAAGAACGACCTGGGAGGTTGGTATGTGGGAAGGCACGAGGCACATAGTACCAGTATCGGTACTCCAAAGCAGTAACCAGTAGCACCACCACCTCGAATCAGGTGGGTTAAGAGTGGAAATGACCTGGTGGTCCCTGGTTCTGTTCCCTTGGGATGATGGGAATTCGTGGATCTGCACTGGATCGACATGCGACATGTGCAAACATAGGAGGCTGAGAAACGTGGGGACCAAGTGGAATAGACAGTGGCACCCGGTGGAGTTTGGCGGTGATCGGTGATCAGTGGTCGTGCTTGTGGTCTCCCAGACCAAGCCAGACCAGACCGCCTTTGACATGTTTCATGTTTTGTGTCTGAATCAGTGGCAACGGAATCCGATGATCGAATAGAGAAGAAGGATCGGAGAGGCTCATGTGTCGGACATGCGCTTCCCGCCTTCTGAAGTCCTTCTAGCCTCGAAAGAATCCAATCGTGTCCTCAGCGTCGAACCCGAGGGTAAATATAGCAATTGTTAGACCGGGGGGGTGGGAGACAGCAGATCCTAAGCGCCACCGACTCCTCGGCCATGGGCATCTGGCCGCCCCTCGGCTCCCTCGGCCCTTTGACGCGCCCGGAGTTGGCATCCGCACAGGGAATCCCAGTTAAGAACCTAAAGACTCAAGCGGTGCTACGGATACCACCTATACAGGTAACAGGCACCTGGGCAGGTAAGTGCTCCGAATCTAACAGTCACGTGGTCTTGGCTCAACCCCACACCTGTGATCTGGTACACATAGCTGAAGGGCATCTAATCCCGAGTCTAGGACACCATCGGGATGCCTGATCTCGTTAGTCGCAAGCCTTCGGCTAAAGCCTAGGCGCCCCCTAGGAAGCACGTTTCTTTGGGTTTAGGGCAGGCTGATTGGGGTCATGGGGTTCTACCCTTGGTCAAGCGACGGCCTCCCACAGGCTGCTCTAGGCTCTAACTACCAAACTTAGGTGCCCTCCTAACCAGCTTGGGCGCGCCTGGGCTTGGCCGCAAGAACGTGTGCCAGACTGCCAGTGCCCCAAACAGATCCGTCCCATAATTATCTTTTTTCTGGCCCCATCCTCAAACTCGAGCGTTGTTGTACATGATCGCTCCCTCACCAGAACACTGCCATAGTACCAATTACAAGCCCCCGAGAATCTTCTTGGCCACATATTCTACCCTATGAAGCGACTCCTGCGGCGCGTGTCATCGAACCGCCGTCGGCCATGGAAGAGCCAGGCAATCAGCTGACGGTGGATGTGATCACTCCTCAAACATGGACCCAGCAATATCATCCAAAGTCACGCCGTGTAGCCCTGTCGCATCAGCGCCGGGCAGTCTTCAAATCCAAGCAGCATAAATCGACAAAATCAAAGGAACTCTTGTTCCAGAAACTCCTTGAATCGCAATCGCAATCCCTCACCCGCAGATCATCCACCAATGGCTCTCAGTTTGACCCGTTTCAATCCTTTCCCGTCTCCTCCGCTCCATCCGTCTCACACATGGCCCAATACTGTACGTTTTGATACCACTAACTCAAATAGCTAGATACTTAGCCTCTTCTTTATCCTTTGCTCTCTCTGTCCCGCAGAAGCTAACCACCCGATCCCTCAGTTCTTCAAGTCTGGGGTCCCCAACATGGCCGGGCCTTCGCTTTCGAAGGCCATAAGAATCCCTACCTGAGCCTCCTATGGCCTTTCGCGCTTCAGACCGACATCTATTTTGAGGCTCTGGTAGCCCTTTGTCGTGGCACCCTTCTTGTCGTTCAGAGCAAATCAGCTCACCAAGACAAAGCATTTGCTTTACACCGATCAAATGTTATGACCAAATTGCGGCGGAGACTCCAGGACCCCGAACAGTGTGCTGATGATGCCACAATCCTCGTCGTTGCCACCCTTGGAACCATTGATTATATTCTTGGTGATCACAATGCTGCCACCGCTCATGTTACTGGAATGCGCCAAATGATCAAGATCAGAGGTGGTTTCAAAGCCAACACCCCTTGGGACCGACTTCTACAGGCAAACGTCACAGCTTATGAATCGCTTTGGTCCTTCTTGTTTGCTGCCGACACTACATCCAACGACATCATTCAAAACGCCAGCCAAATTCTGGGAAAATCCGAGTTGACTACCTACCTCAGCCACCCATTCCCCCCCGACGTCTGCGAAATGCTGGCCAAGGTTCCCAGGGGTTTCTCCGATCTGGGTTTGACTGGTGTCCTTTCCCTCCAGATCATTCGTCTTTTGGCAGATTTCAATCAGCTGAGCGTGCAACTGTCCTCATCACCTGTGGAAGGCAAGTTCGAAATGGCATTGCGACCCAAGATCCAAGGTGTGCTGGAAGACCTTCATCGGCTGGCAACATTGCAGACGACACCTACAGAACGTTTTCTAACCAATGGCCTGGTGGCATATTGCTACCTGATACGAAGCATATATTTCGACGAAGTCCTGACCGGCTTTTATGAGAACGCATTGAAAATCCTTGCAGAGTCCGCACTGAAGCAACCACCATGTACCAGACTTCCAGATCGCAAGTGCTACCTCTGGTCATACACGATGATCTGTACTGCACTCGAAACCAGTGTGCACCCTCCGTTGGAGTGGAAGTCTTTGATGCCCATGTTCCTGCGGACATACTCCGAAACCAACTCATGGAAGATGCTCAAAAGGGATCTGGAGACCTTCTTCTGGGAGGACAACCTGGCTCAGCTTTGTAGAACGGCTTATGACGAGGGCGTCCGGAGGAAGAAAGAAGGCCAAGGTCTGTCGCCCCCTGCGGAAACGCGTCACTCGACAATGACCATTCGAAATGTTGTTCTATGACAACTCTTGCAAGTACACTGATGCTGTCAGTCAACACCACACAATATTTTCTCCGCTCCTGTTGACATTCGAGGCCAAACAAGAAGGAAGAAGCATTGAGAATGCTTGCAGCAAAATATCGACGAAAATGTCGACTTCCGTCCCCTGGTCCTGTCCACCGTCACGTGACGTTGCCTCCAGAGATGACGTCCCAAACCCACCACACCCATTGGTGGCATATGCTGGAGAGGACAAGCGCTTCAATAGGGAAATAAGGCGCGTACATTGCCGGTGCAATTCGGACGCACATCCGCCTTCGGCCAGTGAATCACATTTTGGGGGGAGGGAGGGGGGGAAGGGGGTCAGCTGTCCAAGACTGGCCTTCGGTTCGCATGCGAGGCGACTCATAACTAGCATTGTTCTGCCAGACCCTACCTTGCAATTTCAAATTTTACAGCGGCCTAAACTCAAGCAATTGGCCACCTAGAGATACACTGTTTGGCCACGAAACGAAGAGGATCCAGCTCGTCGTCCCATCTCCTTCACAAACCGCCGGCCGCTCCCTTCCTGCAGGCCTCAATCGGTCCTAGGTGGTCTCAACGCGCCAAAGCAATGGAATAGTTATGCACATCAGTTCGAATTTCGACTTGGTACAAGGGAACGAGAAGATAGATGTATCGAACGGATACACAAGCGATGGGCATGCCCCTCTGAGCCGTTCGTGTTCATGTTGATGTTGATGTTGATGTCCATGGACGTGCAACGTACATCCACATCCATATATATTATAGTATATTCGAAACAAGAAATCCAATCTACACATCTATCCATGTCTCTATACATTCACTGGACGGGCAGAAGAGTGCACTCTGTCAAGTGAGAAACGGTAAACTGTCAAAAGGAGGATGAAGGTGAGGGAGAAAGACAAGCAAGAAGAAGAGCATCACCATGGATTTCTCTAGTTACAGTTGTCGTCAGTGACGACCACGAGCACGAGCACACGCAAATGCAAAATTCTTCGCTTGCGCGTATGGTTATTGCCCCAAATTCCGCTGGTAAACACCTGTCAGTATGATGGTAGTGATGAAGAAAATGATAATGACGAAAAACACCCCTCCCAACCAGTTCTGCTGATATTACACCTTTGCACACCCAGCCCACCTTGGGCTTCCTGAGTCTTAGCCATCCAAGTCGTTAAGTATTGCCCCGAGAAGAGAGAGAAACAAGAGCAAGATAACTCCACCATAAGCGCAGGCCGCCAACGAAAACCAGCCGTCATGATCAAGATCTATATCGTGAGACCTTGGAATACTTTTGCAAACATAGAAAGATGAACATCCGCTTCTCCTCTAGAGCACCGTGCCCTTTGATAGACCTCAATAGGTCTCTTCAACTTCCGTGTTCCAAGTTGCGTCGCTGTCATCCACTCGTCGAATATTCTCGTCCGACATTTCTCGGAACTGCTGTTGCTGGTAGTGAGGATTGTTGGCATGCATACGGATTTTTGCTGGTGGAGGAGCCATCTGGCCTAGATGACTTCTCTCACCGCCATGCGCCGTCAGCGGCCGCTTGCCATTGAGGTTTGGGTTCATGCCTAGGGCGTTGGTTGTGCTGACCACTTGATGTTGCTGGGTTTTGGCGTAGTAATTATCTCGCACATCACGCTCAGGTTCCATTTCTGATGCATCCGAGAACGTCTCCCAATTCTCCGAACCGGAGGCAGTCGTACCCGTTGTCATGTTCGAAGACGTGTTGGAAGGCTGACGCGAGGACATCGTGGACTGAGGTCCTGATGGAATAGGGTGATGTGATGTATTGTGGCTGTGCATTGAGGTTGATGAAGAGAAGGATGTTTGGTGGGGATGCATGGGTGGAGCTTGATAATGGGATTTAGCATGATTCTGTGGCTGATAGTGCGCGTCATGATATTGACTTTGGGATTGATGAAACTGCTGCTGTGGATATTGCGCTTGTCGGTCGCGGTTTACCAGAGACGCGGACATGTAAGACATTCTTTCACTATCATGATAGACATCTTCGGGGCTCACCGGGCGGACATAACGGCTGCTTTCGTTCGAGCTAGACGAAACTGTACTTAGTGGACGATTTGTTGAGGGAGCAGGATATGAATCAGCGACATTCGTAGGTGTCTGGTCAGGTGGTATAAAGAGATCTCGCATCTTTGGTGGCGGGGCTCGTGGTGGACCCATTGTTCTCGTAGTTTGGGAGTAAGACTGTTGTGGAGGTTGCTGCAGCTGTTGATGATGATGGCTGGTTCCACTTGGCTGGGGAATGGTCCGACGTTCAGGTGAGTGGTTTCCATTCTTGACGGGGCTTGCAGGTGCTCGAGCCGGAATCTTAGATGGAGACTTGGTTGGAGGAGCAGAGGCTCCGGGCCCTGGCTGTCTGATTGTTCCTGGTCGACTACCTGTTGGAGTTTTGGCCGTTGATCGAGTAGGAGGAGGTGCTCTCATGACACTTGCTGGTCGTCCTGGCTGAGAAGCTTTGCTGTTACTGACAACTGGCTTGCTAGCGGTTACTGCTGGAGCTGGAGTTTTTGCTCTCGGCGGGAGCCCATTTGGTGTCTTGGATCGAGGTGGTGGTGCTTTGACTTCTGTCTCCTCCAGTTCGTCGAGAAATTTCTCTCCATGAATCAGAAAAGGTCGTCCATATTCGTCTTCATATTTCTCCAAGATCTTTGCTAACTCAGCGATGAGTTTTGGCAACTCCTTCGCGATTCGCTTCCTCATCTTTTCTTCTCTGAGAAGCTTGCCAGGATCTCGCTTCTCTCCCTTTTGGGGCTTGAGTAGGAGTCTTGATGCATCATTGGCGGAAGCGGCAAGAGCATCGCGATCGGTAATCAAGGATTTGTATCTCTCGACCTTTTCCAGAATTGGAGCTCGTTGTTCTTTGAGAGTTTCCAGCCGTTCAATCTCTGCTTCATGAGCCGATAGCAAGGCATCGCTATAAACATCAGAGAAGGCCGGTGTAAAATCAAGCATTTCCTCTTCGGAAAAGAATAAGGAATCCCATAGCTCTTGGAGTCTGACTCTGGCATCCTCGACAAAGAGATGCAGATTCTGTCTCTTGAGTTCATTCAGACGCGCTAACTCGTCCTCAAACTCATTTATGGCTCTTAAACCACAGCCACGGTTAGAGGCGAGAAAGACCTTTCGGTCGGGCTCTTCAACTCCCAAGCGATCCCAAAGCGTTTCGATATTTTTCTTGATCTCGGTTAAGCGTTTTTCACGGCCCTTTTTCTCATCAAGCAGCTTCTCTCGGCGACTACGTAGGCGGTCGAGATCTGCTTGGTGGAGGCCCAACTGCTCGGGTGAATCGCGGTAATGCTGTACTATTAACGAATCGGTTTGGGCCTGAGGAATTCCCAGCTCAGACCACAGTCGTACTATCTCTTCTGAAGTCTGCTGGACTATGATGACTCTCTTGTTATATTCATCGTAAATTCGAGTGAATTCGTCGTCGAGTGAGGCAACAAAGGAGGGGGAAAGGTCGAATGTAGGGGGACATGAATTCGAGGAAGTGGGTGGCAGCCGGATCTTGACAAAGGATGACTCGAGGTGAGAGGAATAAGACTCGAGAGCTTGTACAAGTTTCTTGACTTGATCAAAGCGCTCTCGGTGTAGACGACTGACGATGTTGTACTTCTCTTTCAGGTCGCGTAAACAATCGACCAACGGGAATGTTACACGGAGGCCATCGGTGTCAACATCGTAGCCCCGGTCCTTTTCGTCGTCCAGCGACGCTTCCATCTGCTTGATTGTGTTTATGATATTTTGCGCTTCTTCGGTGAGCTTGTTCTTTTCACTACAACCACGGGTCAGTCTTCAATTCGGTCAGTGGAAAGTGAGAGCTCGTCACGTACGAATTGACCAGGCGCAACTGATTGTGCAACGCTTCGGATAGAGCAGCGAAGAGCTCGGTTTCGCGAGAGTCGCGTTCATTTCGAGGCACACCAATCTCATCAAATATGGAGTGCAGCTGGCCGATGATTGTGGTGACCTGTGTGGTGAGATAACTTGTGTCCATTGGAGCTGGCATCTTGTGGGCGGGCCGTCGAACTCGGGCTCGTGGCCGAGCAGCTGATTGATGAGGAAGGCAGTATTCGATCGGCGTCGAGATGATTATGATGGGAAGGAAAGATGGCAGCAGACACGAGGAGTTCTGGTCAACTTGTGGTCATGGCGTACAACGAATCATAGGAAGCTTGCACGTTGCGATTCGGGCAAGAGCCGAGTGATGGTGGAGAAAGATGTTGTCGGTGGCGGTTGCCCAGCAACAGGGGGGTTTCACGTGATGATAGGTCGGCAGCCACTCGATAATCGATAGCAACGATGACTACTCTGGACACTAGTAGCCCACTTTGTTCACCGCCTTCTGACCCTCGGCAGAATCAACTGCGTTTCTACTCCGCATCTCTCTCCATTGCTAAAGGTGGAAGGCAAGGCTCCTGGATGACTACTTGCAATTTGTACCATCCTCAGAGACTTTGGATGATCGTGACTTCACTGCTTTCGCTGGTTTTTCCCCTTCCTTGCCATCCAGATCTCCCATTATGTCAACTCTTTCCTCCTTCCGAGAGTGGGAGGCTCAGAACAACATCATCACCGTCGACCCATCTCAGAATGCATTGTACAGCTTGCCTGACCCAGACAGCTACAAGGTCCTTCAGGATTCTGCGCCCTGGAAGAAAGATCCAAACTACTTTACACACGTTCGAATATCAGCTCTAGCTCTCCTGAAGATGACTACCCATGCCCGATCTGGCGGCAACATTGAGATCATGGGTTTGATGATTGGCTATATTTCGGGCAAGTCCCTTATCATCACAGACGCTTTTCGATTACCTGTCGAGGGAACAGAAACAAGAGTCAACGCACACGCTGATGCCGATGAGTACATGGTCAATTTCGGAATTGCCTCTCGTGAAGGAGGCGGGCAGTTGGAAAACGCAGTTGGTTGGTACCATTCACATCCAGGCTACGGATGCTGGCTCTCTGGAATTGATGTCAACACCCAGATGACCCATCAAATGGTCAACGATCCCTTTGTCGCTGTAGTCATTGATCCTGACCGCACTGTGAGTGCTGGTAAAGTAGAGATCGGCGCCTTCAGAACCTACCCCGAAAATCAGCGCCCAATGACAAAGCAGTTTACTGACGATAGTGATGAGTTTCAAGCCATCCCGGCTGCCAAGATCGAAGACTTTGGAACACACGCAAATTCATATTATTCCCTCGAAGTTCAGCACTACAAGTCAACTCTGGATTCTCATCTGCTGGGTCTACTATGGAACAAATACTGGACTTCCACACTGTCTCAATCCCCTCTATTTACCAACCGCGACTACGCTCAAAAGCAAATCGCCGATCACGCAATCAAGATTCGTGAGGCTGGAAAAAAGCAGAGGAACAGTACTGCTTTAGGTCGTCGTGGCCAAGAACTTGCCGGGCCTGGGGACAAAAACTTTAAAGTGATACGTGACGGATCCTTGGAACAGGTAGTGAGAGGCGGCAGTAAAATCGCGACCGAAGAGGTTGCAGGATTACTGGCTAGTGAGGTGAAGAAACAACTGTTCTGGGGTGTTGTTCAAGAGGCTCGACTCAAAGCTGCAGAGGCTCAGGCAGCTCAGGCAACTGCAGGCATCACAAGAAATGGTGGTTGAGATCAATCGACTTCCGGATATGTTCATTCGTCACTCCATGATACCACCAACATCCATTCCCAGGGCAACTGAATGCCACAGCGGATAGCTATGATCCCCCTTCAGGTTCTACAATCGAGAATCTGATGGCCTGAAAAAATGAGCAAACTGGCAGACCAAAGTTGATCACCTATGAGCGGTATTGTCCAGTTGGGGAGCACCATAGTGACCACGTCTTTTCCTCACTGGCTTTGCAAACTGCGGACACCCGGGTATCAAAATATGACGAGAGAAGTGACCAACCCGATCCATAAGGAATCGCAGGCTAGGGGACGGAACTGGGCACGTTGACCTTCCTTTTGATCCAGTCTCAAACCAGCCAATAACAACAGGTGTAGGTCCCCTAATTAGGGCAACTGTCACCTACGCCCCTCTCCTCTCTACCGCAAACTTTGTGACGTTCTCTGGGGGGACACATTCTCCCTAGTTTGTGCTAGTCTGGGAATAACAACGAATTAGCAAGCTGGTAGACAAGATCCTGTTGTGTGATCTTCTATGCCGTAGACCTCACATAAGAATCTTCGGTGATGATACAATAGATGATATTTGCTCAACGCTGAAACCATTCCTCATAGATTGTTTTCACACGTATCGGCAGCTGTGCCTCTAGTGTTCTGTGATCTTTCGAGATGTCCCGGGACTTGGGTGTGTAGTCGTCGCAGGCTTTCTCCACCAGCATCCTTGTAAGTAAATTCAGGCGTATCACTCAACCAGCAGGCTGTATACTAACATATCGATCAACCGTTGAAAAGGCCCATGTTGACGCCACTTCGACAGATTTAAGTCATGGGTTTTGATCTACTGTAAGTGTGGTAGAGTGGAAGAAGGAAGAATACTCAACAAATCAGATCTTTCTAAACCGTACGTACATGTTAGGAGACAAACCAAGTCGCTGTTGATCTGGCATTCCTCAATTGATGAACACCCGGGGGAGTGAGTGGCTGGATCTGCAATTTTTGCGGGTGAACAATACGGAGTACTATACGTGATTTAAACTTTTTTCAAAGGCATTTTCGTCTCTATGGCTTGCTCTAAAAACTGGGTCGAGACCTTGGTAATAAGGCCAGTCACATATGAGTGTTCGAGGGTGAAAGGGATCTGGGTCGTTTCCGTGTGAAGAAAGACCGTAGTCGAAGCTGGCTCTCGTTTTCTTTTCCGGGGTTCCATCATGCCTTCCACAACCATTCACATCGGAAAACTCCATACTTTTCCCGCGAACTCCATCATGCTCGAAGAAGGAAGGAAGGAAAGCAGGCAAGAAAGCAAGCAAACTGCCCTGCCCGCCCCGAGCCCACATTTGTCATAGGACCTGAGGAGAGAAATAGTCCAAAAATTTCGACGAGACGGACCACAGCCAATTCTTACCAGCCGTTATCTCCCATTGTGGTGGGTCAGACAAGTAAGATGACTTTCTAAATGTACAGGAGACCTTGGGAGGGGAAGGAAGACGAGCCGCAAGCAATGTCAAAGGACGATGTTTTCGTCCAATCACGAAGCGAGAGCCCTTGATGGAACGTTTCGGCGGTTGTTGCGTTGCTTGGTGGGTTTCGACACCGTGCTCCAACCGTCTTCCTCGAGGGCGGCGGCGGCGGTGCTGTTGTCAGCAGGGGCCGCAGGGGCCGCATGCGATTGCGGGCCGCCTCTCCAGGAACCATTTGCGCGACTGGTGCCCGGGTTTCGTACCACCTCTTTGGGTTTGACGGCTTTGTCGTCCACAGGAAGAGTAACCTCGCCTTCGTCTTCATTCGCGTCATTAGGGACCATGTCGTTATCCTCAGCCCGTCGTAAAATGTCAAACTTGGGCGTGGTTTGCGTGCTTTCTTCTTCGTTATCCTTGGGAGAAGCTGAGTCCTTGGCCTCCTTGCTTGCTGGCTCCTTGACCTTTTCGGAGTCGGCCTTTTCCTTTGCAAGTCGCTTCTCCTCCGCCTTTTCGGCTCGATTCTTCTCCTCCGCCTCCTTCTTCTGTCGGATTGCAAGCTGTCGTTTCTCCTCGACTTCTTTCTCTTTGGCGGCAGTGTCTACCGGGCGAGCAGCTCCAAAGGGACTAGCTTTTGAGTCGGTGGCAGCTGGGGATAGGGGATCGGCCTCAGAGACAGTGCGTTTCTGTAGATTCAACTTCGGTCTCCCAGCTGGAGCAGGAGCAGCTGGTGGAGCTGGGGAAGATGGTTCGCTGGCTTCAGGAGTTGGGGCCTTGGCTGGTGCATCTGGTCGCATCCTGGCACGCCACTGGTTATCCATTTCTGATGCTGTGGGCTGTCGTTCCGGGGCTGGCTTTTCAGTGTATTCTTTCCTGGGAGGACGAGACCCATCCTGAGAGCGACCTTCTCCCCAAGCAGGGGAGTTCCTGCGGAAACTGCCTTGCGCATCTTTGCTGTGCTGCCTTCCACCCTCTCGAAGAGATGTGGGGGCAGGGGTGACAGGGGACAGAGGGCCTTTTCTCTCCCAATTTGAGAAATCCCGGTTCTTGCCATCTCCTTGTTCAAATCCACGGCGGGTTGCCCGTTCACTGCCAGCATCCGACATGTTGTCGAAACTCTTTCCAGCAAAGTTAGGTCGCTCAGAGGTCCTTCGCTGATTTTGCGGTAAATCTGGAAGTGGGCCTTTGCGAGACCAGTCACTAAAATCACGAGCGTCTTGCCTTTCCTTCGCTGAGAGGCAATTAGAAGGTTTGAACGAGTCTATAGGAATCTGGATCAACTTACGTGGCTCTGCGACGCTGACTCGAACTTGTCTTCCGGCAAGGTTGTTGCCGCTGAGGGCAAGGGCATTCTTCAGGCCATCCAATGTCGCAAATTCAACGTAGCCGAACCCCTTGGGCTTGCGGTCGAGCTTGTCTTCTACAATGCGAACATTTGTCACCTGGCACTCACTGAAGAAATCGTTGACGTCGCCTTGAGTGGCATCGAAAGAGAGGTTGGCGAGGTGCGCGGTGTAAGGAGGTTGAGTGGGCAGAGGGAGTTGCTCTCGAGGTGGGTATCCATCTCTCCTGTCTGTGGAGATAGTCAGCCAACAGGTCACCTATAGAATCCAGATTTGATGCACTCACCAGAGAATCTGTCACCGGATGGTGCGTTGGAGCTGAAATTGCGTCGGTCTCCTCCGTAACTGGGTCTACTATCTGAGGCTGTAGTTGCACCCGAATTGTCAGTAATTGTACTTTAGAGCCTCGGCTTGTAAAGGGCCATACAAGGCAGTGGCATATCCTCCATTTCGTCAGCCCACGAGCCGTAGTCTGTCAAAGCGTCAGCGAGGTTGCCATGTGCGCAAATCCATCTTGTCAGCACCCACTTTCGTCCTGCAGGAAAGTCCCAAGGGACATCTTCTGCGGCTGGTTCTTTTTGGGAGCTATCGTTTGTCAGGACAGAATCCATAGCATATGTTGGGACCAGCCAGGTGGGCGGGCGCCTTGCCGCAAGCACATACCCATGTTTGCAAATTCTTGGGCGAAAAAGTGCGACGGGTTGTATAAGGTTCTTGAGCAGATATGGAGATGCCACAGTACGGTGAAAGACGTACTCAGGCTGGAAGAAGGGCGTACAAACAATGAATCCGCCTCGCTGAGATGTGGGCGGCGTGCAGTCTCGCGCAGGAGGAACGAAGTGTCGGCGAGGTTGACTTGGACTTTGAGTAAAGAGGGCGGCACCCATTATTTTCCACAGTCACGTGGGGTGCCTTCTTGGCGCATATGAAGATTTACCTGCCGGTTTATGGGTCACGGGAACACACGGAATTAAGACGCGAAACTTGAACACGAAGCCATTGGTTCAGGAGTCGTGACTCCTAACACGTGACATTCTAGTAATCTTTATCTCCCGAGTGCAGTCTCGACTCTCGAGGCATCCCTATCGCCCATCGACCAACGGACGCTTCCAAGATGCTATTCTAAAGACTTTGTGACCCTGAAATTCATGTCCACTGGCAAATCGTTCGCAGGCAGACCTGGGACCCGGCCCAAGGATGCTTTCTCTGTGCTTTTCCCGGCGCTGGGAGTCGGTGTAGTCACTGGTTCGTGACCAGCACAATGTTGAGAGCCCTCTTACTGATCTTGCATCCTAGGTAGCTGTGGTTTAGTGTATGGATCGGTGGTGTCGACTCTTATACAATCACCCAATCCTAGGGTCTATACAGCACTATCTACGGTGCAATGGTTTGCAGCAGGAACCACATTTTTCGGTCCGAGGATATTGTCTATCTATCTGGGTGGGGGGAGCTGACTTCTTGTAGGTATTCGCACTTTGGCTCTGAGATCATCAGCATCTCCTGAAAGGCCATTACATCGCGTCCTGGCAAGTGGCATTGCAGGATCATTCAGCGGAGCAGTTGCGGCCCAATTTTGTAGGTGACGTTCTTTTGGTGAAGCTTATAAACATATTTTGATACGCAACAGTGCCTCGTGGAGCAATTCTCTCCGGAGCCATTGGTTTTGGTGTGCTCGGTATGGGTGCACAATTAGGTATTAACGCGTTTGGTGACAGTGTGAATGGCTTTCAGCCTGGCTCCTTCACTAAACGCCTTGCTGCTTGGAGTCCGATGAAAGCTTTGACGGATGACGAGTATGAAAAGATCCTTCAACAAAAACTTCTGAAAGTGGAGGTAGAGATCTCTCTAGTGGACGATCAGATTGCCGAATTACAACGGCTAAGTGCGCAGCAAAAAGAGCGGCTTGCTTCTTCCACAAATACAGCCGTATAAGCAGACCCGTCGACTGTATAAACTAATAATCCAAGGGGGCAAGGTGTATAATTATAAGCAATAAACCCCAATACGGAACGCGTATAAAAGTGCCGGAAGTGGAAAGACTCCGTGCCTCAGTCGATTTGCAGACGTGTTTAGCGAGGGTGAAGGATCAGCTACAGACACCCAGGCCCAGGCACCCACAGGCACTAAGGCAAGGAGGAGTAGGATTAGTAATGAGACCAGACTGACGGATGATGTACGGAAGGGCCTCAGATCCAGCGTGTCGGCCATTTCCTGATCAATAGGTTGAAGAGTCCTGCTTTTGCTTGCTACAAGTGAATTCGATTGAGCACAACTTCAATTGATTACCTCGAACCTTGGACGAGTACCGAATGCTAGTGGCGCCTGCACAATAAGCATTAAGCTTGTTCATGGATGCGGCTGAGTCACCTATCGATAGCCACACTCAGCAATCTCCCTCCGAAGTCTGAACCAGGTATAGCGTGGGCGTGGGTGTGGGTGTGGGTGTGGGTTTGGGCGTGGGCGGCTACCTATCCGAGGGATCTCTAGGCATGGCATGGGCATGGGCCTGAGGACCTGACTTACTTATCGCATGGGCATTGGGCGTATGTAGGCATTAAGTTCCAGGTTGGCATGGGGTCCGCTGCGGGTATCATGGAGCACTAGGCAATACGCACCAATGCCACCATCACAGACGACGCTGCCGCAGCTGGCGCAGCTGCTGCTTTTGCTGCGGGCGCCGTCCTTGACCTCATCTCCGCACGTTCCCAAAAGTTCCCAGGTTGTTATGTGGCCATCCCTTCAACTTGCTATTGAGCTCGTGTTTGCCCGCTTTCGCTTTTGTGACATTTCCATCCTCATCTTCCCCGTTTCCGTGGATATACGATCTCACCTATACTCAGCACTCCGCTTAGCCCATAGCCCTCGATTACTTCCTCACGCTCTGCCCCGTCTTGGAACTAATGCGCCACATACCCCGAACGTTTTGAATTGTGCCTGCGCACTCCCCCGCCATCGCGACCACATTCTCGGTTTATGTCAAGCCTGAGAGAGGGATTGGGCTTCAATGCTATTGCGATCGTGTCACGGTCTCAGAATTGGAATGTTCGACAATGACCACATATGAACGAGGTCCCAAGCCAATTTACTGGCATTCGAGAAGACTGCCGGTGCAAATGGCCTGATCCCGTTGCAAGCTACCTATTCTTTCACAATCTAAACCGAGTCGCATCGTGCTGAGGAGGTAGAGATACAGGATGCCTTTGGTCAACGGCACCTCCTTTGCGGCAGTCGTCGTCCTGGTCTATCTTTCCACCTTTGTCCTGCTTGCCATCTTCCGAATCGTGACCGGTGTTTCAATCCAAAGAATTGGTTATTTCAGCTTCAGACATATCTCCTACACTCCAAGAGAAGGCTTAAGGATAGACTTGCGTGGTATAGGCCTGAGCTTGCACAGGCCGACCTTTGCGCAGCCGTCATGGATCAGCCTAGTCTTCGAGGAGCTAAAGATTACTCTTGATCCTGCGACCTTTGAGAATCCACCGGCACCTCCTGCCGATCGAACAGGCGAAAATGACAAGCAGGAGGCGGTTAATCCTGCTCGCAGCGGAATCAAGAGTCGCATGGGCAAGAGAAGCCAATTGTGGAAGAAATTGACCAATGTCAAAGAGCGCATCAAGCGCATCCACCGCCAAATTCACCTTCTTCGCCTGTTTGATGTCGTTGCCACCAACACAACTGCCGAGGTTGTAGGAGTTGGTTATGTACAGATTTCGAGTTTCACAGCGGCAGTCTATACCAGGCGAAAACTTCTCGACAGAGGTCGTCTGTTTCGCCATAAGAAAGACCCCTTAGGCGGGCAAAAGCCTGCGGAATGGGTCTTCACAGTCAAGAGCATAATCATGGGCGTGGGTGGCCGTGATCCAATCGAGGTTCTGGATGGCATGACCATAAATATCCACGGTCTCTTGTACAAGGAGCGAGAAGGACTTCGCGATACTTCAATTGCCATCAAGGCTGGCCGGCTCTACGTGCCTGTTGACGAGATCACCCAATTTTCCCGTCGAGGTAAGCGCGAGATGAAAAATCACCAGACTTCTCAAATCTTGAGCCCGATCGAAGAAATCTCCTTTGAAGATGTGGCCGAGGAACTCGACAACCCAGGCAGTCGGGAGGCTTCAATCGTTCAGACTGTGGCAGATTCAAAAGAGTTCTTCAGTTCCATCCTTCAAAGTGTCCAGGAGATCCAGCTTGCAATGAGTTTCGTCCGCATTTCCAAGGAGATTGAGTCCTTACGCCAGGCAAATCTACCGCTGACCGCTAATGTAGTCATCCATGAAATTGGAATCGATTTGCATAGACTCGACCAAAAGTCCCCAGCTCATCGGACATATTTCTCAAGAGACGACATTGCTCATCAAGCTTTGGTGGCTGCCTTATCAATATCCGTTAGTCTGGACGAGGACGACTCCCAGACGAACAAGATTATGTATATCCCAATGGCAACTACCACCATACGGACTACGTTGCCAGCGAAGACTATGAGCTTCACTCAACATCGTGATGTCGCTGAGCGGAACACCAACATACTGTATGCAAATCTCGTTGTCACCTCACCGTCTGTCGACTTGGTCCCGCAACATCTAATCCGGCTTCTCGCGATTGCACAACACAGAGATCCACCACAAACTTCTTCGTCAAATCGTCATCGCCTAATATCTAGGTTACTGCCTAAAGCAAATATCAAACTTTCAATTCATGAGCCCGTGGTCAGATTCATACTACCAGTTGCCGATCGTACACATGCGGCTCCCGGCGAATATGATATGATCATCTCTTCAATTTCGTCTGTTTCACTAGATGTGGAATCTTCTCATTCGGCGGTGGGAGAGCTTTCGTATTCTCTGGACTCAAACTTTCGCATAATGTCGCACCAGCTCTATTACCAAGCATCGACAGGCATAAAACATAATCTGGTCCTTGCAGAGGCATTGGAAGTCAAGACCCAGGTCGTTGCTTCAACAGATGTCTCAGTCATCATGTCTGGAAACCTCCGCACTTTCTCCGTCCTCATGGTGCGGCAAGAAGTCAGCCAAGGCATCTATAATATAGTCAGGCACTTTAAACGTCATGGCGTGAAGGATAATGCGGCCACGCCGACCAAGATCGCACCCACTGCCTTCTTGAGGAAACTGCCTTCATGGCTTCTAGAGGTCAACTTTGAGGGTTCGGGTTGTAGTATTGAAACTGCAGCTATAGACTCTACTATCTCTACGCAGACTCGAGGAGTTGCCTTGGAGCTGGAATCGTGGACAGCTCACTATCAGTCCTCGCGAACAGAAGCTCCAAAGAAGCCTGGACTGACAAGAAGGAAAACCAGTACTTCTGCCCGTTTTGACGAGACATTTGCAACTGGAAAACATACATCACACCCGATATCACCTCCGCGCCGGCACGATAGCGATCCCACGGACGGACGGCGGCTTGCTGTGCATGTAAAGGGCTTTGAGGGCTACATAATTGAGTCGCTCGACACTTGGGAGCCTCGGCCGTTCCTATCTATTCCCAGATGTGAAGTGGCGCTCAGTACATCACGGGATCACCAAGGCCCGTTGTTCCATATACACTCCGTCGTTCGATCCATCTATCTGGAATTTTCATTGTACAGATTTTATTCATTTGGTGTAGGAGCTTCATTCTTAAAAGATGCCTTTCTGGGCCCAGCATCTGGTACTACGAGCTTGCAGAAGCTTTCACAGCCTGGTCCGGATGACAGCCAAACCGAAACTAGTCATCCAATCGCGCCTCCAGGCTCTGAAATCACGGCCATTGATTTCAAGGCGAGTTATGTCCAGATAAAAGGCCAGATGCCCTCGGACCCAGCAGTTCTCTTACAAGTATTTGACGTCTCTGCTGGGCGTCACAGATGGTCTGCACCGTTCTTACGATCCCATTTAGTTCGCTTACACGCCGAAGCACCTCATCTAAAGCGCGTATGGGCACGAATCGCAAACGCGAGCAACATTCGCGTTGACCTTCGTCATAACAAGAAAAAGTCTTCTCACGGAACGGTAGAAGAAAAGTCGATCGATGTATCGTCGGACTTTGTACGGCTGGCTGTTCCGCATGGACTTCAAATGTACAAGGTCTTTGATAACTTCATCAACACTGGCAAGGCAATAGCACAACTCAAGCATCGTTTCCAAACAAGAACGAATGAGTATATTTTGAGGAAGGATCCTGTGGGCCCTAAGAAGATACCCCGTGTATCCTTGCGTTGTAAGGCAATTTGTTTAGAGTTCGAAGATGACCCTTTCGAGTGGAAGCTCGGCGTTATTTACAACATTGGCCGCATAGAACAGAAACAGCGACTGGCACGAGCAGATGCTTTCCGACTGAAGGTCAAAAGACTGAACGAAGAAAGGGTGCCACGATCCTCGTCACGGTACAGGACTCATTCAAGTCGTCGGGCTTCCCCAGTTGCAGCTTCTGACCACCACTCACGGCGATCCAGGAGCTTTGACAATAAACAGACTCCTCGAAAACGATCTACCTCCAGAGGACGGCGTGGCAGAGAATCAGGCAAGATCCGTTACGATCGTGATGGAGTTTGTGCCCTAACAAATAAAGCCAAAATCCATGCCAAAGAAGCTTGGGAGAAACTTGAAGCGCACAATGCTCGAAGCTGGAAGAGGAGAATTGACTGGATGACACAGCTGCAAACCAACACCATCAGGAATATTCGCCAAATGTTCGCCGGAGCTGATGATCCCCCTGAAGATTCCGAGGAGCATGAAGCAATCTTGAGTATCCCGAATCGACCTGGTCTGATGACCCTGATTATCAGCGATCTGCACCTTGTCATCGACAAACCTTCTTTTCCACAGGCGGAGCTGCCTAAGTTTTTACATGACATTGGGAAGGGTATGCCTTACGACACTGAATATGCTCTCTTAGTCCCCGTCAGTCTCGCGCTTGACATGGGCGAGGCCCGTGTGCTGCTTCGCGACTACCCTCTAAACCTCCTCCATATTCCAGCCATTCGTGCGGGCCAGCCGCCAAGATTACCAAGTTGGTCCTTACGCTCAGACTTTGTAATCGCTGAAGAGTTCCGGGACGATCAATCTACGAGACACGTCAAGGTGGACATAGTACCTAGAGGTCAACATGACGATGATGGAGGTGACATCCCAGGGTTCGCAATCGACGTCAGGAGAACAGTGTCACCCGTCAAGACTTTTTCCCGACCAGTGATCGATATTAACACAAGCCTACCGACCGCCATCTCTTGGGGCACATCGTATCAACCTGTGATTCAGGACATGATGATGATTATCGAAGGGTTCACCAAACCCGAGATCGATCCTTCTGATCGCGTTGGCTTTTGGGATAAGATTCGACTTAGTTTCCATTCGCGTCTGACTGTAAATTGGAAGGGTGATGGCGATGTGCAGTTGCGTCTCAAAGGTTCAAGGGATCCGTATGTTGTAACCGGCTACGGAGCTGGATTTGTGATGTGCTGGAGAAACGATGTCCAGTGGTCAATACATTCTGGGGACGACCCCCGGAATTTTATGACCGTAAGGAGTGGAGAGTATGTGCTGGCTATACCGGACTACAGCCACGAAGCCCGTAATTCACCTGAACAAAAGGCGACCCAGGACAATGACAGCCTGTCTACCGTCAGCTCACAAAAGAATGCTGCGATTTTCAAAAAGGTTATCATGAAGGTTTCTGGCAATGTTCAATGGACTGCAGGGCTTGTTTTTGAACGAGACTTGGAGAAAGGTGGCCGATCTTCCATCTTCGAGCCTCATTATGCTGTTGTTTTGAAGAACCCTAATTCGTTGCACGACATCGATCTCAGGAATTACGATGCTTTCCGAGGGTTCAGAAGCAATCATATCCATCTCTCCGTAGCAGTTGCTGCCCCATACGACAGAGACTGGTTGAAGGGCGACTCTACTCCGTCGGAAAGTTACAATAGCGTTCATCTCAGCCCCAGATTCTTTACGCATTTCTTTAATTGGTGGTCTTTGTTCTCGGGGGTGATGTCTCTTCCTATACGTCAAGGGCAATTATGGAGAGGGCCTGAGAAGACAAGTAAAAAGTTCGGCAGACATCTGGCAACCATCAAGTATGGTCTTTTGCTGTCGCCTCTCTTCATTGCTCACGTCTATAAGCACAAGGACGCGGAGGACTATCAAGAAGACGTCGTTTCTGCGACTGGATTAAAGATCAAAATTGATAGCTTCATGCTGGATCTTCATCAACGGAGAGAGCACTTCGATACATTATCCAAGGGGAAATCCGAGCAAATGAGAACCAGTGCCATGAAAATCAACAAAGCCGAGCTTGACTTCATACGGGCAGACTTAAGGGCAGTGGCTGCAAGTATAGGTGGTACAACCGCGGAGGAACTTCAGAAGACAACAGACGAAATGCTCTCGTCATATCAAGACACACCTGTAAATGTGGATTTGTCTCAGTTTACCATTCCCGACCACGATTTTACCTGGATTGACATGGACGATTTTGTCGAATTGGATTGGGTGCTTCCTTCGGAGTCGAATCCTGAAACCAGGATCTTACCATTGGCATTTACTCCTCGTTTTACGTACTTCCGCCAAACAGACCAGGGAAATGCTATACAAGGTGATGAATCGCGTGTTAGTCCATTTGGAGACGAAAACACCCATTTTTGCGTCATGTCCCATCACAATGATCCACGAAAAGTACAAATGAATTTGATCGAGGATCGGCTTCATGATTTGGAGGAAAAGTTGCAGGCTCACAATCGTTTGATGGCTGAGCATGAACTCCAAGTTGTTCGAGATGGTGATCATGACAAGTCCATCAGAGATAAACACGAAACCCTCATTGCTCAACAGAAAGAATTGGAGAGTAAACAAAGATTCCTCCAACACGGACTTCGCCGGTTAGCTGGACATGTCAATCCAGGAGAAATCAACGAGCCCGGTTCTGGCTTGAAGCACGGCAGTACCGCGACAACAATGACGGAAACTGACGGTCAATCTCCAGCTACACCGCACGTCGACATGGATGGCCTCTACTCAGCCTCCCATGATGAATTTGCCAGTGATTTCAACAATCGATTCATCATTCATAACGCTCAGCTCAAGTGGAATAACGCCCTTCGAAACATTATTCTCCGATACAGCCATCAAGTCAGTCAGCGGCGTGGATTTGTTTACTATATGTCACGTCGAGCTGTCAAGTTTATTCTTGACATAGTTGATGAGCAAGCAAAATCAAAAGAACGGCGCCGCCGACGAGAGCACAAGCAGGACCCTCAAGTGCCCCCGACCCCCAGCGTTATTTCGCCCAGTGAGGAGAAAGACGAGGACTCAGTGGTTGAAGATAGAATCAAACAGCTACTGAATGATGCCAAACGTTTTGTCCACGCTGGTGACGAAGAGGATGATAAATCCACGAGACAGGAGAGCGAGCCATCTCCTGATCGGAGACATTCCTTCGTCAGCGATATTGGTGAAGGCATTTCCGAAAATTTCAAAGCAATGAATGGCTATCACGTCCGACTAGTTGCGCCACAAATTCAGCTCCAGAGTGAGAAGAACACCAAATCTGTGGTCCTAGTCTCAGCCAAGGGCATGCAACTGAAGGTCGTTTCTATAATGGATAAAGATCGAATGGCTGATGAAGTAAGTGGCATGGTGCAGCGTCGCATTGCCCTTGATATGGATGGCGCTCAATTCTTCGTGGCGAGCACGAAGACCCTTGCCAAATACCTGCACCTTTATTCAGGAAATCGATATGGAAATACTCCCGGTTCTTCATGGCCTCCGTGGGTTTCCCTTGAAGCAATGTTCGATTTTCATCTAGACCCTTTCGGCTTTCAAAGAGTCATCCAGAAAACATCGGCGAGTCTGCGGTACGAAAAGTACAATGCTCTTCGGTTGAAATATAATGAAGAGGTGGAGAGCAATGAAACTGGTGAAGTCAAACATCCAGCACGGAAAGAGAATCGTATTGACCATTTATGGGTTGATTTCCCTCGTGTTCGCGCTCGTTGCGATTCAGCACAATACTACGCCATGTACATCATTGTATTGGACTTGCTCCTCTACAGTGAACCTCTGGAAAAGACCCGCAGTGAGCGACTGGAAAAGATTATGCTTGCTTCTGATTTCAGCGACCTGCGGGGTGCCCCTGAAATGGCAGAAAGCTTACAAGAGAGAATCCGACAACTTGAGGATCTCAAGCTTCACTTCCAAATCAATGCCAAATATTTAGATAAACAGGGTTGGCAAGACCGGATCAATCTTGAAAAAGACCTCGCGAACTGCGAAGACGAATTGTTTTTCATCATGAAGGCGATCAACACCTCTCAGCACAAGACTGACGACCGCAAGTCATCTCAATCTAGCGGACTGTTACGGTGGTATTTGAGTGCGTCAGAGGTAGTCTGGCATCTCATGCGCGACAAGGATGACCCATTGCTCGAGTTCCAGCTAGGAAATGCGGCATATGAGCGCATCGACAACACCGACGGTTCAAACCACAATGCGCTTGAAATAGAACATATACGAGGTTGGAATCTACTCCCCAATGCAATCTACCCCGAAATCATTGGTCCATACTTCGAGACCTCTGACCGACGACCAAGCATGCCCGAAGCGAAGAAAATGGTCCTGGTACACTGGTACATGCTTGAAGCCATCGCTGGGATACCAGTCCTAGAACAATTCCACGTCACAGTGTTCCCGATTAAGGTACAGCTCGAGCGCGAGCTAGGTAAGAAGTTATTTGAGTATATCTTTCCTGGTGTCGGATCGAGCGCTTTTGAGAATGGTAATTTTTCACCCCTAATGGTCAAGAACATGCAACCCATTGAAGATGGCGAAGATCCAGATCTAGAGGAAGCACGAGTAGCTTTGATGACGGGAAGTGATAGTCGGGCTTCTACTAGCATGGAGGCAAAACGCGACACGTCACCTGGAGCAATGGCTAGGAGGCTGAAGCCAACCTACACACTCGAATGCGCCCCTATCAATCGTACTAGCACAGCGGCAACGAATAAGAAGGGTTTAGGGATCTCTTCCGAGCACCACCGATTTTTCAAACACTTCAATTCTTCCAACGCGAGAGCTGCAGCACTTGGTCCCCTTAACGCAGGCCCGGCGCGGAAATCCTCAGCCAGTAGCCTTCGCTCGAAGAAGAATGAAGCGTCTTCCACCAGTCTTGTCGCCCTGGTTAATGGTGATGAGAAGAAAAGAGGTGCACTCCAGCGCGGTGTAAGCCGGGAGCGTGGCTTGGGGAGCAAGAATAAGAAGGACAAAGCTGCCGATGATCTCTCACAAATGATGTCTCGGGCCTCTAACTACATGACATTGGCACATGTGAAGCTGAACAGTTTTGTTATCTGTCTGAGTTACAAAGGCAAAAGTGACCGCAACTTCGAAGACTTGCACGACTTCGTTTTCCGCATGCCGACGCTCGAGTATCGCAATAAGACCTGGTCTAACCTCGATCTTGCCTTGAAGCTCAAGAAGGATGTCATCAGAGCGCTGATCTCTCACACAGGAGCCATCATTGGTAATAAGCTCTCTCATCACCGTCCGAATAAAAAACAAGTCGAGAGGCTAAAGGAGATCGCACACACATCCACACTGGGCAACTCCGAGCTCAATCTCACAACAAAGTCTACTTCGGAGACCACGAGTCTCTACTCTTTCTCTCAGGACAGCAAGGACGATGATTTTGAGTCTGGAATCTCATTTCAATCACCGACCGGCACAAACGGACACAAAAATGGCAACTTTGGATCCTTCGGCGGCCCGCTCCTGCGCAGTGGCAGCTGGACAAGCAACATGAACAACTACCCTATAAGCAGCCCCAACCTATCCACTCTCCCGATTCCAAGGTCAATCCCCGTCCCGCCTGTACCATCGTCGACGTTCGCGTCTGGCACCTCCACCCCACTTGACCCTTCAAGAAGGCCCAGTACGGCGACAGGATCTCGAAGCCTACTGAAAGACACCATCGGACGCCACTTTTCGAGTGATACGGTCAAAGAGAGAGCGTCCTTTAGACCGCTTAGTCTAGGAAAGAGCGAAGGCAAAGATAGCGGAAGCAAGGAACGCGAGAAGGATCACAAGGACAAGGACAAGGACCATCACGGTCACCACGAGGATGGTGTAGAGAGTGACCCCGAAGGCCATAAGAAGAAGAGTGTACTGCTTCTGGGGAAGAAGTACTTAAATCGGCTGAGTTGAGTTGATCAACTCGGATGAGGCGGTTGCCAAAATCTGATGCCATATATGCCCCTGGGGATTTCTCACACAGAAGCAACTATGCACGGCCAAAATCCGGCTGGAACTTACGTACAGTAAAACATGTTTGTAGATATCAATTCGTTTTTCAGCGCCAAAAAGTGCCAAAGTCCCACAGTAAAAAGAACAGCATTTTCACGATGGAATGGAATGAGATTCTGAGAGGTTCAAGTTCCCGTGCGCTTGACAAAATGCCGAACATGCAGCCTCATGGACGGGAAGGGATAAAACGTATACGCCTGGGGATGAGTGGGAGTGGGATTCGCAGATGAGAGACATACATATATATATTCATATACGCCCCGAACTGAACTTCACGGGTTGCCTTTTTGGTTGGGGAAAGGGGGACCGCCTTAGGGCTCGGCTAGAATTAATTACCAATTTATACTCTCCCAATCGTGGTTCAATCCCAGCCTTCCCGGCACCACTCAGCCCACCTTCCATTTCTTTGCGTCGTTGGCGAAATTCCTTCGTGGCGAGCCTCCAGAAATGGTAGATGATGGGGTCGACGGCCTTACGGGCCAGGTTCTGTCGTAACTGAGGATCCATCTTTGCTACAATGCTGCGCATCTCCTCTTTGGAGATGTTCTTTGCCAGTTCGGCAGCCCTAAGGTTGATTGCTTTGTTGTCTTCAGGACTCAGCTCCGGGAATTGATTCTGCTTTTGCTGGTTTTCATTCCCTTGAATCATAGCAACCTGCCCTTCGGCGTTCTGTGGTAGGCTCATTATGTGTTGAGGAGTTGTCTGCTGCCGCTGCTGCTGCTGCCATTGTTGTTGTTGTTGTTGTTGTTGTTGTTGTTGTTGCTGCTGACGTCGTAGACTCATGTTGGTATTCATATTTTGACCCATCTGTTGCATCTGAGGGAAGTTCTGGCTAGGTATTTGCATGCCTTGCATGCCCATAGCCTGCATGGCATCTGGGTTGCCCTGACCCATTTGTTGAGCACGTTGGTCGCGGATTCGGCCGAGCTTTTCGCTGCATTCTCGGATGTAGTCTTCCCTACTCCCACTTTGAGTAAAGCACTTGCGTTCAAATTGCTGCGAAACCTCGACTGCTCTTCTGAATTCAACTGGTGGTCTGACAAGTCGTAGAGTCTCTGCCAGCGAGCTGATCTGGGCGGCTCTTTCTCCAATAGAAATGTTGGACTGCCAGCCTGTAAATGGCCCGTCTTTTCCCAGCGCACCAAGGAAGGACATTCTGTTGCACAGAAGGATGTGAAAATGCCATTCCCTCAAAAGAAGGGAATGGCTCGCTCCCAGGACGTATCAGCAAACCTGCCACTTCCTGTGTGATAGCTGGTAAACGTTTTGGTCCTGCAGGCTCATCTGAAGCAAGAAATAGGGGCAAGATAATATGCTCGATCCCAGCATGACACTTTCGCGTATGGATTTGCAAAGCTCTCCGGGTCGTGAAGCGCTCTTCGCAATTCGTCTCCATACAATGGAACTTGGGCATATGAGTGCTCTCATGTTGCTTCAGCTCATTAACTGTGTCAAATCCGAAAGTGGTCCGAGCACATCTGCTGTGTCTGCACAGATACGGCGCATTACTGTGTCGAAACCTGAAACTATCTAAGTCTGCTGGAGTGATACCGATTTCTTGACATTGCAGCTCGTTTGACCCTCTAAGTAAATTTTCGAAATCATTCTGAAAGCAGGAAAAAGCCTCAGTGAGAATTGTTGGGTCGGAAACCGTGTTTTCTCGATCATATTTATCGGTCGTAGAGGGCATATCCTTGTTTTTGACACCACTGCCGAAAAGGAGGTATCGTTGAACTACCGTGGGAAGCCTCGACAGCGGTATAGTGATTGCATCAGCGTCGCCCTGCAGGCAGATGGGCTTATTCTCTTGTGAAGTGTCATGGCATGAAGCCTGCTGTGAGAGGTGTTGAGAAAATCGGAGGAGCAAGTCGATCAATTTTGACATGACCTGTGGCTGTGCTCCGGCGCTGTTTTCAAGCTCGAGGCATGCCAGCAGATGACGAACCCAATGAAATTGAGCGTATGGGAAGACATCATGGTAGCCTTTGACGATGTGTCCGTAGACTTCAGGAGCCATGGAATCCGTCACGAAGTTCCGACATGCCAACAGATATCTCAAACATGCCATAGTCAAGTTCGCATGACCTTGGAACGGTTGAAGGTACGGGCCGCGTCGCTGGTGCATGAGATACCCGAACGTTGATTAGCTCCCGATTGACACGATCTGATTGTTATAGAAACTCTCGGGCAGAGAAATGAACCAGCCCGATCAGTTGTCCCTCTCTATCCTCAATTAAAGGCTTGCAAATATCAAGGACACCCCGACCGAGCTTGGTTTCCTCGTTCATATCGCCTCTCTCTTCAGAAAAGACTAGACCATCGCAGACTTCCCAGTATCTGAGTGGACGACAAGCAAAAGTCAGCCAACCGAGAATACACTCCGCTCGAAGTCGCTGTGTTTCGTTTAGGTGCTTGCGCATTCTTCTCAGAATGTCCTCGTACCTGACTCCATTCCGGTCTTGACAAAGTTGTCGTACACATAAGGAATCAACTCTGTCTACTTCCTTAGGATTTGGGCAATGAAGAGTCTGAATGTTAAGCTGCAAACATTTCTCTCCAGGTTTGCAAAGCCATACGAACAGAGACAGTATACGATATGAGATTTGGGGACGACAGGTGTGTTTGCAGCCACATATGCAGCCAGCATAGTGTTGCCTTAATAACGGTGTTAATCTTTGAGTCCTATACAGAAATTAAATGTAGCTGCTCACCTGAACCCGGCTTGCCGTTAACCCAAAGCATTGGTTTCTGCTCGTTAGTATCCAACCATGTGGACAACGACGGATGTTGAAGAATCCACTTGCACGTCCCGGCTTCTCGACATGTCAAGTAGCGGTCTAGCAGCTCGTCCTGTTCGCGACCTTGGCCCTTCAAATCTAGCCATCCAATAGAGTCTCGAAGCTGCCATTCTTGTCTGTCAGCCTCACGTTTGTCAATATCCTTCAGCAATCTCTGTCTACAAGCCTTCGACTCAATAATGTCGAAACTGGCTGCCTCCTTGTCCACGAGATCTCGATTTCTAGCAAGATTTTGAAGGAGCCCATCGAAACGAGTACGGTAATTTCTCCACAGAGCATCAAAAAGACAGGCCGAAAAGAGGGGTACAAGAACGAATAGAAACCTGAAGGAAAAGTTTGATTGGTGCCTTGAGAAAGTGTTAGCAGCCATAGTTACAAATCTAGGTGGACTACGGGAAGGTTCGGTACCCAAACATAACACAGATATGGAGTACCCTGACAAAGAGTTTCGAGCGCTCCCGAAAATTGCCCCAGGGCTTCGAATAACGGCTCAAGACGACGCAAATTACGAAGGCAGCGACGTCTAGACTGATCACATTCAATGATCTTCGCGGCTTTCAGTACGTCATGTAAAGTAGTGGAACGGAACATCGGGACATCGCTGGGGTGTATTGCCTCTTCTAGTCTTTCGAAAGCGGCTTGGATATTCAACAGCAATGCATCAGATCGATTCGGCGGGCGATTGGCCATATTCGTCACGAATTTGTCTTGAAATTTCATATTTCCTACGGACTTCATCCAAGAAGGGGAAGAATCTAGAGGATTGAAGTTGCAACGTAAAGGCTGAGATTCTTCTTGCTCGCGATGGCAGTCTCACCGCCACGCTGCTGCGGCCTGCAATGAGGCTGATTCTTAGGCCAATGGTTGTTGTTGTGTGCAGCCTCACAACCTTTAGCAAGGCAGATTCATGAACTTGGCACGTCGGTTTCGCCAACCGTACCGACACCATTTATCGGCTCCGACATGAGAAGGATGCAGAAGAACTTGAAGTGCGGGTAGCGACCTGAGTTTCATCTCCTGATCATGGGTAACTATGTAAAAATATCCGTTTGCCACTTCGTGACTTACCAAGAGCGCTAGGCGAACCTCCGGTGACATGGCAGGATGAACGTTCATGGATGAGCAATCGTGTTTGCATCTGCCAGCTAACCGACTTAGACGCTGAGTCTGTGGGTAGCCCAAATAATGAGCCAATAAATATCTGCCTGATTTCATGGAACAGACAAGCCTACCTGCAGGACCGCGAGACCGGGAACAACGTTCTCAAGCTAGCGCCGACTACGGTTCAACTTCTGACCACACTTGAACGCAATGCGCGAGTTGAATTCCACTTTTGGCTTCAAGACCAGCTAGACATGGAAGGATGTTATCCAATAACGATGTTAGGCCCAGGTGCCAAACAAACGAAGTTCTGTGCCATCATATATGGCCCGTCTAACAAAGCGGCCATCGTTGGCACCTGGCTCGACCAATGTTCAATCTATCTTCAACTCCCGGAAAAGTGTGATCGCCACATGCGCTATTCGAACCCTCACTGCCTCTCATTTTCTGATGAGACAGTTGTCATGACGTCGGAACTTGAAAGTGTCCATACTAATACAGTGACTGGCCATTCAGATGGTGGTGTGGATTACTATGTAGAGCTTGATTTTGACGAGAGCTTTGCCGAAGCTACGCAACCTGCTCTAATCTCAGCTCCTCTCCATAGGTCAGTCCCTATTCCGGCCTCCCCCGCTAATCGTCATAGACTTATTATACCGTAGCTATCAGAAGCAGGGGTTAACATTCATGCTCCAGCGTGAGCAAGGCTGGCATTTCCGTGAGTTTCGTCGAGATGTCTGGAGATCATACTACGATCGTCATGGAATCACTAGGTTAGAAATGTCGCTGTGCTTTCCCCTTGGGAGTGAAGCTCCTGGAGTCTAGGTACTAGAATACACTATCTGGTCAGTTGCAAACAGAAAAACCGCCTTCTTTCCATGGGAGAATACTTGCAGACGAGATGGGACTTGGCAAGGCATGTAGTATGCTTGCCCTTATTGTAGCAAACCCATTCGATCATGCACGGCCGGAACATAGCGAGTTTTCGCCCAGCACGCTACCGGTCAAGGGGGCATCGATCGTAGTACCATTTTCTCGTAAGTTCACACTTTATTGCTATCTTCACAACTAACGTGGGAAATTATTACAGGTGTGGACAACGCAAATTGAACGGTAGGTTGCATCGATCAACTTCAAGGTATCGCAGTCGGGTACTGATCCTGTCGTTTATAGGCATTTTATATCGGGTTCGATTCAAGTCCTAGTTTTTTATGGGCCTAACAGAAGACAAGATCCTACAGTGTTCAACAAATACGATATCGTTATCACAACATATAATACTGTGACTTCGGAACGGAAGAAGCAGGAGAACTCCTCGCGTAACCCCAGTCCTATATCTTATCTTTTTGCAACATACTGGCACCGCATTGTACTAGATGAAGGTCAGTAGTCTTAGCCTATAATATGGTTTCAATTATACGTCAGCTATAGATGCTACTTTCTTGATTTTCGATGGACCCCGTGGTCCTCTACTGACATATTATAGCACACATGATCCGATCTAAAAGTACGGCCAATGCGAAAGCCGTCTGTGCTCTTCACGCACACCATCGCTGGTGTATAACAGGAACCCCGATACATAATCGAATGGGCGATCTGTTCAGTCTTCTGCGTTTTCTGCGAGTCCATCCATGCAACAACTCTAAGGTGTTCGAATCAGAGATATTGCGACCTTGGAAAAAACAAGCGGATGAGACTGCACTCAAGAAAGTTCAATGCCTTGTCAGAATAGTGGCACTTTGTCGCCCGAGAACTGCGATCACTCTACCTCATCGTCAAGAACTCACCACTTATATCCATCTCACCGCGGATGAGAGGTCGATTTATGATCAAGCTAGGATCACAGCCGTCAAATTTATTGAGTCAGCTTTGGAGTCAGACAGATTTCAAGGCTCAGCATACATGAACGCCCTTCAGCGAATCAACGTTCTCAGGTATATATGCAACAATGGGATCTTGCCACCTCGAGAAAGCAAACATCGTCTTACTCCTAGTATCTCAACCTCCGAGAGTCGAAGAATACATATATATGAAGAAGAGATGGACGTGCTCGCGAATGACCCTAGCCGGGCTTGTGTTCATTATGGCACTGATATAGAAGAGGAAGAAGATAATATGCAACAGGCGCTACAGACATCAGGCTCTGACAGTTTTGAATGCATGCTTCAACTTTGTTCTCGATGTCTCGCAGAGCTGACAGTCTCTGCCAGCGCCACGCCGACGCCGTCACCACAATTCGAGCCTTCTGAAGATTGTCATCCCTCTGCGCTGCGGGAACGGCCCTCTTGCAAAATTCAAGCGTTGATCGAGTATCTAAAGGAGGTCCCCACAGGCGAAAAGTGGTAAGCCACATTTGTCAAGTCGCGCCGTTTAGATGTATGCTGAGCAGATCCGTGCTATCTTCTCGTACTGGACCACTACCCTCTCTATGATCGAGAGAGCTTTGGCCCAGACAGGAATTAAATTTTGTCGGTATGATGGCAAAATGTCAACGGGAAAAAGAGACCAAATTTTGTCAAACTTTGTAGACGATCCGTCGTTGCAATTGATTTTGGTTTCAATCACTTGTGGTGGTCAAGGGTACGCTCAGGCTTGATCTAAGTTCTCTATGCAACAGGTGACTGATATCAATACCAGACTAGATCTCACGGCTGCAAACCACGCTATTCTCGTAGAGGCTCAGTGGAACCCTATGCTGGGAGAGCAGGCTCTGTCGCGGGTGCATCGACTTGGCCAGACGAAGCCGGTGAAGTTGGTCTGACTTATCATGAGAGACACTTGGGAGGAGAAGATTCAATGGGTCCAGAAGCAAAAGCGAACATTTGCCGAACTAGTCACACAGAGAACAAAACCGAGCAAAGGCGATGGCAAAAGGCTGCTTTTGGTAAGCTAGATGAAAGCATTCTGACACTTCGAGGCTGACCTCTACATTTAGTATCTACGTGACTTAGTCTGCTAGTCGATACAGTGATCGACAAAAGGCCACCATAATCCCTTTCCTCGTTCTCAGATGTTGAAGCTTGCTGGCTGGAGTTCCTCTATGGCCACTGTATTCATGGAAGAGCGTGTTAGGCATTAGACACGGGCTAGCAGGCCGAGTAGATACCAGCTCTACGCGAGGTTGCAAAGGTTCCTGAGCACGAACCACTCTCTAACGTTATATCCGCGTACGACAGCGCGGCCTTGAGCATAGTTTGACCCCGTCACGGGTACAAGCATCTGAATAGGACACTTGAGGAGCTTGGGCTGCTGCAATTACCAGATGTGACATGCTTGTACGGCAACCAGCATCTAATCGCCTCCTTCTTTGTGGACGACATAGTCGTGGTACTCGCGCCGAACAATCGAACCTACTACCAACGATTCGGGCAGAAACTTCAGGCCAGATATCAACTCAGATGTCTGGGAGGTCTGAGATAGATGGCTGTCGGGGCTAGGGTGATTCAAGACCGCATCTCAAGAAGGATCTAGCTACTATAGGATAGCTTTAGTGACGAGCTAGTCAATAAATTAGGGATCAAGAAGGGCTCACAAGACCGCACAGTCGTACCTTTGATACCGAAGAGCCTACGGGCACTCCTGAGGAACCGAACGAGCAGCGTGCGAAGCTCTATCGGCAACTAGTAGCAGATACCTAGACCTCCAACTAGAGAGCAGGCTAGACTAGAAGGCCCACAAACAGCGGATTCAGCAGACAGCGTCTAACAAACTTAGTACTAACCACACTCTCCTGTCTCGCATCTTCGACATGGGGTGCCAACTTGACAACCCTCCGACAAGGATACCGGGCTACGATCCTGCCTCAGATTCTTACGGATGCTCAGCGTGGTACCAAGCCAGGGGATACCAGCGCTCTGGAGAACCATGCAAGTGTAAATCCAGGATTGCAAAATTCCCCGCTCCAGTACAGAGAGGGGCCCGCACGTCTCATCACAGAAGCCTTCCGAGTATGTAGCCGTGCTGCTGCGAGTGCGGTACAAGTTGGACTACCTGGATCACGATGCGTTGACGTTGTGGGCGGAATAGAAGCTCGAGGGGGATACCAGATGTGCTTTGTAGCCATGTTTGGTTAGTGCAAAGGATGCTTGCAAACCTCCCATCACAATTTCATAGCCAAGGACTTACTATCCCTAACGCTCATATCGAGATTACATAGCTTGATCAAACCTTCGGTGTTGGCGACAAAAGAAGCCCCTAATTTTGGCTCCCGTCCTTTGAGCAGGATGATAGGGAGATTGCCTGCAATTTCTGTCGGCCTCGACTCCCTTGGGGTATCTGGGGTCGCTTCAAGAATTGGGTGGTCCGGAGAGGATCCCCCAGAAGGCCAGAGTTGACGTTGCCCGGCTTTCAGCGTAAGATGTGTGGAGCATTTCGATGTAGGCATATGCCACTGACCCCGAGGAGATGATGATTTTGCGGTTCAAGTTGTCTCCTTTTTGGTTGCTTTCACGGTCTTTCCATGTTTTCCTTTAGTTCTCGCTGGTCATGCAGCAATTGTAACGGCATATAATATACCCCTTTGAATCTGTTAGCCAGCAGTAGTTCCTCTCGTTGTTGTGCAATATTGTCCGGGATGAACAATACCATGTTTGAAGGCGGAGTCGTTGGGAAGCAGGCACCATGCAGAATCTCGAGACACTATATTGCGACCAAGGCAATCTATTTGAGGCGGAGCAGATGTATGGAGTACATAGCTGACTTCGTTTTCGACTCGACTGCTCCTTATATTGTAGTAGAGGGCAGAAAATAAGGTTTCTTACTTCAATTTAACTTATTAGGACTCTCTAATTGGCGTCATGGGTTGCCGCAGCAACTTGGGACTGTGTATACTGCTCGGCATGAGGAGTATGATTGAGATCATGTGGATGGGGGGAAGGCCAGCCCTCACTCCGATGAGGAACGGATTGTCCATCTTCTGGCCTTCGGACTCGTTCCGGGAGGGAGCTGACTAGCTAGTACTTAGGGTGAGGCATCCCCGTTGGTCCCAGTCTCTCTGTTCACATGTTGTGCCACATCGTTTGCTGCATTCTCGCCAATACTTGCACCTCCATCGTCGCAATCTTCGACATCCTCCTCCCCTTCGACATAGTCAAATGCGCCCTTCAGTGGTCTCGGCTTTTTCCAGCCTACCATGGCCTCGTTCGGCAAGTACGCGTCGAAGCTGGGATACAGGGTCAAGAATTCATCGAAGAACATGAGTCCGCAGTTCAGAGTCCGCACCGTTGCTTCTAGCTTCATGCCAACGCGCAGGTCCTCTTGAATAATGGATTCGATGAAGAAGAGATATTCTTTCTCCTCTTCAGGCTTTCCGCCTGTGCTCTTATTCTCGTGTTCCTCGAGTTTCTCCTCGTCTGTCAGGTCTTCTGGTGGTGCATCTGGGTTCTTCCACGGCTTCGCATAAACGCGGCCAACCGGTCGGAAGTGGCTGGAATTGTGGGTGTAGAGTTCCGTGCACTCCAAGGTGGGCGGCTCGACACGTGTGATTTCCAACCCTGTGCGTTCCTTCACGGACACGACCTCTAGTGTCGTCGCACCGTTGACGGCCTCGAGGTAGAGGGCGAACACGTCCTCCGTCGCGGCACCCGCAACGCCGAAATGGAGGATCTGGTGGGCTTCTTCGGGCTTGATGCCCACAAAGACGCTGTCTGTAATGTGCTCGGGTCCCCACCATGTGTCACCGTCATAGTTTTCAGCATATTGTCCGCCGAAAAGAGTCGAGCAGGCTGTATTGAAGTCTCCAGGCAAACGCCGTGTCGCTTCCGCAACATTCCAAAGCTCTGCGTTGGCATCATAGCGACAGAAGTTACGTGTCTCGAGGATTTCTGCACCGTATTCTGGGCATACGTCGTGTTGCAGGAGATAGTTCATGAATCGTTCTAAAGTACTGGTTACCATGTCAAGTTTGGCGCGTTCATCTAAGCCGTACAGACGTGCAGCTCGGCGGGAGAGAAATCCTTTCATACAGCCCAGAAAGTCTACGACGTAGGTACTGGTCTCGGTTCCTAGGTTGCGCTTCTCCTCTGTAATAGATGCGTTGCTCAGAATATTTGCGATTGTCGTCTTGTCCATCTGAGCGAGGTCCTGGTCGCCCTGAAACATGTTGGGACCGCACTCAACCCCGCCGTAGCTGAGGTATTTGAAGAGAACGTCACGGCGTTCAGGAGTCATCTTGCGGGTGCGTTCGAAGCGGCCGATGGCGGTCAGAATGCGGTCAATGAAGTGAAGCTCTGGATCATAGAGCTCTCTTTCCTCGGCATGTTGATCTGGAGTCAAGGGTGCGTCGGCGAAGAAATCTTCGAATCCGGTTGGTTTGTCATTGCCGCGCTGGCTTGCTGGTTTGCTCTTCTTCTTTTTCTTCTTCTTCTTGGCCATGTCTACTGGGGATGGGAGATTGGTGACTTCGCCATAGTCCCCTTCGAGAGTTGAATCATTGTCCCTGTCATGGCTGGTATTTCCATGTATCTCGGATGGGCTAGTCACAGGTGGCTCAGAGACAGTTCGGTTTCCATCGCTGGAACTGTTGGTGGTTGGTTGAGTTCGAAGAGGGATTGACTCTTGGTTGAGATCCGAATAGGTGTGGGTTCCTGCTTGTAAGATCTTATGATCGAGACATCCGTTGGACTTTTCGTGTGATTCGGGACTGGTTCGGACCTTCTCTGGTGAGTTGGCCATTGGTGAAGTGGGATGAAGAAATGCACTAGCAAGCAAACACAAGAATTGGAGGGGACTTGTGAGGATTATGAGAGTCAATTGTAAGACGAATCTTTAACGCGTCGGCTGAAGTAAGGTCACCCAATGGCGAAGCTCAGGTGTAACTGTCATATCAAGACAGCGAACGTGGTCCAATCTAGTTGTACCGAGCAAGTCAGTCAATCCTCAAGGCGGAGTCATCGTTGTGTCTACCCAAATTCCAGGGTTATAAGGAGTGGACGAAGGAATCTCCGTATTTGTCTTGGCAGTCATGTGGCAGTAAGTAATTCACTTGCCTTGTGTCACCTTGATTATCTCAAAGAGGGGCCTTGGAGTTGTCAAGTGAAGTTGTGCTCATTGTGGGCCAGAATGGCGTGAGGCTGGCTTCCGCCCGCTTTCTGAACTGGAATCCGACGACTATGAAACACTTGACTGCAGCATCAGAAAATACTCGATGTGATGCCTAAGTAGTGCAGATGTGGTTCAACCTGCTCATGATAACCATGTCATCGACTCAAGCCATGTATGTAGTTCTATCAAACTTCTAAACCGAGAACTCAGAGAGGGCTCCCGTCTTGGCTGTCATGTGACTGTCATGTGACACTACGTTCCAAAGTACGAGTGCATAAACCTGCGGTCGCTTGGAGACAGCCGTCATCTCTCCCTGGCTACTCCAAGCCACCGGGGTGCCTAGCCACCCCTAGCAAGCCTGACATAGAGATCTGGCGGCAGCCCATCGGCCCCCACGTTGCCTGATTCCCGCCCGGGGCATTGGCTCCTCTAACTACCTTGGGCGTGGCCAATCCCTCTTATTATTGCCCTGAATCCTGATTCCCACCATCTACCAGTGCCACCACTAATAGTAGTCATTAGTTACTCCGTACCCCACCAAACATGCAGCTGGCAATCCTGCCCTGCACATTTCAGCTCAACATCCCCTGTCCCTTCATAGATTGTGTATGCTTTTCCCACCCTCGTTCAGTCTCGCCAATCTTTCATTGATCTTGCGATCTTGCGGTTCAGTGAATTTCAGCAAGCTATCTCAATATGACGAGCTCCCAACCTCCAGCCAAAAAGCTGGCTGCCGCTGTCCCCAACGCATCTGAACTGGTATCTTTTGAACATGGAGCCGCTGGCCAGTAAGCACCTTGACCAACTCACTCCCTAAGCTCTGGTGTTGACTTTTGTCTCAGTCAAGGCATCTCCTCCAATGCTTCGGGCTCCCTGGTCATAAAGCCCTGCGTCCAAGCCGAGATCGACTTCTACGAGTCTGCTAAGGAGCACCCACTCTTCCAAGCCCATATGCCTACCTTTATCGGCAGTTTGACACAGAACGGCGACGCTGATGGCTCAGAAACAACAGTCGCTCCTCTGCTTGAACAAGCAGGTGGCATCCAAGTCCCCGCAGCCATCTGCCCACCTCAGAACCAGACAGCAGGCACAGGCGCCCCAGGCGTCACAGTCACAAGCCCGACTCCGGGCCTGATCAAACGTGCGACATGGAAGCCTTCTGGGGGACAGAAGCTGACCACTGGACTGGCCATCGTGCTGGAGAACGTGACCAGCGGATTCAAACACCCAAACGTACTCGACGTGAAGCTCGGCGCACGCCTGTGGGACGACGATGCGCCCATCACGAAGCGGAGGAAACTCGACGAGGTCGCCGAACAGACCACCAGTGGCAGTCTCGGCTTCAGAGTCGCCGGCATGAAAGTCCACCTCGACGGGACGGAAGCCCCGGCGCAGCAAGAGACACCCGAGCCGAACGTCGAGGTCAAGAATGGATATAAGTCCTACAATAAAAACTATGGCCGCGGGTTTGACAAGGACAGCGTCGTTGATGCTTTCACCACGTTTCTTGGTGGCGTCACGCGAGACGACGCTTTAGGGAAGGTTCGGTTCAAGAAGAGCCGTGGTGAGCTCATTGCCAAGCGCATCCTGCGTGAGCTGGAGAGTATCCAATACGCGCTGGAGAACGAGGAGATTAGGATGTACTCTGCGTCCATCCTACTAGTGTACGAGGGAGATGACGAGGCGTTGCAGGCGGGCCTGAAGTTCGAGGAGGAGGTAGATGGCCAGGAACAAGAGGAACAAGAGGAAGAAGCGGATGATGACGAAGATGACGACGAGATCACGCAAAAAGTCCTCGAGGCTAGGTTGATTGATTTTGCCCATGCGAGCTGGACACCGGGCCAGGGTCCGGATGAGAATGCTCTACGCGGGATCAGGAATGTTGTCAAGATTATGAAAGACTTGCTGGACTAGAGAAGGGACTAAGAAAGAGGTTGTAAGATCTTTTTGGTATTCTGGATTGTTTCTAGATTCTAGATGGTCTTTTTCTGTCTGTCATCAGATATGCAAAGGGGGATGTAGCGTTATGTCCATCGCCTCTTTTCCAGCTTTGATTGAAGCAGACTACCCCTTTCTCACAGTCTTTCGATTTTTACATGCTAGATGAAAAAATGTTTCGAGAAAAATGTGAATTGGTCGATCAGCGTCAAAGGCGGTCCATACCCAGCACCCCTTCGGGCCAACCAGCCCAGACGATTGCCCTGTTGGGCACCCGGCCTGCGACGGGGCTCAGCAAACTGATCCTGCCCCGAACCTCGTCGGTGTCGGTCACGTACAGAAAGCCCATGACTGACGCATCGCGGATAGCACCTTGATCGGCTTCTACGTCACAGTTGAGTACAGCAAGGACCGAGCTGCGCAGTGCAGCAACCGGGGCGGTCATCCGTTCGTAGATCTGTGAGGCGGGAAGTGCAACTTTGGATCCCAGGCCAGGTAACCTGGGCGCTGAGTCGTCATCTAGGCCACCTGGTAGGAAGCTTTCGTTGTCGTCATCGTTGTCAAATGCTCCCCCGCCGGTGGTCGATGAAGGGTCTGGTGTAGATGAGATACGGCGCCAGATGGTCAAGGTCGAAAAGTCGACTTGCTGTTGCCGTGGCTGCAATGATATGCCATTGCTCAGTCGAGGATTACCATAGAAATACGTTCTGATCTGCGCAGCTCGGAGACTTTGCATGTACGCCTCGTCCCGGTCCACGCACCCGCCGGACTTGTTGACTTTGATCACGGAAATCTTCTCCGGAGGGTTCGCGCTCGTCCGAGAAGCGGTGGGTTGGCCGTCATACCGCTTCACCATGTCGCTGTAGAGCCTTTCAGACCCCAGGCAGATGATGGCCGATATGGCAAATTCAGAGACGATCTCTTGGATGATTTCGCTTCCGATATTGCTGGATTTGGTGCTTACCAGGCTGCCTGGGGTGTCGATGATCAGACCGCTCTCTTTTGCTTCCGGATCCTGCGCCGTCCTCCCGGCTACAGCCAATGCAAGACGACTTAGCTGCGCCTTGTAGACCTTTCCTTCTTTCTCGTTTGGGTTCGGACTGCCGAAAAAGTAGACCAGGGGTAGCTTGACGGGTATGATACCGTTGGGGCCGCTCATGGGTGCAGCTCCCCATCCTTCCTCGACGTCCATCAGCGTCTTGAATACCGTCGCAGTCATAGTCCCAGGAATGCTCATGACCCCCTCTTTGATGTCTAGATTCACCACAACGGGTGACCGAGCCGACCTTTGCGCATATCCGGTCAGGATCTTCGCAAGTGAACTTTTGCCTGCGTCTTCCGGACCCAACAGCAACACTCTTGGTCCTTCTCTGCCGCTTGCTCTTGCCTGATCGCGAAGTGCTTCGAGTGCGAAGTGCACATTGATATACTCGTTCATGGGCGTTTCTTCAGCGGTGTATTCACTCTGCAGTGCATCGCCGCTGACTTCGAAGGAGCAACCATGCCATGTGAAGATTGCGGCTTTGATCCCGGTGAAGGTAAACGTATTCCCTGCCACAAGCTCAGTGCCAAAGAGTTCGGCGGTACCGGTCAACAGCTTGAGGTGGTATGTCAGTAACGTGCTAAATCGAAAGCGACAACTAGGGTCGAGGAATACCTTGAGATGGATGTATTTGCCCACGGGTACTTCGAAGCGCCATTCTGTATCTTTTGCTAGGTCATGTTGGACCGTCTCAACTGCTTGAGCCTCTTCTGGCTCGTCTAGCCCAAGACCTGGTAGCGACAGCGACATCTCATCATTGTGACGAAATCGAGTTCTGGTCGAAAGCGTAGAGAAGTGAACTGAATCTGAGTTGCAGGGGTTGGGAGGGGACCTCGAGAATGGAATGACCACCGGCCTTGGCATTCTTTATTGCGCTAACACGTGATTACAATTCTCCTGACTCTCAGCCTTGCTGTTGCTTGTCCTTCCAGCCCTACTCCGTACTAGTTCAGTCACCCAACAAGATCCTATGTACCACGATCACGTGTTCAGCCTCGCCTTCAACCGGGCGCCTCCGCGCTGCCCTGCCTACCCTATCCGGCGGCCTACTTCGTTGATGAGGGTCTATTTCTAGCACTCGTAGATTCCCCATAATTGGTCTAGTAGGAGTTTGAAGTGCTTAGATGCTTAAATACAACTATTTTCATGCCCCTCGCCGTTGAATTTCACGAAATCGGATGGGCGGCATTACCGGCACAATGTATCTCGCCGGTCTCGTGCCTAGTAAAGTGAAGGCCGGCATTTGGTACTTAGTCTCCTCATAGGGGTCTTGCTGGGGTATTCCACTTCCCCACACAGGATCTCAGCTTATGTTCAAGCATCAGTTGAGAGGTAGCCCGGCTTTGGAACAATCTCTCGATTATTGATTGCAGAGCCTGGGGCGGCTGCGAACTTTAGCACTGAACCACTGTCGGCTCGACCACCCCGGCCAAGCGTACCCCGCAATCATTCTCAATTCAAAGCCCGAAATAGGACAACACAGCTGGTTAGACAACTTACCAGGCTTAATCTGCACACAGGCACTGACCGCTTGTTTACTTCTTGACTCGGTCCTTGTGGTGGCCGAGGTAGATTATATGAGCGAAGTAACGGGCCCTCATCCGGCGACTGGGGCTACCAAAAGCCGGGCGTGCTCAGAATGCAATAGGAAAAAGGCAAAATGTGACATGATACGACCCGCGTGCGGATTGTGTGTGCGGATTCACAGCGAATGTATCTATCCTTGCAGAAGAAAGCGTCGAGTGGACGCCGGCATGATCAGGCAGTCAACCCGGAAAAAGAGTCACATCAACACCACTCATAGTCCGATTGAGCCTCTTGACGGCAGTCAAACCGGCTCAGCACAGGACGGAACCGTCAGCACCCCTTCGATCACAACCGAAGACGGATCACAAATGAATTTGGCACTCCAAGTCGACTTGCCCGATACTGTTATTATACCCGCGTCTCTCCGTACGAATGAAGATGCTAGTTTCCCCGAAGCTCGGCCTCAAGTCTGCGCTTTGGCGACGTCCGCGGCAGTGGAAGAGCTGAGCTCGTTACCACTCGTGTCAACACCGCTGGGCTCTGGACCAGGCAGTTACTCTCGGGATATGGCGCTGCAACTGGTTGACTTGTTCTTCCACCACGTTCAACCATGGCTCCCTCTACTCCATGCGCCACATTTTCGAGACTTCCTACATGAACGACTTGGACCTCATGATAATGCTCTGGCTGGTCTGACCGCTGATGAAGCTTTCCTGTTGACGAGCATATTTGCATTAGCATCGCGATTCATTTACCCTGCTTCACTGCAGGGCGCTCCCTGTTCACGCTTGGAGGAAGCATATGTTGCCAAAGCACGCGAATATTACACCAATTGCCGCGACATGGACACCCATACATTTACTTACCTGCAGGGTTGCACTGCACTGGCTTTCTACTTTTACTCCTCAGGCCTCTCTGCCCAAGGCTGGATCCTGGTCGGAGTTTGCGTTCGCGTTGCTTACGACTTGGGTCTGTCAGAACTTGACGGGGCCCTCGACGACCCAGACTCGGAAAATGACTGGATCCTCACAGAGGAGCGTCGACGCACCTGGTGGCTGATCTGGGAGCTCGATTCTTTTGGGTCCTATGTCTCTCGGAAGCCTTTCGCAATTGACAGGAGTGCCTTTTCGGTATTCCTTCCCGTTGCCGATGAATATTGGTTTTCAGGCCAACGAGTGGCTTCCACAAGATTGCCAGCTGGCCCAGAGGGCTCTTGGGCTGCGCTCAGAGCGTCGCCTAATCAGAGTGAGAGAGCATGGTATCTCGCGGCCGCGGACATTATGTCCCAATCAGCCGAGTGCTTGCAACAGAGGAGCAAAGTAAAATCTCAACGTCTATGCATGCTCAAAAATGAGATCAGCTGCCTCAGACTTTCCCTTCCACCCAACTTTCGCCTGAGTACCGATTACATGTCTTCTTCGGCTCCAAGATGCCGGTCGAACTGGATTATTGGCACCCACCTCACTCTATCTACGGCGTCTTTTATCACAGAATATTTGTCTCTCCTTGACGACTGCGAAGGTCGACGGCTTGGCGACGCGTCGAATTTCTCAATTCTTTTGCAAACAAGGGCCCTTGAGATTTCACGCTTCGCCTGGCGGTGGCCAACGGAGCACATTCGCTCAGCTCACCCTTTCTTCGCGTGTCTACTCCTAACGCCACATGTTCAAGGTCTCGAATCTCCCCTAAAATCTTCGCCGATTGCTTCCTCAGGCGAAGTTATTAAGCTCATACAGTCTCACCTGGGTGAGATCTGGAAACTGGGCTTGACGGCGAAACGTTAGTCTTTCCGCTCCAAACACCACAGCCGTGCATTCATACTGATCAAGTCACAGGTATTATCGAGTTGTCCTCGAGTCAGAATGTGGAGAACATGGGTACGGGTGATCTCCAATTAATTAGACGCCACTCAGTCTGGTTCCCTCCGGCAATGCAAAGGCGTGCTGCCGTTTTATTATCAGCATCGAGCAACTCCCTGCTTGCGGGATCCACTCGCGAGCAGGGAAAACATTTTTCTGCCACTATCAGTGAATCGAGCCCCCGGGAGAATGAATGTCAGGCGGAGTGCAGGAGCTCCATAGGGACGCGACCCGGACGTGCGATGTCTTGGTTCGATGACGGGACATTATGGAGCCCAGCTCGTGAATTTTCGGACCTGAATATGATGGACTTGTTTGAGGGTATGACCAATGATCATGGGTTCCCTGAAAGTATATTTCGTGAGGAATAGATAGCATATTTGAAGGCAGAACCAGTGTGACGTCAACGACTGGCCTTTAAATCAGCTGAACTTAGTCACACGAAGTCCGAGATGGCATAGTGTCAATACATAACCATTTGTTGTGTTGCCACTTGACTATATAGGTTGTAACGTCGAAGATGGCAATAGGGTCTGACCAATGGAATTGACAAATCCAACTTTTCTTGCAACTGTTCAATAACCTGAAAGTCGACGGCACACCAGGTATCAAGCGGCTCTTTACGGCAACCTGAAGGCGGCCCACACCACGGCTTTAAACTACTTGGCCTGACCACAGTAATACCGTTCAGGAGTTGAATCGCATATGTCGGCATTTTGAGTATTGGCCCGGAACCGTGGTCACATTTACAATAGTAGATTATTGTTGAGCTACGGTTTCCAAGGCAGAAACAAAAACATAATCGTGCTACGTGCCTGATGCTTTCTTGTTATTCACAAGCAGTCGGGAGGATAGATCATTCAACTGCTCCCCTTTGACAGGACTGGCACAGAGTTCACGGTGACTTCGAAGAGATGGCCACCCCTGCGAAAGTCCTCGTCGTTGGTCTAGGCCTCGGTGGCCTTTCGTGTGCCATTTCATGTAAACAGGCAGGCTTCGAGGTGGAGGTCCTGGAACGAGCACCACAGATCTCCAATGTGAGTGCCTATCCACACTGTCTAACTCCACGATATCTCTGCTTGCTTTACTAGATGAATGTGCCACTGATCAATTTTGTCCCGGCAGGTGGGTGCAGGAATCCAACTGCCTCCCAACAGCGTGCGCATCATGCGCCACTTGGGAGTTTTGCCGGAAATCGAACAGGTTTCTACCGTCGTCCAGCGTCTCAACATGAGAAGATACTCGACCGGCGAAGTGATAGGCAGCAAGGATGTGGGCGCTCTTGGTCCTACTCAGTATGGCGAGCTATGGAGGTCAGTCACATGCAGCACACGGGGTATACATATTCTGATAGAAACAGAGTGCTCCACCGAGAAGACTATCATCGAGTGATGATGGACCAAGCATCTCATATCGGAGTGAAAATAAGCCTTGACTCGCACGTGTTGGGCATGAGTGAGGATGGAAAGTCGGTGACACTGCAAAATGGCAAGACGCTGTACGCAGATGTCGTCGTTGGTGCCGATGGTTTGTGCATTTCTCACCACCTCCAGGCCCCCCATCTCCACAATGAATGGATAGCTTACAATGCACTGATCATAGGCCTTTGGTCTACGTTGAGAGAAAGCTTTTTAGACAAACCCTCACCACCAGTGCCGACAGGAGATTTAGCCTACCGAGCCACCTTCACTCTCGAGCAGTTGAAAACCCTCAAAAACCCCGGAATAGAAGAACTCTGCTCCCAGAACACGGTAAATTTATGGATGGGACCTGAAAAACACAGTGTCTTCTATCCAGTGAGAGGCGGCAAAGAGTTCAATCTGGTGCTCTTAAGACCTGATAATCTCGCGCCAGGAGTTCGTAACTCGGAAGGTGATATATCAGAAATGCGAGCCACGTTCGAAGGGTGGGACAATACGTGAGAAACTCGAAATGTTCACGCGTGGCTGTATAATGCTAACATGTCTGCTTCTGATAGGCTGACTGAGATTATCTCGTGCGTCTCCTCCGTACTTAAATGGAAGCTATTACACCATGATGAAATGGAAACTTGGACTCAGGTGAGGACGCTCTGAGGCGTCGCCAATACACTCAGCTAGGTGACTAACAGCCTCAGGGCAACGCAGCACTGCTTGGCGATGCATGCCATCCGACCTTACCCTACCAAGCTCAAGGCGCGGCCATGGCTGTTGAGGATGGAGCTGTTCTTGGCTTCCTCCTAGGTGTATACGCACGCAAGATCAAGGAGCAATTTAGGGACGACCGGCCCATCCCGAAGACGGCAACAATATCAGCATTACTCAAACTGTATGAAACAATTCGCAAGGAACGAACGACGGTCAACGTGCGAGGCGCCTACGCAAACCGCCACTTCTACCACATGCCCGACGGCGAGGAGCAAAGAAGTCGCGACGAGGAAATGAGAACATTCGACTTTGTTCAAGGTAAGTCAAATTATTCGTGGCTCGATTCCAAGTATAACCTCGATCTCTTGGCTTTTGACGCTCTGGAGGCTGCTCCGTGGCAGTTTGAGCAATGGTGGGAGCAGATTTTGGCAGCAGATTCAACTGAATCGGACCATCGTGACACTGGTCCAGAGCTGAGTGGCACAAGTCGGGTCATAGCGGTGTTATGAGCCAGGGAAACTGCCTACAAATTTAACATATCCAGTGTGACATTTTGTATGTCAGCAAGCCTCACGTCGTGTGGCCGGTCTGCAGAAACTAGATAGTCTTCAAGCTCCTGGTTATTGCGCCGGGTACCCTTCTAGAATGTTCTTGCATTCTTGTCTCAATGGCTATGTCCCTCAGAGAACTTCTCGTGTTTGACTCTAACATACTCTAATAAACTAATAAAAGCCAGCTACTGTGGTGACAGTTCGTTGTTTCAATTCGTACGATTCGTTGAAGACCTTGGGGGGCTCACGCCTCAGACATATTGCTGCGGAGCCCTCCTGCGTATCTGGAACAACCATGCATTCTATTTTCTTCGAGCACATGTGCTCATTGCTAGCTTATCCCAGACCCTAGTCGAAGCATGCAATTGATCAAGCTCCCCATCACATCTATCTCAACATCTTTGGTGCATTGCAGGGATTATGAGGCAACATCGTCCACGAGAAACAATGCGCACCCATGCATCGGTAAAGGAGGCAAACCAAGGAACTGGAGCAGATCCTTTCCTCTGCTCCCACGCCGCCTGTGAAGTAAGTACTGGCCGTGTGGCAAAATCATCCCTCAAAGCTACCAGCACGATCGTAGCAGAAAACCATTTCTATTGTTGGTATTAGGCCGGGCCCGGCATTAACCCTGCTGTTCATTGCTCGCGTGGAACCCGGCAATATCCTTGCGGGGTATCGTCCCGCTTATGTACCTTGATTCGCCGGCTTCTTGTGTACGTATCCACCGTCATTCCCCAAGGTTGGGCCCCAGGCATTCTATCTGAGAGGCGGTCTTGGGATTCCGCTGTGCCCGGGTTAGGGTGCTATATATCCATCTCCCCTGCCGTCCGGATAGATGCGATTTCCTGCTCGATTAGTAGTCTCTTTGAGCACCAAGCACCGGACTCTTTACGACAACTCATTTTGGTCCCTCTCGGTAGTCTAGGCTCATTGTCAACATACGAGTCTTTTGCAACACGCAGGCAGAATGGATGACAAAGGACCCCCTGAACATTCAGAGCACCCCCATCAGGATGGGTATACCGATGAAAATGAGAAAGGAGCCACTATCGACAACGTCCACATGGACGACGGCATGAAAGTATTTGCCACGTACAGCAGAGAGCGAACATGGGACGCCAGTGAAGAAAAAGCCTTGCTAAGAAAGATTGATTGGAAGGTCATGCCACTCTTGTTCTCAACTTATGCCCTTCAGTTCTACGATAAGGCCATGCTCTCACAAGCAGTAAGTCATGCGCATTCGGCCTCTCTCCGACGTGTGTTCTCTTGCTAACGAATTTACCTAGGCGATATTCGGACTCATCAAGGACCTCGAACTCACTGGAAACAGATACAGTTTCTCATCCTCGATATTCTACCTCGGTTATGCTGCCGGGACATTTCCAGCCATGTTGCTCATGCAGCGGTTTCCTGTGCAACGGGTAGCGGCCACGATCATCCTACTATGGGGCATCTGCCTATGCTGCACAGTGGTCTGTCACGACTACAGGACTCTCTACACTCAGCGGTTCTTCCTCGGATTCTTGGAGGGTGGGGTATCTCCAATGGCGATGGTGATTGTGTCGAACTACTACACAAAGAGTGAGCAGGGATTTCGTCAAGGAATTTGGAACTCTTCCGGTACGTTTCACTGAATCTCGGCATTCACATAGCAGCTGCTTTCTGACAACTTTCAGCGGGATGGATCGCGATGTTCTCACCTTTAATCAACTACGGGTTGGGACATATAACTGGTGGCAGCCTCGCAACTTGGTGCTATATGTATCTTTTTGCAGGGTCCTTAACATGCCTCTACAGTTTGCTTGTCCTTTTCTTCCTACGTTCTGATCCGGTTAACGCAAAGGGCTTAACCGAACGTGAGCGCTATATTGCTGTCGCACGGCTTCAGTCCAACAATGCGGGTGTTCGCAACACTCATATTAAATGGGTTCAGATTAGAGAAGCTGCCCTTGATGTCAGGTTTTGGCTGGTGTTTGCTGTGGCCTTTTTGAGTATGATGACAAACGGGCCTGCGTCAACGTTCGTCCCGCTTATCATCAACGGCATGGGATACAGCCGTCTACATAGCCTGCTGTTGCTGATGCCTTTGGGTTTTGCAGCCGGAACCTTACCATTGCTTTCGGCCTATTTGTCCAGCAAATTCGCTCACCGCAAATGGAGAACTTGGGTGGCTTCGATCGCTGGTATTCCCACGGTTGTGGCCGCTGTGATGTGCTGGAGATTACCGGACTCGGCCACCGGAGCCCGACTATTTGCCATCTATCTCTTGGGTGGATTCACTTCCACGTACGCTGTCATGATTGGCTTGCAGACATCAAATACTGCAGGGTACACCAAAAAGTCGGTCACAGCAGCTGGATTCTTCTTAGGCTATTGTATGGGTGAGTTCGATCACCTTATCCTGATTCTTTAGCTACCATTCGTTCGCATTGAATGCCCAGCATTCACTGACACTTACCTAAAGGCAACTTTACTGGCCCTCTTCTATTCAAGCCTCAAGACGCTCCAAACTATAATCCCGGGTTTCTGGCCATCACCATTACAACAATCGTGGTTGCTGTATTGCCAATTGTATACCGATTCCAATGTCTCTATGAGAACAAAAAGCGCGACGCAGCTGGCATTCGCGAAGCATATGACCATGCGTATGAAGATGACTGCACGGACGTGAAGGTAAGTTGCTCCCAAGACGTTAAGCTGGTTTGAAGCTAATCAAACTCGCTGTGTAGAACCCGCAGTTTCGATATAGCGTTTGAGACAATTTAATGAGGTAGTTACGTCTCGAATAACCGGTCCTCCTTCAACGCCAAAACTTTTCACATTTTGCACAAAGAAATTGACACCACTTTGATCTTGATTCCTTTCTTGCGTGTATATTCGGAATGATCGTCGTGAAAAAGTAAAAGAGGCTTCTCAACTTTATATATCTCGACTTGTAAACTCTTCCTGGTTGCCTAGATAAACAGCGGGCCAATCAGGCCTTTTGCAAGCACGCTGTGGCGGACGGTGAGCATTCAGGCTCCATATGCGGGGGCTGATCAGATTAAGCTGCTTTATACGCACCAGGGAGAAGTTTGCTAAACGTGGAGAGGTCGTTGCAGAAAGCCTTGCTGCTCTCAAACTACCTATTCCACCAAGGTGTGCAGCCTTCCCGCCGTTGTCACGACATTCATCATTAAGCTAGATCTTACCTGGACCCTAAGTTGCTTTTGAGGTTGCTCAGGCAGCGATTCAGACACTCGCCGTGCTTGCTTGAACATGTTCGTCTGGAATCGGCTTTAACGCAAACCTCCGCGTGGCATGAAATAAAAGTACAAAGCAAAACAGGTCGAAGAATCAGATACTTATCTTTTATATGCCCACCGAACCTCTCAAACACAGCGTCCAATGTACTGCAGCTGCGGTGGGGAAAAAGCGACTTCATTATCTATGTCTGAGCGGAGTGGCTATAGCCTGTCGAGAGGAGACAAAATTGAATAGACAACCCACCGACCACTCTCTCCGTATTGCGCCCCAATGGAGGAGTTATGCCATCTTTCAGATTTCACTCCATTCCTTCCCCAACTTGGGGAACTCCGGAAGCTCCCACTTCGCCGTCTCATCACTCGGACCCGCCATTTGTTCGAGTTTTAAGTACGCCACTATTCTCGCGATCATGTGTAGGATCCAGATGCCAATCCACGAGGTCGGTGAAGCTAGCGACGCTGACCAGTGCCTGCCACCATGGCCTACCGTGGCAATCGGTCGAAAGGCGCTCTCGTAATTCCTCGCTCCCTGCACCACAGCTGCTATTGGCGACGAGCTATCTTTCTTCAACAATGTCCCAATTTCACCAGCTAGAATATAAGGGCCTATCAAACCCCATGTGGTGCCGTACCCATTTGCCGTCGACGAGTGTGCTGCGTCGCCTATCAGAACAACTCGTCCCTTCGACCACGCTCCTTGGGGAAGATTAACTTCCTCGAACGGTGTACAGTACAGATCATCAGCCTCCGATGCATGTCTCAGTGCCTCCGTGAATCGCTTGCATTCCCATCCGCCGTCCTCGTAGAGGTCAGCCAAAGCCGTCTTCAGCCCAGCCAGATCTCCAGTCTTCAAGGCTCGATCAACGGAAGCCTTTCTGCCATGGAACATCATGTAAACGCGTGTGAGTTCCGGGATGTCCTTTCGTGTGCAAACAATTCGCGCCACTGGACCCCCCGGCAGATGGCAGAGAGTGAAGCGGTCCGAATCTCCTGGCTCTGATGGCACGCTGAAATACGCAACATACCTCCCTAGAAAACGGCGTGGGTCAGGAGAGTTTGAGTCCAAAATCATTGCTCGTGTCTTCGAGGCAGTCCCTTCAGCGCCCACGACAAGATCAAAATCCTCCTGGCGGCCATCTCCAAATCTAACGTGGACTTTACCATTGGGATCGCTCTCGTCATCCTGCGTGAAGCTCTCGATAGTCGTTCCAAACAGATGCCGCACATTATCTCGGTTCTCGGTGAGCCCATACAGAATCCGAACCAGATCGCCACGCATGATCTCATACTCGGAGGTGATACTCTGTCTCCCACTGTTGCCGCCCGTTGTGGCCTGAAAGAATGCTTTGGTGTTGCCATTGACATCAATAAGCTGCGTGCCCGGCTCGTGAACAACGACTGCTCGCACTGCCTCTTCGATCCCCATTTTCTTCATAATCTTCACCCCGGGACCGCGAAGATCTATCTGATGGCCTGAGGTGCGCTTCTGCGGGGATCGTTCGATGAGAGTGATGCTGACGTCGATGTTCGCCTTGCTGAGTCTGCTCATCCAGTGTGCTAGGGCTGCGCCAGCAACGCCTCCTCCGCTAATGAGGACTTTGAAATCTGTCATGGATCTATGGGTGTGCAGGATATGTAGTCTAGGAAAGAGATGGAAGTTTGGAGTAAGAGTCAATTCCTTACGTGTGTCGGAAGGAAGTGTATGATATATAAAAGTATCCAACGCAGAACAGCGGGTGCAACAGGTCACTCCCAGCCCTTTGACCTTATGTATGGTGACGCCTACTTACGTTGACGGTAATCAAGTAGCCTACGGTTCCCCTGCCATCGACGGCTGCAGACCTAATTCACCCAATGACCTCTAGCCGCATACTAGTACCAAGTACTCTCTGAAGGTATTATTTCGTATCCCGCTTGTTGAAAACTTATCAAACTAAAAGAAGGGTCAAGTCACTAGATTCATCACGCAAGCTTTTGCTAACCTTTTTTTTTTAAAGCAAACGTTGGTGCCTGCGCAAGCCACCAAGCGCTTGGTGGCCGGCGAGGCTGCTGTGCCAGATCCGAAACTCTGATTGGCCCGGCCTTTGATTGGAGGTTGCGCACCTCTCGTATCCGTATTCACCAGCGCAGCGCAGTCCACGTCATGATTCATGTCGGCGTAAACGGGAAGCCCGTTGTTTGGCACCCATGCTGGTCTCACCCATTTTACTTTTATGCAACATATTATGCGAATACTTCTGTGTTTTGTGAAAGCTATGCTTGGGTGTGATGATGGTTACCACACAGAACAACGTGGTGGAAAATTTAACCTGGTTTCGTTGAGGTACCTGGTAAGGGCTGCGAGCGAAACGGCGGATTCAAGTTGTGTCATATACGAGGGAATGACGATGCGAACGGAGTTTATGATGATACGAAGCACGGTGGTCATCCTCTTCCGCCGGGACACTGTTCAGGACTGACGGGAGGTGCCAGTGCATGGAAAAAGGGAAAGTAGCCTTGTCACGTGACCGCAATTCTGTCTTCGTTTTACAACGGTATAATGGATGCTCGGGTTGTTGACAGTTACAATTTCTAGCGTAGATTGTAAATTTTCTTATTCGGAAACCTCCTGCAATGTTGTGCCGGGGTATGGAATTTGATAGTAGCCATACTGAGAAGGCGAACATGGTCCATAACAACCAGCTCAATGGTTTGCCCTTTCACAGCGTTTCGTAGTCCCTTTCGTAGTGGCTCACATGTCTAGCGAGCTGTTCGCTGTACGCAGAATATGCAAATGCCGAGAAATATCTAGGGCATTGCTCGGCTGGAGAAATACTGCCTCTAAGCAGTGGCCTCTATGGAGAAGCAGCACCAGGGCATTGTGGGTCAAGGAGAAAATGAAGTATCTCCCTCTGGGCAGCTTTTGAAGATGTCCACACTTGGCTGGACTCACTGCAGGACCGTAATATGCGTGATTCAGGCGAGATGTCCACTCCGATGTCCATTAGCCAAGATGCTGAATAGTAATACGAGTAGGGTCGAAGACCCCTTTCGGTCTAGTCCCAGTTAGGAAATGAAGCAAGCTAACGTACGAGTTTGGTCGCAGAACAGCCAATAAAACGTCGGCCTGCCCATTGTGGACCAAGAGAGGTTGTATCCAACCCTAGATGACCTTCAAGATCTGTTTGCAAGCTCTGCATCTCTCTCGAATTTGAGGTATTACCCGCGGTAAATGGGCCTTATTATGATGAGTGATTCAACTGCCACCGAGGCATTCTCCAGAAACGGCCGAAAGCGGAAGAACGGTCTGGCCAACAGCAGGTTCCCTAGTGGGCACTTGAATCTATAAAGCTGGGGTTCCCCTCTGGCTCTTTGCGACTTGCAAATCATAGTATTCGCAAGACCATATGATCATTGCTGAAACATAGACAACATGACTTCCGTGGCGATATCCGCAGAAAGAGTCGCTCAAGTCGACGCAGCCGTCCGAAAATTTGTTGGCGGGTTTCTCAAGCCGATCGATTCCACTGAAGAATTCTTGTCAAGCTATCATCCAGAAGTTGAATGGTATGATCACGCTTTTTTGATCAGACGTGTCGGACACAAAGCTGTAATTGGCTTGCAACAAGGTTTCACCCACTGCAACCAACCCTTCGCGGTGGACATCAAGGTATTCAGACTTCTTCCGTTCCTTCATCCCCCAGAGCAACCCCAGATATTAATCAGCCCGTTCAAAAGGCCATAACCCCAACCGCAACAGGCGCGATTCTTGAACAAGTATGGATCGGGCGCCACTCCAATGACCTTATTCGACCGAATGGAGACGTTGCTGTCAAAGCCACTGGCAAAGATTTCCAATGCCTCGTTTGCATGGTCTTTCAGATCGATGAGAGTGGGAAGTTCACACGAATTGATGAATATTATAACAAGCATTGGGAGGATGGTGTGCATGAGCAGGAGTACTTGGTGATGAAGGGTGCAAGCATGCAGACAAAGGTTTGAAGACTGGGTGCCGCTTAGGACCAAGGAGTGGAAGACAACAGGTTCCCCTTGTGGATCGGAGCGTAGAATGGCACGATAGAATTCACAGCGGCCAGCGCTTCCTGTGCGGCGTTTCTTCCACCAGCCTATGCCACGGTGTCCATAGTGAAAATCCTATCCTGTTAGTCAAAGAGATGGGCGTACCTTGAGCGATTCCGGAATGACGGAGCTCCCTCCACCTCACTCAGTCTGGGTTGTGGTCTGAGCCTAGATCTCCGCTTACAAAAAATGCCAGCACATGCAGCAGCATACGGCGTACACGCTCCAAAGATTTTGAATCTTCTGGCATCCGGAATTATACTGATACTCAAGGTGGAGAAGAGAGTGTAGACCGAAAAGGAGTACGTTCAAATCGCAGACTCGCCTCCGCAGAGGCTTGCAGGTGTGGTGTGGTGTCCTTTTCGAGAGGCAGAAGGGGGGGAAGGCGTCCATCGACAATTTTATGTACTTGAGGAGCTTCCTTCTGAAATCTTATTGGCAAAAAGATAGACTCTATAGGAGGTCGATGCAGTCAACACATGGACGTATGAGCTTGTCAATGTGGATTAGTACGACTAGTACCGCAACCTATATTATGTTCGATGGGTTTAGAGCAATGGCAATGAGCACATCCTTGATACAGAATTCAAAAGCTGGCTAGGAAGTTTGCCAGCGAGGAATAAAGGCTTTTGAAGTTGAATACGACTTCAAGGCCTGCATGCTCGTTCTTTCTGTAAAAGGGATCGGACCAAGGGTTCGGAGTATGACTTGGATTTCCACACCATAAGAACAACTTACGACGCCTGTTCTCACATCTATCGCCTCAGTACCTCTTCATCCCCGTCTGTTGAAACTCACATTCCAGATCAAGCGGCCCACACGTCGCCCTGCATCCTCGAGCTCAGAGAGAAATCGAACCTATAGTTACAGTTTGTCGCCCGTTCTGAGTCAATTCCTCGTCACATCTTCTCAAACGCCATAACAGCATATCTAAAGGCACCACTAGCATAGCCACTCCTCATCGCCCGGAACGCCTGAAGGAAAGCGAGACCGTCGCGCCCTTGGCTAATGGCGAATGCCCACAGCGAAGGCGACGAGATGAGTTGCCACGAGATATCCCTGTTTGCGATGCGGCGTGTTATTAGTATAACAACAATATTCAATATTCGGTCACTGTGGCAGAGCGGAACCAGAGGGTCGACGGAATCGGGCGAGGGGGAAGATAAATTACGTACCAAGTCTTCGCAACGTCGTTGCTGATGTCTTTCGGCGCGTGCAGGACAATCAGGCCAGCGGCTTCGGCGAGCTGGACGTATTCGGCTTGGGTTTTCAATGGCGGGAGGAGCATGCCGTCTAAGAGGAAAAGCAAAGCGCGGGCCAAAGGTTAGTAAAGGGACAAAAAGGGGTACGAATCCCAGAATCGGTCATGGCATGACATGCATTAAGAACCGCGAAAGACCCAACGATATCTTGCGTGTAGGGCGGGAAGGGAATGGGTAGGACGAACCTTCGATCAACTTAATATCAGCCTCGCCACCCTGGATCTCCGCCAACGCGGCATGGTCCGCCTTGAACCAGTCAGCAATGACGAGTTTCCCCCCTCCAGACCTCAACACCCGTGCGGCGTTCCTGAAGAACAGCGGCTTGTCCGGGAAATGACTGAGGGCTTCGGAGATCCAGACGGCATCGAACGAGGCCGGCTTGAAGCGAGACTCCATCTTCTCGGCGTCGAGCTCCAAGAAGCGCACTTTGCCATTCTTAGCACCCAGAGCCATAAAGGCTACTGTATCGTCGTCGTCTGAGCCGATCGACGATTTAGGGGCGGCGGATGATATCAGGGTCGGATTTGCCTCGCTTTCCTCCGCAGTGAGGCGGTTCGCGATCGCAACCTGTCGCCCGCTAATGGTGATACCCGTGACGGAGCAGCCTAGCTCGCGTGCTAGGTGACGAGTCGTGCCGCCGATGCCGCACCCGACGTCGAGAACGGTGCTGTTTGCTTGCACCTCGGAGATCGAGAGCATGAGGTTGATAAGGTTGACCTGCCCGGTCTCCTTGGTGTCCTCTGCCGATTGGAAATATGCGTGATGGATATGTTGGCCCCTGAGAAGACGAAGAACAAGAAGGAAGGCGGATTAGCAACTCAGGTTGTCATTTTAAGATGGGGCTTGTAGAAATGGCGGGTTTTTACCAAAGCGAGTAATAATAGTCACTGGCGAGCTCATAATGATGCCGTATCCGGTCTTTCAAGGCAGCGAATGACAAGTGCGCTTCGTATGTGGGCACTTCGTATGTGTCTCCGATGTGTCCTCGATTTGTGTCTTGCTCAGCCCGGACTCCAGCGGCCGGAGGAGCAACGGCATCGCCGCTGGCAGGTTGGGCGGGATCACCCATTTGTTCAAGCCCAGCAACAAGGACTCAACGGCTGATCGGTGGAATGCGTGGCACTGCAAAGGTAAGCCACTAGCTTTTGAAAGGGCGGAGAGGGGCACCTTCTGGGACAGCAAGGGATCAGGCACCCAAGCTTGATTGATCTCGGCGTGAAACTAAATGCGCAAGGCCAGCAGTGAGAAGATGTGCTCAGATATCTACGGACGGCTCACTCGTCTAACCGAAGCTCCTGTCTCCTCCGAACAGGCAGCAGGGTAGTATACTTGTCGTTGATGGGTTTATCGAAAGGGTGGTGTGTTCTGTCCTCCAATCAGTCCGAGTTTCCGAATCATGATGAATGGCCAAGATTGGGATCTTTTTGACGTTGCTGGATCATAAATTACCCAATACTGGAATTCAGATGGCCCGAATAGGCAATATCGTATTCCGACCGCAACCTCATCCAATGCAAGCCACAGTTCAGCAGCCCTTAAGATATTACTAAATTTTATCCGATAATGTCCCCTTAATTTCGTTGTTGAGATATTTCAATAGCCTTCGGGTCAGTCCAGGGAGAGAATATCACCCTATCAAGAAGCCGAAGGGTAAGATACATTGAATCTTAGTGGAAGGTCACCGCCACACTGTGCAAAGGCAGCCATCAGATACGACAGAGCAGTGGGCTGTAATGCGAAGTTATGGGAGCTTTTATTGTAGATGTCCATGTCCTATACCCGGAAAGTTGTAGCCGATATACAGACTACTGGCGCTCTCCCTCTCGCTCCCCCCTTCCGGACCAGCGAGTGAAATGTCAAGCAGCCAGAAACCTCGGGAGTCCAGTGCCGCCATAAATTGGAGTCTTATGAGCCCGCTCGAACTCTCTCAAATACAGCGCTGCAGACACATAGCAGAAACTCACTAGTTCCTCGCCGCTTCTCGCCGCTGGATCCCCCGGGTCTCCCTCTATGCCGGCTACGAAACAAGCTGCACTTCGTCCAATGCTGTCGCTTAAATCATCGCTTTCTTTAACGATGCAGCTCACGATGTACGCCAGATCTGCGTTGTAACGTTCGTTCATGCTCACAGACAAATCGTGTTGCCGCTTGCTTTGCGCACCAGTTTTACCCAGGATATTTCCAATGAAGACCTCCTGCTCACTCAGTGGTCGGGACCTCTCCGGACTGAACTCCCACGATATGTTCCGAACATAGTCTTCATACCTATTCAAAACAAGAACCGACCAATTAGCCATTGTTGGTAATATATTTTAGCGCTGGGGCCTTACTCGTCACGTATTCCTCGTGCTCGCTCCATATGAGGATCAATCAGACGAATTCCAAGGTTTTCAGCAATGTGCTTCCGCGTCCAATATAGGAGTGAAGATTTGGTGCCTCGAGGCTGACTTGATTTTTGAATATTGGAGAAAATCTTTTGTTCGTTGATCGCGCGGAACAGCTTTCCCAGGATATTGGTGCTCTCGTAGTACCTATAAGTGGGCATGCCATCCTCGTCATCGGCTTCAGTTTGTTCAGGTTCGCCAAACGTCAGTGGGTTGCCCTTTGACACGGTAATGTGTGGTCCATAGGCCATGAAGTCTGGGCGATATGGCTTAATTCTTGGCATCTTCCTGAGATCAACCTGTTATGTTTAGTGTGTACAACACATCGAGATAAGTTCTTTTCTTACTGGAATTCCACTCTTAGAAAAATCAACTGCTGTGGAGTGCATTTCTGCCAGTGTCAAGCAGCCACCTGCCAGTGTGCCTGCTGGTGACTGGTCGGCTAAAATCTTATGATTGTTAGCAATTCGACCCAGCTGATCAGTGGCCATAAATGTAATGAAGAAGTCAGTCATGTCTTCGCGTACAACCTCTCTACCAAGATCAATGGGCGTTGGCCGGGAGTAGTCCGCTGGCGTGAAGGAGCATTTTGGTCTCGCTCTAGAATCGAAGAGGATCTGATAGAGGTCCCCGTCAAGATCACCGCCACTCAACTTGCTCGGGAGATCTCTTGATCCATGTTGACTGAAGCATACACAGTTGCGTAGATCCAATAGCGGTGATTTGTATGGAACTTTCACCGCCTTTGCGATCTGAATATCTCCAGGATGAAGAGCTGGGCTTCGAGTGATAACAACGTCACCTACAATGACAGATGGCTTGCCAGCTTTTTCGACTATACAAAAGACTTCGCCCTCTTTGAGGAAGGCGGTCTCGTCCATGATACCGTGCAGGGTGTATCCATCTTCGACTGGGATTCTAGCTTTGTACTTCAAGGACCTTAGTTCAATTAGAATCGCTGTCTCCATGACTTTACTCAGAAAAGGATCATGTTGGAAGGAAAATCCCAAGTCATCGAGTCTACGGATGAACCAGGGCAAGTTGATACGATCGCCAATAGCGTGGCGTTTGAGGAAGTCTGAAGCTAACTTGGAGCTTGACGTAGTTGATTGCAACCGGCGGACCTCTCGATCTTGATGGTAGAGAAAGAATTCATCTTCAACACCCATATCTTCCAGAATTTTAATGCTTTGTTGATTCAAATAGTATGGGAGGGGATGGAAAGCACTGTTGCAGATCTCAATGTCCAAGGAATCCGAGCCTGGAAACTTCATCATAGAGGGGCGAAGACAGAGAGAATCTCCGGTAAGCCGACTATCAAGAGCAATCATTCCTTTCGCACCTGTTCAAGACATCAGTGGCTTCTCTTCAGAGAATGTTTGCATCGTGATGAGCATTCTGGCCGAGTGCGAAGAGAAAACGCGTGGAACCAAAATCAAAAAACTAATCGCAATGCTTACCACCATATCGAATCTGAAACAACACAGGCCTCTCCTTCTTCGCAGCTGGCAAGCCAGACCAGATCTTTTGCAGTACTCCTTTTGAAACCGTTCCAACACCATCACTGAAGAAGCGGCCGTTGCGTTGTATATCGGGGATTTCCTTTTGTACGCCAGGAGCAATTGTGATTGCTGTTGGAGTCTCCGAAAAGGCTTGTCCAATCCTAGCGGCGCATTTTGCAGGGCAACGAATGCGTGAGAAGTCGCCTAGTCCTTGAATGAGCTTTCCATAGAAAAGTAAGCTTCCCTGATAGATGAACGGAGCCATAAACCAACACGATTGGGCGCGTAGAGAAGAATGAGAGAATCCTAGAAAGGAGAAACGAAGACCAAGAATGCTGATGCCATCATTCAATAATTTCTTGAATCGCCCCTGGAATATTTCATCATTTGATATCTGAGCGTTGTAGCGTATTGGCTCGCCATCTTCTTCACAGAACTGAACTCTCAGGAAGAAGTCGTGGTGATTAGGATATTTGCGAAGAACTCGATTGTTATTCTCTGGCTCTGGACCTGAGAAACAAATTCGAGAAGGGGTGATACTGACTTTGTGAATGCAGGCAATGTTATCGGAGTCTATACGCTTGCGGTAGTCTATTTCACCGTCCTTGACGCGAGCCTCATTGTCTCTAAGGAGGGACGTCAAGGCATCAATGGAGAAAACGTTAGGGTCTGCCTCGAAACATCTGTATGGCAGTTGGTTGAATAATTTGCGTATGATGGCTACACACGTCTCAAGGTTGCATCGGCGTCCAAGCCCCTGTATCTCTGGTAGAAGAGCCAATGTTGACTGGGGTGACAAGAAGCCTTCGCTCGCAAGTTTCTGCATTTGAAATTTGACGGAGTATGGAAGGATTGAAGCTTCAAGTGCCCGAAGGAGCGGAGCCATTTCTCTTTGAAAGGATGTTGTCGCAAATTTGACCATGATGTTCTGTCGAACGGGCGGATTGAGGCCACGTGCATGGCCCAAGGCTTCCATCTGGGTATTAACATTAATTTGAGCCAGGCCAACCTGATAGACGAGACAACTTCCCACGATCACACCATGTTCCAGATCAAGTGCGGGGAGCCTCGTTCGATTTTCTGTTGTTCGTCGACTATTGAGGTTCATGCTTTGGATCATAGGTAGTAGATCTGTGACGGATGCAGCACTATTTTGGGGATGGTTCGGACCAATGCGAAAGAACATAGGGGCTTCATTACAGGTAATCGTTATCGCAGGATTAGGAACGCCACTGAGAACCGTCTCTTGCACATTAGAACAGAGGAGATCAATTCGTTGTGATTTATCCGTCCTGATGATCGTCCTGTTCGCTGTGAAGCGGATGGTGCCTGTAACTTTCCACTTCCGGTATGCGATGAAGATTGGCTGCGAACCCTGAAAATCCCAAACACCGCATGATATCGAATGCACCGGGAGCTCACTCTGCGACTTTGGAGCGACACTTGGAGTTGATTGTCCTTCTGAAGGGTTCGTAGCCTTTTTTAGCCTGTTTTTGGCCTCCATCTGCAGGTTCTTCAGCGCCCACTCGTCTGGAGACTTTCTGCTTCGACTACAGAGGAGCTTAATGCCATTGAACATGATATCTGTCCGCTCAGCAGGGAGGAAATCACGGCCTAGGCCGTTACTGATCCGACCATGGCGATCCAAGAATTTCTCAGCATCCTGCACTTTGAGAAAGATCAAGAAGCAGAAATTCTTCCCTTTGCGTTTCTGACAATCCCAGGCAAGAACTCCAAGCTCGCTCAAGATAGGTCGAAAACAGTTCTCCAGCTGCTTTTCCGTGGCTCGTTCAGGTACCCCGCGAACGAAGACCTCCATTGTGCATTAGTAGTACTTGAAATAAATAATGTGAAGGAGGATGCGAGAACGAGGGTGCAAAAACAATTCCTGGACTACAGTTGCCCGTGCAGTCCACGGCTCTCCCAACAGTCGGCAATGAATTGACAGTTCGTCGGGTTACACGGAGTCACGGAGATACGGGCAGGTGTACATATTGCGGCACGCTTCTGGATGCAGTTGACTTGTGCCCTGCAAGAAGACAATGATTCAATTAATGCGGGAGAGGATACGGCAGCCTACAAGTAGGTAGCCTCGACTGAAGCAAGGCTTTGAATGGGATGAAAAGAAGGATGAGGTACGGAGCTGGACTTTGCCTACCCAGGCAGGTATGGGTGACGCCAAGACTCAACTAGTGCGTACTAACTCTACGAACATGTGACACGCTAACAGACTTTGGATGCTAAAACACTGTACCAATGGCCAGAATGCCTCCTTCATCGATCGGTGAGAGCTGCCCAAAGTCTATGTCAACAGTCAGTATTTATCAGTTAAATAGTGACTAAAACTAAAGACCGGATTTGACGTGGCTCTACTCAAGCACTTCTGGCAGTCAAGGGAATCCGTTCCACGTGCTCTCGGCAAAGATCCGTGCCTAGCCTTATGACGATCTCAACTTAGCCATTCCCCAACATCAGTCAATTATTTAAGTGGTCATGTCCGTTTTCACAAGGACCATGCGTGGTGTGCATCTCATTATATTAGTCAGATGACTTCGTGGTAGATGGGAGTGAGTTAAGGACTCCCTTGCTTCGGAAGCACACTGACCATCGTTGATGTACCCCCACCATCGTTCCTTGAGTGTTGAACAAGGAGGGCGTCTCTTTGCCCATAAACCACATACCCTACAGGAACCTGACCAATTCTTCCGAAGGACGCTCACAAAGCCAGGATCTAGTGACATGATGGGCGAAGCCACGGGTGTTTCGATGGCAACTCTGACTCGCACAACCGCAAGCCGACAAACAACATCAACCCCTTCGAGCAGTACCCTAGCAAACGGCTCGCCGCGCCCCATTACCATCTTCGACCCAGCCAGACAGTCTCAAATCAAACAACTGACCGCCCTGCAGCAACACGTCCTCTTCTGGGACCGCGACAACGACGGGATAATCTACCCTCTGGACGTGTACAACGGATTCCGCGCCCTCGGCTTCAGCATCATCTTCAGCCTGGGCAGCCTCCTAATCCCGCTGTTCTTCTCCTACGCCACGAGCATCACACAGTCCTACATCCCAGACCCACGGTACCGAATCTACGTGTCGAGCATCCACAAGGCCAAGCACGGGTCCGACACTGGCATTTACGATGTGGATGGACACTTCGATGCCACCCGCTTCGACGCCATGTTCGCCCGCTACGACACCACCCGCTCCGGCGGCTTGAGCGCGCACGAGCTGTGGACCATGTGGAAGAAAAATCGCTGCGCCGCTGACCCGGCGGGCTGGTGTTTCGCCTTCATGGAGATGTGGACTACCTGGTTGCTACTGCAGCAGGACGGACGAGTGTGGAAGGACGACTTGAGGGCTTGCTATGATGGGACGCTGTTCTGGAGGATTGGTGAAGGTTATGAGATTGGGAAGCCGTGGCAGAAGGGCTATGGCGTGCGAGATTTCCTTGAGGGTATGTGGTATGGTGGGACGTGGAAGAATTGGGAGTTCAAGGGCACGAAGACGAGGTAGAATATCCTAGATTCAAAGCCTGGGGATCTGGTACGACACAAATATCTAACCAGTCAGGAGGACAAGGCTGTCTGTCCAGTTAGAGCGACACATAAAGATAAGAAGGGGAACTAACACTTTGGAAGGTAGATAGATATGCTATTTTGTTGAGTGGTAATATTTGTTGATTAAATCTGTGCAAAATACTAGCATAGAGAGCCACAAAAATACAAAGTTCTTTTTCCGCTATGCAACGATTGATATTCATGACCGCCCACCAGTACATAGCTGAAACCAATTTCACCGGAACGAGCGGACTCACTTACCACGTCCTTGCTCTCAAGGGTCGCATCGACTCATCGTTCATTCCTCATCGCTCTCCTCCTCAGCAGTGCCCTCATGGAAATACTTGCCCTCGGTCGTCTCATTAATAACACCCGCCCGAATCGTCCAGTCACCAAACCTCTCACCCGCATCTCTCTCCTTCGCATACCGACTCAACAAGCCCTTCATGATCTCCAGAATCTCGTCTTCCTTGATACTGCTCCGGTAGAGCTTATTCAGGCGCTGGCCGTGGTACCCACCACCGAGATACATGTTGTACGCGCCGTAGGCTTTCCCGACGAAAGCGACCTCGGCCACCCACGGTCTGGCGCAGCCGTTCGGGCAACCCGTCATGCGCATCACGATGGAATCCTGGCTCAAGCCGTTTTCCTCCAGGCAGCCTTCGAGCTTGGTGATCAGCTCCGGCAGGTACCGCTCAGACTCGGCCATGGCGAGGCCGCAGGTTGGGAATGCCACGCACGCGGAGCTGGAGAGGCGGAGGGCGGAGAATTGTGTGTTGTCAAGCTTGTATTTCTTCATCAGCTCGACGATTGCGGGTTTGGCAGCGTCGGTCACGTTCGAGAGGATCAGGTGCTGGTTGCCAGTGAGGCGGAACTCGCCGGTGTGAATCTTGGCGATTTCCCGGAGGCCGGTGCGCATGGCGAACTCGGCTGTGTCCTCCACGCGGCCGTTTTCGATGAAGAAGGCGAAGTGATTCAGGCCTTTCTCGTCCTTCTGCCAGCCGAAGGTGTCGATGTTGGAGTCAAACTTGAAGGGGCGAGGAGCCTCGAATTTGATGTTCAGTGGGTCGAGTAGCTCCTGCACCTTAGCCTTGTACACCTCATTGCCCATGTCGTCCATCGTGTACTTGAGACGGGCGTGCTTGCGGTTCTTCCGGTCGCCGTTGTCACGTTGCACGAGCATGATCTTCTCGCACACCAAGTGCGCTTTATCGGCTGGGACATAGCCCATCATGTATCCAGTGCGCGGGTAGGTCTTTTTGTTGTTGTGTGTCACACCCATGCCACCGCCCGCGAGGACGTTGAACCCTTCGAGGTGGTCACCCTTGCGGATTGCAATCAGGCCAATATCGTGGGCGTAGACATCCGTGTCGTTGTGTGGAGGGATGGCAATCGTGATCTTAAATTTTCGAGGAAGATAGGTGGGGCCGTAGAGGGGTTCGAAATCCTGAACGGCATCTCCTGCAACCTGGGTCTTCTCGCCCGTGGTATCATCCTTGAGCCAAATTTCATGGTATGCGGAGGTCGAAGGTAACAAATGATCCGAGATCCTTTGAGATACAGCGTGGACTGCTTTGTGATAGTCGGACATGGTGGGTAAGCTTGAACACATGACATTTCGGTTGACATCGCCACACGCTGCGATTGTTGTCATTAAGGCCTTGTTGATTGCCTGCATTGCTGGCCTAAGCTTGGATTTGATGACTCCATGGAATTGGAAGGTCTGTCTGGTGGTAAGTTTGATCGTCTCATTCCCATGAGCAGATGAGATCGCGTCCATCTGTTGCCACTGCGAAGGTGTAGCAACGCCTCCAGGAAGTCGACATCTGATCATGAAGGAATAAGCAGGTTCAAGACCTTGAGCCTTTCGTTCATCTCTCAGATCACGATCGTCTTGCATATAAGTACCGTGGAATTTAGTGAGTTGCTGGTCCGGTGCGGAAATTGCACCGGTCGAGGTATCCTCTAGACCTTCCTTGATCGTGCCTCTAAGAAAGTTCGAGGCAATCTTGATGTCCTCATTGGTAATCGGCGGTGGCTCTTCGGGCAAGCCTTCGACATTGTCCACATTAAGCGCCTGCCACAGTCGGGGCTCCCATTCTTGGTAGCCTGTCTGATAGGTGTCGGGGTCCTGGTCGTCACCCAAACCAATAGGCGTCAGCAGCTTGCCACCTAAGAACTGAAGTCGTGCATCAAGATCCTTGCCGGGTTTGTTATAAAATATCTTATCCTCCTTCCGTGGCCAGTAGTGGCTGTCGCCGAGCGAAAATACCGAATAATGAAGGTTGGACAAGTCAACATCGGCGGTGTCTTTGATAGCTTCCCAGAAAGCACGGCCATTCTGTGGGAATTCGCCCTGCCCAGCTGTACTTGTGACGAAAACGACGTTTTCTTCGTTGGCTAGATCCTCGATAGGATAGTCGTCCATAGCGAGGACCAAAGTCTTCAATCCGCGAGCTTTACCACGGTTCCCTAATCTCTTCGACAAGCTTTCAGCGTTGCCGTTGTCTGAGGCGAACAAAATTGTCAAGGGTGCACCATAAAGACCTTCCAACATCTCCTCATACGCATCCTTGGCTTTGCGTTTCTGGAGCTTGCGAACTTCGGAACCATAAGATTCAGACAGATTTGCTGCAAATTGTGGATGGCGGTTCATCAGCTGCGTCAATTGGTTGTCGCGTTTCAAGAACTGTTCTAGTTCCTGTTTGATCCTTTCAGAATCCAGATTGAACGTCGGTTCACCTTTTTCCTCGTTGGACGGGTCCCAACGGTAGAGAGGCCAGTAGCCAAGATCAACGGCCTTCTTCGTTTCCTGTAGAGCTGTTAATGCGGAGTCGTTCTCCTTGTTGTATGGAAGATATGCAAGCACAACCGAAGGGCCATTGAACTTTTCGGCTTCAATCATCGCTTGCAGAACCTGGGTATAAGAACTGTAGACCGCAACTGAAGCAACATAAGCGTTGCCAAAGTTCATGGCGTAAAGACCAATATCTTTCTTCCGCCTAAGAGAATCCGCTGCTACCTGTTCGGAATGTGGTTCCGAATCGATGATAAGCACGTTTACGTTGGCTCCAGACGCTAGGACATGATGAACTCCAGAATTGCCAAGATCATATGACCACGCGTCAGAACCAATCAACCATTGGGATTCTTTGTAGAAAAAAGCCTTGTTATCGAGGAGTCTCCCTGCGAGTGAGGATCCATCATTTGCCAACCTGGCGAGGACTTCTGGAGCAATTTCATTGGCCTTGACTGGATCTGCTGCATTCAAAACCCATCTTGACAGCCATTGCTTTGGATTCTCTGTGATAAAAGCCTTGCTTCGGGCAGCATCTTCGGCCTCTTTTACAAATTCCTGCCGACGCTCAATCCGTGCCAGGAGTGATCCAAAGCCGAACTCGGGAGATGCTGCCAAGGTTGAAGAAACGCCAGCATTCTTTTGATTCAGGGCATTGGCAATGTAAAGCCTGCCGCTGAACAGTTGGTCGAGAATTTTAAGATAAGCGTTTTCTAACTCGGGTTGCTCAGGTTTGAAGTTATCAACTTGGGGGCCCCTCTCGGTCCCGATAGTCAAATTCTGAATGAGGAGAGGGGTGGCTTGAGAGTGACCTCGACGTCTCGTGTGCTTTCTAGGAGTTGTGGGTGGTGCCAAATTCTGGAAAATCCCGCGCAGTGCCTGCAGAGCTGTGGCGGCATCAATTTCACCTAGTCTATACTGGACCAGGGAGATAGGGCTCTTTTCCCCGTCCGCAGGGCTTAAACTTGAGAGTATGTCGAGGAATGAAGGGCCCCATTTGGTAGTCTTCCTCCTGATCTGCTCGAGGACGGCGATTCGCTTGATTGTGGAAGGTATAGAGTCGAGAAGAACAGAGCTACCAAGCCAGGGTCTGTAAAGTCGAGCTGTAATCATACCAACATTTGTTAGGTCGGCCGGTACATCATCGGCATCTAGCACGTCAACAAAAACTCCTGTTGATCCGAAGATGAAGAGAGCCGCTTCAGCGTCTGGTGGGCCCGAGTACTCAATAGCAGAATAGCCGCGGCCAGTCGCGCGTTCAATCGCTGACCAGATATCCGTCGCGTATTTATGTATATCTGTCGCATTCACAGGCCTAGAGACTGGCGTTTCGACTGTGGTTGCAACTGAAGATGGAGCAGTGCTTTCAGATGAGCTGTCCCGCCGAGATGATCCACCTGAAGAAATGTCGGTCGTGCCGTTGGTAGAAGACGAGGCAACAAGAGGGGGGAGTAGTTCTTGTGTCTCCCCTGAGGGTGTCTCCACGGATAGTACTTGCGGTAATCCCAGATCCCTTACAATTGCAGACCTTCCATTGCCGGCGTAGAGAATGTCCTCAGCAGATTCTGTGTGCGAAGGCTGTGACCCAAGGGCGTTACCGAGGACAGACTGAACTAGATCTCGGCTTTCGATTTGGATCGGAGTATCTTGCAGCGAATTGTTGGGGTCGTAAAAATGTAGAACGCCCTTGCCGCTCTTGATGGCCAAAGCATGTGCAGTCAAAGCAATATCTTGCGCTTCCTGAAGAGTCTCAGACTGCAAAAATATAAAACCAGATTGGCGGACAGAGCTGATCTCGGAAAAATCTGGATGAGATGTTCCGAGGGCCACGTGCAGGACAACTGGGTATTGTGCAAGCTTGTATAGATGTGGTACTGAATTCAACAATACTGATGATGGAGCCGTCGCTGACACTAGTTTACCAGATTTGAGAGCCGTATAGGTGGAGAGCAGAGGATCAGCATTTTGGCGAACTGGAATGATCTCAGGAGTGGTCTTGGATACAACGTTCTTTGCTTTGTTTGCGGAAAACCGGCCAAGGTGATGGGAGAATTCAGACTCGGTCTTGAGCGCTGGTTGCACTGAGAGAATGACATCGCTGGCTAAATAGGCGATCCTGGCAACTGTGAGAGCAAAACGGTCAATAAAACAGGCATCTCGGGGTGTTTGCTCACGGCGAAGCTACGCGAAGCTCAAGCGGGGAAACATTTGCTGGGATTGCGAGAGGAACGACTTGAACATACCAGCCTCTGCGGGGCTTGAGATTGACCCCATGATTGATGCCTATACACTCTGAGAAAGGGAGAGAAAGTGATAAGGAAACAGGAAGCAACAGAAAGATGTGAGATGGCAAAGGCTGCTAGAAGAGCCACGGCGGCTTTCAAGAAGAAATCGACAAAGTAAAAAGCGGAGAGGTCATTCATCAGACTCCAGGTGGCTAGCCGGTGCTATTGCAAATATTCCGCAGTTCGAGCGTCTGACTGCAATACTGTAGCACATCCACCAGAGGCTCGATCACCAGGACAATGGCCTCTGGCCACGAATAGTAGTTATTTCCATCTGCCAAACCCAGCCCAGGAAATTTTCCTTCTCGTCATTCATTCCAGACACCTCATGATTGGCTGCTGGGGCGATGGCGACATCGATGTTGGAGAAGAGAAGAAGCGGAGGCCACGCCGGACGAGGCTCGGAAGGTCGGAGTTGGGAGGGGGTCGCTGGATGGGACTATGACTGAAGTACTCTATACTTTCCTTGCCGATTAGGGTTATCAAGTGAGTTAGTCTATTAAGCGCGAAGATTAACCCACGACTCCCCCACTGGTAGGGGGGCAATCAGTGGCAATACTTATTTATTTGGATTAGCTCAGCTTCCCTGACTGCCGAATTAGGCATCACGCCCTTCTTCCGCCATTTACCCGGCAGGCGCTAGAGGCTACTAACTAGATAGGTAGTAGTTGGGCTCTAGCGATGAGCTGCACGTGACTACAATTGCGTCTCCAACTCTCTCAGACTTTCAAAGTCCCAATGTCACCAAAAAAATACTCCCCCCCACTTGTCCTCCTGACCCTGTTTGAATGCAGGCCAGCCAAAAATGGCCGACGACGACGACGACCCTGTGGTCGCTTCATACGATGTCTATCTGACGGAGCCACTCTCCTCTAATGAATCAAATACCTCCAGACTCTTCCTCCTTCAGTATCCTGCCCATAGACCCTATTCGAAGCCGTACAATGCCGCTCGAAACCAGACTCCTTCCTCCCTCCGATTGAAATCTAACTCTGGCTTCGTCGAGGTTGACGTTCCCATTCTGCTGCATGAACATTACAATGCCGCTGCAGGAGAAAAGTATGGAAAGGCTATGTCTGAGAGCCGTACCAAGCATGCTGGTGGTACCTATGGCCTTGCCGGAGGATTCACATCAAGCGGTCATTCTAAGCTGAGGGATGCACCGCAACAGGATGATTCGCACGACTCATGGCCAATTTTACAGACGCAGACATTAGGCGGGAAGATAGTGGCTCCCACTGCCCGCGACCCAATATATCTTCTCGGCTGTTTCCGTCATAACCAGATCCACCTCTCTCCCCTTGACGCTGTCGTGCAAATGCGTCCGCAACTGCACCATATCGATGCAGAAGAGGAACTTGGCCAAAAGCGCTCTCAATCCTCGACTGGCCCTGCAGCTGCTAGGCAAAAAGCTGGGGCAAATGGAGTGGCAGTGAAAGTCGAGTCAAAGGCTATTGAGATCAAAATCAAAGATACAAAGGATGATCCCAAGGATCGAAGTCTAAATGAAAATGCGAAGATGCTTCGTGACATACAGGTTGATTATTGGGACGAGCACGAATGGATTGATGAAGAGGATTCCGATGCAAAAGAGGCATTCCACTCACAGCTACACCTTTCCCTTTCCGGAGCACAACACCCTTCAAGGCTAAAGAGTAGCATTAGTAATGGTGACTGGCTGGACAAGATGAGTGCTCCAAGAGAGGATGGGAAGAAAGGGTTGCTCGCGAAATTGAGAGGCCGAGAAAGAGAGCGTGCACGAAGAAAGAAGGCAGAAGAGGAAAAGCGACAGCGCCAACGAGAGGCTGTTGGAGTGGCTGCCAGTACCCATGGCCTATCGATGGATATGAGTTCGGATAGCGATCTAAGCACCCCAGAAGCCTCTGATGTTGGACACTAGTTCTAGAGATTGATACCCTGGTTGTGAGATTACTGCATGGCGTCGGCGTCCTCCTGCTACCAACACCTACTGGCGTGGCGAAGAGAATGGGTCGGTTACTAGTGGAAATTGAATTTCATTGTGTCTATGAAGACTTACTGATGACCATGTCAATGGAATCCTGCTTTCATAATCATCTGAAATATCTTCAGGTCCTCCTTTGCATCCTTGGCTGTCGTTTTCACCGATTTCCCGTTAGCCACCATGTCGTAGAGTTCCTTCATTTCCAAGGTATATGGGTCTTCGTACGTTTTCCGCACGACTGACTCTTTGTAAGTACCATCCTCATTTTCACGGACTAAGAGGGTGACAGGTAGCCCTTTGATGTAGGGCGTATCATAGACAACCCTAACAGATTTTTTCATGCTATATACCTCGATGTGAGCGTCAAACCGGGGTATATCGTCAATGCCAGACTCATAAGTAACAGAGAACCCAGGATATTGAAACATAACACTAGAAGGTTAATCAGCCTGCGAGACAGCCAGCGTGAAGTGATAGCATACTTCCAGAATGGGTGGCCCAACGAAGCACCAACGATGCCCTGGGGCATGCCAAGCACCTCCCTCATGGCTGATAAGTCGTGAGATCCCAAGCCTCCGAGCAGCCGCCACATCTTCGTGGCCTCTGGTGTTACGGGGACACCACAGTCTACTGTAAGTGCTTGGTTGATGATATCATCATGTCTTGCTTTCTGGTCGTCGACCGCTTCAGGGCTGAAGTCGGTGAATACCTTGGGGAATGTGCCAGACTGTGACACGAAATGGATATTTGGTCCTATGATGTCTGAAAGAATAGCGGCATCATGTTCAGCAAGTTGACTTGCTGATCTCATCATCAAGCTACAACACGAACATACCTCTCACCCGAGCATAGAGAACCTTGTCCATCCCTCCGACCTCCTGTAGTAATTCCGCAAACGCTGCGGCATACCTTCGCATGTAGCCGACCATAACTCTACCTTTCGACTTCTGCTCGGCGGTAATGATAGCATCTGCATCTCGCTCGCATAGCGCCATAGGCTTCTCGACGAAGACGTTCTTGTCATGTTTCAGTGCCTCGATGACGTGAATCGCGTGGTACTCGTCTGAGCTTGCGATGAAGACTAGATCCACGTCCGGTGAAGCACAGAGTTCACTCGGTCTCTGTGTGGTCTGAGGAATGTGATTGATGACTTTTTGAGCACTGTGTGCGAGCGAGGCTGGAGACACGTCGCAAAGATAAGTAATGGTGAAATAATCCGATAGAAATCCCAAATTGCTGATGTGGGCGACCTGGGTGACCTGCCCACAGCCGATTATGCCAATCTTGATTATCGGATTGGTGGACATGATGAGCTCTTGGGCAGGCGCTTAAGGAGATTGCTCGTGTTCTGGGCAGTGAGAATGTCGATGAGACCTATTGGTTTTCTCGCTTAAGAACGACGCTTACGTGCCTTGTACTGTACATGCCAGGGTATATTGATACTACTCGTACGGGTCGATACGGAGGAGTACAAGCACCAGTATAGTATAGTGCTACTAGTCCTCCGTATTCATCCTCACTCCACTTCCGCGGACATTCACGTGGTACGCTAGACTCGAAGCTCTTAAACTTCTTTCGTGAAACTTTTTTGGCTGTCCCTGAAGAGTGCATCAGTTCTGTCATTGCCATCATTCCTTCCTGTCCCTTCACTTCTCTTTGTCCTTCATTTGCATCAGTTTTAGGGCCTGTGATGTTTGTTCCACTCATATTCCTACATCCAAGTGTACACTGGGCCCAGTAGTCCTTGTTCGGATTCGCTGAAATGCTCACGCGAGCAGCTCGTCGCCGGCATGCTCTCCGTTACATTCAACGAGCAGCAGATGGTATCCAGTTACCATGGCTGTGCCCTGCCCTCACACAGCCGTACTCAACTCTCCCGCACAATACCTCGAGACCATCTCGAGCGCCAGCGCCGCGTTCAAACTTCACGCCTGCACAACGGACTCAACTTCGACATCTAGCTTCTCCAGCATCCGCCCCGGATCGTTCCAGCCCCGCCGATGATTACATACCCTTTTCATTCGGCAATGGAAGCTTCCATTCTCCGCGCGACCCTCGGCTGCCTCATTTTTCTGCTCTCACTCCATTCGACATCAATGATGTCCTTATGTTGGACAACAGTAAAGCTCTCTCCGATGAGCCTGCGTACTCGGAGCGCCCGAATGGTTATAAACACATGAACATAGCTGAAATGGAGGCAACACTGGATGCCTGTTTACACGTTCAAAGGTGGAGCAGGGCATTTACCCTCCTCTCCCAGCTGAGTGTCCTTCTTCAGAATAACCAGCAAAGGCTTTTGGATATCCATAACAGGGTCTTAGGAGCGATGGCCGAAGATCTACTACGCAATCAAAACTACGAGCACGCGCCACGCATCAATGACTGGGTTGAAGTCGTTATGAGAAAGGCTAGTGTGAAGCCGGATGCTCACACTTTTGCGTTGAAATTAAAAGTTGCTCTAGATTCTCTACATGGTTCTAAAAGAGATCGGACGGTGCAGAGATACTGGGAGATGACAAAACATTATGGGTTGGAAAGTGAGGTCTACAGTCTCCGAGATATTCTCACTGAACGTGACCTGGGGAGCCTCTCGGAAATCTGCCCCCATGAGGTGAAGTTGCCTCAAGATAAGCTCTTGGCAGATACCAACCTCCGAGTGAGTGCAGTCAAATCTGAAAAGCATGCAGAAGCTGGATTAGAAATCCGACAAACGGAGCAGAAGGGATTAGGCCTTGCCACCCTGAAAAAGACCATTCGTGCCTTGTCCGCCCAAGAAGCAGCCTCACAAGAGGTTGAGCCTGCGGAAGATCCTCTGTTTGCTCGACAAAAGAAATTGGAAAGAGAAGGTTTTGAAATCGCCTTGCAACGATGGAAAGCAGAGTACAAAATGAGAGCCACTATTGGTGCAGTAGACCTCTCTCACGGAATGCGAGGCGGACTTCTCTGGATTTGGCATGAATCGCTGGCTAGTAAGATCACCAAAGAACTAGATCTGGTTATGAAGGCGGAGTCAATCACCGGCAGAAAATCAGCACAGGAAAAACTGCGACTCGAGTATGGACCGCTTCTAGCATGCCTGCCTCCAGCAAAAGTCGCTGCCACATCCTTGATTGCGATAATGAATATTTACTCCAGATCCGGTGTCGCAAACCCTGTCAAATTGGCACGCCTTGTGACTGACATCGGACGAGCTATTGAGGATGAATACCACGCAGACACTATGGCCCGGGAGTCTCAGGCCCTTCTGAAGGCGCACAAGAAAAGACCCAAAGACCTGGGCGAAGAATGGCTGGACACCAAACCTGTACAGCTGTTCAGGCGTTCTGGGCACCATAGTGCGAAAAGTTACAAGTATGGGCGAAATTGGACCAACGTTCAACACGCCAAGCTTGGAGCAATTGTCTGCGAGCTTATGTTCGATGCGGCCAGAATGGAGATTTCGAAATTGAACCCGACGACTCAGAAATATGTTTCGATTGCTCAGCCAGTTTTCTCTCGCGCAACTATTTGGCAAAACGGACGAAGAATCGGAATGGTGTCTATGCTCGAGGAATTCGCTAAGCTCTTGATATCACAACCGGCCGAACATGTTGTAGCAAAACAACTGCCAATGATCTATCCGCCGAAACCATGGACGGGCTTCACTGAAGGCGGCTTCTTGGAATCGAAACAACCTTTTCTTCGCGTGAAAGGCCATGAGATTGCCCAACGACAATACGCAGAAGCTGCAGCGGATAGAGGCGACCTCGACCAATTGTTTGCTGGAATTGATGTCCTCAGCAGGACTGGTTGGCGTATTAATCAACATGTATTCACTGTGATGGTGGAGGCATGGAACAGCGGGAATGAGATTGCAAATTTTCCGCCACTCGAAAAAATCTTCCCCAAGCCTGAAGCCCCAGGACCAAAGGCGACCCCAAAGGAACGGTGGCAATGGTTCCAGAATCTGCGGAAGGTTGCGAATGAGAAAAGTGGTATTCACTCGGAACGGTGCTTTCAGAACCTGCAGATGGAAATCGCGAAGTCATATCTGAACGAGACGTTTTACTTGCCTCACAATATCGACTTCCGTGGGCGTGCTTACCCAATCCCACCTTATCTAAATCAAATGGGTGCTGATAATTGCCGGGGATTACTGTTGTTCGACAAGGGTCGAGAGCTCGGCTCTGAGGGCCTGCGATGGCTTAAAATTCACCTTTCCAATGTTTACGGCTACGATAAAGCTAGTTTGGCCGATCGAGCCCAGTTCCCGATGGATCACCTTGACAAGATATATGACTCAGTTAGAAGGCCATTGGATGGGGAACAATGGTGGCTTACGGCAGAAGATCCATGGCAATGTCTTGCAACTTGCTTCGAACTTACAAATGCCCTCGACTCTCCAGATCCAACGAAGTTTGTGTCCAGACTGCCGGTCCATCAGGATGGTTCTTGTAATGGTCTGCAACATTACGCCGCGCTCGGTGGAGATGTTGCTGGAGCAAAACAAGTTAACCTTGAACCTGGTGACTTGCCTTCTGACGTTTATACTGGAGTCTGCGAGCTAGTCAAGGCGGCAATAAAAGAAGACAGTGCTCGGGGTCTTGATATCGCAAAACGACTTGAAGGCCGAGTCACGAGGAAGGTCGTCAAGCAGACGGTCATGACCAACGTGTATGGGGTCACCTTTCTTGGAGCAATGCGCCAAGTTCAGAAGCAAGTCGAAGCCTTGATGCCTGATCTCGCCAAGGATCAGGTCTCTGGAAAAGCTGCAACATACATTGCAAAGAACATCTTTCGTGGCCTCGGTACTTTATTTACTGGTGCTCATCAAATTCAGTACTGGCTTGGCGATTGTGCGAACCGCATCAGCTCTTCGATATCTCCCTTTCAAATGGACAAAATGTATAGTGAAGCATATGGCATTGGTGATTCTGTTCCTGAGGGTCAGAACACGGATCAACGGCAAACCAACAAGAAGGAACGAAAAGAGTCCTTGGAATCTGGAATGTTCCGCACAAGCGTCATATGGACTACCCCTCTCAAACTTCCAGTGGTTCAACCATATCGAGTGAACAAAACCCAGTCTATTCAGACCAATCTACAACACATCTCGCTTGCTCAGCCGAGTGTAGCAGATGTGGTCAACAAACGCAAGCAATTGCAAGCATTTCCCCCGAATTTCGTCCATTCATTGGATGCCTGTCACATGGCCCTCTCTGCTTTGAAAGCCAATGAGCGTGGTCTTTCGTTCTCAGCAGTTCATGACAGTTTCTGGACTCATGCTAGTGATGTCAACACACTCAACACATTGCTGCGTGAGGCATTCATTCAGATGCATAGCGAAGATATTGTGGGGCGATTGTTGGCAGAATTCCAGAAGCGCTATGAGGGACACTATTACCTAGCTCAAATCAACAAGTCAAACAAGTTGGGGAAAGCCATTACCGCCTATCGGAAGCAAATGGCTACTGAAGGACTCCTACCCCAAGGACATGGCTATAAAGGCATCGCGGAGAGACGCCATGCAGAGTTGCTCCGCGAAGTTAGGAAAATGAAACTGATGGCCAGTGAAGATGCTAAGGAAAGGGAAGAAGGCGAGAAGATGGTGACCGCTGCCACCCTGTTCAAGGAGATGGATGGGGAGAAATATCTTTTCAGTCGCAATTCACTAGGCGAAACAGCAATTGGTACCATTCCTGACAACGTGGACGAATCTGTTCTTGAGCAAGCGATGCACTCGGAAGATGCAGTGGGTGATGTCAATCTCGTACGGACACTCGATCCACTGAACGATTCGGTCGCGGAGGTGGATGAGGAGGAGGATATGGTCGAGATAAATACGTCGGCCGCCTCCCACATTGAGGATCCCCTACTGGATCTGCATCGACGCAATGCTTTTGGAGACAAGCTGCCCAAAAAGGCACAGTCCAAGAAGAGTCTCAACAACCAGGTTTGGCTATGGCTCCCATTGGAGTTCAAGGCCGTGCCCAAAAAGGGTGAATTTGACGTCCGACGGCTGAGAGACAGCACATACTTCTTTTCATGATCATGTATTGATGGGAGACGGATTTTTATACGCGGCCAGGCGTTGAGAGAGTAAGCGCGGAAGGTCTGAGTACAAAAAGAATGCTCGCGTGGTTCGAGATGGGTCGAACATCATATACGTTGGAGTTAGACCTATATCGGCCACCGGGTGGATTGATGATGGGGCCACAATATTGCCCTCTATCATTGCACCGCATTGCACCGACGAGAACATATGTGAATGCTCCGTCGTGTTGTCAATGGAAGGACCATTGATTGCATTACTGGCGGTCGTGTAAGATGCAAGCAAGATTCTGTCTTGCATCAATGTACAAACGATATACCCTAATGTATCAATAGTGTTAGAAACAGGAAACCCAACACAACCTCTGTGTCTGATAAGGAATAAACCAATCGATTCGGTTTGAAAGATTGCCTTCCCATGTAAATCTGAGGCCAACTTCGATTTGGTGCTAATTAAGGCTGTGCAATCGGCACGAAGACTAGGCGTTTCAAGGAAATACTGTAGGTTGAATAGCCGCGTCGACACAACCCCCTTGGGGCCCCTGAGGATCTGAAGACTGGGATTCCCCCTCAGCTCATTAATTATCCATGAAAAGGGAATATTTGAATCTCTAGGCCACAGTGACGACCTTCTCTTTTACAGAGGTCCATAGGGGAGCATAGCTACGCAGGGAAACCCAAAAGAGACTCGCTCGAAATAAATTCCCTCCTTGATCCGACGCAGATCTCATCTCTGCTATCCGGATCATCCAGAACATACCTCGCCGCTGTTGGCGGAACAGGTATGCCTAGGATAACGCTACTTCGACTACTGCTCCTGATCCCTCTGAGTTGGCTTCTGCTTTTCATTGTCTTCATATCTCTTCCGTCGCCGAGGCATTCTTGGGACAAGTACCCCAGTCACCGGTGGCGTGGTGGTACACTGACCCGCGTGTATGAGTGAGTTACTCACCCAATCCAGTCATTCCCCTCCCTCTTCGTTTCAGTCTTTGCACAGATGATCTTATGGTTGTATGGACTTTGTTTCTAACTACGTCATGAATTGCCTGATCCAGCATCGACGATTGGTGGCAAGTGAACGAACGCAACAGCAACGTACGATATGTGCGAGGCACTGGTGCCAACTCATTCGCGCTCGACTTGCATTACGATGCCGATGCGGGATCGCTCGTGCTCGGCTGGGAGGAAGCTGCAGGAATCCCTGAGGCACGATTCCAGTTGACGCCGGAGCCGGAGCCGGAGCCGTTCGTCTCTGTGCCTTTTCTCGCTCGCGTCCGGCTCGGGGTTCAGGATGGGATCAACATGCCCTGGTTCGCTAAAGCGGATGCGACGCTGCTGTCTTTCGAAGTCGATCATCGTACAGGGTATCTCCCTTTGAGGCTGCAGGCCAAGAAGAGCCGAGGTGAAGGGGAGATCATGGTGTCTGTTTCGGCGTGTTCTGGCCATCAGGTCGTTTCCCTCCTCCGTCCCTTCTGTGGCATTGATATTGCTCAGAAATCAACCAAGGCTGACCTTTTGCATAGCCCATGTTCTATTCGATAGAGTCCGCGAATTACACCGAATGGGAAGCCCCTGACTGGAATACCCCCTTGCTTCGATTGCTTGTGATGTACGATCAGTCCAGCGCTCGACCAAATCCCGCCGCCGGTGTACACATCGAGTTCCCCACTGAGGATTCCAGCTGGTCACCATCACTGACCTTCCCGCTCCGTCGTGCCATCGGCAAAGTCCTCATCCCTACAGGCAAATTCGCAGCCGAAGTCATGGCCATCCTTGCCACAGCCACACGCGTCCTTTACGTCCTCGTCGTGGCCACCTTCAAGGCATTCATCTTCACGCTCGGACTGTACGTCGTGCTGGTCCTCGCGTGCTGGAAGTCGAAGGGTTCCCCGCCGTTCTGGCCTTGGGCTAGGTCGTTTTGGTTGACAAGACGCGTTGTCCGATACGTCGGTCCTGCTGCGGCGAGTTGTCCGCTAGGGGATGCAATATCCGGGGCCGACCACGACCACGACCACGACCACGACCACGGCAGCCACGACACCGTCAATCCTGACGACGCGCCCCGAACGCCCCAGCCGCTAACAAGCATATGGGGATTCTTCACGAGCAAGTCGCCTCTCGACGACCTCCTAGTCACGTTCCAGGCAACGAAACCATTCGTGGAGCCATTGAGTCTACGCTGGAGAAGGCGGCCGGCTCCGATTGATGACGAGGAGAAGAAGACTCCTGCTGCGTCGTCTGGAGTGGCAGAGGATTCAAACGGCGATACCACCCGCTCTCGAAACACCAGCTTTCACGAGACGAAGAATGGAGAGAAAGAAATGAGTGAGGAGAAAGTTCCAGTATAGGAACGCGTGTGAGCTCATTTGGAGATGCAGCCGCCGTATATTGTATGGGGATGTTTGAGATCGTCTTCAGTGTTCGCTACTTCGACGGATTGATTCTGTCGTGTTGTGCACTGTGCATAACTACTGACTAGTTAGAGCCTTTCCATCGTCAGTCGCCAGCCATCTAGGTCATGAAGCCAGTTACGGAGGGGATGCAGCCAGCTTTGTACATGTCTCTCATCTACACCAGGATATTTAGATACATGAAGTCGGTTCACTTGAAACTTGGTATTTGCTTCAATCCCAGTCCGCTGCTTTCCATCCAGTCGTACTGTCCCCCTCTGATCCCGGATACTGACTAGGTAGTACTTTAGGTACATATGACACATGCCAATTGCGCAACAATCCAACTCACAACCCCAAGATCGGCCCCATCAGCAACGCCACACACTCATCCCCAACATCCAGGAATCCGTCTCGCTGAGGCAACTCCAGCAATGCATTGGCACTCGCAAGGCTACCGACTCGACTGCTCCGCTGCATACCCGTACTTTTCGCGACGAGGCGCCCACCACCTCCACCGTTCTTTTCGAAACTCAAGACCACGCGGTGATACTCAGTGCGGGATTTATCGCAGCGGATGCGGGACGAAACTCTGGCGTGCACTCGCTCGAGGCCTTTTCCTGAGAGGCCGGCGATGCGTTGCACGCAGGGCAGGAGAAACAGGTTCGCGGTGACCAGCGCACTGGCCGGGTTGCCAGGGAGGCCGAAGATGAGTCTTGTGGTGCGGCCAGAGCCACCATGTTTGGAGGCCATGGCAGATGAGGAAGCGGAGGATTCCTTGAAGGGCACGCTCGCGAACGTTGTCGGCTTGCCGGGCTTCATGCTCACGCGACCGAAGTGGACTTCGCCGCCGAGAGCGCGTTCGACTGTCGGCTTGAGGAGGTCCAGCTCACCCATGCTGACGCCGCCGGTTGTGACGATGATGTCCAGATCGTAGAGCCGGTATCCCTCCCGGAGCTTCTCCTCGAGCTCGTTCGTCGGCGTGTCTCGCGCTACCTGGAGGTCGACGACCTCTGACGCGAGATCCCATCCGTGCAGCAGTGTCAGAAGTGATGGCCGGTTCGAATCGCGGATCATGCCGCCGCTGAGAGAGCCGGTGTGGGATATGTCGGTGACTTCGTCGCCCGTGCTCATGACGCCAATGCGGGGCTTGCGGTACACAGGAACTTTCTGAATTCCGGCCGCTGCGAGGACCCCGATCTCGCCTCCTAACGCGCTTATCCGGGTGCCCTTGGTGAGGACTAGTTCGCCGAGCTGGATATCGGAGCCTGGTTCGCGGACGTTTTCACCCACTGAGAGCTCAGACGTGAGGATCTCAACCGTGGCTTCTTCTTTTTGGTCGTCGGTCAAGGAGGCGATGGTGGTATCTTCGACCATGACGACCGCGTTGGCATGCTCGGGTAATGGAGCCCCCGTGGTAATGCGAGCTATCTGACCAACTTGCAACGGTGGTGGCAGGGAGGCGGCTTGGGCATGTGAGACGGATGCGACAGGGAAGATGCCTTTGAGACTTCGTGCGGAAGCTTTCTCCTTTTCAGAAGGGACAATCACAGCATACCCGTCAACGATACTCGCACGGTATGCAGGAACGGCTTCGGCGGCGTTGATGTCTTCTGCAATTACATAGCCGGTCAGATCTGGGTTGACATCTCTTGTTTCAATGATAGGAGCAGGTGCCTGCTCGAGGATCTTTGCTACCGCGTCCGCCACAGTGAGCATGGGATATGGTGAGCTCCGTGCCCGTGCTGTAGCTCCTAGTCGAGGATCGTTGGACTGGGGCCGTTCTGAAGGGGCCGTGTGTGCCTTGGGCGCTTTATGTCCTCCGTGACCATGGCTGTGATCGTGATGGTGGTGGTGATGCAAATGATCATGGTTTCCCGCGTCTGTCAGGGTTGACGAAGCAGATACACCAGCGTCTTTCTCCAGCTTTTTGACTCCACCAACATGGGCTTGCCGCGAGTCCTCCCCAGCCGCCTGTAGACATGCATGGGGTAGTAATTTCAAGATCGCCTGAAGATTCTCCTTGGCACCCTTGGGCGAACCTGGAAGGGTAACGATGATCGTTCGATTCCGCACACCAGCCACGGGTCTCGACATCATCGCAAAAGGCGTGACCTGGAAAGAGGCAGCCAGCATTCCATGCACGATTCCAGGAGCATGTCTGTGAATCAGGGGCCCTATTGCTTCGGGCGTGAAATCTCGTCGGGCAAATCCCGTGCCTCCAGTCGTGACCACCAGGTTGACCAATCCCGATGATACGTCCTCTGAGTCGGTCCAGGACCTCACCACTCGTTGAATCTCGAGTACATCATCCTTCACGATCTCCACGATTGGCTCCGCCCATTTTCCAGCTCCGTCCTCAGAGAAAGTTTCTTTCAGGACAGGGGCAGCCTTGTCTGTTGAAGGGTCAGCTGCTGCTGTGTCGGATATGATCAAGATTGCAGGTTGCAGGACTAGCGGAGGGCTCATTTTTCCCGACGCTCGTTCCCTGTGTATCTATTGTAATCTGACACGGATATGTATCGCAAGCCACTCGAACGAGAAGGTATGGCAAACCACGAGAAAATAAGTGTGTGCTTGCAAACTTCCAGGTACTTGAGATGATTGGAAAGGTCCAGGTCCCCCCAGGGTGCCAGGGTCAATGTTCAGGCTTAGTCATGCATCTGTCGGGGAAACTATTTTCCTTGTTTTGAACCTTGAACTCTGAGGCAACGAGATAAACACACGATCCATGTATTCATCTCATGAATTTTTTTTCTCTGTTGGTTGATCAAAGGCATCGGAGATCTTGGTCCTTTCCTGTGACAATGGAGCTACCGTTTCCGTCACTGGAGCCCACTATATTGCGCGGATTGAACTGAAGCCCTCAAAGCTGGCCGATTCGGCTTTGGTGTCCAAAACAATCACCTCGACAAAGCAATCTGGGAAAGAAGATCCAGGCCCCTTTGAACCAAAACCGTATTTAGCAAGACACCTGCAAATTCTGCGCTCAGCGTCTGTCCTGTTGGCCATGCTATCAAACGGAGATCATGTGGCGGGTTGAACATTCCGAAGTGGCATCGCAATGGTAAATTGACTACCTATCATGTCACGCTCTGCGAGGTAGGAATGTAGTTGGGCTCTCGGTGAATACGGTAGGCTACAAGTTGAAGATAGTTGTAGTATAATGGGCGAATGGAACGGAAAGCGTGCTCAACGAGTGCCACTGAGCACCAGGTATATGCAAAGCTCGACCGTAAGAATGAGCATCACTTCCACAGAACACAAACTGGCCCGTTCCTCAACGTGGAGTCATTCTCTCCCAGCTTAACTCTCCCTCTTACATCCTTCAAGAACCCCTTCTCAAGATCCCTCTCGAACACCACAATCTCCTGGTCATATGCATTCGCCACGGCCACGAATCGGTTCGTCTCGTCATTCGAGAGCGCAAACATCCTCGGCGAGTGGCCCAAGACCTTACTGCTGCCGATATACGTCAAGTGATTCTCATTACCGTCGCTTGGACTTGAAGCATGGCCAGGGTTGATGCGGTAGATGGACAGCGTGTCGCCATCGACGCTGTCGACGGGGTAGAATCTATTGGACGCGTAGAGGAATTTCCCGTCGTTGCTGGCGGCGACTTCTGCGCCGAGGAATCGTTGACCTTGGACAGGCTGCGTCTCGAGGAGGGAGATGGTCTGTTTGAGGCAGATGCGGAGATCATCATGCTGCTGTGCACCAGCGTTTGAACTTGACGGACCACTATCATTTTGTCCATAGGTCAGCTCGAACGCGCGGATCGTGTTATCCTTCTCACTGAGCAGGTAACAGTACGATGTCTTCGCATCAAACCGATGAATCGCTGTATGTCGCGGCCCCGTCTTCGGCGGTAGCTCAACGGAGTGAATCTTCGTGAGCTTCCCCAGCGCACCATCCACCGCATACACGTCAAGCTTATCCGCGCTCCTCAGCGGCACAAACAGAAACCTTCCGGTCCAGTCAAACCTCGCTTCGTGCGGGTTCGCGAAGCCCTTGCCCTCATTGACAGCCGGCCCTTCTCTCTCTCCGTCATAGTAGATGGTAGCACTTGGCTCACCCACGGCGCCACTGTCCTCATCCACAGGAAACAGCGAAACCGTCGACCCGCTGATATTCGCGGCAGCGAGAAGCTTTCCGTCCGGGGACACGTCAATATGCACGCCGCCCTTCCCTGTGCTGCTCCGCTCATTCACCGGAGCGAGGCCTGGGCCTGGTTCCCCCGAGGGAGACGATGCCTTCGACGGCCGGCGCTGTCGAAAGGCAAACAACCCTCCGGATTCGGCGGATTCGTCGGGGTAGTGCAGCCTGCTGATGCTGTAGATCTTGTCGCTGTCACGGTGTGACGTGAGCCAGCCGGGCATTTTCCCCGAGCTCGAGCATGTCGACGTGACGAAGAGAGCCTTCTGCACGTCGCGTTCGCTCGGATCGAAAGACAGCTCTAGAATACCAGTGCTCTGCAGGGCGATGTAAATTGTCCGCGACGTTTCGACGGCCATGGTGAGATGACTTGCTCAAATGAGGGCTTTATGTAGTCTGCGACGCAAAACAGTGTGATTTTCGATACTTTTAGAACGCTGAAGGACGAGAGAAAGAGAGAGTGTGGTTCGCAACCACCCTGAATTCCTACTCCTGCTCCTTACCAGATTTCATGTTTTATCGAGTACACATGGTTTAAAGGATGGACTATATATATTCTGTAGGCATGGCTGCCCAGTTTCGAAATCGGAACATGGTTTCGGCGCGAACTGGCAAGCAGGGTGATTCCGATTGCGAGAACCGCAATTGATGATGTCGCTAAGGACATACGATGAGCGGCCGGATCCACCCTCGAACTTTAACGCGCATTCTCACAGATCATTCCAGGTGTTAAGTAGCCCAAGGTCGTTGACTGAACAAGGTGGTTTATTGTATTCATTCGTAACGGGGCGACATCTAACGATAAAGGTTGTGGCAGAAGTCCAACGATATAAGTACAGATATGGGTGGAAAGTGGGTACCGATGATATCTAACAATAACGGCCAAAAGAACTGGGAACGTGTATTCTTTCCTTTCATCTCCCCCGTACGACATTTTGCTTCGCACACCCACCAGCCTCTCGACCTTTGAGAAAAATACAACCTGGAAGCGCCGCACGCTCGATACCCAGGGGAAAAAAAGTGAAAAAAAAAGGCCAGAGCAAAAGGAGGAAGCAAAAGGAAAGGAAAGTCTCCTGAGAAAACAGCTCATATCTTGCCTAGGCCCTTTCCCTAAGCAAGACTCCCACGTCTAAACTCCCTCTGTTTTCTCGCCCTCAGCACTGGAAGGGTATTTTCTTTTCCAGGTCGCCTTCCAATCTCCACAACTAAAAATCTTACAAAGTCTCTCAGGACCCAGTAACTACTGTGGGCGCTGAGCATGTTAAGATACTGGATCTCGAGAGGTCCACCCCCGGACTCAAGGAACCAGTCGATCTGTCCGTTTTCGTTCAAGAGGTACATTCTCTTTTCAGCGACCTCTTCTCGTGTGAAATTATGGGTGTCCATTTCTACCGTAGAGGGCATTTGTGTGAGCTCTGGGCGGGTGGCATTCGAACCTGAAGCTGTGTATGCATCAGAGCCTGGATTGGATGCCCAGCGTAAGGTGTTGCTGATACGCGTCATCAAACCAACTCCAGTGGTTGGGATGACTGCGGGAACAAGTGTTGTAGAGTATAGCTGGTCAACGGAAGCGTTCTGTAGGTATGAGATCGGATCGTTACGGTGGCATATATTATAGATATTGTCAACAGCTAAACAGCCATACTGGGCTTCGAATGCGATTCCCGGTTGTCTGTCTTCGAGCTCCATCCCGGGTTTAGCCCGTCCTTTGCGGGGTACAAGACTGGCGTTGTTCAGGAGAAGGAAGAACCCTGACGGGCTCCCACAGCTGAAGAGGTTGGTAGTGTCAAACTCGAACATTTTCTCACTAGGCATATGAGTGTCGAACTTCATGTCTTTCGTCAGTCTGGTTGGTTGGCGACTGAGGATTTCCATAGCCATGACAGAGCCGAGAGAGTGGGCAATCAGATGCACACGACCATGTTCTTCGAAACCAGGGTTGTTGCGGCACCAAAGCCTGTATACTCGGTTGGCTTCACGAATTACAGCTGAAGTCATCTTCTCTTTGTGATGCGAGAGATAATAAGGTATGTCGAGCATCACATCACTGATCAGAGAACGAACACCTTGGAGACTGTCAGGCGTAATATCTTTCAGTTGGTACTGATTGTTCGGTGACGCATCAGACGTCTTGTTCTCCTCATCGAAGGAAACAGTGAGTCGCCAGTTGACGGGCAGAACCATGATTCCACAATGATCTTTTAGATTGCCCTTGACTGCTTCTGTTGACGACTCAACGTTGAACTCACGTCTCAAATTATTGATGGCGTGAGTGAAGTGGAAACTGTCAACCCTTTCTGAGAGTTTCTGACCAATACCATGGATTACAAGGACGAGGTCAGCCACTTTGGGTGTCTTGAAGTCCTCTTCACAAGCAGCGCATGACATCCGGCGTCCACGTGTGGTTGCATCACCGGACTGGGACAGATAAGCACCTACTTTCGCATGGGCCGATTTTGCGTTAAGTTTCGGGTCAGGGTGGATTTTCAACCATGCTTGCCTATCAAATCCACGGACAACCGCCACTCCAATTTGTCTGCCTTTCCGTATGGAATTCAGGGGGCGACGATTTTGGCGCTCTGAGGGAAGCGAGCTTGGTCGTAAAATTTGCGCATTTCTGGCGTCGACGTATACGACGCTATGAGTCGAGAAGAGGCGCTTATCACGGGATCTCCTAGGATCTACTGCCACATTCATGGCGGCTTTCGGCATGTGGCTATCGCTCGAACCTGGAACATCAATAGCGGTTTGCCTCGGTTTCAAATCGACTGCAGTTGGCGGTCTACTAAAGGTAGACTCATCAGGCCATAGCCTGTGTACAACCTTGAGCTCAGCCACCGCTCCATTGTCAATACAAGCTTGTAATTCTTCGTGATAATGGTCAGCGTATGGCATCATATACTCATACCCAATCTCAAGACGATTTGCGACATCTGCCGGAATAGGTAACATTGTGTCTTTGTAGAACCATGTCGCTCGGATGACATTGGAGGTATCGTTTATTGGGGACCAATATATTGGTTTCATTACAAGAGTAGGCATTTCGACAAGATGGAGTCGAGAAACCCCCACAGGCACGAAGATTTTCTTCTGCTTATCTTTACTCTTGGAATGGCGTTGCCGATCTCTGCTGCGAGAACGGCTGTTTTCAGCTTGAGACTCGTCCGCAGAGTCGTCCGAGGATGCTGTCAAGTAGCCTGTAGTGTTTCTAAATTCAGAACTAATATTGCGCGCACTAGGGGCTCGTGCAAATGGTCGGCCGCTAATATCTGAGCTGGTACCAGCAAGCGTTGCAGAGGCGACGGAGGTAGAAAGTTCGGGTATATCGGACTTTGGTGTAGGTTCTTTGCTAGCTTTGCGATCCTTAGATTTAGACCTGTGGCGAAATGGAGAGAAACGCCTATGCGATGCACGAGGCTCTTCCAGAGGTCGCTGTTGATGGACGGGGTCCTCGCACTGTAACTCTTCCGCATCCACTGGTTTTGGGCTAGTCGCTCGGCTGTCTTGATTCTCATCGAGCATGACCTGTGATTCTGATTTTCGTTGCTTTCTTCGAGGCCATTTGTTGAAACCTTGTGATATGTCTCTTCCTCTCCCCTCTGAGCTCGGCGACCTGACACTGGAGGAGCTACTAGCATTCCTAAACTTTTGAAATGCAGAGATGCCTCGGGGATTTTGGCTTCCTCCTCTTGCATGGCCCTCTTTCTGGAATGCAGTCCATGCTTCTTCTAGAGCCGCATTATCTCGAATGGAAAAGGGCTGAGGAGGAAGGTTAACAGCTTTGTCTGCTGAAATTGGTGGCAAAGGGGAGAGGGGGTCGTCAATTGGGAGTGAGGAGACATAGAAGAATTGAGCCTTCACATGGGGTCGAGGATGCCCCTCGTCTCCTGCATGCTCTGGCTCTTCGAATAAGGCACAAGTCGGACCAAATGAGTGAGTGATTGCGGCCATTATAAATGGATTGGATCCATAAAAGTAACCAGGATTGCAAACGTGTAGAATATCCGGTCAACTGACTTAACGTGCAGGAGTCGGACGGTGAAGTGAGAATTGAAAATGTGGAAGGGAACGGCCATCGGAAACACAAGACGATACGTGCGAACAAGCGATCAGGTTCTGGCCTGGAAGAAGGAATTAAGCATTTGACAGGCAAGAGGCTTATCAGAAACCTCCGACCTGTCGATACGAAACTCATAGAATGACATTGCGGAAGCCTGGAAGTTGAAGGTACGAATCGGTGGAGTTTCACCAAGGCAGACAATTTGAAAGTGACGTATGTTATTGCCTATTCAAGGCCTACTTGTTAATTTCTTGGCACACGTGACGGGCGAGCGTGGACTTAGGCCATATTCAGCGTAACCTGTGAAGCTTAATTGGACAAACCGCGAATGGCTAGAACGACAGCAGGCTTTATTATTATTATTATTATTATTATTATTAGAGTTAGGAGAGAAAGGCGCGTTTATGGAATTCATATAAAGCGCTGTATACGAGCACCCTCATCCCAACATTGATAATTATTGTACAGCGATATAGTGCGCAAGGTAAATTATGTGGCTTTTGATGTTTGTTTATTCTGGTAATTACTCTGTGTGACCTCGCCGCACGAGGGCTGTGACCTAAATATACATAGACGTCTAGTCAGAACACGCCGAAGTCGTCAATCCCAATCGTTCACACTAAGAATGGGTGATCTCGATCTCCATGTCGCCTCAGAAGGGAGCATCCCGATTGCTCTCATGGATTCCACAGCCCACTGGTAGATGTCTGTTCTGCCCAAGGAGAAACCCTGCCATCTCTCTCTCTCTCTCTCTTTCTCTCTCTGACTGTGCGTTTCATCAACTTAGGATTCCACTGGTTTCTTTTGAATCTTCCGTATCATCGCATTCATGGTTTTGATTTGTCTGTCGAGAAGGCATGTCTTCCCGCTTCCACCACCCCTTCCCCTGGGCGTGGGTATTGAGTTCGCATTTTCCCGCGTATGAATTTCTTCTCTGGTTAGCTGTTGTTCACTCAAACTCATTGGCCTTGCTGCTAAGTAGCAGGCCAATAATAAGACCGAAGAGACCCAGGACACTGGAGAAGATTTCAATGACGAGAACCTTGACGAACATGCTCGCGTCTGCAGCATCGGCGAGAGCGGCGCTGCTGCCGTTGATGCCCACACTGACGCCGCAGATGAGATTGCACATTCCCACCGTGAGACCAGCCCAGAACAGCGCGTAGCCCGTGTAGTAGTTGGACCCCGTGTATAGTTGTTCTTCAGGGACCATGGAGAGTTTCGAGGAGAAGACGATCGACATGATGACGCCGTAGATGGCGACGACCTCGCAGAAGATGATTGAGATTAAATTCTTCGTTCGTATTCGGGGCGCTTTGACGCCGCCACCCAGGATGGATGTTCCTGTGATGAAGATGCCCCTGCGACGCTTCTGCGTTAGCCAGATCAAATTAAAGATCCCATGGTATGGCTGCATCTATCAAAGCAAACAGATCGCGTGTCTATTGGTTGTGCTTACCATGCTGCACCGACGACCGACAGACCTATACATAAGCCGATTCCCAAATCTGCCCAAGCATATGGAGAAACTGTTTCTAGAAATCGTCCCACCTGGAATCATCATATCAGTCAGTATGAGGAGACTCTCATCGATGGAACATTGAAAGGCCCACGCACATTGAACTGCTCGCCTTCACCATTGAATAGCATATCTGTAAGCCCTGAGTTAGTCGGCGTGTCCACTTGATTGCCCTAGAACGGAGGAGCACAAGAAACTCACACAGTCCAACAACACCCAAGGCAGCGGTGGCGCCACCCGCCGGATAGTAGAGACTCATCTTGAGCCTGGTCACCACTATCAGCAAAACCTTTGGCTCGGAGCTGAATCTGGTAGAGGATGGTCGATGTTGGTCGATCAAGTCTAATAGCTTATGATGCGCAGGCCGCAGCTCTAGGAGTGATCTGGGACGGAAGGGAAAAAGGAAAGTAAGCCGACGCCGGTTAAAATATCTTCCAGTCCAGCCGCTACCAACTCTACTATTGCAGCCAAAGGCAGCTTACGTATCTAACCAGGCTAGATATAATTGAGAAGACCCAGCGGTTGTCCCGTGCTTCTCGTAGTGGTAACTGTGCACCCAGAATAATAATATGAAGACCCCAGATCTCTTGTTGGCCGGACTCCGAACCCTCTCTGTTAGCACTAATTATGTATTTATTAAAGCTTTTGGTCCTCGGGTATCTTAACGCCGGTGTGTCATTCGCCATGCTTGCTTCTTCCATAGCAGCCTTCGTCATCCTTTTATCATGGGTCATCACTCATGGATTCATCAATCATTCAATCGATTTCCAAAAGGAAATGTTGCTCTCAATATCTGCCCTCCTATCAATCCCTGCTTTCAAATCCATCTCAAACAATTTGTGGTTGTGTTGGAGCCTATGCTCCATATCATATCTATATCGAGCAACCCGCTTTAGATGCTCAAAGTCGTTCTTGCTGCATGCTTCGTAGAATAAACGTCTCATCCGATCGCTATAGAGCTGGCAACTAATGCCAGGAAGCAATTGCGTGCGCCTAAGGACTGGAACAGGTCTGACGGCTCTTGACACATCCTTCGCAATCGGACGGTCTTTCAACGGCCACACCACCTCGTCGAAGCATGATTCACAAATGGTCAGTTCAGGAAGTTCGGGGATGTAATGCCACAGCTGAGTGGCGAGCATCGTGTCTTTTGCACATTCTCTATATCGAGATAGGCGCCGGACAACGTCCACAAAGTTGTGGATATCCTTAAGCCGAAGTTGCTCTTTCTGCCGCCAGTCCGCCAATCGGTCCAACTCAAGGAGAATGGTGGGTAAATTCCTGCTGCTGAGGTTTAGATTGCATATCTTTTCTTGAGCCAATTTATCGGTTGGTCGGTCGAATAGGTATGATTGCAGCATTGGGAAGAGAAGATCGACGTTTCTGACACAGGCAGAGCATACATCAAAGTTCTCAACTGGTTTCTTTGTCCTCGGATCGGTCAGATGATACCATTTCCTCAAATCATTCTGGTTTCCGTAGCACTTCTTCGTTTCAGGAGGTGGATCAGAAGCGATCTTCCATAAAAGAGTGAGTGTAGGATTTTCCTGTTTCATGGTTCGTATCCACGCAAACCTGAACCACGGATTACTCATGGAGCATGAAATAGGCTGATAAGTATCTGTTGTGAAGTTGGGAATAAAATAATCCCTGAAAGGCGAACTGCCAAGGTGATTCATGCAAGAAGGACAAAAGTACATTTTAGGCATGTCACGTATGGTATACCAGTCGTGGCATCCAGCAATGGGCTTGGACCGGGGACAAGGAGGCAAACCATTGCTCTTCGCAGGCGGAGGGGCTTGAGGGGTTGGAGGCGCAGCAACCTGAGGTGATATCGGAGACGAAGGAGCGGGCTGTTGAGGCTGTAGATGCATTGGTTGTTGATTCGGCAGACCCAGTGAGCTTGAGAATGCCCTATGAAGGGCCGCCGGCCTAGATTGTTCGGGCGAATGTGAATATGATGATGCCCGCGATGCTGCTCGTGGAATATCAATATGCGCCGCAGGATGTGGAACGGACCGGGACAACGAGCGCTCATCATGGACGGCATATGTTGCCATGCGAGGTGATGACGTTTCATCTCGAGCTGTTACGGAATTGTGGCGCGATACAGGTACTGATGACGGATGAGCAGGTGGAGTGGTCTCATCAGACACAGGCGAGGGTTTTCTTGACCTCTGACCACTCTGGCCACTACTCGGTCGACTTAAGGATCCGCTGCTTGGAGACTCCACTGATTGCGAAGTGCTTGATCGAGACAAACTTGGGATAGCCTTCGCCGCCAGTGAGGCTCCCAGGGTTGCTGCTCCAAGAAGGGTAGTCAGCGGCTTCAAGTCCTTGAAATGCCCATCATCAATCGAAGGGGGTCGAGAACGTTGCCAAGACGACTTTGAAGGTTGAGGAGGTTCAAAATAGTCTCGGGGTGCCTTGTCACCGCGCGGAGTTCTTGGAGGACTCCGGGAGGGGGATGCCATGGGTGAAGCATTTTGGGAGGTCGGCATAGCCTGTCTGGATCTCTTGCTTTGATTGGCTTCAAAAGCCTTTTCGAAATAGTCTTCCATCGCCTTGGGGTCTTTGGGCGCCTTGTGGGATGCTGCAGGGCTTCGAGGACCACGATCATCTGATGGTTGGTAACCACGGGCAGCGTCATCCTTACGGTCACGATCTCGATCACGATCACGGCGCGAGGAAGGTTGATAAGATCGAATTTCATCTTCTCTGTCGACCTGGGAACGTGAAGCTCTGCGTGATCTTGCACTTCTGACAGGTCTCCTCTCATCTGAGGATCCATATCTTCGGCCATGATTTTCCTCGGCCGACGAAGTATAAGGCGAGTCCGTTGTACCCCTCCTCAATTGCTGCCGGCCAGTAGAAGGGAGAGTGGCAGGTTTCGGATCCTCAGTAGCAGAACGTGTTGGTTCTCCTGATGGTTTCGGGGTCTGAGGAGGGGTGATGTGGTCCTGTCCGGTGTAGCTATAGGTGCCATATCCACCTTCCGCAGGGCCACGGCTTCGATGGCGACGGTAATCTCGAGGAGGCTTTGAGTCGGGGCTCTGCGGGCGCCTTGTAGATTTTGATCGCCGTGGCTTTTCCACATCAGAGCGATCAGAGTATGATATGCTGGCTCGGGCGGCCCTACTGCGACTCCGTTCATATCTGCTCGCTCTAGGGTTGTGATCCGAGTCGCTACTGTCATGAGCCGTGGTTTGTGTTCTCGGGTGAACGGAAACAGGCCTCCGGGGTTGCTGTGCAGACATGGGAGACAGTAGGGTATCCTTGGGTCGAGGACTTTGGACCAATGGATCTGCTAATATGGAAGGGGTACGAGCATGGGCGTAAGGCGAAGGTGCACGACGCTGACCTGTGACCATGCCCGCTAAGCCGGCACCCAGGTCAGTCTGAATTCTGCTAACCTGCGGCCTGCCCCTCGAAGCATCTTCTGGCTTGAGTTGGGTGGTGGATTTTGATCGATGTAGAGCATCGGATCGGCGTTTGTTGTCGGGCTCCGGGGCCGGGTCAGATTTGGTGGATGGAATAAAGACGAACCTCCGCTCATTGTTTGAGGCCGAAGGCGGAGTGGTAGGTTCGGGCTGTTCATGCAGAGACGAAGTATCTGGAACTAGATCACAAGGCTTGTTTGGCGGAGGAGTCCTAGATTGTTTGGGTTGTGCTGGACTTGGGTTGTCAAGAATGACAGGATACTGATCAACCGCCCCTCGGCTGCTAGCAGGTTGGTCATCACTTTTCAAGATATCCAGGTGGACATCGAGGACATGTTCCTTGGCCAGAGCGACGGCTTCGTCCTCGACGCACGGGGTCGGGGGCCACTGCACCATCTTCACAATTGCGTCGACTTGTCAGTCGTAGGTTAGGACATATACGCATTGCAGGGAGTCATTCGCTGGTCCCGCAGGTCCGATATGAGCGAGAAGACCGGCAGACCTGTAGCAGCAGGAACAGGTATCGAAACGAATAGACTAGTGAAGGAACAATGAGCACGAGGCTTGACCGTTAACACAGCAAGAAGAGGTTGCCGGGGAAGGTGCTGATCTGAAGCAGTTCATGCACTTGGGGCGTTAAGTGTTATGGTAGTTGTGTTCGAGATGTGTTACAGGAAGCAGTGTCAAAGGGGAGGCCGCTCAGATCGAAATCAGCAAGAGGCGTGCGGCAGAGTCGAGCCGGAGGACAACCGATGGACAAGAGGGCGACGCAAGCGACAGATGCACGTTGTCCTTGGCCCAAGACTGGATGTGGAGAATGGCAGAGTTAGGTGGCCGATCGGGAGCAAAGAGGGGGTTTCGAGTGCAGACGCTGCAGAGTTATACCGAGTACTCCGTACGGACAGGGTGAGGAGAGGATAAGAGTCGAAGGATTTCCTGGGTTATGACCGTGTTGGACAAGGCTCATTCGGCAAGGGAGGGCTGCAGTAGTCGAAACTGGCGGCGAGTCTCGAGATTGGGGAGTGGCTGTTCTTCCACGCGAGGCCGAACGCGTGAGAGCTGAGAAGGCTGGCACTCTCTACCTCGTACTGGCAAGAAGTCACGGATATGAAGTGTAGCGTAATATGAGGTACGGAGTACAGAGGCGAGGATCAGATGGAGCCGGGCGGTACTAACGACGGGCCGCATCGACTGGAGAAGGATGCAATCCAGAGGGGCATGTGGTGTGTCTGTGTGTGTTGTGTTGTGTGTTGTGTGTTGTGTGTTGAGTGTACTTTCACGATCGTTGACTTGATGTTTGAGGCAAAAAGTGGAGGGTCCGATGGAATGGCGGTGGAGGGACGCAGGCACTGAGGTACGAGGCTTAACACGACGCCAGAGGCCGAGAGGCGTGAGAGGGGCTTGGATTAAAATTGGGGATCATCCAGCTGCAGATGGGATGGATGGGCTTGGGAGATGACAGGGTCTGGATTGGATGAGATATGGAGCAGAGTTGCGAACACACTCGCAGTGACGGGGGAGCTGGTGAAGGAGGGCCGTGGTTAGAATATGAGAATATGAGGATCCTAGAATCCCTAGAATCTTACGAGTAGTGACCGCGTCAACAGCGTGACCAGCCTAAACACCAAGCCACCCGTGACCCGACCCTTCGTGGCTTCGCACCCCTCGCCCCCTTGCGCCTTCCCAGGTTCCCACCTCCCCACACTTTCCTTGATGTGCATGGCCTTTGCAGGGACGCCGTTTCCAATGAAGAGAGAATGGAGAGGGGGAAGGAGCCCTCGGCCTGCGCGACTGCGGCGCCTGGGAGCAAACTTATGCAGAAGGCACCGCACGCTCGCTCCTTCCGTCGTTCGTTAGCTGGAGCGGTAAAGGGCATGGGTCGATGATTCACTCCCTCACTGGCACTCACCGAGTTACGGGTCAGAAAAGGCCTCAACTCGATCAACGACGGCTGACGGGGACTTGTGAAAACTTCTTCAACAAAATGTATGAATGACCGTCACCGCAAGACCAAGGCCCAGTAACATCAGCGTGAGCATTCTCAGACTTACTCATTCAGTGCCTGGTCTTCTTCAGAGCCAGCCATACTCGTACTTCCCGAGTATGCTCGGTTGCTCGGTTCACCGTTGCTGCCGGTGCCAATGCCAATAACACCAGTGGTCCGAACCGCCACACTACTTTCTCGACCGACAATCCTTCGGGCGGACTACTGTACAGCCTATCCCTCTTACCTCTTACCTCTTACCATGCATAAAGGTCACCTAATACTTGCCTGAGGCCTCTATTTGCTGACATGGCCGTCCTACTAGTAATAAGAACTAGATACGTGTTTCGTGTTTTAATTTAGGACTTGCTGACTCTGCAGTCTTGACAATCACCTCTGCAGTGTACTTTGCAGGGTGGCAAACAGCTGAGGCCAGGCGAGGCAGAAAAAAATAAAAATACGAAGATTCCCATTCCGGCCACCCAAAAGATCGACAGAAGACCCAAAAGGAGGAGTTGACATTTCCCTTAGGCTCACCACGCTCAGCCCCGTGGCTCTGATCCATTATCGCCCACCACTCACACGTGCATTGTTCCTGGCAGATCGCTAACCTGAGCATGCCACACATACTCGACTGCAGGTCATCCGCCTGATTGATTTGCTGTGTCAAAGCACCACTGACATGAACTGAGCCAGTGGTAATCATTGCCATCCATGTCATGTCTGCCCAAAGTCTCGCTGGCAATGACTCTATGGCAGCTCTCTTAATGACATATGCTCTAGAAATATAATATCTGCTGTCCCTGCCTACGCCACCGGCTATTCTCCAGGCTTTGGACAGTAGCCTGGCGATGGTTGTTCGAGCCTTGCGCCAGGGACTTTCTTCTGGTACTTGCCGAACCACCTAGCAGCCCGCCTCACAACCTAGGTTTTCCCAGAAGTGCTCTCGGAAGTTGGAGTATGGCGCTTGGGCAGCAGTCAACTGGAAATCTCGTGTTGGACTGACCATCATGCCAGACTGCCTTGATCCTGGAACTTTTGTGTCACCTTTGTGGGGGAGAAGCATATGATATGTTCTATACCGGTTTGAGCGGGTACAAGGTTACACCATCCCGCCACTATAATCGGGCGTCTCTGATGACTTCCTTTTGATGCCCACGCCGGAAGCGAAGCCCTGCTTTCGTACTCTCTTCTGATGAACGTCTGCCGTGGTATTCCGAACTTATCAGTCCTCAGATCAACAGATGCTTTCCGCCTTTGACATCAACTAGCCGGTGAGATCGCCTGATTCTTTCGACGCCCGGGTCTTGTGGATTCACGGACGATGATCTCACAGATTTTTGAGCACCATACTCGAGGATATTCCGCGCCTGCTTTCAAAGGTATGTCATGCTAATGCAGAAGGGCGCCATCCACGCAACTTTCTTTATGAAGATTAAGGTACTCGCATACTTTACGGGTCCTTAGCGGTGGTGGGAGCACGATGCAGTTGGTCAAGGGAAGGATAAAGTGCTTTGCAGTACTAGCCTGCCTATTTTGGTACCATCATTGTTCATGATTCTTCTTTGGCATTGAAATTCTCGCAGGCTCAAATGTTGCAGTATGGCCCGGAAGATGCGGCAGGAGGTTGTTGAAAGTTATGTTTGGTTCTCGTGAACCTAGCACAGATCGCCCCAAGATGTGTCATCACTGCCATCTACGATTCAGAAACGGACGTGCTCTAAGCACTTCAAGGAGCACAGCCTGGCTTTCCCCTAGGATGCCAACACTGCTCTCTCTCATGCCGGGCCTTTGGTCCCCTGGATTTCTTATCCGAGACACCGTGCTCAGTCATACATAAGCTTGCCAGCGTCCTAGGTGTCATAGAACAAGCCACAGACCATGTTGGATAACCTGTCAGCTTGGCTATGTCACGAAGTAATACATGAATCATGTGAGGGGACAAGGGGATAAGGAGTAACTGATCCCACCAGGCCTGATAGATCGGTTCTGGTTGGTGGTCGAGCTATCTGGCTCAGAGGGATAAGGCGGCCCACGCATTGAGAAACACCGTTCAGTCTTCCTGGATACTGGTAGAACTGATAGCCAGTGGGTGTCTGGCCATCATCGCTGTTTCACCGCCCAACAAACACCTTGTGCCTGATCTACCATGATACTACTAGTAGGATGAGGCCGAAATTGAACTCCCGCTGCCACACCGCTCGCTGCGATAAGGCCGATCCGCCTTCCACGTGCGGGCTTGTTTCAAACCTCGAGCCGAGGCGCGTTCCCATCAGAACCAAACATCGGGTTTCTACACCTCATACCTATTCACAAAATCTTTTTTTCTAAGGAGATGCCATCCTAGCGTATGCTAGTGCTCTAAACCGGTCTCTAAGACCAGCAAAGCCAGTGGTACGGTCCGTAGCAGGTGGATGCGAGGGGCAACACAAGATCTTCAGATGCGGGTCCGCCACGGCATCTCAGCCTCTCACCACCAGCGACCAACACAGTAATCTAGCCGTACCCAACACCCAGTGGCGCCTTCTCCTCGACATCTACAGTAGACGAGCATTGATTTCAAAGCGATGCCCATCACTTGGCTTCAACCACACCGAAGCTTTCCTTCCAATCCTACGTGCAACCAATGAACACGCAGTCCTTCCGCGGCGATATCGGCCGGACCGGCTATAATCGGCCACTGATTTGCGTTAGCGAGCGGTTGATGGCGCTCGAATGCTTATGTAATTCTAACTTGGGTCCTCGGCTGGGTGTGAACCTTCACCAGTTCCTTTCCCCTTCCCGTTGGTGATTTCACGTCACCCCCATACACTATGGTAGGCATACCTTTCTGAGAAAATGCTCGGCTTGGTAAGAAGCCTTCCGGGGATAAGAACGAGCACAACCATGGCTGAACAGAGCGCAAAATTCTATGGCCGAGCCAGCATTGTGTTCTCAATTCAAATTCAATGCGTGCGGGGTTCGTGCGGAAAGAACCCCCGCAACGACCGAGTTAAATCCAATTGACATTTATTAGTCTATGCTAGCACTCTCACGGAAGCTTACAGAGTTTGTCCTCAAAGCATCTCTTTCCCCAAAGGATAAGGAGCGCTCATATATTTGATCTCTTCCATGTCTTTTGGTCCTCTCCGTGCAAGAACCCCCTCAGTAGCCTCCCACTTGAGAGTACCAACATCAGGATCAGCATCGGCAGCGGGGATCCCGCACGCGGCAGCACGCCTCCATAGCACCATCACCACCATCACCACCACCAGTAGTACTCCCACCCTCCGTTTGCGGACTTCCACTCCAGTCTCTTTGACCGCAGCATCATCAGCATTTTCCCTCCGGCCCTCCCAATTCCCCAATCTCCCACCCAAATCGACCCTCAGAATGGCATCGACATCGATCCCCACGACGCAAAAGGCGATCCTGGTGCCCGAGAACGGCGGGGCCGACGTGCTGAAATACACCGAATCCCACCCCGTGCCCACCCTCTCAGACGGCCAGGTGTTGGTGAGGAACAACTTCGCCGGCGTCAACTACATCGACACATACTTCCGCTCAGGCCTGTACCCAGCACCCGGCGGCCTCCCGCTGGTGATCGGCCAGGAAGCAGCCGGTACGATTGCGAAGGTCCAGGGCGCCAACCCACTGGGCTTCAAGGAAGGCGACCGCGTGGTCTGGATGGCCGGCAAAGGCTACGCAGAGTACAGCGCCGTGCCCGCGGACAGAGTGACCAAGATTCCAGACGGGATCTCCGACGAGAACGCCGTCGGCGGATTCCTCATGGGCATGACAGCCTTGTCACTCATCAAGGAAGCATACCCTGTCAAGAAAGGCGAAACCGTGCTCGTCCACGCCGCGGCCGGCGGCATGGGTCTCCTGCTCTGCCAGCTGCTACGCGACCTCGGCGCCACGGTGATTGGCACCGCCGGTGGGCCGGAAAAGACGAAGCTCGCGAAGGAGAACGGCGCCACGCATGTGATCGACTACAAGGCGGCTTCAGGCCCGTCCTGGGTCGAGCAGGTCATGAAGCTGACGGACGGCAAGGGTGTGGACGTCACCTACGACGGCGTTGGAAAGGACACCTGGGAAGGCAGCCTCGAGGTCGCCAAGAGGAAGAGTAAGGTCGTTTATTATGGCAATGGTACGTCACTTGTACGCCTCTGACCCCCTCTCTCTTGTAATAACATATTTCTAGCGTCCGGCGCAATCCCGCCCTTCAACATCGCACGCCTCTCGGCGAAGAACGTCTCCATCATGCGCTCGACCCTGATGCAATACATCGTGACGCGCGAGGAATTCGAGTTCTACGCCAACGGTGTCCTCGATCTAATCAAGGCCGGTAAGCTCAACGTCAAGATCCACAAGGTCTACCCCCTCAGCGAGGCAATCACCGCCCACAAGGACCTCGAGGGCCGCAGGACGACGGGGAAGCTGTTGTTGAAGTTATAAGGGTCGGGAGAGTTTACGAAAGCAAGATTATAGCCGCGCCGAGTATACATATGTATCTAGATTCCCCGACCTACCTTTTTTTCTCCAACTCTTCCGCTAACTCATTCGCCGCCGCTTTACTCCGCGCTAATAACCATTTAATCTTCTCGCTCTTCTATCTACTTTCTTCTACCCTCTCTCGCTCTTCTTCTACTCTTCTTCTACTACTCTTTACCTTCTCCTTACTTATTTCCTACTCCTTAACACTTTAATCTACTTTTATTTTAGTTTTAATTTCTAGTACAACTATATTTACCTAGATAATTATCTATAGTTTAGCCCGCAGCCTAGCGTAACTTAGTTTGCCCTATAAGCTTAGCGAGGCCTAGAGCTGCAGCGCTGCTCTGCTGTCCGAATAGACCGTGGCGCGCTGCCACAATGAGGACGAAGCACTTCACTACTTAGACCTGCACGATTCTCAATGCTTCATTTCTAACCCGCTTTTCCGCCTGCAGTCTGTCGGTGTGCTCATGCACCTCGCTATGCACTCTTTGGGCCCCTTGCAGAATACTATGCCGAGTAGTACCTACCAGCGTATCATTCACTAACCCTCAAAGCCCAGAGCTTGGCCATCTGGACGGTATCTGCTAACGTTCTCTTGCGCCTTAACATTTCGGCAAGGTAACATCACATTCTCTAGGTTGGACAAAGTCTGAGTGCACGTCAATCGCTGTGGAATCCCGTATTGCCATAACACAAGGTAAGTCTAGTATTGGTTCAGTGGTCTGTAACCTCGATTTCTACTACAATGTCTGATCACCTGAGTTGATGTTGATGTCCTTGAGCTCCACTTCCACCTCCTCGCCAAAGGCCAGATTGACTTCTTCGAGAGTCAATGCCTTTGTCTGTTGGGTGGCGTCAGTAATCAAGACAGAATCAGTTCATCTGCAAAGAATGAGCCAGATACCTCGGGAAAGAAGAAGAAAACAACGACGAAGAAGAAGATGTTGCTGGCAATGAAAACAAACTTGAACTTCCGACCAATCTTCTTCAAGGCGATTGGTGCGGTCTGACTGAAGGTCAACATGACAGCATTGGCCGCAAACAGTGCAAGGGCCATTCCCTGGGCACGAATTTTGGTTGGAAGTACTTCTGTGGCATAGGCGTATGGAGAAGCAGCAAAAGTAGCTCCAAAACAATAGATGTACACCATGACAAAGGAAATTCCAGCTTTGCCCCATGCTGAAGACAGTCAGTGCGGTTCTCGCGGGCGACAAAGACCCGGGAAACTTACTCGTCAGGCCGGTCTGAGCATATTTGGAAGAGCAAGCCGCAAAGACTCCCAGCCATACCGAGAGAATGAGTAATCCGGAGAGAAAAAGCTTCCGTCTTCCAGTTCGATCAATCAAGAATAGGTTGGTTACGCCCCCTGCAGTGTTGCAGATGCCAAATATGCCTGCCATCAACAGGGTTCCACGGGTTGAGAAACCTAGACCGGCATAAAAGACTGCCTAGTCGGGGTCAGCATCGAGCGTACTACATCCCTCGAGATGACGACTGAGCTACGAACCTGGTAGACTTGAATGGTTTGAGCACCGTTTGCTGGAACGGAGGTCATGGCAGCGACCGCTGTAGCCACGCGCCTGAACTCTTTTGCACTGGTGAACATGTGATGCCACTTACCGTTCACCTGCTCCTGGTGTTCTGCGGCTATTTGTGCTGAGATCTGGAGGTGTTCATTCTCCCAGAAAGTCGGGTCCTCGTGGTCATCATGCAGACGCTGTAAGATCTGCTGTGCTTCAGCATGCTGATCCTTGGACATCAGCCATCGGGGTGAGAAATGGATATAGAAGCATCCGGCAATGAGCATTAGGGCTGGTAGGGCATTGTAGGGCGATAGGGAATCCCCTGCCACAAGTTAGGAGTCCATCCAACATTTCTACTTGACAACTGAAATGTATAAGTACTCACCACGCAAAAGATCGGTTTGTGGCAAAGTTACAGGCGTAGCCCACCCAGGAAGCCAAGGCGCCGGCGACATTCAGAGTGCCGATTTGGAATGCCACCAGTGTGCCACGAAGGTGAGGAGGGGCGATCTCCGCCTGATAGACATTGACCGTCGTCAACATGATTCCAGATGCTGCTCCAGCGACCACTCGCCCGGCGAAGAAGAGACCGATTTCTTGAGCAGCCGCTTGGAAGAGACCCACCGACTAAAGCGATGCAGCCTCCAATCTGTATCGTCCTCTTCCGACCCAAACGATCGGCCAGGAGGCTGACCAGCCCGAGTCCGAGGATGAGACCGGCGTAGTAAGAAGATCCGATAGCTCTGTACCTAGTTAGCTTTCCAAATGATTGGCACAAGTTAAGTATGGTGCGCTCACCCCAGAATTGTGGCGCTGGGGTTGAACTCTGTAAGAAACCCCTCCTGGGCAAAACTGCAACGAGTCAGTTGTCCGTTGAATTCGTGGAAAGCAGTTCTACCATCGTCCCAACAATGACCGCGGCATCGTAACCATAGAGCATACTGCCCGAGCCAGCGATGGCAGCACAGACCCAATTGTATCGTTTCCCCATGTTTGTTGGTAATTACCTCACTTCATGATGATCAACAGGGACGACTAAAAAGGAGCTCGAGTGCACGTGTAAATATATATATATCGATCAAACCTCCGATCTGCATCGGAGTGGTCGGCAAAAGCTCCACCTCTAGCTTTGGCAATGCTTCTGGTACAGGCAAAGCCATTCGAGGGCGACGGACGAACCGTCCACGTAACCGGCCGAAGCCGCATACCTCGCATATCCGCATCACAGACTAGCTATACTGAGGAAATTGGGTGGATCTGGTACCTCGTAGCTCGGCGAGCAAATTGGCCCGAGCCATTCATAAATAGCCCAGGATTCGTGTGAATGCCTCTTCTTTGCAGCCGCATCAAGGCACGGCTTTTGTATATCCCAAGATGACGATTAGATGAAACTCGAACGATAAAATAACTATCTAAGTACTGTCAGAATAGGTTCGTATAGAGAGGAATGTGCTTTAGAATACGGCTGCAAGCCAGCTGTGTAACCTGGCGATCGCATCACACATCAAGTCGACGACCACGGCAGACTTGGAGGGGGTAAATCCGGCGGTGCTTCAGCCCTCGACGCCAAGGTTATCAGTTGGGGAATTTGAAGTATATAGCGAGGTAGGTAAACACCTAAATACATACCTAGGGTGGCACAGGAATACCTTGGATATCTATGTACTCCGTAGGTAGGTTTCCGCGAGGCGGTAGGTAGTTCAATCGTACCTCGCATTTGATATAGTTCCCCACTCCTACACAACACGTGGCAATACTTTACTACCATTCACAGGAACTCCGCACTCCCTCATCGCACCGGGGGTAAATCCGGGGCACCTGGCCCGCGGCCCCGGCATGCCGGACGATTGATGGCCTCAGGGTGAGGGGCCGGCGCCAAGAAGCTCCCAGCTGACCCAGTCGAATTTGTAGCCGGATTGTCTCTTCCCATAGTCCATGAACGCGTTACAACACCACGTTCACTGCTCGTCTTTGATACTCAGCTTTACAAACTTCTCCCATGGCCGACGTTGATACAGAAGTCGACCTTACTCCAAGGTCGAAGTTGGCATGTGATTTATGCAAAAGGTAAGTCGTGTAGTTTCGCCGGGCAGGGCCAGAAAGATGCACCGGACCCGAGTCTCATCAAAGATCACCCGGTTTGCTGTTTCCGTCTTCCCACTGCCAGCGACCTTGTGATAATGACAAAGGACTGACCCATGTGCAGAAAGAAGTCCAGATGGTGAGCAGTCTTGCCCCTGATCGACCGTCACGTGACAGCGGTGGCTGACTCTTCTTCCAGCGACCGTCAGATACCATCATGCTCCTTCTGCCGGCGTGCTGGCACCTGCTGTATTTACCCTACATCTCGGTTGAAGCCTGGGCCAAAGCTCGGTAGGTTAAATGATGTAGTTTGGGAACAAGACATCTTACCATCAGCAGGCTCTACCCATCGTCGTGGCATACGGTTACTCCCACCTCAACGCCAGCATGTCAACGGGCCTGGTTCAGTCGCACCCGATGGCCGTGTGCTCCAGGATGATTCTTGCCACGACCCTCCAACGATCGCGAGTCAAGGTGATGGCATACTCTCATCACCAGATGATTTGACTTCGCACCTGTCCTCACCCAACAAGAAAGGCTTCAACGTGGCCGCCCTGAACTTGGCCAAAGCCATCAGCCTCTCCCGAATCTTGCATCCATCGCACGAACTATCTGCTGGTTTTGGTCTGCGACAGAGGGAACGCCCTCAGCCAGGGTTCTTGCTCGTCCTTGCAGGTGCCCAGGAGAATTTAACTAAAGCCTGCGAGGTCCTCCGCATGACCATTCTGCAAGCTCAGTCCATGTACGCCGAACCTTACTGTGGAAATGACCTAGCTCAATACGTTTATTGCAAATAGCTGAGCTGACATATTCGGGCTGATTGTAGGATTGATCTCTACTTCGAGCTGGTAGCAGGGCTGAAATCCTTGTCTCTCTTTCATCAGCCTTCTTTTCCAGACAAAGTTCGTGGCATACAGGATCACCACCATCTTATTGCCTTATTTGCCGCCATGTTTTCACTCTCTTCAAGATCTTGCACGCAGGACACATCCCCCCGTGGTGATGACTCCGGCCGAATTTCTCACCAAGAACTTCATGCCATCTCCCTCGAATACATCAATTTCTCCCTGGAGGCTTGCTCGAACAACGCTCCAAGCCTATGTCTCCTACAAGCCATCACTTTGGCGGGCTACTACAAGATTGTGAACGGGGTCTACGGACCAGCTTGGAGGCTGGTCGGTACCGGCGTTCGGATCGCGTACGAGCTACGACTTGATTTGATTGACTGCAAGGGATATGTCAAACCCCCCACTTGCGAGCGTGAGCTCATGGCTTGGACCGGCGACGAAGAGCGACGGCGTTGTTGGTGGGCATTATGGGAGATGGACATTTTCGCCTCGACAATACAGCGTACGCCCACTGCCATCAACTGGAGTATGAATGAGACGTTCCTTCCGGTCTCTGACGAATACTGGTTCACAAATACGTATCAAGCCTCGTGCCTGCTTCATGGACAGCCTGAAGAACGGTGGAAAAGCCTCAAACATGCCGGCAATGAAAACTCTGTTGCATGGGCCAACCTCTTCGCCTCCTTGATGCACGACGGACGAATCTTGTGTCAAGAAAGCATGAGGGGTATTATCCCCTACGCCGAGCATCAGGACGATGCCTCAAAGCTCGCCCACTATTGCAGCCAGGATTACCGACGAAAGGCCCAAAATATGTCTGATAGACTCTCCAACCTCGTCAGCGCTTACCGAGATACTGTGCAGAATCTGCCCGCATCCCTCTCCTACCATGGCGAATCTTTGTCCTTTGATTTGGTTGGTGGAGAAGATCCATTCTCGATGCGCCGTTCAAGTTCAGCCAGGTACAGCGTTCAAATGATGAGCGCTTCTGCATGCTACATGATCTATCAGAACTACGTCTTTGCAGACGTCGTTGAAGGATTAGTCCTGATGTCATCTTCTACAGCTGGCCACGAGCATTTCAGACCAGACACTCCGTCAAAAGAAAGACCCTTGGTTCGCAATGGCTTCAGGAATTATCTGGCAGCGAGTGCTATGGTGCTACGGCTGGTGGCACGTTGTCCAGAGGACCATGTGCGTTATGTCAATCCTTACTACGCGAGCACAATATGGATAGCAGCAGCGATATTGGTGTTCAAGAGAATTGCCTTGCGGGACAATGCTTCTAACTTTCCACAACGCCAATATAGCCTCCTGCGCCGAGCATATCTCCAATTCAGTCAGACTTGGGAGACACCGTCTGCCTTGCTACAGAATCTGGACTCCCTAGAAGCGAGGCTCGAAACTCGGCTGAAAGAGTTCGAACTATCGGAGACCAGGGCCTGGAACACTGACATCGATGATCAGCGGAGCAATGTCGAGACACGATCTCCCATGGCCACAGAGACGACGATGCCTCCATTGGGTGGGGAACAGCTTTTCCATGCTTGGCCGGGGATCAAGGATCCTCAGTGCCTTACGTCTCAGCCACCGCTCGGGAGTTCGAACGAGAGCTATCCTATTTTGCTGGCGGAAGAGGTGGAGTGGTTGTCAACGTCAGAGCCGGGGTTTGACTCCACGATCAGCCAAGCTTCTTTTCCAGGACAAGACGACATCACATGGCCGAATGAGCTATTCATGGATAATCTTGCGTGGTATTCATCCGATGTTATGGCGGGCTTGTCTCATGGGTACACCACCTGATACACTTGATCAACGACCTGCACTTCGGAGTCTACGCGAACCTCTTAGCGTGAACATGCAGATCATTGCCAAACAGTACTACACGCAAGAAGGGAAAAAGTGCAAGTTGTGTAATCCTAATAGACGTCGGGGGCTGTCAGGTCAAACTTTTCTCCCCGCGTAAATTCGACAATTCGAGCCAGGTCTAACCCGGCAATTTCAAGGGCTTCCCCGCCGGCCGCAAAAATCATTCATCACTGCAAGCCAAGAATCGAACCGAGCACATCTGAAAGCTTTGCCTCGCACGCTTCTTGGCTGTCCAAGACTACCGGTGCTCTCCAGCCAACGAATCGATCTGGCCGAACCAAGACAGCTCCAGACTCTTCAACCCCGCGCACCTGCTCCCAATCATAGTACACGTCCTCCCATTGCTGTCGGAACCCGATGGAATGCACAGAGATGGGGATGCCGAGGTTGGCAGATACCCTTTCCGCCGCCGCATGCCAGTGTTCACCTCCTGTGCCCGTGAAGATGGTAAATGCGCCGTGCCCTGCGAGATCAATGGTCGACTTAGGTTCCGTGGGAATGGCCTTGTTGAGCCAGACGTGTGGCAGACGAGTTCCGGGAAACGTGCGCTTTTCGTGGTAGAGAATCGGATCTTGCGCGGCGCGCCCGGTGTGCTTGTATGGGTCTGGCTCGTCAGCGTCATAGATACCAATACCGCTGTACCTCTGATTCATTTCAACACCAAGACCGTGAAACTCGTGGGACGTCTGCTTAATTGCTTCCCGGAACGCACGTCGTCGATCTTTGCCAGCAGCCGTCGGAGCACTGAGCTCGCCAAATATCGCCTTGCGGCTGTTCAGGTCTGGAGGTAGGGCACCTAGTGCCTCCCAGATCTCAAAATGGTCCCGGAATCCGTCATTTGCCCGTGTGATGATTTGGTGGCCCACAGGTTGGCGCTCAGTGCTGTAGGTCGAGAGCAGTGAAGGGTTTGCTAGCCCACGATGGACGTAGGCCAACTTCCAGGCCAAGTTGAAGGCGTCCTGGATACACGTGTTGGATCCTAGGCCATTGAAAGGCGGGTGACGGTGGACGGCATCACCGAGACAGAAGCTGCAGGTGAAAGTCATTGTCTGTTGTGCAACACGGGTGAGGGTATCCATGGCAAGATTGCGGACTTACACGTTTCCTTCAGAGTATTTCTCTGCAACAATCTCATTAATAAACCACTTGGAGACGTCAGTGATCTCGGCGGGCGTATCGTCACCAATGAAGTCTCGAACTCTTTGGAGGTATTCGTCCTTTGAAGGGGAGATTTGTGGGTCGCAGTCTCGAGTTGGCAGCAAGATGAACATCCACTCATGCCACGGCTTCACCATGCGCACAATGCCCATCTGGCCAAATTCGGGATGCTCTTTGTCGGGCTGCATCACCCAGTGCAGGTTGCCTCGTCGGTGTTCGACCAGATGGGACAGATCAGCTTTGACCAACACGTTGATGGCCATTCCCTGACCTGGCTTGATTGCGAGAGGTAGGTCGAGCTGTTTCACGACTTGACTCCGGGCACCATCGGCTCCCAAGAGGTACTTGGTTCGGACTTGGTATTCTGACTTGGAGACGTTGTCACGTAGAGTGGCTGTGACCAGGCCGGTTTTGGGATTTGTTTCGAATTGCAGCAGCGTCGTGTCGAATCTGGTCTTGAAACCATTGTTGGTGGCATGACGAACAAGGACGGGCTCAAGTAGAGTCTGTGGCAGATCGGCTGGTGCACACGGACTAGCCAATTCATAGTCGCCCTGAAGATCCCCGGTATTTAGAACTACCATGGTTATGCAAAAAATGTTGCCTTTACTGACCTTTCGCTCCGGTGCATTGCCCCAGGAGTAAATGCGGCCGTATTCTTCCCCGGCCATACTGTGGCACCATCGAGTATGAATCATGCAATGACCTTTCGAGGACAAACCCTCGAGATCTTTATCAAGCCCAATGTCTCTCAGGCATTCTTGTTCCAGCTTAGCTGTTACATTCTCGCGATTGAGTTGGAACTCAGTACGTACCCAAAGCAGCCATATTTGTGATGTGTGCGCGCGGAGTGTTGGCCGTGCCAGGAGCACTGCTGATCATAACGCCTTTGAGACCTGTATCGGTCAGCTTCTAGATCGACCGTTGTCAAAGGCTATGGTCTCCCACCATAGCTTGTCAGAAAACACGCCAGAGATGCTCCTGCTGGACCTGCTCCAACAACCAGGAACTCAGTCTCAAGTGCAGGCTCCTGAGATGCATGTACTGAAGAGTACGTGCGGCGACTGGTACTATCTCGTAGCCTGTTGATGTCAAGGGTTGGGCATGTCCTCGCCTGAAGTGGGTTGCACTTGGTGGTCGCAGTCTGCCGGGTCAAACCTCCTTCGACAACTCCGCGTGAAGTGTAAAGAGAGCGCGAGAGAGCTTTAGACACTTGGAGTTCGCAAGGCTTGGAGAGAAGCGATGAGATGGCCTTCCTCGTGCGAGGAGCTGCCCCCAGACGACAGGAACACAGGCTTGCCATGTCGAGAACGTTCACCTTCACTGCTCTGCCTCACCTCGTACTCTGTGAAGCTCAACGACGGACTGCAACGGGTTACTTAGCTCAGGCCCTTCTTACCTCAAAGCTCATGTAAGGTTAGTCGACGAGGAGAAAGTGATTCTGCGTCCGTCAGGTGGAGTCTCGCCGTAGCACATGTCGGCGTGTTTCATTCAGAAATATGCCGGACAGTGGAGAGTTCTGACTAGCGGGCCTGCAGCGGTAGGAGGCTATCGTTGGGGTTAACCCGATACCAGGTGATCTAGATGGAAGGTGGATTCGGTTACATGGATGGTGGTTGGCCCGAAATTCATGCGAGATTTAACATGCCTCACCCAAGGCTTGCCGGTTCAAAATACGTGGGAAATCCCTCTGGAGGGAAGTAGTCTGCCCTCTGTCAGAGAGCCTGATCAAGAGACGCGAAGAGCGAGCGGACTGTCTGCCAACCAGCCGATTTGGACATCGCTCAGGCAAAAATTGTCTTCTCTTCAAGTACACCATCTCGAACATTGTCGGGAATAAATCGGAGCACAAATTTGGGTTCATAGCGATACAAACAGCACAGATAACTAAACCTTCTACAGAATTAGACACGACAGTCTCGCCTTTAATGGTATACTATTTAGCCATCAAGAGGTGGGCTCGGCCAGCTTCCTTCCCGCCCGATATCCGAATGTCATTCCAGGCCCAATGCTCGAACCACCTCCTGGATAAGACCCCTTGAACACATTATTCTGGTCACAACCAACCGCATAGAGCCCTGGTATAACGTCGCCCTTTTGATCAAGCACTTGTGCATCGGTATTAGTGATAAGCCCGTAAACAGTGCTGACATTGCCAGGGTAAAGAGGAAGCGCATAGAATGGACCGGTGGCGCACGCTCGCAGATTGTGATTGGGTTGAACCCGGGGATCGCCATAGAAGCGGTCATAGTCGTTCTCGCCTCGATGGAATTGCGTGTCGATGCCTGTTTTGGCAAAGGAGTTGTGGTCTGAGATCGTCCGTTCCAAGTTTGCAGCAAGAACTCCAATCTTGTCGGCCAGTGCGGCAATGGTGGGCGCAGAGATCAGATACCCTTGTTGCAGTAACCTCCAGATCGGATACGGCGATGGTAATGCCATTCCCATACCGTATTTACGAAGATGTGTACGGTCGCCAATGTAGTATGCCTTCTTAATGCCCTTCCGGTGCATAACACCCACAAATTCTTGGTACGGCTCCGACTCGTTTGCGAATCTTCGACCATCGGGTCCAACAATTATGGATCCCGGCTTAGACCGGTCAATTGCGAAGTGCGGAAAGCGTCGAACAGGACCTCTAGAAGTATTCAATAGAGAAATGGGAGCGAAGATGGCGTTCGATATGTTTTTCGGAGGTAAAACGCCACCACATTCCACTCCAATTCGCTTGCCATCTCCGGTGTTGCCTCGTGGGCTTGCACACCATTCGTGTGGCACGAACTGTGTTGCCTCTTTGGATCTGCCGAAACCACCACTCGCAAGCACCACTCCTTTGCGAGCGTACACGGTGGTCTCGTTGCCGTCACGAAGCACACGGAGACCTGTGAGGCGACCGTTGTCTGTTATTGGTTTTGTGGCTGCAGAGTTATGCCACAACTCGACGCCTTGTTGCTGAACAGAGAAGAGCAGTCTTCCCACAAGAGCATTGCCGTTTGCCAGGTCCGTTCCTTTACCATACCGTAACAGGTCCAGCGCGTAGCGGAGGATCTTCTTCGTCGCTAGAGTTAGATTAGTGATGCTTCCAAATGGGTTGGTCAGTACGGGCAACTCTGCGGGATCTGCTTGCATCGTGCCAAATGCAGAGTAGCCTTGAATTGGATAGCGAACGTTCTTGATCAGAGGCCCAAGTCGGCGACCATCGAACTTTTCGGTCAGAATCGTGCGCCCGGTCGAGGCGCCTTTCTTCGAGACGTGGTAGTCAGGCAGAGGAACAGGTTTAAATCGCACGGTAGAATTGTCCTCCATCCATTTCACCATTTCAGGCCCTGTTTTCAGGAAGGCCGGGACCATCCTCGTGTCATAAGAATCGCCCAAGACTTCATGAAGATAGGTATCGGCCTGATTCGCTGAATCCTGTACCCCTATAGAAGGCTGGTGTTTGTTCACAGGGATCCATGCCCCTCCACCTGAGTAAGCGGTGGTGCCGCCGAAGTATTGTGTTTTTTCGATGACAAGGACCTTAAGGCTGTGCTTGGCCGCCACAAAAGCGGCCGTCAAGCCAGAGCATCCTGAGCCAACAACTACGACGTCGTATGTGGTCTCATTATGAAAAGCTGAATGAGAAGATTAGGAGAACGTGGAGGATTGCTAGAATGTGTGCTGGACATACCTCGGCGGGCGTGCTGGATACTGAAATTGCGCCGTGTCAAGGACGCGGTTGCTTTCGATAGTCTCAGCAAGGGAAGAGCACCAGACGATGCAGCCATGGTCGCTGTGCAAATCTTGTTTTAGCATTACAAGCAAAGATTTGGTGACATTCAAGATTTACATAGAAAACCAGTGACAATCGTTCATAATTGCCCCGGGCTTGAAAGGTGTGTCGGAGCACTCGGCCAAACCCCCGGCCCCCACATTAGTGGAGATCCCCTGATTTTCGACCTTGGGGGCGTACGGACAAGGAGAATTGCATCTTCACAATAAGGTTCCGTGGTGGAGCTCGGAGAGTCTATCCTTGACTCATCTAGTTACAATGCTAAAGTCTGGAATATCCTCCATCTCCACGCCATGAGCCTGCCGTACGACAAATTTCACGTGCTCCAAGGTGTTTTCCGCGAGGTAGGGTTCTTCACCTCGTCCCATCACCTTGTCCCATTTCTCGAGAAAACCCTCGGCCGTTTCTGACTTTGTACCGGCGAATGTTGCAAAGGTCTCCCGCGCTGCCCTGTTTGCACTCGCAGTAAACACCTCGCCTGAGGAAGGGCATTCTTCAGAGCAGAGACTAATGACAAAAGGAACCACGCCCTGTCAAAGCTCGATCAGCATCTGTCAACTTTCGGTATGAAGGATCATATTCTCATATACAAGGCTTACCTCGGGCTGAAAATACGTCCGAGTGACTTTCTTCGTGCCCTCGGAAAGATCCCCCATTCTCGAGGCGGCTGATGGCATGACACAGTTGATTTTAACGCCGTCATTTAGTGACCAACGACCTAATTCTCGTGTGATTGCAAACACAGCGGCTTTAGATGCACTATAGGCACAATCACCCCCAGCACCGAATCCGTAGATTGCATTTGAAGATGTATTGATGATACGGCCGTACTTCTGTTTCGCCATCAAAGAGTAGCAGGCGCTTGTCATCAAAGTTGTCCCCAGCGCGGCAATCTCAAACACTCTCGTGAAAGCTTCTGCATCCACATTATCATGTGGTGCCATTTTGCCGGAAATGCCAGCATTGTTTATAAGAATGTCGACGGTGCCGAATTCTTTGACAGTGTCAGCGACGATTGCCTTAGCGTCCGCCGCAGCAGAGACGTCGTGGCAGTCTGCCAGTGCAGTGCCATCGAGGGCCTTGATTTCGTCAACCACAGCCTGTGCGCGAGCACTAGTGCCACGTTGACCCTCCAAAGTCCCACCATAGTCATTGACGACGACCTTGGCACCTCTCTTTGCTAATGCCAAAGCATAAAGCCGGCCTAGACCTCCACCAGCGCCGGTGACGATAGCAATTCTTCCTTTGACGGACATGATTGTCTCGACGCTGATGACTCTAGAATAGTCAGCGACGAGTCCAGCCTGATTTACATGAGGGCATGAGCACCTGATGTCCGAGCGGTTCGTGTCGCTTACCAGAAGGAGATTGTGGCCTACTTCGAGGTTCACAGCAGATAGTCTCAGAGCTTTGCAGAATGAGAATCGATACTACGACTAGTAGCGCAAGCTAATTCTAAAATACTTGAGGATACGTATCGACGACTTGAAACTCGACTCATTTTGAATGCTACAACATCGAGAGCCGTACAGTACTGAGGCAATGGAGATGACTCGGCTCCCCTTGCCAGGTCTATTTCCTAGTTGTTGATTGGATCCACTTCGGGAGGCTTGGAATCGCTTTGTAGACTTGGCCGCCAATGCTGTGGAAGTGACGCCTTAGGATTTTGCCCATGGATTAAATAACGGGTTAATTTCCTAGTGAATACCCCCTCCCCTGGAGAGGGCGCTGAGAGGCATATTTAGCTAGTATTGCAAGGTCAACCCGAGGCTAATGCTCTTACAGCTAGTCCACTAGAGTTATCCCCCCGGCACTCCAGATTCGGATCTCAGAGGACCTACCACAGGCGCTATTGACCCCTTTTCACCCTAGAGCGCGTTTGAATCGAGATAATGATTCTCACTCCTAGAATGCCCACGAGCTTTCAAATGCACGTGCGACCAGCTTGGGTGTAAAGATAATGCGAGCGCCTTAGGTCTGAGGGAGCCGGCGTTCTTATCCTAGGGCCTTGCTCGTAGGCCTTTAGCCTGCTTAACCCCTCAGAGTTCTTTATTGCATTTTCAATACAGGCACCTTGTAAAAAACTGGAATGTTGTATAGCTTGCTACTTGAGATAGATTGCCTCCTATGAGGCACAACTTCTTTCATCAAGACTCCATATTTACGTGAGACAAACATATATATTTCGGTGTTGCAAATTTGCCAATCCCTGGTCTATTTTGCCCAGTGTTACTGTTGGCGAAAATAAAATAGCCATTTTGGTGGTGAAAAACTTGTGTGATTATTGTAGTAAAATGGACAGAACAGATATCCAGTATATATAGACCTAATCTGGCGATATCCTCCAAATAACGTAATACTGTTGCCTAGTAGGCAACCTCATAGAAGCCTAATAAATGAGTTACATTCCGTCCAACAGTTACCCATGGAACATTGGCAATTTTTGGTTGCTAGTTCCACTGTGACATGAAGTTCATTGCACTTGATAATTCTCGCTGGATACAACCAAGATGTTCTGGACTCCTCGGGACAACATCGATTTTGAACGGCAATGGGCACATCAGGATGGCTGAAGTGTACGCATTCTCATCGAGGTGAACAAGGTTGCCGCTTGCAGGGTCTTTTGGTTCAGAAATGTCGAATGCCCATATCAACTTGGCTGCAATTCGCCACATGTTGCGTTCTGCCAAATGAAGACCTGGGCACATTCTTCGACCAGCGCCGTAGCCGTAGTGATGTGCGGCTTTGTCTTAGTCTTATTGTAAACAGCTGCTAGGACGGTACTTATCTCTGTTGTTATAATCCGGGCTGACTGCATACTCGTTGGCCAACTTCGGATGGCCCAAGAAGCGGTCAGGGTCAAATCGATCATGCTCTGGATAGTCCGATTCGCTGTGGTGCATAGCCCATATTCCAACAAACACCATGGAACCCTTGGGGATCACCATTCCGTCGTACTCATCGTCTAGAACCTGTCAGACGGCTAGCCCATGAGGAGGAGTGGACAGACCTTGAGTGACCATATGAGGCAGGCCGGCAGGAGCCCTAAATATTTTGGCATTCTTTAGATTCATGTCCTTTTTCGGGGTTATGCCTTACGTTGGTCGCCATCTCATGCCTTCCTTGACGATACAATTTACGAAGGGAAGCTGTTCAAAATCCGAGAACAACGGAGCCCGCTCGGTGCCACAAACAGCGTCAATTTCGACTCTTGCCCTTTGTTGGATACTGGGGTACTTAGCCATTGCTAGGATCAGTGTTAGGATATGATTAGCAGTCGTATCCGCACCCGCCTCCAGTAGCTCTCCGAAGAGGTTGTTGAACGCGTGGGTCGACAAAGGCCAGCCTTTTGCATTATAATCGTCGATTTTGGCATCAATGAAGCAATCTCTTTTGTCGCCTCGCGCTCTTCGTTCCTCAACGATAGCTCGAGCCTCATCCCACATGGTGTCCATCATGGCACGACACTTCTTGGACCTGACCTTCCAGCTTCCAGGAAGATATTTCAGAATGGGAAACTCGTCGATCGGAGGGTTGGCGCCCGGTTCCTGAACTTTCAGCCACTGGGGTTCAGGTTAGACGCAAATGAACAGGAATATAGTAGTGAGGAAGAAGTTACCAGATCCATTAACTCATAAAACCTCTTGAACCAGAAAGAGTCTAGGTCGATGGCTCTGTGGCCCCAGATCAGAGATCCCGCCACTGACACAGTGTACAGTCGTGCATAGTCGAATATCTTGGAAGGGTCATTGAGAATATTATTCATGAAAATCACAGCCCTGTAAGTTGTTAACTCGGCACCGGATCTAACAAGGGGCATGAAATACTCTGCTTCTTGTATCTTGAAATGTTTCTCATCCAACGTCTTAGGATTTAGATTTCGTGTCACAACCATCCGCTTTTCCCTCCATGAAGCTCCTTGAGGTTCCAGGGTCAGATGGTCGCCATGGGTCACGAAGTTGGAAACGTAGTTAAATGGCCTGTCCGAATAGATGCTGCCTTTCTTGTCCAAAAGGTTGTTGATAGATCGTCGATCACACAAGACAACCACATTAGTAGGTCCGATGGTCAGAGAGAAGATAGGCCCGTAAACGTCAGCCCATTCCTTGAACCTGGATACGTCAGTCTGTTCTAGTTCCAAATGCGAGGGATGTGGTCATCGGACTTTCTGCCCAGCCCTGTGATCGGAATCTGGTGGGCGTTACCAAGGATGGGGATGGTCGGTGGTCCAGGAGGCATGCGAGGATGTCGACGGCCAACACGTAGCAGCCTATACAATGGGTAGCTAAACGCCACCGTAAGGGCGAGCATGATAGCGAAGAGTCCCATGGTCACGGTCTCTGCAGTCGGGCAGATCTTGGAGCCTCGGACACGACGCCTTTTGATGCGCAGATTGGTCAACAGATTGCTTGCAAGCCTTAAAAGGTGTAGAACGAAGAGTGCGAACGCGATTCTTATCACATTCACCGCTGATGTTAGGATGCATTGCTTTCGTTATCCGGCCTCCTACTACGGACCCACTCAGATTCACTTCTCTTGATCGATCAGCATCGTGTATCCCTTTGTAGCTCAACCGTCACGAGATAGGTAAATGCCCACAGAGACGTCGTGGTGCAACCTATAGGATGTAGCCAGTGAGATTTGGGGCCAGAGTCATAAACCAAAGTGCAACGACAGAGTCTGGGGGAAGGAATAAAATGCGGAGTTTCGTGGGCAAGTTCGGTGAGATTTTCTACCCCTGCAAAGCTTGCAAGGCCCTCGAACCATTCGTGGGGGTCTGTAAATGCACGAAAATTGTCTTCCATGTGGCCTCTCTGCTAGTCAATGGAACCGGGGCCAATCATAATTAGCCCTATATTTGACCCGGGCAGACACCCTCCCTCCGGCCCAAGGTTTTTGCAAATGCTGTCGCTGAGTCACACGGCATCCTTCATGGATTGGCTTCGCTTCGCCGGTTTTGAGCTTAAATCGAGCGCCTATTGGATTCATACGTATAGACACGAAGGTGAGTCTACGACTCGTCTCGGAACACCCCGGTCAGAGGGAGATTCATAATTTCTACTAAAGCAGTTCAATCTCGATCTTCCCCAGCTTGACAGACGCGAGTTCCGGAATCTAGTCAGTCAGTTTCGGGGGGTATTGAGCGTCAGCCCTGGATGTTCGGGGATATTCCCGAACCCAACATCCTGTGCAAGTCTCCCACGTTATTAGTAGCTTACCAGACCCCCGGAATCTCCTTCAGGTCAACACAGATCCTCCTCCTTCTTTCACTCTCGTTTGTACTTCTCCGCCTGGCAATATTCATTCGTGGTTCATCAACGAAGCCGAGCAATGACTTCCGACGTTGAGGCTAGGGGCTCCCATGCTCTAATAAAGCCACATACAACTTGGCTCAATATTGTCACCATCCTAGCAGCAGCAAGCGCTAGTTTCAACTTTGGCTATTCCAACAATGCTATTGCTGGCACACTTGCGCAAGCCTCCTTTGGCGAGTATTTCTTGACGGTTGAACCTACATCTCGTATCGGAGGGATGCTTGGAGCGTGAGCATCTATACCGCTGGCCCTTCGAACGCCCCTAACTTACTGGCTGGCTAGGTTCTTCGGTGGAGGCTTGATTGGGTGCATACTACAAAGCCCACTGTCTTCACGTTATGGAAGACGTCCATGTAACATGATGGCAGCTCTAGTGATGATGGTAGCTGCAGCTCTCCAAGCCGGCAGTGTGAACATAGCAATGTTCCTCGTGGCACGTGCTTTGAACGGAATCGGCGCTGGAATGATCATCGCCAATACTCCTGTCTACATGAGCGAAATTGCACCGGCCCACACGCGAGGTGTTCTGGTCAGCTTCCAGGGCATTGCCATCACTGGCGCTTACATAGTGTCTTCTCTCTTTGCATTGGCGCTCCACTATGTTGATGCTCCCTATCAATGGCGCATGCAATATGTGATTCTGACTGCTTTCACCTTGATTCTGGTGGTGACCATGTACTTTATCCCTGAAAGCCCTAGGTGGCTCATGGTCAGTACGGTCTATGCTCACAAAATTACTATCTTGGCGCTAACGCTATGTTCAGGACCATGGGAAAGCCGATGAAGCCTGGGAAGTTCTCCGGAAGCTGCACAAGTCGAAGACTGATCCCGAAGCGCGACTTGCACGTGTGGAACATATTCAGATCAAAGCACAGATTGAAGAGGAGAAGGTAGACTAACTAATCAAGCTATTTGAGACCATGCTCACATCGTTAGTCCCTGCCATCTGGCTACTGGCACATTTTGTCCAATCCTAATATGCGCAGAAGGGCGATCTGCGGAGCGATAGTCTGGGTTATGGGGCAATCGACCGGTATTGTCGTGATTGCGAACTTTGCACCCCAGCTCTTCGCAGGTCTTGGCTTTAGCAATGTACTTCAACTTGGACTCTCAGTAGTCTGGGTTTCAGTATGCGCCGTTGGAACATGGCTCAGTGGTCTGCTTATTGAACGAATTGGTCGAGTGAAACAACTTGGTTAGTATAATGATAATCAAGGCACGATACTCATCTAATGTCATCACAGCACTGGGTGGTTATCTCTGCAGTGCGTGCCTCATTGTTGAAGCAGTTCTCCAGAAATACTACATCGGAACCGATAACGCAGCCGGTCTCCGTGCAGCCACTGCGATGTATTTTGTTTTCGTCTTCCTCTTCGGACTCTTGATCGAATGTCCTGGCTACACTTACATCGTTGAGATTTGGCCAACACATCTCCGGAGCGAAGGCGCCACAATCGGCTTCGTCTCTTTCTTTCTGACGACGATTGCGTACAACAGCCCAGCGGCAGAGGCGTTTGCGACGATTGGGTGGAAATATTACTTTGTGATGATCTCGATCTGCCTTGTAGCAAACACATTTCTCCTCTGGTACTGCCCCGAGGTAAATATTTTGAGGTCCTTTGCTGCGGTGTCAGGCTTACTGATTCGTGATAGACTGCTGGTTTGACTCTCGAAGAGATCGCAGCCAAGTTTGGAGACCACGTTGCAGTAGAGATCGAGAACATTAATGTTGATCTGGTCGAAGTGGAGAAATCCGACAATACACACGTGGAGACCACGAAGCTATGAAGACAACAAAAGGAACGGTGACTGTGGATAGTGCAATGCATGAGCTGTTGGCTGGCATGGTGTAGTGTTGAGTTGAGGCGTGAAGAAATCGATGTTTAGCTTCCCTATGCAGCTATATACCTAGCTTAGGTACCCAGGTAGTGAATATGTTCTGGTCTGAACGCGAATATACCGAGTTCGTAAACCGGCCGGTAATTGCGTACGAGGTCGTCAACTACAACTTTCAGCTCTGCCATATCTCGTAATTCGATGATTCTCTGATGGTGGGATAGCTAGCTAGCATGATAGATTCCCAAGGGAAAAGACAATTTAATATTTAAGCATGTCAATTCTTGACAAAGGTAGAGGGAGATGCAATGGCTTTAATTTAGGTGAGGAGTTGTATAATTAGCAGGCGGCTCTGTTCTTACAAAAGTCTTGCAAGATTCGCTCAGACTGTGCGGGTGCCACTTGCATCTCGCCCCATTCGTATTTGGGCCCCGACAACACCCTCTAAATCGTAACTCCATCACGACTTGATGTGTAACAGCAACAGCAACTGCCGTCAGATGACGGTATTTCCCCACCATCATCGTGGTATTCTCACCAGGACTCGTCTAGCACTCCGATGCGAGTGGGGCGGACCAATTTCGGTAGATCTAGAGACTACGCCGGGGTCGAAATACAGTCGCTACTAGGTAACTTTAATTTGTAATGTTAAGTATACTAAGAACTTTACTCTCTGAGAGCTTCAGTGATATTTATACATCCCTGAGTTGATTTTCATAGGGCGGCGATAATTCGACCAAGAGTCTTGTGTTGCGCATTTTTCGAAGCACAATGGCGAACCAATCGCAAGTGATACAACTAGTGATAGTCCCTCACCGACCAGTACATACCGCTAATGAGATCAACAAGGATCTAGCTCCGGCATTTGATATTATACAAAGGTCTGCACCGCAGTGAGGAGAAGCTCCGACGAGACTGCTAATACACCACCAACAGGGCAAAGGGTCTGCAGGCAGTATGGAGAGGGAAAAAGCATGAAGACCGCCACACACAGGTTGCTCTTCTTTTATGGGAGAGCTTGGAGGCCAGTCATGCTTTCTTCACCGGCGCTGACTATACCGAGTTTCACAAAGTTATCCAACCCGCGATGAACGGAAGGAGAATTCAATGGCAGAATCATGCTTCTATCGAGTCCCTTGGGCTTGGCGACAAGGCACATTTGTCAAAGACGCTCGAATCACCAGCGATTGAGGTAGCCCTCACAAAAGTGGTTGAGGGCGGCGTGAATGGATACTATTCGCAATTCCGGAAAATCGTGGGCCCTATCCTGGAGGACGACGATGGCTGTGACGGACACTTTATCAGCCCACTCCTGGAAAATCCCCAAAACCAGCTGCTTTTGATCAACTGGAAATCAGTAGATGTACGTACAACCATGGTTTCAATGTGAGTAGCTAATGCACCCTGCAGGCTCATCACGAGGTTTTTGAAAAGCGACCGACGTTTAAGGCCTGCATTGACGGCCTTAAGGACTTTTATGCCGAGTTTGTTATTCCATGGCATATCACAGAACTCAAGCTGGTCCAAGGGAGCTTCTAGTTAAACGAGATGAAGCTTTTCTGTGAATTAATGAACAAGGGTCGTAGGGTGTGTAGAAATGCTAGTTGCTGTGATATATAATCTATTGGGCCCTGACTCGCGTTTCTTCGCTCTATCCATTAATCACGGGCGATGTTAGAAAGAAGGCTCTCTCCTGGATCACGACCGACTTGGAGTCATAGACTTGAAGTTATCCCATACCTGTCCGTATGATGGGACTGGGAATGACCCAGTTTTTGAATGCACTAATGATGCCTTGTATTATCGCAAAACGAGAAGGCCGACGTTATCTTGACAGTATATCCAGAACTTAGGTGGTAGTCGTCCATGATAATTATGGGCATTAACATAGTACTCTATCATGACAGATGAACAAGCTCAAAGAGCGAGGACAGATGAACTTAAGAGGTAGAACGACCTTCTGGGCAAAGGTTGATAGAATACCTAAGTCAGACCCATGATCACCCACGCGATGGCTTCCATTGCTTGAGCAGAACGTTAAGTGCGTCGGTACTCTCTCTCTATGTCACCGCCATACGGTGGTTACAGCAAAATGTTTGTGGCGTTGTCATTCGGAGTTGATGATAACGCACATTGTCCTTCTACCACGACGTCATCGGCAGACCGATCATGGCCGAGGCGAGTCATGCAGAGTCAGTGTAAAATGATGTGGGCAAATGTTGGACCAAAGCTACTTAAGACATTGGCAATTTTGGGGTCAACATAGCCGGTGAATCCTGTCTTGTATAGAAATCTTTCACCCGGAGAATAGCTACGATCACACAAGATTTGGACCCCACCTTGGATTCGAGCAAAAAGGCTGCCTTGGTGAGAGGTCACCGTACATAAAGATTACATTTTAGAAGACGTAAGTGGTAGAAATGATCAAAAAATCGAAATGAAGAAAGTATATTTATGACGCTGCGAATTAATTAGCTAAGTAGCTAAGGACCCTGAGGACACTGTGTGTATTGCCCGAGGATCTACTGATGTTCACACTAGAGAGGACTCTCACTTTCAGACTCTTCCTACCGTCGATGATCGGATCAATATGGTGAGAGAAAGGTTTGGAGCTTCGAACCTTTTGACCTGAAGATCATAATGGAAGTGATCTCATAGATGACATCATCGTGCCAATTCTCAGATGCGAGGCTGACATGAAGTAAATGAGTGCCGTTTCGAATGCTTTACGGTTATTCATCGACTTTGTGGTCCGAGCAACATCAAATAGCAGCTTCCCACCTGGGCATGTTAATTGAATACCTCCAAACAGAGGAAACAGGGAGGCAAGGCCGTACCATCATCTCGTACATGCATACTGCTTCCAGGTCTACATCCAATCTCTTCAGAATCGCGACATTTTTCACTCTTGAGTACATCCCCGCCAAAACCTCCGATCTGTCAGTATTGACTCAATCACTCTCATTTTTGAGTGAAGCGGCGTCTTCAATTTCTTCTGCTATTTTCTTCTTCTCGAATTCGGCCATGGAGTCCACCTCGACGAGGCCATTCTATCTTGCGCGGAATGGGTGACAACGTCGTCTCCAAATAGCTTACCCATTTCTTCCAACCTCAGGCCACCAGTCTCCGGCACCCACTTGTACAACATGGCAAACGTGACGATGTCGCAAGCAATGAATACAAGGTAGAATTTCCAGCCAATGCTTGCGAATGCCCTAGGCTCCGGAGTCGTGTAAAGGACTGTGGAGACAAAGTATGTGAAGATGGCGATGGTGAGACCTTTGGCTCTGATCGTGGTTGGAAATACCTCTGAACACCACTGACAAGTCTTGTCAGCGCAAGAAGTGCTTTCAATGACAGCGACCCACTCACCACAAACTGGGTTGCATCGAGGAATAACCCCAATCCAGGTCGAACATCATGAAGAAGAACATCGCAACAGTGTTGCGGCTTTATGGGGAGTGCCGGCGTACTTCCATCTGAGCAGAGCGCCTGAAAGGAGACATATTCCAGTCCAAACGATATCGATGACTGCTCGTTGTGTACTGGTCAGCCTGCTATTGCACTGCGAACTCGGATGACAACTTCAGGGATAAACTCACGAAGCATTCCTCTCCGTCCTACCCAGTCAAAGGATAGCAGCATTGACAAAGTTGAAGAAGACGGCAATGACGACATAGATTGCGTACATCAGGAGAGGCTTTGATCCGGTCATTCCAGCAGACTGAGCGACAAGGACCAAGTATGATGTGATACCATTGTAACCAGATGATTGCACCGCGAACATGACCAATATCGTAAGGAGAGTTCTTTTCCTCCACGATGGAACTGTAAATATACGGAGGTATGTTGCTTTCATCTCTTTATCGTGTTCCACTTGTCTTTTGATCTGAATGAATTCGCTATGTGCCGCTACGTCCCGGAGATCGCTAGGACCATGATGCAATTTTTGGATGGTTATCCATGCATCAGTACCGTGGCCTTGCCAGACCGACCATCTCGGAGATTCGGGAATCCAGTAGCAGTCACCAAACCTAGTGGCGCTATTGGAGACAAGCACAATGGCATGCGCCACTGAACAATCATATTTGTCGTGAAATATGTGCCATAACCTATCCACGCGGAACTGGAGTGGACTCCGAAAAGAATATTTTTATACAACGGAGTTTAAGGCAGCCTACCTTAGGTAGCCCAGAGAGAAGCCAACGCCCACTAGAGCGCTGAGAAAGCCTCGACGATGTGGTGGGGAAACTTCAGCAACATACAGCGGCACGAGAGCCAACAGTTGACCTACACCTAGACCTGTGATGAACCGAAAGACGAATAGCATTGGGATGTTGACGGACCCGGCGACTACTGCTGTGCCAACGACTGAGATGATCTACCAGAGGCAAGAGCCTTTCGTCGTCCAAAATGATCACTGGTGTACGATTGTATGATTGCCCCAAAAGCTGCTCCAGTGTAGAACAGTCCACTTAAAGCACCGATCAGCGTAGCCGTGTAGTCCGAAGTTGCTGCATGATAAGTTAGCCTTGATGACTAAAGTTGGGATGATATCAACAAATGATCAAGGTTAAAATAAAGGTAAAAGCCCTGTTCCCCAATAGAAGTGACAAACACTGCGTACGAAAAGCCATATGAATACGCTCCGAGGCATGCGGCACAGACGATCAAGATATTATATCCAGTAAGTCGCCACATCTTTGGCTGGTGTCTCTGCGATTGTATTTTGACGCACTTGGACTCCAGGAATTCCACACTGCTATACCAGCTATTTAAATGAAACCCGCACTCCTGTATCCTTTTCTTTGCATAGTCGCGTACCTGAAGGCGTAGCTGGGTTCCCCAGCAATCCGTACTGGGACGAAGCGAGGATCCACCGACAATCCGTGGGGTCCCCATACCCGCAAGCCCTTGGTATAATCAGGGAGGACACTTGTTGCTAATTTGAGCGATAATTGACCGAAAAGCCACCAACTATATGGATCTGCAACTTTCTGACTTCTGTTTTTGATCAGTGATCCTCCTTATACTCTCACAAAGAATGGAGTTAGAGAATGCAGGATGACCCTTTTCATCTCTAAGGGGTTGACCCTTGCAGGCGGTCTGCTCACGGGCGAACAAGAAATTCTATAACCAGCTCCAGCCTTGGGTCCATAGGTAGGTCAACAATCGGTGAAGCGCTTAGATGTGGTAAGACGCCTTGTCCACTTATCCGACCGAGATTTTGAGGCACTAAAGTATCCGTCTTCGATTAATCTATTCACCTCGCTCCGGTACGGTAGTAGTTCAACTGTACCCGCGGCCAAGGGCAGTGACGGGGAGATTAGGCAGATACAGCTGCTAAAACACTCAGTTTAGCCTCAAAGCGCGAGAGCGCTCGAACTCCTCGGGCAAGAATTCTGAACATTTGACGGCAATTTTCTCGGAACCAATCGTACAAATTTTGACTTGTTGGTGGACTTGAGATGACCGAAGCATCAAATTGCCGACCTCAGATAAACGCGGTCATGCTCAATTGCTGATACTCTGGTAATTCAAGGGAATATAACTGAACGTTCAATGGTGGCTGGTAGAAGTCGCGGTCCTAGACGTATTAGTGATCATCAATGCTTGGCTTCTCCTCAGAGGACACACAGCAATGGTCGCATCGATATAAATACAGAGAAAACGTTGCCGGTATCGACATGACCGAAGGCTTATTGAACCGAATAATACATGTAACAGGGACGAGAGTCGGATATGGTTACCCCTGTGTGTAAGACGTGATTACTAGGGTAGTCACAAACAATCATTTGACGGTCATACTCGACAATCATGGCTAAGGCAAGATTCTACACACACTAAGGAAACAAAACAAATGTGCAGTGTCTCTTATTTCATTTCTAGCATATCTATGGGCGTAAATTCTTTCAGTCATATTGCTTCAAAAAGTCCATTGCAACTGATATCTCTTGATTGATACGCGTGATATGCTCCTTGCTCCGGGGTTTTATGGCAATTTTATAGGGCAATGGTGCTTGAAGAATACCCGGGTTATATGCTTCAGCATCTAAAGGGCTCTTAATACCAGTTTTAGGGTCCACATATTCGGAGAACTCAAATGCCCATAGCAGTTTTGCAGCAATCCGCCACATATTGCGCTCTGCGAGATGCATACCTGGACACACACGCCGACCTGCGCCATAGTTATAATGATGTGAAGAGGAAGTTAGTAAAAAATATCGTCCTCCCAGAATTGGAATATAAACTTATCTCGATTCGCCCAATCAGGGCTTCCAGCGTAGTCACTGGCTAATCTAGGATGATTGAGATATCGGCTTGGATTGAAGGTCTCTGGATCCTCATAGATACCTGCAGAATGATGGATTGCCCAGGTAGGTAGGAAGATTGTTGTATCCTTAGGAATTATGAAACCCTCGTAGACATCATCTATAGATCTGTTAGCTCTAGAGTTTGTACCAAGAGGACGCACCTCATGGTTCACTAACCTTCCCGTGCTCGGTGGGGTAGCGCAGTTACAGCCCTTTAAAGAAGATATGTGAGCGATTCTGTATCAGCTTGAAGATTCAGAAGACTTACACTGGACGCCATCTCATGCCCTCCTTCACAATACAATTAATATATGGCAGTTTTTCAAAGTCGGACCACAGTGGAGCTCTCTCGGTGCCACAAACCGCATCGATCTCGTCTTGGGCCTTTTTTTGGATGTCTGGGTAGAGGCCAAAGGCAAGAACCAAGGTGAGAAGTTGAGCTGCAGTTGTATCTGCACCTCCTTCCACCAGTTCACCCATTAGATTATCGAACCCGTGCTTCGAGAATGGCATTCCTTTCTTATCATACTCGTCGAGAAGATTATCAATTATGCAATTTCGCCGTTCGCCCTTAGCCCGTCTCTCGTCAATCCTTCGTCGTGCCTCACTCCAAACGTTGTCCATGACTGAGCCTGCTTCGATTGCCCGACGTTTCCAGAATGCTAGTGAGGTAGGTGCCCATTGAAGAAACTTGAACTCGTCGACTGGAGGGTTCGCTCCAGGCTCCATAGCTGCTGTCCACTGCTTTAATTTAGTATTATATAATGTTCTCGCGAGGATTTCTCTTGACCTTATCCATAACATCATAAACTCCCTGTAATATTACTCTTAGTATATACATTCTAGTGTAGTACACGCTACCTACCTGTCCCCAAAAAGAATCCGGAGTAGCGGCGCGATGACCGTATGTAATGGAGCTCGCTACAGACGCTGTATACCGCTTAATCTGTCTGTAGAAGTCTTCGGGGTCCGTTAAGAGGTTATTCATCAAGATCGTAGCTCTAATGAAGATAGTTCTAGTTTCAGACTTATTGTGAGACTAAAATTGCTGCTTACTCTGCTTCCTGGACTCGGAAATGTTTCTCGTCAAGCGATTTAGGGGAGAAGTTATGCGCAATGACTTTTCTCTTTTCTCTCCACAGAGGGTCCATCTGAGAGATCGCCAGATGATCGCCCTTAGTTAGTAACTGCCCGACATAGGTATCTGGGCGATCGGAGTATACTGCGCCCTTCTCGACCAGAAGCTTATGGATGGCTTTTCGGTCACATAGAACAACAATGTTGGACGGGCCGAGTTTGATACTAAAGACAGGACCGTATTCTTTGGCCCATTCTCGAAATCTTAAGTATACAGACTGGTTAACGCTGGTTCATGGTTCAGGAGAGATGGTGCCATCACATACTGTCTGTAAAGGCCGGTGCGAGGAATTTGATGAGCATTTCCGAGGATAGGGATTGTGGGTGGACCAGGTGGCATTCGAGGGTCACGCCTGCCGACCTGCAACAGACGGTACACGAGGAACGCGACAAAGGCGACCGACGCCCAGAGGAAGGGCTTTGACACAAGTGATGTGTCTGCCATTCTCAGGTTCCCAGAGAGATTGCGCTGTGGTGTTTTTAAGCAGGCGAATCGTTCGTCGACAGGACAGACAATCTCAATGCCGACTTTTTGATATTGATCTAATAACGAAGTTTCTGGCTCCAACTGCTTCAAGACTTCAATTTCTGGAGACATCGAGGGGGCTATGCCGACGTGTCCTTATTCCCCACTTCGAGCCGGCAAAGTCGTGTGGATCTTTTCTCGGGCAGTCTTCCGGCGCCACGAAAAAATAGTTACCCCGGCCGGGGATCGGGTTATTCTGGGCATGATATTTTCGATGCCCATCCAAGCGAGCCGGTTCAGCCAATAGTAACATACTTCACATCACTTTGCGTTGAATTGTTGGCGGCACAATTGGAGGTGTCTGAGACAACGAGGAAGAATGATCATAAAGCTCTCTCATTGATTAGCACCGGTTGGGATGCTATACGTAAGCTCGGGTATTCTTCAGCCGGTCCCTTCTTGGCAATGATACGCTTCAGTCTCTACGAGACCAGTGTTCGTGGCTTGCTGTACGCTCTGTGCCCTAGCATAGCATCCCTCCGTCCGCTATAACGGTCGTTCCAGTCATGTAGCTGGATTCGTCGCTCAGCAAAAAGCAAAAAGCCCTTGCCGCTTCTTCTGCTTCACCCATCCGATTCAGTGGCACACGGGCAACTACTGATGACATATTCCCTTTGTCCAGGCCACCGACCGAAGCGACCATGGGAGTTTTGATTGTACCACTGCCATAGATTAGCCATCACTGTCTGCATAGCTCGTCGCATCGAGAATACCTTACGGAGCAACAGAATTTAATCGTATCACTCGCCCACCAAACTCTCCTGCCGCGCTCTTGGTCAAGCCTATGACGGCATGTTTCGTTGCCGAATAGACAGAATTTTTTGGATGAACCTCTAAGTTCATCGAGCTTGAGGCGTTGACTATGCTAGCTCCGTCTTTCATCACTCTCAATTCAGCTCGCATGCAATTGAAGAGGCCTTTCAGGTTCACACTTGTGATATAGTCGAACTCTTGGTCATCTATCTCTGTTAGGTTGCCTATACCAAATGACTTTCCCAAGACACTAGCAATGTTGGCTGCACCGTCTATACGCCCAAAATGCTTCATCGTCGCGTCAATCCAATTATTTACCTGCTCGCTGCTCCTGATGTCGACTTCAAACGTTACAACTCTCGTGTTGTCTAGAGCTTCGTTCGATCCTGTTATCTTCGGCAGAGCGGCTTCCAAGCTTCCAATGTCTGCGAGCGACAAATAGGCACCTCGAGCGTAGAGAAGTTGCGCAGTTGCAAGGCCCATTCCAGAGACAGCGCCTGTAACAACGACAACCTTTTCCTGTAAAAGCCATATTAGGTTTAAGAGTAGAATATGTTTATTGAATTCAAATTTTAGCAGTGTCAGTAAATCTGAGCTCCTGGGTTTAGTGACAGAATCTGCCATTCCAATGTCGCAGGGACAGACTTAGTAGTACGTTCTTCGGGCAAACTGATGCGAGTTTAAGCGAGCCGATGTTCTAGTCCTAGTAAAAAGAATCGGTCCGCACGAGTATACTAGCATTCTGTGATCGTTTTGTCAACCACTGGTAGCAGCCACGAAATCTGAGATCTATCATTAAAGTGATATTAGTACGAAAAAGAGATAAGATCTACTAAGAAAATCTCCTATTTTAGATAGGTTGTCCAAGGACTAAAATAAACAATTCATAACTAAAGTGAGGTTGTCTACTGTTCGAGAGTAGACTTCTTATGACAAAAGTTGTAATATTTGCAGTTAAGCCTAGCATTCGCAGATCAACTGATGTTCTTCGCATTCGCATGTCACGATGTCGTCATATTGCCGCTACGTCGAGAAAACGTACTAGTTTGCTACGCAGAGATTAGATAATCGATACCTCGGTTAGTTCGATACTTGGTACTCTTGTAGAGCTTATTCAATATCCCTCGTCCTCATACCTGAGAGAATACTTCGAAAGTATAATTATCAGTGCCTCCAAGTTTCATCAAAGCTACGCTCTTAGAGTCCTTCAAAATCCTGTCAAAGTAGTTTCTCGAGCCGTTCGAGAAGATTCTAACGCCTAAGCGCTGGCTAAATACTCCAATAGATATCTATCCTCACAATGTTTGAGGAGAAATAAGGTGCTTAGTATTGTACTCTAGCAAGAAAGAGGCTAGTGCCAAGAATAGATACAATCTAGATGGGAGACATGTCATTCTATTAGCCTGTCAGTATCTGGCAGAGACAGCTTTAGGCTGGTACAAGGCTTCCAAATAGCTGATTTCCTCGCGAGACAGTTCTAAGTTCATCGCTTCAATGGCCTGGTCGATTCTTCTATGGAGGAAAGGCCCAGAATATGATTCGCGCCTTTCGTCAACACCCAAGCTGATGCGATGGCTGCCATGGGTACGCCTCTTTTATTTGCCACTTCTTCAACACGACCGACAACAGCCTCGTCCGCTGCACTTTCTCGGTCAATCAGTGCAGAGATGTATGCATCAGTCTCCTCCCATAAGGTTCTTTCGGAGTTCCATGGTCGCGCCAGAACGCCACGAGCTACAAGAGACCAGGGAATGATGCCTACGCCCGTAGCTATGCAATATGGCAAAATTTCGCGCTCCTCTTCATAAATGAGGTTCAGGTAGTTCTGCATGCTAATAAAGCGATGCCATCAGCGCCGTTCAGAACATTCTGCATGCGCTGGAACTCCCACGTGGTCATCTGATGGATGGTTAGGTGCGTTCATGCAAAAGCCATAGGGTTGACATACACTGTTTGCGCCGATATATCTCACTTTTCCGGATTGAACTACATCGTTGAGCGCACTCATAATTTCTCCCATTCCGTGTCTGGATCCAATCTGTGTATCTGAAGGACGTCGACATATGTCCCAAGTCGTTCCACGCTCGCATCAACCGCATCGAAAATATGCTTGCGGCTGAGCCCAACGCGGTTGACCATGGCGCCATCATTGACGATGCAATTCGTAAGAGGCAGTTGAGTACCATCGTGACACACGCTGAAATAGCACTTTGTTAAGATTGTCACATTCTGGCTGTTTAGCATTTCTGAGAGCGATCTGACCACATCCGACCCAAAGGTTTTTCTCGGAGAGGCCAATAAGTTGCAGCTTCAGGGCAGATTCCAGCAACCTTTCAACTCTCACAATCCGTTCCATGCTCAAATGGTTGCTTCACGTCAGATCTTCAAGACCAAGGACAGAAACTGCATTCATATGGAGTTCGACCTGACAGGCTCGGGTCTTGAATACGTCACTGGCGATCATGTCTCCATCATGCCAATCAATTCTGGTATTGAAGTTGACCGCTTCCTCAGCGTGTTTGGGTTGACGTTCAAACGCGACACAGTCATTGATATCGAAACGATCGAAAAGACCGCAAAGCTGCCCTTCCCTTTTCCTACAACATACGACACGGCTGTCCAATACAAACGCGAAATCGGTGCACCAGTCTCTCGGCAATTTGTTCAGCAGCTTACTCAGTACACACCACCCTCAGATGCCAAAGCAGAACTAGAAAAACTCGGAGCTGATTAGGACTATTTCCACAGTCAAATTACCGAGGGGCACTTGAACATCGCTTAGACGCTGCAGATCGTGGGACCAGGTGCAGTTTGGGATGCTGTGCCGTTAAGCATGGTATTGGAAAGCCTTTCGGCTTTACAACCGCGGATATACCCTATCTCGTCGTCACCTTTAGCCATGAAGGACCTACTGACGATCACGACCTAAGTCGAGACTCACCTAATCGCATCGACGAAACTTGTTCTCAAAGGTGTGACTACGAATTATCTACTTGCCCTGCAGCAGAACCAAAACAAGGTGTCTGTTCCTGATGCTTTCTCGGCCACTCATTCGCTTCGACCAGGTAGTAATCACTACGACGGTCTTCGTGCTGCTCTGTACTTTCTTACATCCACTTTTAGGCTGCCGGTCAGCCCGATCACTCCTATCATTATGGCCGGCCCAGGGACTGGTGTTGCACCATTTAGGGCTTTTGTCCAGGAACGTGTAGAACAAAAATTGGCAGGATCAGAGATCGGACTGACAATGCTCTTCTTTGGTTGTCGTAGTCAGAAAGAGGACCTCATCTATGAAGAGGAGTGGAAGGTATTGCCCCATAATGAAAGCCAGGGTCCATTAAATACTTCAGGACTAACGAATTGTTTAGGAATACGGGCGACTTCTTGGACCAGTCTTCAGGATGGTCACTGCATTTTCCCGCGAAACGAGCGGCAAGAAGGTATATGTACAAGATAAGATACGCCAGTTCGGTGTGGATATCAGTACGCTACTAGCAGATGGTGCTCACTTCTATGTCTGCAGAGATGCTTTGATAGCGAAGGAAGTCAGTCATCTCTTGGAGAGCATACTTGCGGAGCAAAGGTCAATCCCACTCGCGGAAACAGCTGGTGTTGTCAAACGGATGAGGACTACTAGCCAGTACCAAGAGGATGCGTGGTCTTCAAAGAGCGAGATCGTTCTTAAGCATGGACACGAATACGGATAATATGAAATGGTGGTGAAAGCACTGCGAAGATTGGAATGCGAATAGAGCTTTGTGAGCTACGCCGATCGTACAGATATTAGCAAGTGTCTTGATTTAGGACTGATGCCAAACGATGTTAAGTTTGGAGGTTCTTCTATTTTTCCTGTCAAGTTTGTGACTATTTGTGGTTAAGAAACTGTAGTTCCGAGTCATGTAAATCCCGTGAGAACGATGCATACTCATTCTCCAGTGCCACTTCCTGCTTTCACTGTGCATTGTAGCCTCCATCAACCTACGAAGAACGTCAATATCGGCTTAACTGTCTATGAAAGTCCGACTTACCGACAGGACTGAGCCCGTGATATAGCTTGCTCTATCACTTGCTAGATAGACCACAGCATCTGCGATTTCTTGAGGGAGAGCAAAGCGGCCCATTGGGGTTCTAGCGATCTGTGGAGCGAGCAGTCTCCGGATCGGAGGTGTGACCAATGGAGTATCGATAAATCTAGAAGAGAAAAAAATGGGTCAGGATGAACTCCTCAAAATGACGTCCTCATAACCGAGGCATCGCTTGCTACTTGCCCTGGACAGACAGCATTAATTCGGATGCCCTTAGTTGCATAGTCGATGGCATCAGTTCTCACCATGCCGATGATGCCTAGCAAGTCTTAGTCAGCTGTTGCTGTACAAGTCGCACGTAGTGCGACTAAGAAAGAGAGCCAACCATGCTTGGAGATGGTGTAGAGCCCATCAAGAGGTATAGCCCGGATCCCCAGGAGAGACGAGACCACCACGATGGAACCTTTGGAATGGACTCTGCCTTCCCTGAAGAAACGTCAGCAGCGCGCTAGAAAGTAGTCGAGAAGCAGGGGCTGTCTTGCGTGACAACCTTGCTCGATAATGATGAGGAGGTTGCGACTTACAACCCCTCCAAGGGTTCTTGGTTCACCATTTGTTTCAACGCTTCTCTTTCACAGAGCCAGGTGCCTCTGAGATTAACTCTCTGGACCTTTTCAAAGTCCGCTACCGTTGTGTCACCTGTCGGTAAAAAGGGCGCAGCAATTGCCGCATTGTTGATTGCGTAGTCGATCCTCTCCAATCTGCTGACAGCGGTCCCGAAAGCACGAATCACCTGCTCCTCATCTCCTATGTCGACCGGCATCGGCAAAAAATCCACGTCTGGGGCTTCTGCGTTCACCGCTTCAGCCGTTTTGGTCAATCCCTTTTCTGAAAGATCCAGGCCCGCAATACGTCTGACACCATCACGCGCGAATTGGAGAGCGATTGTCCGACCGAGAGCGCCGCCTGCTCCAGTGATAAGAGCAGTCCTTCCTAGGATTAGGATACGAGAACTTCAATCATTCCGATGGTCTACTCACCCACGTAGTCCGAGTCCTGCCATTGTCATTACTTGACTTGTTTTGTTATGCGGGGAGAAATATAAATGCTATATCACACTTGCAAGAGTAGGAAAAGATGATCCACTGTTTGCAAATAAAGGTAATGGAGATAATTAACCGTTCTGTGGTCGTGGGACACTTTTCTCCTCGGGAGAATTCATCTGACGGGCTAATTAGTCGTCTTAGTGCTTCGTAAATGCAGGTACTTCACGTATCATAGCGGCAGATATTGTAGGCCAATTTTCATGGGTGCGCTATGAACAAGTACTATGTAGACATATGTGCCACATGAACGACTCACCCCTACAATTTACATCTGGTGGCACTTTTGCCCGCTAAAATGGGATACCAATTGTGAGGCCGCCGTCCACTGCCAGATTCTGACCCGTAATCCATTGCGCATCATCGCTGCAAAGGAATACGACCGCTTTGGCAATGTCTAAAGGCTCCCCAAGTCTCGGCCACGGCGTGCCCTTTTTCATCTCAGCGATAATGGCAGGTGTCTGGAAGTTGATACTGGCCATACCACTCCGAACAACTCCTGGCGTCACCCCATTCACGTTGATATAGTCCTTGGCGTGGTCGAGACCGACATTCTGTACCAACATTGCTACCGCTGCTTTACTCGCAGCATACGTCGCCTCTCGGCGAATGGCTGTTTGGCCGCCAGCGGCAGAGGAGATGTTGACGATTCGGCCTCTCGACCCGGACACTTCGTCAATGGGCTGCTTGAGAAACTGCTTGATGGCCTCACGCATCGCGGTAGCCGTGCCCTTGGCATTGATCGCAAACATGGCGTCCCACTGCTCCTCGGTCTCCTCTACAAAGTCCCGCAAGGGCATCCACAAGCCTGCGTTGTTGACAAGAATGTCTAGTTTATTGAAGTTCTGGCACCACTGGTTAGTTTGACCGAAAGCATGATCAGGAGAGCCCAAGTCAGGCCCTGAGCATACCTTGACGGCCGCCTCGACAAGGGCAACAATTTCTGACGTGTTCATCAGATCGCATTTCTGGAAAATTGCTTTGCCACCGTTGTGGTTAATGACATCGTGCGTAGGAATGTGCTTGTCTTCTTCGAATCCATCCTGCCGTGCTTCGGCAACACGATCTGTGCAAACCAGGATCGCACCTTCACGGGCAAGTGCCAACGCTATTCCACGGCCTAGACCAGATGATGAACCAGTAACGATGGCAACTCTCTGGTGCAAACGCCCACTGCCATTGGTTTTGTAAACGGTAGTAGCTCTCATCTTCGCTAAAGGAGTCTTCACTTTCCCCTTGTTCTGATGCCCAGCTCGTTGCCTCACAGTGCTTTTGGATATCGAGTGAGATGATTGTTTCCAAGGTATTGTCACTGCCGGCGTTCAGCCGAGATGGTGGACGGTTTTAAGCAGGAAAGGTAACCGCTTAAGGAATGCGGAAAGTTATCGGGCAGACTCCTTTGAGGCCTGTGTGCTTGTTAAGGGAATACCCCACGACTGTCATTGGGAAAAGGAGCTAAGGGCTTCGCTTTCCCGTAAAATAGTCCTAGTGCTCCACCACGTATTCATCCCTGCGGGCCAAGGGAATGTGAGATTTGCGAGAAGCCCATATTTACGTAGGATATCCCTCGAGCTATTAATCCCTCTCGGTGTATCAAGCTGCAACTTCTGGCGAGCCAGTGTGCACTAGCCAGCGCGTCCCCCAAAACTTGGGTAATTGGCCCCGTGATGCATCCGGGCCACGCTGCATACTCCTGGGGTGTATTTTTATGATCGGTACTATAGAATTGAAGTACCCAACATCGAATGGCTTGACAATCTCAGCGCTTTCGACCTTAAAGCAGCGAGGAAAGATCATCGACATGATGTTGGCACACGTAGTTCTTTCTAAGCATTACTGCTGATGCCCGACCTCGCCGTGCTGTATACATTCTGATCTCCCAAACACGCTAGCGTCTACCGCTTGATCTGATCAGCGCGCAAAGGACTCAATATGTATACTGGCAATTCCTCGCAGGCACATCATGAAGAGTTTGAAAAAGACCCACATTTCAAGGATATATCGACCCCTTGAATGACAATCGAAGCGATTTATTTGGTGCCTATCGACGTTGTCAAAGTGGAACCGCCGAGGACTATAGAGCGAAGGGGAGGGGGTGTCTTGGAAGGAAAACGAGCAGGTAAATTGACGGAGGGTCGTCGATTTAAACGGTGCATGAGGAGGGAATCCGCCAATAATAATTCAACCGATTATCTCTTCACGGCCTATTTCAGCGGGCGAATGTTGACCCCAGTCTGGGGACGGTAAAGCGGGGGTGGGCCAGGGACGGTGCGGAAGCCCTTGCACATTGACCGACTGAAATATTAGCAACAAACGCTTCGGTCGAGGGTACATCTGCGCGTCGTGACAGCCAATTGAGTGTCCGATTGGTGCAAGAAGCGGACATGAGATTGCAGTGACCATGTCTACTAAGTTGTCCTCCAGCCATAAGCTTCATCAAAAGTGAGCATGAATGATGGATATAATAGCTTCGATTGGGTGAAAGTTCGCCGCCCGCTACCTCAATCTTGTTCTGTATTTTAGTGCTCTTCGCAGCTGAGTCATCTCCACCACCCTCCTGTTCGGATCGCCCAGACTCAGCCACAACTACTTGGCACAGCCACGGTACGTGCCTGGGTCACGAGGCTATGAAATCCTACTGTAGCCTTGCAGAGGTCGCTCAGCATGCCTCGCTCGACGATGTGTACATGATATATCAGGACCAGGTCTACGATGTCACTCCGTTTATACAAGAGCACCCGTAGGTCTTCCTGGCATCTCAAACCTCGGCTGGTGGAGGGATTATACTTGTAGCAAAACTCACTGATTCACCCGTCGAGAACGCAGAGGGGGAGAAGATGTCACTTTTGTCCGAGCTGGCAAGGACGGGACCGACGCATTCGATCAAGTTGGCCATTCCAAAGACGCTCGTGATCAGCTCAGAGGACTTTTGATAGCCCGATTAGATCAAAAGGTACGTTGTCATGGACACATCGTTTGTCGAGATTCTAGGGCTTTTGGTTCGAAGTACACGTACTTACTTACATTGCGTCTTCATTCTAGTCTGCAGATGTTGTTGCTAAGGTTCGTCTGGTGACTCAGGAAGCAAGAAGGCCCCATCGAGCGCTATCACGCTCTATAGAATCGTTACGGTGATCCTGGTGCCAGCGTTAGCGGCATATCTTTACTCGCTACAACATGAGCAGGCATTATGGGACCTTGGAGGGAGGATCTCAAGAAGCTTTCATTAAACGACATAGAATTTGAACACGGTTGCAGATGACACAGAAAGATTCAAATCCTCGGCTCAATTCAGGCTGATCCCAATCCTCTCAACCATTATAGTCCATGATACCTCGAAATAAACTTCCAGGATCCATCGCAAAGTGCAAGTCCAACGCCAAGTCATCCCATAGTCCTCGAGATTGGTAGTTGTTCGTGACTTGCGTAATGTAGCTCTCGCATCCGCTCACTAAATCAGAGTTTGCAACACAGCTTTCGTCAAAGAGGTAGGAATCGTCATTGCCGCTACCATGTTTGGTCTCATTTCCTCCTATGCCGACTGTGCTGGAAGCCTCATCGACGGAGGCACGTCGAGCTTCCTGTACAGTGACCTCGGTATGCATTGAAGCTTCTTTTTGTATTGTGTTTCACCTTGTTGAGAGGAAGTCTGGAGGATGGTCGTTGTGGTCATACGAAGGGAAGATGTCAGGTTCTACACGGGGCCTAGGAGGAATGGCCGACCGCGAAGTTGAGACCTTGCTGCCAGCCTGACAATCTAGAGAAGCCGTCCTTTCTGAGATCGCGATGGCACCCGTCACGTCCAAGCTATGATTGCTGTCTCTGTCGAGCTGAACAACGTGACTGGACGAAGAGAGTCATTGAGCCTTGGGTCTTGTAAACTGACGTAATTTCCCTTCCGCGGATGCCAGATTCACCTGCATCGTTTTGGGCAAGTCCCAAAAGTCGGAACACTCCACCAAGATCATGTGTAGCACAGAGAATTTGGACTCGACCCAGTCCCGATTTGTGCTCGGAGGCGCCAGCACCTTCCAGCCAAGATGAACCACCGCACCATACCAGATAATGCTTGCCAGAAATGGATTCACATACCGTACCTATTCTTCCGAACTCCACGACACAATACGCAACAGCTCATCTGCGGCCTCGATGAAGTGTTGAAGGCCCTCTCTGGCTGGTCCTAGATGCAGACTGAATGGTTCTTCGTCGCTGGTGGTCTTCGAGTCTTGGTTCGACTCATCTTCCGCACCGGGGAGATGTAAGTCTTACTGAGCGCCAGGATAGGCATCCTGATGGTGAATCATCATGCGTGTGAGCTGAGTTGTGACATGGATGCTATACTTGGCACTGTGAAGCTGTCGAATGCGCCGCATTGTCAGTGGCAAAGCTCAGAAAACCTTGCCGAAAGCGGAGATGCTTAGGAATGGCCATGCCAAAGCATCTCAATGCATTGGCGAGAATCGCCAGGCTCTCGGTGTTGTCCTTCAATGACGCTCCAGAGGCCGTCCAAGGTGAAGTAGTTCCGCCTGTACCAGGGCATTGACTCCTGAACTTGGAGAGTCTGTGACCCTCGCACATGAAGGAATTTAGCACGATGAACCATGCTTTGGGACTTTGCGTCCCACATAGCCGAAGTTCTCTCAGCCGGTGCATGGGCTTCATCTCAAGAAAACAACTTGGGCCGAACTCTCGAGAGCGAACCAATGTTCATCAGACACCGGGAGTCGGGTCGCATTATCGGACCAGTCCAAAGCAGCGGGGCAGCGTTTAATCATGCTAGCGAAGACATCGATCTTTCAGATCGCCCACCAGGCGCGGCGGCCCTCTTTGATCCGACACCAATCGTCCAGGTTTCGCAGTTCTGGCGTATTTGTCTCGGTCGACATAGTGAAGGTCGAGCTCATATGCGACACGGACGCAAACGCCTAGTCGTCGCCAGGCTGCGCCGCGAACACCTTTGATAAGCTGGCTGAAGGTCTGGAGAATGAGACCTTGCAAGATGCAGAGCGGTGGAGAGCGAATGGAGTACTCTATCAATGCCTCGTCCACATATCGAAGCGACATATCTTCGAAATGTTTTGGCGGCAGAAGGGGGCCGAGACCATCATCGAAGCTGTTGGTGTCTGTTGCTAGCGCAACTGCATCAGAAACAACCATGTGCCGGGCTGAAAAGGCAAAGATCGACGCAAGTAATGCCGCAAGCAGCTTCACTGAACTGATGGCGTACAGCGTTGCTATGAAGGAGGGTCTATGAAAAAGAGAGAAGGAGGTCATGTTGTCGAAATAGAGGTCAAGGCTATGCGGAATCGGACTCAGCAAGATTGAACCTGGGAGAGATGATATGACCACCTACTATGGTTGGAGAGAAGTGGCCGGCACTTTCAACAGGGAGCATGCTTGTGCAACGAAGTCCATATTACCGGCGAAAACGTCCAGCTTAGCCACAGATATGGCATCGTTATATGAGATTATATCGTGAGATGGATGGATAATATAGGCCAAGGTGCGTACGTCTAGTGGGGTTGTGACAGGCGTTAGAGGATACCCGCCCACAACTATACAGTCGGAACCTGCATACGTCGGGCTTCAGGTGCCACCCACATCGGTAGCACCAGACGGCAGACTCCCGGCCGCCTCAGTCTCTGTTTGCCATCTGCGCCTCCGTCCCGTCTGGAGTCGATAGAGATTTCTGGTGTTGATCTCTTATTGCCTACTCTGTCACGAGAGTTCGACCGTGGCCTTTTCCGTCGATTTGTTCCTTCGCCAGCATCAACAGGGGCACTTCAAATGATATTGACGGAGCGGTCATCACATACCAAGCTTGGGCCCAGGTTTTCCTGCTTCAGAAGGATAATCGCATTCTTGTTGTATTTTTTGGCATATCGAGCAATTAGGAAGGGTTCGATCGCTGCATCAAAATCAATCTGAGGTCAGCCAGATCCTCCCGCAGGGTTGTGGACTGCAACATTTCACCTTTCGCCTAGATGTGCGCATTAGCTGAAATCGATCGTTTTGGAAAGATCGCGGGGGGGGGGGGGTAGAGTGCTGGACACAGATCAATGGATTTCGCGCATATCGAATGCTTCCACGTCTGGCGGTAAGCACGAAACCCTCTCCCGTAAAAGAGTAAGTGCGATGGATGGTCGCAGCACCTACTTTTTGCAAAACTTGCACGCAAAGGACGATCGATCACGTCGTGTCGAGTGTTCGAGCATTGAGGTTAGTTCTTTTCAGTTAACCAGTGCTAGTCAATAGAGTGTTGTTTGCGTCGGCCCCGCAGGCATGTCGTTGCTTTGCGTACTTTGGGTTGACAGTCTGGGGGTGATTGAAGAAAAAAGAATGCGAGGAATGTGGGCGATCCCAGTTAAAGGGAAGGCCGTATCTAACTAGTGAGCGGCAGTTCCAAGATTTAGGTGATTAAGGGAATTGGTGTGGGAGAACACAGGGAAGATGTTGGAGGATTTGGACTGTACAACTGTACGGGCCAATCGATACAGGCAAGTCAGCGTTGTTGAGATTTCTGTCTTCTTCTATTCTATGGTCACTGTTCTGGTTTATATAGATAATCACTAGGCAAGATGACCCCCTGGAGCCTGTTTTCCATGATTCCAAAGCATTCTAGAGGCTGTGGCACTGACTCATTGATCGTCATCACGAGGTTGTCTGCCTGTTCCGTCGATAGTCACTTTGGCGCCAACAGAAGACTCGCTGAACCCGGCCTGGCAGCATGGACCACGGCTACAGTGTCACCAATGTACACTCTGAAGACTGAGCAGAGGGGCTTTCCGATCTTGAATGCCACTTTTTCCAGAGCGCTATGGGGAGTTGACAAAGCCCATTGTGCATGCCAATCTCTAGAGCATTTGCCCCTGCCAAGACGGGCGATCTAGACGTCGACTGCTGGGCCAGAATTCGACAGACACCAGGATCCTGCTACCTCGTACTCAGTAGGTAGACCGAGTGAGAAGAGGTAGGTAAGTAGTGCCAGTGCAGTGGGCAGTGCGAAGGAAAACAACCGCGCGGACCAAGCCATTGTACCGTCCGAAGGAAACACATAAATCTACGTCGCCGAGAACTCATCTCACCGACAGAGAGGAAACTGGACAAGAGGGGAAACAAGAGGCCCAGACGCAGGAGTTGCATCTTCGAATCGACGACGTAAATCTCAATTAAGTGCGTGTCAATCCCCTGCTGATTTGGCATCTAAATGGCTGGCAGAAGCTCTTAAAGTATGACTGGCCCACAGATGCCAAAAGATACACCGCAACTCCCCTTCCGGGTCTAGTATGAATGCGGCTAGGGCTAACCATGCGTTGAATACTCACATAAGTCGGACACCCCGGTAATGACCCGCCCTGGTGATGACCCACGTGTCGGGACGCGTGTTTTTTTACAACTCCTTGATTTCTATACTTTACAACTCCTACAAATCACCTTTATATATTATAAATTGGCATCCAATCGAGAGCTCAGGATCCAGCAAGCCATTATTGACTATGAAACTCGGCGATTTCTAACTGTCCGGAGGATAAGGTTTAGGATCTATAGTAGAAGTAGCTAGAGAGGAAAGAGTAGAATATATCGTTATTTTCTATCTCAATAACTAACTTAAAGCTAATCTAAGTAGAGCAATATAGGCCTATATTATATAGGTATAGGCTCTAATGAGGTCCTCCGTAAGTACGCAAGTAATCACTAAGTACTTGTTAGGCATAGGTCCGTAAGCCCTTGAGGATCGCTCAACAAGACTAGAATCTCGCACGAAGTACGAGGTATTCTCGGACCTATTGCCTAACATTAGGGTTAGGATGAGTCTTAACTTTTAGGAACTTAGAACTCGCTGAGCTAGGTTAACTAAGGCTAGTATTCATCCTAACTCAACCTATATTAAGGTCTACTGTTGGATCGATACTTGGCAACTTTCACGAGTTAGAACTGTGCTCCTACGTCTTGGCAATAACTCTGCAAGCAAGCTCATTCTAAAGCGTCCGGTCACAAGTTGAGCTTATTTCGTCAAAGGATCTGAAGTAAAACACGAGATTCTCACTACACTAAGCTAGAAAACAGGCTGCGTTTGCGGCACATGGGTGGACGCAGAGATAGGAGTGAGGTACTTTGTTCGACACCTGAACACCATATTTTGAGTCTCTAATGTTAAACTACTATACCAAGAATAAAACCCCGCTTGTATCTACCCACAAGACAAGCCTAGCAATGTATGCTTTGCGATTAGGTGTTCTTCCCCACTCCTACTTCTGCTCTGCTTCGCCAGCGAGTTCGGGATGCGGCGTCACAAGAACTGGTGTATCGTCCGTATCACTCTTTTTATTCTTACCCCGGTTTTTGGGCATTCTGCCAAGCCAGTAAAAGAACAACGCCATCACCATATTGAATACAATGTACACCCACATGAGCCCGAAATCGCGCCACGCGTCCGACGGCGACATATTCAGAGCGGCTAAGAAGGCATCGGTTGTGTCCAGCGCACAGTAGCGGCACTCTGAGGTTGCATTTCCATCGAGAAGAACTCCTCCAACAGTCGAAATATAGCGGTTCATATATTCGGCGCAACTTTGTCCAGAGGGCGGGCTGATCGTTAAGAGCTCTGCATCTGAACAGTGAACGCTGCTGCCGCTTACAGCCGTCGAAAGCATGGCGCCGATCAGGTAGGTAAAGGGTGAGACGCGGTACATAAATATCCAGAATCCTGGCAGACTATCTGATGTAGCCAATACACTGACAGATTGTTAGCTTTGGTTTTTGGGATGGAGGGTTCTTACGATGCTCAACTTACCCGCAAAAGATTAGGCATAGTGAAAAGAGCACGTTTGCCACATTGCCACCTGTTTCGGGGGACTCGATAGCAGCAATGACCATATGCGAAAACGTTGTGGTGAAGAACAAGAAGCTCACAATAAGAAGCCACATAAGTGCTCCTCGCTCGCTCACCGCGTGGGTCGGTTCGGCGTTGCGCCATAGCCCAATGGGATAGTACCAGCAGAAATACAGTGCAACTCCACAGCCCAAGTTCCAAGGGAATTCGGCAATGATGTTCGACAGCATAAATGCTTTCCAAGAGTAAGTCTTTGATGGGCGCTCTCGAACTTCGTACAAGGACCGCTGGCGTACAAAGATCGGCATTAGCTGCTGCACGAGCTGTCCAAATATTGACATTAGCATGAATATACCAAACATCTGGTTTTGTAAGCCTTGTCGAGTATTCTCCGCTCGGAAGAAGGAAAACCCAATGAAAAGGGCAGCCAAGATACACATAGCGAATTTGGGATAAATATAGGTCGGAGTTCGCCAGTGTTGTTGAAACACACGCTTCTGTACCTCAAGGTATTGAAGAAGAAATGAGGCAGCGAATTCCCGGTAGATAGATTTGTCGTTAAGATCCGCTACGGGTGCCAACTGCAAACGCTCAGCCTTCATGGTGTGAAGCTCGCGCTGCATCTCGTAGTACTCGTGCGACTGTTTCCACACAAGAGGCCAATCAATATCCGTGTGGGAACCGGGGGCTGCGCCTATAACTTCGAGCATCCATTCCGCAGGATTCGCCTCTGGAGGGCATGGATGTGCGCCGTTTGTCTCAAAATAGGACGTAAGTGTTTTGGAAGATCGTCCAATGGGTCCAAAGTAAACTGTCTTCCCCCCCCTAGCAAGGAACAGGAGACGATCAAAACGTTGAAATAATATCGCGGAAGGTTGGTGAATAGTGCATAGAATGGCTTGTCCATTCCTGGTCAGCTTTTCCAGTAAGTTGAGGATAGACCATGATGTCTGAGAGTCTAAACCCGAAGTTGGTTCGTCAAGGAACAGCAGTAACTGGGGCTTTGCGGCAAGCTCTACTCCAATTGTTAACCTAGGGCGGATGTTAGTCTAGTCTAAACACTTTTGAAAAGAGATGATATGGCGGCACAGTAGTGTGTGTAACGCCTAGAATATAAAGAGGCAAAGATCCTGCTGAACGTAAAGGCTGTCTGGTCTTTACGCACCTTTTCCGTTGCTCAACATTTAGCCCCTCTCCCAGAACGCCAACAACTGCGTCAGCGTACTCTTCCATATCGAGAAGTTCAATAATTTCATCAACGTACGCAACCTTCTCCTTGTAAGGAACAGTAGCAGGTTGCCTAAGCACGGCGCTGAATTTCAAGGCCTCGCGGACTGTCGACGTTTCTAGGTGGAGGTCCTGCTGCTGGACGTAACCCGTTTTACGCTGAAAGGAGCTGTCACGTTGGCGGCCGTCCTAGTAATAAGTCAGCCTCGCTCCGGCAAAGAGAACTCAATTACTCGTTTTCGAGCAGCCAAATTGGAGTCCGTGAGGACTGTGGATACTTACCACTAACATCTCCCCACATATAACGCCCATGGTGACTCTGGTTGCCAGCACATCTAGAAGCGTGGTTTTACCGGCACCGCTAACGCCCATAAGTGCAGTTAGTGTCCCTGGCTTCACCCACCCATCGACGTTGTCTAGAATTCGACGCGGTTGACCCTTGATCTTAATATCATAGCACACGTTTCTCCACTGGAATATTGCGGTCTGTCTTTGGATTATATCGGAGGTGTCCTTTCCGCTTTTTTCAACTTTCGTGTTATCGCCTGTACTGGGCGCTTCGACGTCTTCCTTGTAACCTTGGAGCGAGGCTGGCATGACACCCCTTCGAAAGACGAGGATCTCACCCTTCGACTTTTTCGCCTGGATATACTCGGTAGTCAAGATATGGGCCGTCATAAATCCAATCAAGAATGTCCACAGAATACCATAATTCCGCCACCGATGCGCTGCCGAGTAGTCGAATGCCACGCGCAGGTAGGTGTCGCCGTCGACGAATGTCTGACCAGGTACTGCTCCGACAGCGGAACAGACTTGATTGGAAAGGTCTGCGCCCGAGTAATTGGGGACGAGCAGCGAGGCAACGCACCTATAGGTACGGCCTGAAAATTCGTTAATCATTAGCGCCTCGAATCCATATGCGACAGGATTGAGATAGTTGATCCACCTAGCCCAGCCAAGCATATAATCAGTCGGAATCGCAAATCCAGTATAGATGATCAGCGCCAGAATAGCTAAACTTGCGGGAGTCATTGCCTGCTCTAAGGTCCTAGATACCGAAGCAATACCGCGGAACAGCATACTCATTGTCAACGTCATTGTGAAGGATATGAGGAGATAAAAGAACCATGGGCCAGCTTCTCGTCGTAGATTTGTCATAAAGTATAAGGGTATGTTAAAGGTAATGGCGTTGAGGATCTTGTAAGGCATATCAGATAACATCGACGCGATCGCCTCAGCCGAAGGGTGATATAATGCATAGCGACTATGCTTCTCGACAATCGGACGCTGGCTATATCTCGAGAGGATTTCTAGAGCTGATCCAAATGCTCCCATTAGAATAGCAAAGAAAATGAGTGCTCCACGAGAGAAGAAGGACGCGGCCGTTTCGTCAAGGTCGTAAAAGACTGAAGAAATAATAAGCGACATGACAAAGTTGCCAATAAGTTGAGTTAGGGTTATGCTTGGATCAGCTATTAGTTGCACAACTGCCCGCCACAAACAGAGGCGAACTTGTTGCACATATGAGAGTGTGTATGGTGACCCTGGCCTTGCGTTCTTGGCCTGCTGCATCTTCATTGATTCTTGGAATGCCTGTAGGTTTTCGCCACCAATGGGGTACTCTCTCCCAAACTCGTCGATGTCGGCCAAGAGGCTTTTTCTTTGCTGACTATCCTTCCATCTGAGAGCAAAGTCTTCACTTGTTCTCGGAACCCTGCCTTCAAAGCCTGGCCGGATCACTCGTTCTTTCGGGCTCGTCATTGAGGTAAGGAAGTCAGCGACAGTCTGACAATCCGGGCACTCGAAGCCCATCTCAACGAAGTATCCCTTGGCTTTATTCGTTGGGCCGAAGAAAATCTGACGTCCCTATGATACTGTCAATCAACTGACCAACGACGAATTCAAGGTGTAAAAGAACACGACCCCTTAAGGGGACCTTGCCAATTCCCTTGTCATTTGATCAAACAGCGAATGGAACTTACCTCGTACAAGAGAATGACCTTATCAAAAATCTCGTAGGCTGACTGGGGCGCTTGATAAATGGCTACTGCCACCGTCACGTCCTTTACTTCTGTCTGGATTCTCAGGTTCTTGCAGAACTGCACAGCATTGGCACTATCTAAACCTCTGGTGGAGTTGTCCCACATCTGAAGAGGAGCGCCAATTAGAGCTGCTTCGGCGATGCTCACACGTTTGCGCTCTCCGCCGGAAACTCCGCGTATGTATTCGTTGCCTACTCGAGTGTTGATCGTATGCTTGATGCCGAATGTAGCCATTATAACATCCCGCAAGTGTACGGCGTACTGCTCTCGTGTGGCCCCACCGGGACTATTAAATATCAGCCCTTCTAACCTCCTAGATAAAGGGACGAATATCATGCCGGTAGCAGGATACACCTAGCCGTCGATAGCAACCAAGTCGTAGTTTAGTTTACTCAAACGTAGTGTTTCCAGTCTTGTAGACGGGGAGTTTAGGGGAACACTTACATAAATCTTGGAGTCCTAGCACGGGCGGCGAAGTAGAGAGTATTCCCTACGGTGAGGTGGGGAAAGTGCACGTCCTGCTCGGCAGTATAGATGGCCTCACCACGAAAGTTTGTCTTAAGCTGCTCAAAGCTAATGCCAGAGTAGTTCAGATATGAGTCTGTGTCAATAGTGAAGCCATGCGTCTCTCCAGCGAGTGTTTTCAGGAACGTTGAACAGCCTGCTCCCGGAGGACCAAGGACGACTAACATCTCCCCTGGGTACACAACGCCGTCTAGGTCTCGAAGGATATGGACGCGGCGCTTGCTCACGCCCATCAAGCTCTGAAGTGAGCCCCATGCCTGCCAAAACACGTTGCCGACGGTCTTCTGAAAATCTGCGCCGGAGCTGTAACCATATGCTTTTAAACTTCTGAACGCCACACCCGCCTTTCGGCCTTTATAACTTTGACCATCTGTTTCTGCCAATTTCAGCATGGCTTTGGTCCATGCATAAGGGCTGAAGTTGTCCGAATAAGGATCGAGTACTGATCCCGGTTCGCTCTCGAAGGGATTTCCATTGACCTCCGAGTATGTTGAATGTTGGGTCCATGTTCGTGCTAGTTCGCGGACCCTCGAGTCATCGACATCTTCACTCGAAGACCGTTGAATTCGATCGACTTGATCTAGTTTGGTGCTGTTCCCGTCCTTGTCAGACTCATATTTATCTGACTTTTCCGGTGAATAAGAGGTCGAGGCGGAAGATTGCTGATGAGTATTGTATTCCTGATGAGTATTGTATTCCTGATGAGTATTGTATTCCTGATGAGTATTGTACATATTGTCAGATTGTTGGCCTTTTGCCGACATGGTGGGGTAGCGCAAGAACGCACTGCAAGGCCTGAGCCTTATGTCGCGGGAATCACAGAGTACGGGAAATAAATAATCAAGAGAAGCAATGAGAATTAAAAGGAAGGAGCGTATTTCTTGAAAAATCAAAGTGGAAGGACAAGGGCACACGTGGTTTTATATCAAGCCAACCTAAAAATCACGTCGGAGTGTCTTTGTGCATTCAAAGTGGCACACGCTTAAAACAATCGACGAATTTTCGGGATAACTTCGTTTGAGCAACAAAGCATAGAGGTTTGCCGAGAGCTTCCATGGATATCTAATGAGTTGGAACCCTAGGTTTCGGATCGCAATCTCGGACGGATAAGAATAGGTTTATACATGTAGCGAAGTAGTTGGATCATTGATGTATGTGTACGATATAACCTGTGCATAACTCGGCTAGCTAGCCGCTGATCCAGAGCTATTAATGTGCAAAGACGTTGTCGAGATTGGATTTATGTCCATGTCGCCACGAGGACTTCTTGTCAACTTGGCTGATATACTAGTGTACTCAGGCAGTGGAGAGAAACGTGATGGATCCAGTATATAACGGCCTTGCCTACTGGTGCGACGCCAAGACTCGCACAACTATCTTAGCGCAAATTTATGCACGGAAGGCTTCAACTTCTGACAGGGGTTCATTTATGCAGAGAATGTCCGAGACCACACGATTTCCCAACATCGAACCGCCATTCCTCTATATACCAATTGTCGAACTAGGAAAAGACAGTCCGTGTTACTGCAGTTCAAAGCTTATGTTTAAAAATGCACTTACAACCTAGCCCCATAGTTTTTCATAGCCTGCCAAACATCATGCGGCAAAGGGAGGATGAGTCCATCGTGGCACAAAGGAAGCACGAATATATCATACGCTGAGTCAGTGTGTCGTTGGTAATAACTTTCTGAATGTGGCACTGACAGCGCATAGTATTTTGAGCTCAAATACTTTCGACTTCTATGTCGGGCCTGATCAGAGAAGATTTAGCATCCACTCATTACTTGCAATCCATGCGTCCCCTGTATTCGACTCTCTCATCAATGGTGACTGGATAGAGAAGTGTAATAAGTATGCAATCTTGGACGATGTAGATGAGGCTACTTTTGTACGCTTCTGCCAGTATGCATACACCGGTGATTACACCGTACCTGCCCTCAAAGAAGCTCATAGTCGCACCTCATTGTCTCATACAGATACGGCGAAGGACCATCAAGGCACCTATACGTACGCCGAGAAAGTACATTTATCCGGTGGTATGCCAGACATTTACCCCAAACAAACGCCATCGCTGAATATTAATAGCACCGCGTATTAACGACAGCTACCCTCCACTGCCTCCGAAACCACCGCCACAACCCTTTCTCCGTTTGCTGAAACTACGATGTAGAAAGGCATTCGGAACAGAACACAACCCAACGGGCAAGGACCAAGCTCCAGTTCGTCTTCAGTCCAAAAGAGCACTTCCTGGGTCCAAGGTAATGGTTGTTCGGAAAGAATTTCGCGCAGCATCTCGCCTAGCTCAAGGACCACCTTTCGAACCCGTTCAGAACACCCAGCCTGATCAGGCCTTCGACGAGATTCTACTTTGTCACGCACGCCTCTATGTGTTCGCAGATCGTTTCGACAACCCTGAGCTCCTCGATATCACTCTATACAAGCTGAGACGTACATTGGCAGCCTTCAAGCTGTTCGACGAGAGAGTTCCGGATCTCTTTGCGCTAATAAGGTATTCTTACCTGAACACGAGAGAGGGCGACAGACTTCGTGCCCTGCTGATCGAGTTTGCAGTCTGTATGGTCCCTGAGCTTATCGATCATGCTGGTTGGCATTCTTTTACTATAGAAGAAGCTTCATTCAGGGATGAACTCCTCAACAAGTTAAGAGAGGTCGTAGGAGTTGCACGCGAGTGTGTATGGTAGTGACCATGCGAGTTCTCATCTCAATCGACAACAAGAAACTGTGTCGTAGTAAGAGTAGTTCAGTCATGTCTTCTAGCAATGGCTCACAACCAGAGCCAGGGCATTAATGAAATACAATGATAATGACTTCCAAAAATTCAGAATTTCCTTAGGCAGAACAAGTCAATTTGCGATCTCTAATAACATTCAATAACGTAGCCATAGTCTCTGCAGAAAGGAAAAAAAAGAGCACCGAGGCGCAGCGATACTTCATATGAGTGCGGGATTTCGAGGACCTCGACCAACGGGAGATAAGCGCGGATGGCTCTACTAGATTAGGACAGCTCGTCGATCTGGGACTTCACGGTGGGCAGAATAGATAGATCCGCGCAAATCATCGATCTTACTTGAAGTCATGCAGCTGCAAACGGAGACAGTTACCCTCGCGGACCAGCTGTCCCAATGCGAGCACGACTCAATCTGAATGCGGAGCACATCAGCAGGCGGAAGAGAGAATCAAACAACTCGAGAACGAAATAGCTTTCACTCGGATAGAGACGGACAATCTGCGGCAAGAGAAAACGCTCTTCTCCATCAATGGGCCACTCGTGAAGAAAAAGAAGAAAAAGGACCGGTGGGACAGAGAGGTAAAGAAGCCGTTGTCGGCGCTTTACAAGTTAGAATCGGAACTTTAACCCCTTGTAACACAAGCCCAAGTTTCAGTTCTTGAGTTTGAATGGTCGCTTGAACTGGAAGTTTGGCGTTGGGAAGGCGATGCGGGAAGCCTAACCCTTCCGACCGGGGCATCATTCAGAGCGGCCGCCCGCTCGCTCGGCACACAGTTATCATGTGGTGGTGCACTCGATCAGTCCCATATTCATATGAAAGATACGCCAACAACTCTTCGTTGAACTCACATTCCTGATAGATTGGGTCGAGGCAGTTCCGTCTTTCACCGTTTGTTGGAAGCCGAATAGAAAGGACTTGCATGTTTTGAATGTACCTTCAGACATTGCCTGCAACTTTAAGCATTCCCAAGTCCTTCATCACCAAAGCTTCATGACCTTTGAGTCTTCGCTCACAAAAGCTCATGTCTTTACGCTGGCTTGCGTGGCTGTGAGCAGTAATCGATCTTCCACCGGCTTAAAGGCTCCCAAGTTCTTAACCTGCATCACATCTTCTATCATGCTTACATCTAAGACTATTTCGTAGAGCTGATACAACAGGGTCACGGTGAGCGCTAGAGTAAGCTCCGCCAGATGTCTTCCGACGCAATTCCGCGGACCCGAGATACATGGTCGGCTCATCACTCTCATCTAAAATGTCGCTTTTTCGTATTGGGATGGATCAAAAACATCGGTCGAGGGAATACGCTCGGATCCCGCGCTATGGCATAGGGATTACTCCCTACCACAACACCGGCAGGTACATATTTTCCACCGATCATCTTGCCAGGAGATACGCGCGCTGCACCGGCTGTTAATTTGCCCCATAGACGCAAGGACTCATCCGTCCCGTTTCGCAAATAAGGCTGAAAAGAGTTAGTGCCACGCAAGGATGGAGCTATTCAGAGGATGTTATGCTCTTACTACCTTTAACCATTCAGCATAAGTTCGACAGGCGTTAGGGTGGGAAAAGGCCTGCCTTATCTCTTCCGCGAGCCGTTCTCGGATCTTTGCACGCGTCCTACCTACTATAGAAGCCATATTAGAGCAGTAGTAGTAGTCTCACTATCGGCTGACAAAAAGAGAATAGTATGTTCCTCGAGTTCTATTTATGATAAGGTATTGCCGATTTCTGAATCCATAGAATTAACAAGTCGGTGCAATAATAGGTAACTGAGATCCTTTTCCTTAACCCTGGATAGACGTTGAAGGTAATCATTTATCATTAGGTGGCTGAAAGCTCTAAGACGGCGAACTCCTTTCAGTCATCTTGAATGAAACTAAGCTGCAAATACTTCATTTCAGGAACAAACGATGTTAGAGGCATTGCCGCAATAAAAGAATCTAAATCTTACTCCACTTAGTAGTTGTCGCCTCTTAGTGTATCTAGAGACTGTCCGAAGCATAGATAGCTAACTATATTAAGATAAAGATGGTTGCTTTATAATTAGATATTAATATTCAATCCTCCTTCCCATTAGAAAATAAGTTAATAAACTCATTAATTCTACTTATAAAGAGCTCTTCCCGCTCTAGGAGGCTCTTAGCGCTAAACCCGTTAGGTATCAGTTGTCTAAAATGACTATATAGACCTTTATTGATAATATTAAAGATATTTCGAGCCCTAGTCACGGCAAATAGCTTATACATAGCTAGGTCTTTGAGGCAAGGCTGAGAGCTCTACCTATTAATCTCGGTAATTAACGCAGAATCAGAGAAGACTAATTCCTTGGTGGAAATACGACATGAACTTCCATTTCGCTGCAGCAGCTCGTGTTGCATCATCATACACTTCTTTCACGCGACCCCTCGGTATGCGCACAATTAGGAGAATTTGGTCAGGAATGGCCCGGGATAGCTAGAAAGAGGGTGGAAGTATATTCGCCTAACGATAATCCCAAGAATTGTAAGAGGCTGCCTAGAATGAGGATTAGAAGAATCTAGGCAGCCGCCTTCGGTATGCTGAGGATGGAAGCCATGATATTGTAGGCTGCTATGCATCAAGACAGAACACATTCCTTAAAGGCGAAATTGAAAGTTACCTGGCTGTACTAATTAGTCTCGCCTAGCGGACGCGTTTTCAGTGCATTTCATAACCCAATAGACCTATACGCTAAGTTATCGAACCGTCTAGAGGTAGATAGTACCGACCACTTTTATATGCTTGTCGGCTTTTGTTATACTTATAGTACTATATTCCGATATAACTTGTTGTCTTGCACTTTGGCCAAGTTTTGCTAGTTGCCGACTTCGCCCCCTTCCGCGTCGTGCCTCCAACTGCCCAAAGTCTGGACTCGACTCCAGGCAGAGTTAGAGCTCCTTGTGAGCCCTTCGGATGAGCCGGTCAGAGACGCCGGCTGCAATGTTATACGTGTGCGTCCATGGAAAAGTGACGATTTTCCCCGGACCACAGCATGGATTTCTGCTAATCCGGGCAATCGATTGGATATGGGCAGTGCCGACGTCTCATAGTAGACTCTATCCGATGCGCAATGGAACCTTGATTACCAAAGGGAGATAAGTACTTTAGTTATCGCCTAGGCGATATGCAAGCTGCCCTCAGTAATATTAGAACTACCGGCTCCATGCGTCGGCTGAGGAAAAGATGAATAAGTGGCCGAAACGGCGAATGGATACAATTCGAGCTCTAGCTGAAATACTGGAATGGGTCCTACCTTTAGATGGTCTCTAAACTCTTCTGATTAGAATAAATTCAACTTCAGGCTCGGCGGGGTGGAGGACTGATGATCATATTTCCACGGCTTTCAAGCAGACCCTCGGCCCTTTACTTCTGCGTACGAATTCGAAGTCGAAACCATGTTGTACATTGTAGTCTTGTCAATTTCTGGAGAGACGCCCTGTCAATCAGGAACGACCACATAACTAATAACATGTAAGACGTAGTCTTAAGGCTACTCTCATCCCTAAACTAGTGACACCAACTATTCTAGTTCGCTAGATCTCGAAGACTAACTTGAAGAGACTATGCTAGCTAGATTAACCTGCGAAGAGATAGCATATCTAATAATTATAGAATTTGGCGAGCGAAGGAAATCTATTAAATACCGGTCTATCCTATTTGGTGTCCGTCCTTCCAACTTATGCCTAGAGAATCGGTCAAGGCTCACAGAACACCATCCATCCTTACCTAACTACGCGACCGGTAGTGATTAGCGATGCCAAGCGATTGTAAAGACCGTGGTCTACTATATCGCTTCGATGCATCCGAACTAGCTCCGAGAGCTATTCAAACGCTATCCGAAGCGGACCCGAGAGCGCCCAGGCGCTAGTCTAGTACGTACTTAGGATACTATATAGTCTGACGAGTGCCTTGGACCGTCTTAGGAATGACCATGCCCCCTTCCCGTCACACCGGGACTCTCGCCAGTTCGCTGCATCAAACTCAGAATAATGTTAGACCGAAGCAACCTAGAATCGCAAACTAATTGGTACTCGAAAGTATCAATGCATTAATCCTCGCTATATCCCGAAAATAATCTTCAACCTAGAAGCCGAAAGGTAAGCGACATAACGAAGGTTCTTTTGTCACAATTTAGGGTACTCCAAGGGACTTTACGGCGATTGAAACTGCGTGCTGAAATATCCCTCCTTTCCATTCTTTTATCCCCATGGATTCCAGGTCAACCGCCTGACATAAAATCTGGAAAATCTATAGAAGCCATCGTACATCGAAATAGACGGCTCTAGGGAACTAAACAGCGTCCCCCGGCTGTGTTCTTTGGCGTGCTCGCTTGCTGCTCCCCTGCAACTTCTTCGCCCTCGCCTGACGCTCTCCCGTGCTCCATCACGTGCCGGATTAAAGCGGCCCATGCTCCCTTTCCCCAACGAATGTGGTAATCGGTGCAGGCCAGTTCGGGGCACATATAATATATATATATATAACCCCCGAACTGTCGTCCTTCACTACTCTTACGCCAATCAGTCTCCCACCGCTTTAATCTCGCGCTAACGACTATTTTGTCGACTCGCTCCCTCGTCCGCTCTCATCTGCTCCCTTCTGCTCCCTCACAGCTCTAGCCCGCTCCGACCGTACTCCCTCACGTGCCAGTGAGGTTCCCGTTCGGGCTCCAGTCTCACAGGCGCTAACGTTGCGCACATCTAGCCTTGTAGTAACTTTACCCGATCACATCTATGATGGCCCGTTTCGGCCCTGGTGAAAGGTGGGACCCCTAAGAGGATGCCCTACTACGTCTGCCGGACGGGGTCAACTGATCCCTCTATTCCTATAGGTTGCTCACTCCCATTTACTGACGCTGGGTCAGACGGTTGGGTGGTGAATGCAACTTGAAAAGGTCAAGTTTTCCGTGCCATCCAAACTCATTGCAACCCATCGTTGTCTCATGCCTCACCTCACCCTTCTCGATATTTCTCATTCATACCCGAGATCCAAACATGGCGTCAGGCTAGAGTCGCCAGGCTAGAGTCGAATCACCTTCATGATGCGGCGGTGGAATTGCCGTTTGCGCTGCCAATAAACACCACCTCGACAGCGGCGAATCTTTCTCACTTTATCAGCTAGCGTCGATACAAGCTGAGTGGCAAGAGACTTACGCAGCCGTGATGCCAAAATCTCGGACATGTGTGCGTTTGTAACCACTCTGAGTACGACACGGATCAGCGTGGTCAAGCTCATGGTGATCCAGATGCGAGACATGGTTCTTTGCACGTTGTACAGCCACAGGATTGTCAAAGAAGGCGCAAGAGCAGCCACGACGGATGCTGCCAGGCCAAGTACCCATGCCGTGCCCTCTTGATCTTGTCCGTGAGTTCATCTTGAAAGAATATTTTTAGTCCTGCATCTCTCTCAATGACCTAGAGACGTCAGCATCGTTGATCATGTAGGTTAGAAGACCCCTTACTAGATGTCCAATCCGAAGTCGGTAGCCAGTCACCTTCCAGTACATGCTCGCCAACCAGGGAGATAACCAGCTCCAAATATCAGAACTTCCTCGTAACTCCGGGCTCTTGAGAGCGACGTATGCTAGATGGGACGATGGCGTCTCACGCAGGATGGGGGGACGCTCACTCTCATTCAAGATTCTCAATGCGTCCCAATCGTTGCGGCTGCGAGAACTCATGTGCGTTACTTTTGCCGCCTGGGTGAGCAATTGGTCTGGATTCAATCAGCTCGGGTAGATAAAGCCAGAGGAGGGAATACGTCCAGTACTCCACCAGGAGATTACGGCTTTCCTTGAGAGCTTGATTCTTTTCAGCAGGGCTGTTTTTACGTTCGATTATGCACTTCTTTCCTTCTAACTCTTTCTGGAGTTGCATGAGGTTAAGCATGGCCAAAGATCCGAATCGCGTAAACATGGCGAATCTAGGATAGCTTGCCATAGCTTTCGCAAGTGGATTGTAATGGTGGGCGTCCGGTGGCTCCGTAGGAGCCGATGCCGCGGTAGCCATGAGCTTGCCTGCTTGAAGGACTTTGCTTTCAACTGGGGCAATATGAGCTCCATAGAGAGTTGAGTTGAGAGTATTGAAGGTCAAGAGGGCGTCCTGGGGCTGGCAAATTGCTTTTGAAGGAGGGGTAGCAGCCTCTTGTCCGACAAAGACTTGGTCCGCCAATCCTCTAAGTCACTGTTAATACGATACACATGCCATGACAGGAACCTTCCTCAGAGGTCATGGGGAGAGATTCAGCCTGAAGACGACGCCCCGAGCGAGTGCGCCATCTTAGGGTTTCCCGGGATGGGAGGACCACATGAGGGCCCATGGCATCATCCGAAAACCTCAGGCTGTGGCTGAGACTGGGGCCGGTACCGATGCTCAGGGCTGGGCCACGTCGAAATACGAGTTATGAGAGAGGTGCCAACAAGTCACTCGGTCGCTGAGATCTTATTTACTAAAATAGGTCATGCACACACTCATACAAGGAAAATGTCTCCCAAATCATGCGACTCCAGGAGCTCCCCATACATGACGCGGTCAACGTAGCTCTCACTCACAAGAGTAAGTCCATTTGGGGAAGAGGCCGTGGCATTGTGGCTCTTTCGCAGAATATATGGCACTTTGCCTCCGGGCGAGTATTGCAAGGAGATCTCCTTCTCGAGTGTCTATTAACCCGACGCCAGGCATTCCTTTGTCACTGACGAAGAAATGTCTATACAAGTTGACGCTAAAGAGGAATTGGCGGAGGGGAAAAGTCGATTCTGTCATTTCAAATAAAGCCTCATACACCTTGCTTTGAGTCCACATCGAGTCGTTGAGAGTTACTGTGCGGGAGACGAACTCTACGACTCCTGCGTGTAAGTTTTTCCAGCCTTTGAATAACCTGTCCTGGTCTGTGGAGCCGTCAAAATATGAGCCAAACCACCCTCACATTCCCAAAGAGGAAGCCCACTGAGGTTTAATTTGGGAGAGAGGGTAGTTATCCAGGATCAGGCCCATATCTATCTTCCAGGCGTTCACCAGACGCGTTGGAATTTCTCGTCGTGATCGGGAATCCGTTGCACCGCAAACCGGTGGTCAAAACGCGGTGGTCAAAACGCGGTGGTCAAAACGCGGTGGTCAAAACGCGGTGGCCAATCTGGAACCCATGCTGGCAGCCCTGTGACTGAATTATAAATATGTGCTAACCTAGTTGAGAATCACTAGGAGCCTGCCGTGCTTATGATCCGCCGGTAAAATCGGTGGATACGTCGACGAGGGTCCATTTATAACTGGCTTCCAGGAAAATCTGCTCCGAACAATGGCTGTCATAATTCCCAGCAGTCCGTAGATGCGATCTCTAGGATCTGAGCACCGCGATTGTCGGCTTATTTGCAAGAGCTGGGTCAGCCGCTTGGCTTTCTCCTCGACGCTTTTCAGTGGTGGCCAAAGATAGTAGACCGGAAGCATCGTTTTATCAGGTTGAGTCTGTCGAGGTTTGCGACCTCGCCCACTCAGCACGCTGGGCTTTCCCACCCAGGTCCTTGACATCCTCCATTGTGAAGCGTTTCAATCCAGAGATCAAGCCCACACTGCGGGCTAGGGTGATCTCGATTTCCTGAATGATTCATGTCCGACCCCAGAATTCCAGTTCACCAAATGTGCTAGAGTTGTCGCAGTAGTTTTTAGCTTCAGGGCCGCCGTAAGCCCGATCCTCCACGTCCAGCAACGCTCCACCCCTGATTACTGAAATTAGGGCCTCAGTGGCAGGGCGAAAGTGGGCCCAGATAGACCTGAACATTGACCGCTCGATGGAAAATGTGTTGCGTTAGCTACACCTGTTGAGCCCGTTTCATTGAGATCGTATAGATTGGTGCAATCTGCTCGAGACATGGGTAGGCCCGAGTCATCCCACTAGTCTTATGGGTGGTGGGCTCTCGGGAAGGCCCGTGATTTCGTATCCGCTTTAACTATTCTTGTGGAGAAAACGTGATCTGTGCCGAATAAGGGCTTTCTCTCTCATCAACGTCTCTTCTCGTATCTAAGACAGAACGCCGCCTACCGTTCATGCTCCTGCCGCAATACTATTGCCTTCGCGCCTCCACACCACTCACCGTTCTTTCAGCGGACACGCCACCAACCAACTATCTGCGCATCTTTCAATTCATCCTTCTCATCATATCCTCATTCTCCAACGCAGCTCAAATCTTCGTCGCCTTTCAGAATCATTCCTTACTTGTTTGACAAAGCTCTCCCCCACATGACAGCGCCTCATTACAGCGATTGCAGCCACGACTTTGCCTTTTTTGCGCTGATGAGGTCTATGCTACAGCTGGACTCTTTTCTTCGCTTGGCGGGAATCATTGGAAGAGTTCCGGGACTTTGTTCTGCGTGCAGATCTCGTCCCTCCTCCTCGCTGGACGAGGAGTCGGACGAGATAAAAGAGTTGGAGTCTGTCGAATCTTTATCTTCGCTCATAGGCACGTCGACTCCCACGTCACGAAACGCCTTTGCGAGCTTTTTCTCCATGTCTGCGCGTCCTCCATTCCGTATCTCTTCAAGGCCTTGGTTGACTTTTTGGATGAACTCGTCATTGATCGGGACTGTCCATCTGAACTCATCCGAGTCTGGCCCACGGGTGAGCTGGAAGCTAGGTTGATTATAAATTCGATCAGGGTCCACATCATCCACAAGGGGCTCGGGAGTTATTTTGCCATCTTTAGCTCTTTCTTGTGCTCGCCTCTTTGAAGACGAGGCGTTGTCGGCATCCTTGGCCGAAAGGCTTTTATACCCAGCCCTGCGGTACGCCTTTGGTAGCTGGAAGCGCGGCTTGCTGCCAAACCATTTACCGCTGGCATAGGCTTCCTGGACGTACTGAAATCCGGCGTTCGTGGGATTCATGCCAACCCAATTGGTCACAAGCGGGTTGAGATATTTCAAATCTTTGATCGCCAGAACAGGAAGCATAGTGGCGTCGCCCAGGGGTGACTCGGTAACTCCGAGAATGGGATCGCTGACAGAGACCGCCCCGGTCTTGAGGGTCTTCAAGGACTCAACGAGCTTGAGCATATCTTTTGTTGCGGCCCTGGATTCCGTTTCTTGACGTTGAAATGAACGAAGCAGCGGGCCTGGAGATTTGTCCGGATTTAAAAGATGGCGAAGCTTTGTTTCGGGATGAAACATGCGACCAAGGTACGTATCTGTGCTGAAAATGGCACTGATCGGGGTGTCTAGGTCATCAATCGGGTCGTTGCGCGATCTGCCCGGACGAAACACACCCTCGGTCAGTAAGTTTGCCAGCGCATCGCGGTCGTCCATTTCGTAGCCGTCATCTCGGCCGTCATCCTTCATCTGAAGGCCGCGAAGTTTCTCTCCTACAGCATCAAAGCTGGTTTGTAACTCATCTCTCCAAGTTCCTGTGCCACTGGGGCCTAGAGGTACATCTCCTCGAAGCGAGTCACAGAAATCTTTCCCGTACTGGGTGACGCCAAGCCGGTCACACATGACATCCCAGTAGCAATCGTTCAGGTACTTCCCGATGCGCTGCGATCGATCGTCTGTGGACCCACCCTGAGGAAACTCGTCGATTATAGTCCCCCAAAACTCTGCTAGAGACGTGCTGTCATCGACGGATTTAAAATCCATGGTTCCCAGATGGTCTTTCCATTTATCCGTTAGCTTACCGTCCACATAGGGTCGTTGAAGGATCCACGTGCTCCACCTCGTTAGGACTTCTCTAGACTCCGCGTGCGCCACGGCAAACCATTCTTGATGATTCTTGCAGCATCTTGGGCAAGACTGAATTTTCCGACTAGACTGGAGCTCCGCGTGAATGATCGATTCCAGTCTCTTCGCATGCGGCACCAGGGGAGTGTGGCTGACCACTTCCGGTCGCGCCAGACATCGAGCAAGTTCGTGTGCTCGATGCTCCGGGTGGAACTTTGAAAAGCCAATCTTCAACAAGGCCATGGTGCTGGGACCCATCTGGGACCGTAGGACGTAGACGTAGCCCATTCCATGCTCCTGCTGTTCGCTCGGGCTCAGGGGAGTATTCAATATTCGGGCAAGGTCTTTGCTGATGCTCCTGTTGGTGAGACTGCCAGTACTGAAGGGCCGTATACCAAGATCTCGCTGCTCCGAATGATAGTCGCGGGCGTGGTCTGATTCGCATAGCTCCGATAACTGGATGGTCAAACTGCGAATCCAGAATCTGAATTCCTTGGCATTATCGAATTGCTTGTTTGCCTGCGGTGTGCAGAGTCGTTTGGCTTGTTCAACCTTCTCGGCACCACTGATAATGAAACGGACCGTGATATGATCCGATGGTAGCAATCCACGCATAAGGTTCTTGGTGTTGTGCCCTGGGTGAAGGTCGCTCAGCTGTTGGCAACTACATGGTATTTTCGAGTGTGTTAACTCCGGTAGTTTGTATCGAAATGACGGGCTGAAGGTCGATTTCTGAAAGAAAACCCGTAATGTGACTATGGTGAGCCAACCCCTGTCCTTGGTTGTCTGAGATTCCTGCGACATCACGTGAGGTCGGGGGCTGCTGGGGTTTCAACAACTTTGCGAGAGAGGTGAAATGAAGTGGGAAGACAAGGATTCGTAAAGGTCGGTCAGGGCAGTGGTTTAGTATTCGTAGCATTTACTGCGCCCTTATAGAGCTAAGGAGGCGGTGCAGCAGTCGGAAAGCATTCTTTGCGCCGGCCACAGGAGTCCTCGACAGGGGCGATTCGGTCGGGGAATACGTTGTTCGATCGCGCGAGTTCAGAGGCAGGAACTCTGTTCATAGCAGAGGGCATTGAGAGATCACGGAGGTGCTTAAATGCCGACATTGCGCGGATAGTGAGGTCAAGGATGTCATCTGGAGCGTCCACGCTATCCGTAGACACTGTGCTTGCCAGAATGATTTGGCCCCCACACTATCTGCACGAACTCCACTCTAGGCAGCAGATTGGCCGAAAGCAGGCCTAGCGCGAAATGCGCCAATAGGCAACCACGGAGAGGACGGCGCCTGGGTACCAAAAGGCCCGCTAGTGGTGACCAGGTACTTAACGGGTCCCATCCGCTGCCTGTTTCGGGCTGTGCTCGTGGCTAGGCGGGATGTGCTCTGCCTGGGATCCGAGCGGAACACGGGAGTGGCCTTTCACGAGGGCGGTTTTGACCATAGTATGTAGGGCTAATCTGCTCCCGGCACTCGAAATCCATATCGAGTGGGGTTTGGTCGAGGGGGAGGGGAGGGCCATCGGTTGGCATCATTGCTTGCCCATTCTAGCGGCCCATGATTAGCTGTTCTTCCGGTTGCCAGGCTTCGATCGCCATCTTCCGCTAGCGGAGTTTCAGCCAGAGAGCCGGTCTGAGCCGCGCCGCTGCAGCCTGAATTGAAGGCTCAGGCTAGAGCGCATTATTCTCTCGCGGCTCGCCGAGGAGCGGTCAGGGAGCGACATGGGATTATAGTTAGGTTCGTGATTATAGAGGATCCCGTCCAAGGAGCCCAAACAAGCTCATGTGAGCGAATAAGATCTATCGAATGCGCCAAATCAACCCCCCCCCAGAAAATAGAGGCTCAGCCCTCAAGTTGCTGAGGTTTCTGATGCGGAGTCGATCAGGATAGATGCAGACGAAACGAGCCCAACGAGGAGGTTTTCTAAGTCGAACTGATGGAGGGAATATCTCGGTGCAGTAACTCCTAGCAGCGACCTACCGAATAATTACTGTAGTCCTTCCTCTTCGCCTTACTCGGATCGCAGTCTTTGGTGAAAGTAATATCTCCAATTCTATAGCCATTTGTCAATAGTGCAGTGGGTTGCGTTCCACGTAATATCTATGACACACTGGGAAAATTTATTAAGCCATCCCATAGGAATGCCCTCCATTTCACAATGCGTACCACTTAACTTGTCAGATGCTTGCTCTCATTCCATCCGCCCTTGGTGTTGTAATAAGATGGTTGGAAACCCTCTTTCCAATGTCCATGTTCAACTTGTGTAGACTTAAAAAGACTCACACTTGATCTTGTATTAGCCCTTCAAGTCCTTGCTGCCTCCCGCTTGTTCGCATCCAGTATTGGTCGCAGCACCCTCGTCACCGATCTTTTCACACCATAAACGTGATCTACCAGGCTTGCTCAACGCCCTCAATTGGTAGCTTCCTGTCGGGGACGATCAGGCAAGCACATCGTCGACACATGAAAAAAACAATTCACGAACATGAGATGCAAGCGGCCTGAGGCAAATGTAATCCCTTTGATCTCGAGAAGATGCTTCATGCGTGCCTGCCAGGAACTACATCATCTTCATGTCCTGTTCACACTGCAGGCCTGCCGATATTTCCCTGCCTTGAAAAGGGCCAGCTTAAGCCGAGGACCGCCTTCGCTGCGTGGTGGTCTTCTCGTCTCTGGGCCACGCATTGGGCTACCCAGACAGTGGTGCTTCGGCGGCTTGAGCATCAAGTTGCTGATTTCGCCATCCAACGGTTTCCATTCACGGCCTTCATTGGATGTTTCTTGCGAGTCAGGAGGAAACCTTGAATCCGAGCTGAACTGAAGACACCAGAAGGAATTGGCATCAGTGAATTCGTCTGCTAATGAGTCTATGCCGCGTTTTATTGAATCATCGTGCGCACTCGCCGGATCACATGTGTAAAAGTACGTCTTTCGCAAGACTTCGCTGAGGACGCCGACGAGTAGTTAGTCCATCCATCAGCACTGTACATACAGAGGAACAACTGTCTGACCTGCTCCTTGCTAGAGGACGCTACGCCATCAAGGACGTTAAGCAGGCCAGAAATGCTCATAGCGTCAGGCTCCCCAGACACGTCCTTCGGACCTTCTCCCTCCGACGTATCTCTGCTCCTGATTCATTCTTCAGACTCGTTGGTCCCGTCGGGTGTTGTCTTTTTGTGGGTCACGTATGTGTATTCCAGCGGAGTCAATATCCTCGAGGATCATTCACCGGTGTGGTAGTTGTAGTGAAGAGGGCAATCAATTCCTCCTCGCTAGGCAGTAGATAGAGACTCCACATACTCCTGCCTGATAAAGCATAGACCGCCCTGGTGGCCTTTATCTGCATTTACGGATTGATCTTCTGCGGGTTGGAATTTCCATCGATCTCGTTGGTGGCAGCCGGACTTCATTCAATGGAGGGCATGCAAATACGGTGTGGCCCCCACTGCCACGACTGGCTTCCTAGTTACTTTTGGACGCCTTGTAATATGATCGATGCCAGATACGGCAACATAGGCACTAATATGGGGTTCTCCTACGGCCCATCATCACTTATATCAGCCACTCTGGTCTCCATGTCTGTCCCGGAGCCTGCGCGGCTTGCACTTGAAAGTTATGACAATACAACATTTTGCTGAGATACCCTACGAAGAGGTAAAAAGTAAGCAAACTCCTCTCCGCCCACCCTCTCCGCCCACCCTCTCCGCCCACCCTCTCAATGACTCTTGCGATTGCGAGCGTTGTCACCATTAGCACTGTAGTACTCACAATATATATCCAAAATTCCGAGACGATGGTGTAATGCGCTTTACCATGGCTGCCCGTGGTAGGATCATCAAACTCGTCTTTCTACTGGATCAAATTCGAACTAAACACAGTTGCAACGTGTGGCAGGGAGGTACAAAGTGGCGATGAGTGTGAGCGCATGAATTTTTTGAGAACCCTTGGTGCCTTGCCTTGCAATGGTTGCGATCGTCAAGTTTTCCTGCAAGGTGTTGGTGGAGGCGTGCTGGATGAGGGAGAGATTGGACTGCATTGTTTGGTTGATGACGCGGAGGGATGTCGACGTCCGTGCTTCGAGAAGTTTCGAAAGCTGGTGTTTCGTCCAGAGTTAGAACGACAGGGGTTGGAAAACCACAGGCCAAGAATATGACGGCCCACGGAGATATAGACTTACTAACGATGCGGTATTTGTCGACTCGTCCAAGAGGAGAGCGATGTTGCGCTTGTGTATTGCCATTTTGCTCGTGTAGGCGCGGATGTTGTTGCTGAGTTCTCTCTCTTATGTGTCGGTCATCCCAGACGCAAACTCGCAGGTATGACTTGCAAAGTTGCTTGCTAATTGCTGGTTGTCATCTACGACCAGTGACGCTCGCAAAGGTTTGGACCGGGAGAGATGAAGCGTCCGACAGTCTGCAAAGCAGATTTCATAGTCATATCGACGGCCTTTTGGCTCACTGGAAAAGGCAACTTTCTCGTCCTGTCAGAAGCTAGGTCAAAGACGTACTTGCTGTTCTCACAAGGTTGGACCCAGCAGTTCTCTGAGTTGTGTCGAGTGGTGCTGCACGTAGCTTGTTGAACACAGAGATCCTGGAGGCCACCAAGTTGGCACCACACACTCATTTATGCGCTTGTTTTACAATTTTTACGGTCTCGCCATGGCCTTTATCCACTCCTTTGACCAGGAACGCTTGTAAAGCCTCGTCCCGGAGCCTCGACCAATCAGGTGGCAGGGTTTGCGGCGGAATCAACCCTAGAGAATGGAGGGCATTCAGCCTGTTCTACAAACAACGCAGATGCCATGACCTTGCTGACAAATGATGCAGGATCCACCAGATCGAGGAGAGCGTTTTCTATTTTATATGGCATTTATATAGAGAGACAGAAGCCAGATTCCTAGAACAAGAGGACAGAGCATTTCAATTCATTCAAAAATGGGCCCATACAGAGTCCAACACAAGGTATCCGGGTGATTTGGTCCTAGTGAGCGCTCTCGCAGTTCCAGTGCAGGCAAAAGGAGGTCTTGAGCTTCTTGCCATTTACCTTTTCGGCGAAATACCTCTGCCAATGCTTGTGAATTTTCTTGTACCTCAGTATCTTCGCCTGACGCCAAAGCCATCAGAGCTTCCCTCACCTGCAGAAGGAGATTCTCGGCCTGATCCAGTTTGTCAAGGTCGAGGTATATGGCGGCAAGTTGCGACTTGCTCGCCAAGGTGTCTCGGTCACGCTCGCCTTTAATCTTGCCGATGAACGAGGTCAGCTCGATTCTGTGTGAGATGGCTTTCTCCCACTGTCCTGCTGTTCTCAATGCATAGCACAGTGCTACTGACACAATCAATGTAAGGAGGTGTGCCGGCCCGAACACGGCCGTCATATTCACCACGTCCTTGCGATAATGCTCAATGGCACCGTCCAGAACGCCTTCCAACAGGTAATTCTCATCGTGAGCCACGCGGAAGTCCAGCCCATTCTCGATCATGCCTCGATAGACACGATTGTCGAAATGCGGTCCGTCCGAAGATGCTTTGATTTCCGCAAGCGCGTCTTCCAGTACTTTATCTGCCACTCGTGCTCGGCTTGCCAGATTCTCTAGTGCTGCCTCGTCTCTGTCTGTGACGAACCCGATTTTGTAACATAATGCCAGCTCGACGGCGTAAGAAGTAAGAGTACTCTCTGCTCGGTGGGTCCAGTCTGTCGACTCAATAACGTCTTTGAGGCACTTGGTGATGTGTTGGGGGATCTTGTAATCGGCCAGGGGCAATTGTGGCAATGATCTGCCAATCTTAGGATGGTCATCCATCAATAAATCAGCTCTTTGCCAGGGGAGAGTCATTGGATTACCTTAAAAGTAGGTTCATTGATTTCCAGGAGGTGAATTTCCGCTGGCGGGATCGGAACGTCGTGGGTCCTAACGGATTGTTAGCATACTGTTTCAAAATACCTCCAACGGTACAAGCCCTTTTTGGGTGATCAATCCACGAAGAGTCCGACAGTCCACAGTCCTCAGTCCTCTCAGCAGGATCAAACTGGAGACTCTGCTCAAAAAAAGAAGCTAGATTCCTTTGCAATTCCTCGTCCATTCCTTGAGACTCTTTGACATGGTCCAGGGCGACAAGGACCAAGCTTGTCCTGGTTTGACGATGAGCCAAGAAGTCGGACGTATTTCCTCCTCTCCTTCCCCAAGTTTCTGGTCTGTTATAGAATAGCAGCCACAAACATAACTATCCAAGCGAGAAGACATCCATCCGGCGAGCTGTTTCAAAATCCACCGTCATGGCTTGCGCATACTCCGGCGCCGCCCATGCCTCCGTTCCGCGTATGACAATCTTCGCCGTCGGCTTCCGCAAAACGCCTGAATACCCAAAATCCGCGACTTTGACCAGGTATTTACCGCTCTCTCCATCTCGATCAAACACAAGAAACATTCTGGGGTTTGATATCCCCATGCACAATATCTACCTCAAATCAGCACCACGGTCACCTTTGGTCCCAGAATGCTGTCTGCTTACTTGACTCGTGCAACACACCGTGACGGCAGTCAACACATGCGCACACAGATCTAATCTGGCACTTAGGTCCATCTCGCCGCCGGGGCCTCTGTGGACAAACGACAATAGGTCTCCCCATCCTGCCTTCTCAAATACCAACACAGGCCACGGTCGTGCCGTCTCTCTCTTTAGATATGCCACGTAACTCCTTCTATGGCGACGATGTTCTTGCACCCTCGAACGGCGGGCAGCCCGAGCACAGAAACCTCCGTTTGGAGTATCAGCCAGTCCTTCACGCCCTGCTCGCCGCGCAGCAGCAGGAACCTCTTGAACGCGAATGCACTCTGGCAATCGATGGCCATCTGGTGCAGTTGTGCAGTGCCCCCGCGCCGGGCGCCTGCAAGGGCCGAGTGCCAGGCTATCGGGAGGAAATCAATGTCGAGGCGCTGGATCAGTGCTAGAAATGAGAGGCATAGGTGCGATAGTGTTTGGGAACTGGCATGTATGCCGAGGAGTTGGTCTGAGGCTGCTGGTCGTTGCAGCAATGGAAGGGCAAAGGCGCCGGAGATCTCGGAGGGGGATGCGGACATAGCATTATATGAGAGCAGCTGGGACGGCCGATTCACACCTTCTCGTGGTGTCCAGTGTTAGTAATAAGGGCTTATAGGCCTATAGGAAACCAAGATGAATCAACTCGACTACGCAACGCAAGCGACAACAATAAGCGCATCGAGCAACCAATTCCAATCTTATCTACGAACGATTCCGCGCCGAAATGAGCCGACCGATACCTATCTATCTACTCGAGAGGAGGAACCAAAATAGGAGGTAGATCATTCTGGATCTGTTCCCAGTAAGCACGTCATTGGTAGACTGACCGGTCGGTCGTGCCAGACAAATAATAATCTTAATTTTATGTAGCCCGTTTCCTGGCAAATAAAGGTTATACTCAAAACCCTACCATTTGACAAAAAACGTTTTATTTTTCGGTAGAAACAGATTTTGCATGCCTCTATACGACGTACGATTCGATCGCGCACCCTGTCGCACCGCCAGGGCCAAGGTTGCAAGGGAATTGAGGCAGCAGCGAAAGGGCAGGGAATCTACTAGGTCCCTAATTCCCTAACGCACGTCTGAAATAGATACCTAGCCGAGAGGTAAGTATAGCCGATAGTAAGGTGCTAGATGAGGCCCCCAGTGTATTTACTCAGGGTGTACATACTCAGCCGAGGCCTAAAAGGGACCTCTGTGCCCCAACTCGCGTCTGCGACTGGGTAATGAGTATTAGGTATCGCTCCCTGTAGCTCGCCTATTGCTTAGGCGTGCCTCCCCGGTGCTCGGGCGCGCTGCCCCGTACTCTACCGTGGCTCCTCCGACGCTCTCCCGTGCTCGGCCGGGCCTCCTCGATGCTCCGTCACGTGCCCCAGTAAAGCGGCCTCTCTCCCCTTCCTGAACGAAAATGGTAAGGGATAAAGCACAGCTCGGGGTATATATAATATATATACATATATTGAACGTATTGTCGAACATTGAAACCATGAGACGAGAAGAAAAGAAAAGGAATCATTCGGTTTGGACAGTCTGATTCAGTTGCGTGTCTCACAGTGATCTTCCATGTTCTACTGAGAACACCACACCACACCACACCACACCACATGCACAAGCATCATCTTTGTGATCTGTCCTTCATTTGCACAACGCATTTTCTTTCCCCCGTACAGTTTGGTTCGTTCAGCTATCTTCTCAGTGACCGGAGGTCAGGCATGAATTGGTGCCTTTCGTTCATGCTTCCTCTCAGCTTGGCTCTGCTCAGCATATACCTGGCATGTGTTCAGACCAAGTTACACGCACTTGTATCAATCCTCGCAGCTCGTTTCGTGCGGGACTATTCACTCATGTCCTTTTCTGAATGTTCTTACACATCAAAGTCACATCACCACTGTTCTTCTCGATTCTCGTGGGACACATGATCCCCACATGACATGGCCAGCCCGTCCATTCTGAGGGTTCTGAAACTGAGTTCGACGAGCATGCCGCGAGTGGAGAGTCCAGTTAGAGTCTAGAGGACTGGGTCTGCATCGTTGTTGTAGGGATTGTCGAACCCGTACACAGGCGAGCCCATCTGTGGTTTTATCACGTGCTCATTAATTCGCATGTTCAGGTGTGAACGAGGCGGGTTGCCAGGCTTCCGGGGCGAGGACCGCCTAAACCTTTCACTCACCCTGTACAACGCATACACGACATCTCTCGTGGTCACGGTCTTTCTCGCGTTGTCATCCCTCTCAAGCGCTTTATCAGAAGCAGCTGCCTGCAGCTGCACCACTATGCGGTGCAGGATCTAGAACAAAAGGCAAAGGTTAGATCTTCAGATGGGTTGGCTTAGCTTGGGCCCTTGCGGAAAGGGTGTGAAAAGGGAATGTGTAGTTGGAGCACGGAGCAAAACACATACGGATGCTAGCCTTGCTTTCAAGGCTTCTCGAACCGTGTCGTATATGTCTGACTGAATTCGATATACGCCGCCGCGACGGGCGAGACGTCTGGCATTTGAAAGGTTCAAGAGTCAGCCAGTGATGATTTGGGGGTCAAGTGTTTGGGTTGCGCTTGATCTGTAGTGAACTTGGACCTTGGACCTTGGGCTCCGGTTCCGGGTTTACATACCGGATGGCTGGCTTGGCTGAGGTGAGTGAGATGGCTGGTTAGTATAACACTGTCGAATCTGACGCATGTGGAACCCGTGAGTACTCACTGATACCCAGGATGGCATCTGTTGGCTTCCGACGGAACCGCCTTGGAAGTTGGACTCCAGGTCGGTTAAGTCCTCCGGCATGGATCGGTGTAGGGATGGGCATTGCTCGAGGCTCTGTCGGTGAAGGGATGAGAATGGTGATGACGCTGGGCCCTGCTCTGGCGGTGGCTGATGCTTGAGCTGAATCAAGTAGTCCGTAGTCCTTTGGCGACACTGAAGAGGTGCTGGTACAAAATATGATGGGAGATGAAGTGTAAGAGGAGGTTGTCGAGGCAGAGATTAGTCAATGGGTGGAGTACCAAGCCTATGTGAAAAGGAAAAAGCTGAGAAAGTGAAGAAAGTGAGAGACATAAGGGCCAAGTGAGTTAAAGGTGAGTTCAGGAAGATAGACAAAGACAAGGCCTTCCGAAAGTGAAAAGACAGGCTCAATGAAGAAATATTAGACATTAGGCGGTACTTGTGTATATCCAATCGTAGGTCGTTCAGCCATCCAATCTATGGTCATATGTACACATACATGGTCTTCATCACGCTATGAATGTTGCTTCTGAGAAAAGCTGTCCTGTCTCTGAGAATTCTTCATCACCGATCTTGATTTTGAGAGTTAGGGCGTCCTTAGAGATGTACTACAAATCTTGGTCAATAGATTTTCTTAGAACAAGACGAAACCAAAACTTACTTGGAAGATGTGTGGCTTCAAGCCAGTGGCGCCACTGATGAAGGACTTGACAAAACCGGGAAGATGGGCCAGAACATCAACTCGATCGGTTCTAGTAGGCAGATCGCCCGTTATGGAGGCGGTTGCAGGTTTACCGTCTTTTTCTCCCTTCCATTCCCAAGCAACAGTTGTCGGCTCGGGCCAATCATTCTCGGATTCCTGGTTAGAAGCCACATGCTTGACCGAGGCGTTTCCAGCAAAGAGGATTTCCCCGTCCCTAGCAATGCCGCCAACGCCCACAACTGTCCTCCCATATGAAAGAGGAGTGGTGTATTCCATGAGAAGTGCTGAGTATGTCGGGGTCTGGAAGTTAACAAAGTTCCATTTGATGGCAGCGTGGTGGGGTTTCATTCCTTGAATGGCATAATTGTAGAGAGCCTTGCCATCGATGGTGTATGTCTTTTTGGGCGTCTGCATGGTGCCTGTGACAATGGCTCGGGGCCAAAATGCATGTCGAAGGTGGCCCCATGGATTTGCGGGATCAGTTCCATAATAGCTTGTGCCATTCTCACCGATTTGAAAGCCGGGGGCTTTTCTTGTGACAGTCAAATTCACAATGCATGACTCGTTTTCGGCCGACTTGATAGTGTAGGTGTCACCCGCCTCATTCAATTCAATCGCCACATTATCTGCATAAAAACCGGTCTGAGGCTCGTCGAAGCCATAATTACTTAGTGGGTTGGAACACCAAAGGTGCTTTCCGGGGCCATCATAGTCCCAGATCTTGGAGTTGAACTGAGCGGTCGTGTGGATGCCCCTGATGCCGCCAATCAGTGAAAATTTCAGGAAGGGAATGAAATCCTTACCCGACATTACTATAAATGAGCTGTGCCATGGAAGTTGTGCCATCGTCGCCCATGAAGTAGAATGTCTCTGTCTCAACATTGGTAGAGTCCATCACCTTCCATTTGAGGTCATCTCTGCCGATGGTTGAGTAAGGGATCTTTTCAATCTGCTTCGTGACAGGCTGAATAGCGCTGGGGCCGTATTCAGGTTCTTCGGTGCCGACGACGTTAGCTAACTGTTGCTTGAACCAATTCATAGTGTTATGGTAGATCAGTGATGGAGCAGAGAGAAAGAGAAAGGAGAACAAAAGTTGTCGCGTGTCGGTGTGCAAGAATGTTATGTGGGTACAGGCGGCATCAAATCGAGTACCGGGAATTCAGGCGTGGCAAAACGTCACGGACAACAAATGATATATTCGGATTCCTAGGAGCAGGTTGGATCCCCAAACGGTTGACTCTCTGACGGGATTTGTTCACCTTTGTCGTTTCGCCGATGTGCCTGCGCCTGCGGCTGCCCTGATCCTGCACCATAAGCAATTAGGTTACTACTTTCCCTGCAAGTCTAAGGGCTATCACCGCTAAGAGGACGCTAGAATCAAAGGCTAAGAGATTTTGCCGACAGACAGGCTCTTAAGTAGGGCGCTTGTCGTTAGGCGCCGGCTTACACGTTGACTCCAATTGTCTAGTACCCTTAGTGCATTCTTAGTGTATCCAAATTCTTGGACCGTCGAAGGAAAATACCGCAGGAGATCAAGCTCATCTTCATCATCCGAATAATAAACTGTCGGTTACCGCTTCACGGCTCGTCCTCCCTCAGCTTTTGCAGACTCCTTCGATCTTCCACCCGCCCGGTTTTTTCTTTCTCTTCGGTCTTCGAATACTTAGCCTCTCCCCAGTCTCGAGACCTTCCACTCTTTTATCTCGAACAGCATGTCCAGAAAAGTTGCTGCCACCGATCAGGTCGTAAAGTTGATTGTCGGCGCTGGCAATGCAACTCCTTCTCCGCCAGTTGGACCTGCCCTCGGCAGTAAGGGTGTCAAAGCTATAGACTTTTGCAAGGTGAATCCCTCTACTGTTCAGGACGTTGCTGTGACATGCTCATGGCTCCTAGGAATTTAATGCTCGGACAGCTCACATCACTCCCGGAATTCCCTTGCCCGCCCGAGTCATTGTCCGTCCCGATCGATCTTTCAGCTTCGAGGTTCGAACTCCGATGACCTCCTGGCTCTTACTTCAAGCTTGCGGTGCCAAAATGGTCAAAGGGAAGATCAGAGGAGCACACAAGCCCGGCACAGAGATCGTAGGTACTGTGTCATTGAAACATGTCTACGAGATCGCCAAGATCAAGCAATCCGAGATGCGTTTGTCCAATCTCCCCCTATATGGGTTGTGCAGGTCTGTTATTGCGCAAGCGGGGAGCATCGGAGTACAGGTCGTTCCCTAGTCGGCCGACGAGAACATTACCAAATTTGCGGACGCAAGTATTTCCGCGAGAAATGGTAAAGGTCTGGCATACTTCAGCTGTCACCTTCAAGTCTGACGCGGCAAAATCGACGCCCGAGCATGTCTAGGCCATGGAGGAATGCAGGCACATCAGATTCTCACTTCCGTGCCAATCTCATACTGCGTGAGGAAGGTGACAAGGTCAGCGGTCCTAGTTCGAGGGTTCTTGATGTGTCAGACTATATGAACAGAACGGCTTCGAACGGAGTCTGGTCCTTGCGGGTGAACCCTCAAATGAATGCAACATCAGTAGCTGTTTCATGTAAGTCGTGCCAGGAGAGCACGATACAATATTAGCGGGGTACGTGGCTCAAGGAAACGCTTTCAGTGGTGATGAATACGTCGACAGGAGCGGCAGCAGGCTGCGACTTCACAATGACCAAGGCTAGGTCGGATGTTATCTGATTGGCATATTACAGACAGCTTTGTGCAAGGCGCCAGGGGTTAGATAGAAGAGCAGGAAGACGAAGCGGCTGAAGCGGTTGACATCAGCCAAAAGGACTCGTTAGAGATCTTTGAACCCCTATAGTTGTTCTATCACTCCAGTCCACAGTGGCAGGACAGAAAGACTACAATAAATTCCATCATTAAGGCGATCCAGCACATGGCAGGGCACTAGCAAGCGACTTCGTTGCTTATCGAATCTTCGAATACGATGTACATACACCTTCGAAGCCAAGCCAGTGGAAGATGACGTGCGATCTTACAGGGCACTGCAAACCTCCAGGCAGAGCATAGATGTCGTAACTCGCTCGTACGAGGCCGGCCCATCCGGAAGTTAATGTCTGAGAGTGTCACGGCTGGTTATATGTCAGATGTGTGTAACTCCAAGGGCAAGGTGGAAGTGCGAATGGGAACACCATAGAAGGATGACCGAGCCGAGGACGCAATAATCAACTGAGTCACAGTCATCACGGGCGGCATGGCTGACACATGTGTGTTGGTGAGTCCGTGAGATATTGGAATGCAGGGGACACTAATTAGAGTGTAGGAGAGAGCCGAGACTGGGGGCCACCGGCCACTTGCTTATTCAAGGATGGAACTTGAAGAAGACCAGCAAGAAATAATAATGACGTTGTGCCTTTTCCCTCCCCTCGTCCCATCCCCTCGCCGATCCAACCAGCCCTCGGCATCATGAGTTAGGCTTGGGCTTAGGCGCGCTCGGGTCCCTGCTGCTCACGCCCAGGGCTCAGAGTTTCTACTTAGTGGTACGGAGTACATAGGTAGCGAGTAGTAATTAGTTATATGGCTGACTGTTCACTGTGTTTTCTCTGTGCAGCGGGGCAACGATTCACGTCTCCCACTGGCAGCTCAACCTTCGCAGTCCTCACTCAAACTTCCCATCTCATCCCATCCCAACTTCACGTACGAGTACCGTATCCATCCATCCCTCCACCCATCCATCGGGTAGGCTTTTTGCTCTGCTCTGATTTACTCTGACTCTAGCCCTATCCTCTCCACCAGCTACTTGTTCCTACGACCTGTTCCCCAGCTTCATCTATTCATTCTCTCTTCCCACGTCGCAACCAAGTCTCCAGCTGTCTCACTCCCATCTGTACCTTCGCTCCACCTTCTGCCGCCTCCTTGGCTTCGACGCGTGTATGACCTTACATTTTGCAACTTTCATATGTGAGTCCTGACCTTCTCCACTGAGCTGCCCGAAGCCCTCCCTCCACGGGCCAACTAGTTCACCTCTTTGGACTGACACATGCCTATCATTAGTCGTCCTTCCTGTTCCACTACGATCTGTTGTTCGATCTTTCCTCTGTTTCGAACCTTCCGGACTCTTAAAAGTTGAGCCGATTGCAAGCAATCGATCGTTAATGTTTCGTTCCTTACAACCGTAACCCGACACGCTGCTATCCAACCACCGGCACAATGACCTCCAAGTTATCTGCTATGTTTCTTCCAGGGGACGATATTAAAGACGAGAAAGGTATATCTCATCATGCCGACCTCTATTGTGGCCAAAGTGGACTAATCGTTGCCCAGAATCAAAAGCCGGTCAAGACGGGAGAGAGAATATCCGGACCAACGTGCGCTTTGCAGAAGGCGAAGAGATAGAACAGCTCGATGAATCAAGGCGAAACTCCAAATTGGACGATACCGAAGAGCTCAGCCCGGAAGCACACGAACAAATTAGAAGTCTAGCAATGTCGCTACAGAAGTCCAGAATCCAGGAAAGTAGAATGGCCAATTTTGCCTACGAGACAGTCTCTATGCCACCATCACGCGTATGTATGCTATCAATCCTGCAGTATGCACATGATGCTGACCCACAATTAGGTACCTTCAAGAGAGAGTGAGGCGCCTGGAACCCCACGTGGCTCGATTCGACAGGGCCACGGCTCGCTGTCCTCAGCAGTTCATTCGCCTCCATTGACACCACATGGCTCAAAAGATGGGAAAGCAGATGCGGCAGCTGCTGGGCGCAGTCAGCAAACACAAAGTGCCATAACACCACAAACTTCCCCTCCCCCTGATTCCCATGGTCGAGCCTTATCACAGTCCATCTCTCCAGGTCAGGCCATCTCGAGGCCCTCATCTTCGGAGCAAGGCAACATACGTTCAGATCAAAGAGACCCCAAAAAGGCCGCCCGTTTTGAGATCGGTCCCTCTGAATCTGCGAGCCCTGTAGATCAAAGCCCTGTGGGCACTCCAAAGCTAAGCCCGGCATCCCCACAGCCTGCAAAAGCATCATTAACAGAAGCAAAGATCGAACAGAGAGAACAAAGACATTTTGGAAGCACCGGGAGAAATTCACTCGCTCCAGCGATTGCAGCAGCTGCAGAGAGACTTCCCAGACCCGGGAGCAGCGGAGATCTATCAGGTTCAGAAAAACGCAGTTCCATTTTTGGAGGGAAGAAGGATCCATATTCTCATGTCACAGAGAGTGGAAGTGATAGATCTGGGTTTGGGGAAAAGAAGCATGGATCCATGTCTGAACTGAAACGGTTCTTTAGGTTGGGTGGCCATGGTCACAAAGACAAACACCACAAACACGAGAAACATCAAGAGTCACCAGCGGCATCGGTGCCTGCGTCACGCAAGAGCAGTTACAAATCTGGCACGAGAACGCCACCTCATCAGACACCGCCTTCCAGCAACGTTCCCTTCATGGACGAACACAGTCTTGAGGCAAAGTACGGAAAGTTCGGCAAAGTCTTGGGATCTGGGGCTGGTGGCTCCGTTAGGCTGCTCAAACGAAGCAGTGATGGTGTCACTTTTGCCGTCAAGCAATTCCGAGACAAGCATTCTTGGGAGAGTGAAAGGGACTATTCCAAGAAAGTCACAGCCGAATTTTGTATTGGCTCCACGCTTCATCATGGAAATATTATCGAAACGATGGATATCATTCAAGAGAATAATCGCTGGTACGAGGTTATGGAATATGCGCCATATGATTTATTTGCGACAGTGATGACCGGTAAAATGACCCGGGAGGAGATTGCTTGTGCTTTCCTACAGATCGTCAATGGCGTCAGCTATCTGCATTCTATGGGACTTGCGCATCGGGATCTCAAGTTGGATAATGTTGTGGTCAGTGAACACGGCATCATGAAAGTTATTGACTTCGGAAGTGCCACAGTATTCCGATATCCATTCGAGAATGACATTGTTCTTGCCTCAGGTTTGCGAAGCGCCCAACAACGAAGAACATCAAAGCTAACGTATGTACAGGAATCGTTGGCTCGGATCCATATCTTGCCCCTGAAGTCTACGATGAGCGAAAGTATGACCCAACAGCCACTGACATCTGGTCATTGGCCATTATTTTCTGCTGTATGTCACTACGCCGATTTCCCTGGAAGCAACCTCGGGTGATCGATAATTCTTATAAACTATTCGTCTCTCCACCAACGCCTGGCACGCCTGTCCCTGATTCACATCCACGAAAAGGATCACATCTCAGTCCTACGGAGGATGGTAGCCGAAGACTATCCGAAGCAAACGGTAGCAGTTCCTCCCATCACCATCACCACTCGGACAGCGTCGATGGCGAGTCGAGACCTGCCACTTCTAGTGGAGACAAGCAAGAGGTGATCAAAGGGCCCTGGCGATTACTCCGAATTTTGCCCAGAGAGAGTCGACATATTATAGGCCGCATGCTCAAAGTCGACCCTTCAGAGCGTGCTTCGATGGATGAAGTGCTCGAGGATGAGTGGGTGCTCGGATCAAAAGTATGCTACCAGGAAGAAAATGGAACAGTGCACCGAGCAGAAGGGCATACGCATGTTTTAGAGCCGGGTTCCGGAGGACCTCCTCCAGCGAAAGTCTAAGCAAAAGAGATAGACGAGCCGAACATATCGGTCTTTCCCGGGCTCAGCCAGCTATTGGTGATGTTAACGGCGGACAGTGTGTGCCGGTCATTACATGCTGCACAGGCGACGACACTTGAATATTGTGGAAGGGAGCAGTCTTGATACTCGATTGGAGAGAGAGAAGAGACGGGTTTATGCACAACGTTGTTCAACGGCGGAATATGTCTCTTAGCGAGGCTTTCAAATGTAGATATCAGTACCAGTCCATCGCGTTCAATAGGAACGAATGAAGGCTTGATAGTAGACGAATGTTACATACCATGTACTGATTCCACAGTTCAGGGCCAGAGGGAGTCGGGAATGTTCCGAGTTAGAGTATGATAGGGAGGGGCAGAGGGCAGCAAGTGTTAAACAATTGCATTAGTGGTAGAAGGATGCATGTATCTACGTAGCATCGAAGTCGCTTGGGTCGAGGTTGACTCGTGGTCGGTTGAATCTACCCCGGCCCCTGGGTGCCCCTGGGTGCCGCCTCTGGCCCCGGCTGCGTGTGACTTGGTGGCCGCCATGCACATGCTCCACAATGGATGCCCGCACCTAACTGTCCGGGTAAAGCTCCGAGAGCGTGACGCCTACACAACGTCGCTGCTTAACGAACTAGGTGAACTATGGGGGAGCTAAACGCGCCGAACTCGCTACTGGTCAGTGGTGGTCACGGTAAATCCTGGTCTCCCACCTACAGGCTTCTGGAACGCGGGACACAGCCTTTGAGTACTACCTGCACCCCTAAGGTGATGAGTGGTCTGGTGCACTCAGTGGTGGCTCTGGTGAGCGCCCTCATCTCAACCCAGCCTAAATACTCCGTACCTCAACTCATTTGCCGGTGCTATTCCCAAGTCACTCCTCCGTGGTTCTGACCAACCCTCCACGAACCTTGCCTGCGTCCCTCCGGCCAAGCTGAATGACCTAGCACCCTCAAATACCATCATGCTTCGATAAAAAGTTGCCAAAGTTGCAAAGTCGCAAAAGGGCCAAAAGACGACCGGTCATTAAACCTCCTTCCCCAGCCTGCATATGGCCAAGAAGAAGCGCCAGAGGATAAGCTATGGTTTGTCACTATCACTCAGGTACCAGCCTGGCCTTAGCAAGACAGATCGCTGACCAAACCACAGTCTTACCTCTCGCAAGCTCGCCAGGCGGACATAGACTCGGGGTAAATGGCCTCGCTTTCGACGAAGATAGATCAATCTTGTGCGCTTCCCTCTCCTGGTTGTGGGGTAAATCCAAAACCACTAAACGCGTTTCCGCAGATACACCGGTGGACGTGACGGAGTCGTTTGCGCTTGGGATCTTGACCTAGAAGCTCAGAAGGCAAATACACAAGGCGACGCAGCCAAAGAGAAGAGAAGCACTACGACATTCAGGAAACAAGTCCAAGCGCATACCCACTGGGTCAATGATATCGTCCTGGTTAAGAACAACCTGGGACTTGTTTCTGCCTCGTCAGATGTCACGGTGAAGCTATGGCGACCACATGGTCACGAGACAACCCAGCCATACACTATCGGCTCTCACAGTGACTACGTCAAGTGCCTTGCAACCCCTGATCGAGACGCCAACTGGGTAGCGTCAGGCGGCTTAGACCACAAAATATGTCTGTGGGATCTCGGAGGGGCTGGTAAAACCCTTGAAATCGACATGGGGAATGTTCAGGATATTGTCAAAGGCTCTATCTATACGCTACGAGCCAAGGGTTCACTCCTTGCAAGTGGCGGGCCCGAGAGTGTTGTTAGACTCTGGGATGTCAGATCAGGCAAGAACATTACGAAGCTCGTCGGCCACACAGATAATGTCCGAGATATACTGATCAGCGACGACGAGGACACACTACTCACCGCCTCATCGGACCAGACGATAAAAGTATGGTCAATTGCTGCAGGAAGAGTGGTACACACCTTGACGATGCATAACGACAGTGTCTGGAGCCTGTATTCTAACGACCCGAATCTGGCAGTCTTCTACTCTGGCGACAAATCTGGTTTGGTTGCAAAGACGGACACTCGCAGAGCCATGGAAATTGACGATGGAGTGTCTGTCGCCGTGTGTCAGGAGCATGATGGTATCACCCGTGTCCTTCCCGCAGGTGATTCTGTCTGGACAACGACGTCAAGTTCTAGCGTCAATCGATGGCTCGATGTGGACACCGAGCTTGACGTTGAGACACCGCCACCATCACCCCGCGAAGAGAGGTCGAAGAGTCCTGATACAACAAAAGCAGCTGCTCCCGAACCGGATGTACCGATGACAAATGGTGCTACAGTCAATGGAATCGATCATAAAAAGAGAATCCCACACAACGCCGTGCTACGCGTTTCGAATACTGCTGTTCACCCAGGGAGGAAGCATCTCGGGAGAATGCCGAACCCATCTTTCACAAATCTCAGGAAGGCCTCCGAGGCCATGATATCGGATGATTTGAGCTTAGTGGTGCCCATCAGAGGGCAGCCCGCAGAAACCATCGAGGGTCAGAATGGCCTGATTAAACATGTCATGTTGAATGACAGGAAACGAATTCTCACCCTCGATACTGCGGGTGAGGTTGTTCTGTGGGATTTATTGAAGGTATTTTCCACAAAGTAGTATTCTTGCCAACATACCACAATGCTAACAATTGGAAAGTGTTGTCAAATCAAATCCTTCGGTCGTCGTCATCTCGACGAAGTTGTTCCCGAGGTGAACTCCACTGAAAGTGTTGCCAATTGGTGCGCTGTCGACACAAAGACGGGAAAGATTACGGTGATGTTAGAGGAAAACTATTGCTTTGACGCCGAAGTCTACGCCGATGAACTCGATCTGTCCAATGAACTTGTGTTCCGAGATGATCAGAGAAGTAAGCGTTCTTGAAGATATTCATGTATTTTCACCTTGAATTGGCTGACATTCTTCTTACAGTTAATCTGGGGAAATGGGTGCTGCGCAACCTCTTTGCTTCATTGCTCGACGAAGAGATCAAGCGAGATGAAGCACACAGGAGTACGCTCGAGGTGATACCTCCAACTCCAGCCACTGGACTCGTCCGCCCAGGCGCACCGACCAGCATTACAATGCCTGAGTCTGTCAGCGCTACTCCGATGGTCTCTCCTGGGACAACGGCTACGCCTCGTGCCTCGAACGGGAACGCTGCAGTGCCACCGACCCCCGGGCTTGCAATTGGGGCAGCAACACCAGGCTTTGCACCCATGACAATGACTCTCTCCAGCACAGCGGAGGAAGCGGCCGAGTCTGTCACTAGAACTCCTCAGCCGATTCAACAGACACCGACGACGGCCACCGTGACCGACCCATCAAGCGACTACTTTTCCCGCAACAGCAGCGCCAACAATCAGTCCGAAGCATCATCTGAGAGCAACAAGGTACCCGACACACCAGGAAACAGTGATAACAACAACAACCAACACGCACCACTCGCGACACCCACATCCCCAACGGAAGAAAGGAAGAAGGGCCTCTTCGGCAAGAAGTTCTCCGGCATGGCCTTCCCTAAGAAGCTCGCACGCACGTCCACCGAGGTAACTAAGACGCCGGCAGTCGCGCAGGAAGAAAAATCCGACACCGCTTCACATATATCCTCGTCAGAGAAGGAGGAGAAGGTGATCGAGGATAACTTCTTCGGTGTCGTGCAAAAGATCCGCCAGGAGTACGACGAGCATTTGGAGTCGAAACCGGGCGAGCCGCTGCCTCAGGGTATCACGCCCAGTTTACCGAATGAGACGCCGGTGTTGAATCCGCCGCCCCATACAACGATTATCATTCAGGAGGATAACCCGGAGAGTGGTGGCCTGGCGGATCAGTATAGAGGCGAAATCAGCGAGCTGGGGAATGAGGCTGATACACTGGAGAAGATCGCGCCTATGTGGTTAGGCGATTTGCTATTGAAGGTACGTTCCCAATCTTCCCTGCTGTGACCCATCCCAAATCGACCTCGCCTTTCTTCTCTTCCCCTTCCCCTCCCGCTTCTCATCTCGACCCTCATACCAAAACCAGTCCAACATGCTGAGACTGACTCGCTCAATCCCACAGAACCAAATCCCATACAAAGACACTGTAAAAGTGTCCTTCATGCTCCAACCGTACGAAAACCTTCTACCCTCCATTGCCTCCCCCGACGGCAACGCGCGCCTGAACGCGAACCGGATGCTGCGCGCAAAGAAGATCATGGCGTATGTGGCCGAGCGCATCGAGGCCGCCGCCGACCCGGAGCATCCAGACCCAGAGGGCCAAAACACCCTCAAACCTGAAGAGTACCTCGAGTTGTACTGCCAGGGCCAGCTCGTGGATCCGAATGCCACGCTGGCGAGTCTCAGGGTCCATGTGTGGAGGACGGGCGGCGATGTCGTGTTGTACTACAAGAGTAACGGGAAGAAGACGTTGAGACTGCCGCATCCCGCGGAGGTGCCGACTAAGGAGGAGAGTGAGGAGCATACCGGTGTTGTCAGGTGAGATAACGGAAGAAGGAAGGAATTATAGGACCGTGGTGGTGTGTCGCTGGACGAGCTGGAGTAGTTGTGCGAGTCAGAGGATGAGATGGCGTGCGTCGAGTGGAGACGAGAGGAGCAGAAGGAGTAGCTGCTGCTGCTACTTAAACAACTCCGAAAACAAACCGAAACCCGAAAACCAAAAAACCGAGATCGGACCAGACCAGACCAGATCAGAAAAGCGGATTTCCTTTCTTTCCTTACTCTTCACAACCCGTCGCAGAGGAAGTGGAAGTTTCTATGCGATGGGGGAGGGGTGCTTTGCTTGGACAGTGTAGACGCGCGGCTAGCGAGCCAGCCAGTAGCGCCATTAATGGTTGTTGGGTGATCGCTGGCGGGAGGTGCCTGGATGTGGAGGTGGAGGTGGGGGTTGAGGTACAGGCGGTTGTGATGTGCTGCTGATGTGTATCATGGGGCAGGGCAGAGGATCTACTCTAGAGTAGTTAAGAGGGAGTTTGGTGATATATATATACACTCATAAACACACTCTCTTCATACATACATAACTAGGGACTCGTATCTACAGTATTCAAGCTATATAGAATGTACAGTCCGCTGTCCTTCTAGGTATTGTATATAGACAAGCCTTAAGTTTTATAGACGACATACTACTTTTCGGGCTGCATTCCGTCCGTGAGAAGCGAGGTGATTGAGATAAGTCCTCAGGTTCATTACTAGGTCTTGGAATTGGAGTCTGATAGTTTGAGATCCAAGGCTGTGATGCGGGAGAGCAAGGACATGAAATCATCAGAGCAGATTTCTGTAGGCTGCCTTGAGGTGGGGTTTGTCGTAAAATTTACTCAATGCCGTTTCCTGAGAATTGTGAGGCATTAGCTCTAGGAGACCACCATTCTCAGATGTCGTTCTTGAATTTAGCCCTGGTTCCCGTGTAGGTATTGAATTTCGTGATGTCCTTGGACCACCGACGTGTCCACATCCAACGACTTCGGTGCGAGCATTCATGACGCGCGCCAACCAACTTCACCCGTCTTTCACGGTCGGTCTGCTGCAAGAAGATTCGAAACGTACTGGTATGTTCCCAGAAAGATGGCGCCACCTGTACTAATCCAGCCGACACGAGGGACGATACCTCTGAACAAACCGGAGGGGCCATCAACTGCCCATGTCTGCTGCAAGACTCTCATTGCCCCGCACCTTTCAGATGCGTTGCCTGAGCCCTTCCTCGTAAGCATGATACGAGTTTTGAGCACATCGAGAGGCGTGGTGAACCCAGCTGCAATGGCGCCTGCAATACTTCCGAAGACAGCGCCCTCTGTGGCTGTAACAAGCCCTTCTTGACGACCCAGCTCTCTGTGTTGACGGGCTGAGTATGAAGACTTGGAGTATTCCCACAAACTGAATTGTATGATTGTGAATGGAATCTCACGCATGATCGTAATCCCACCGCCTCTGTAAAGCTCTCTTGTCATGGTTATAAATCCATCCGAGCGTAGGAGCGCCAGTATATCTTTGAAAGCAAGCAGAGAAGAACCTCCAAAGAGGCCTGCCTGAGCTCTCTGTTTAACAACTTCTGTGGGAACACGGATGGTGCAGGCTGCGATTTCTCCAAGCGATGACGCGAGCATATGCGCGTACATCTGTTTCGAAGGCGATGTCTCTGTGGTGATCAGCAATCTCTTGACCCCGTCATACACTAGAAAGAATGAAGCTGCCGAGGGCATTGATCCAAGCATTGCAGAAGGCAACCCTGCGTACATACTGCGCAGGGTGCCCTGCAGGGTGTGTCGTGGAGCGAGGGCGGCATTTTGCTGCTGTGCGGTAAGGTTGGACTGGAGGCGCGTTTTGATGGTATCAAGAGGATATAGAGAAACATCGACGGTGAGACCCGCGAGCGCGCCGGACTGTGTAGGGAATCAAGTGCTTGTTAGAAGGCGGGTAAACGAATTGTTTGAGAGAGAGTTGACTGACAATTAGGGAGCGTGTCCAAGGTGAGGCCACAAGGGCTTGTGGAGCTTGTTGAGGGCTTACATCCTGCTCAGTCATTACGAGCAAGGATTCGTCCAGCGACGAGCACCTTGAGCCCAAGAGGAGGCTACTGTTTTATCGAGTCGGCGTGGAGGCGAAGCTATGTACGAGGGAAGTCACCTCTGGAGAAAAATATCCCCGATCTCGGGAATGACATCAGTTCTTGTCCCAAAGAGGCAACCCACATCGTGCCTGCCATTCACGCTGCATTTCCATCGAGCTCGTGCCGCGTCACATGGCTGCCGCGTTTCGTGTCACTTGGCTATCATCTATCTCGTGTATCTGTGCCACGCTGATCTCTCACTATGAGTCCCGTCGATCGGCCAAGGCTGATGGCATAGATCTCCCTAGGGACTTCCAAAGCCCTCTGTGGCCAGGGAAAACGGGTTTACCCATTTCAATGCTTGATAGCCGCTCGGCTATCCCTCTTCCTCAACGACACGTGAGTAGAGTACTTTACTCAGTCTTGGATGCTCGGTAATGCCGGCAATTGTCTTTCATCTTCCTCCTAACTAAAGTCCTCTCTTGCGGTCGATTTTAGAATAGCCTGATGGCAAATCTCTCCATGAGCGACGCCAGTTCTCCCCCGTCTCAACAGATCAAGCGACGAGCAAATCTCGTTTGCATTCGATGCCACCAGAAGAAGATCAAGTGCGATCGCTCTTCAGTCACGAGTGGATCGAACTGCAGCAATTGCCAAGTCTCAAAGTCTCATTGTAGTATTCGGCCGTCCAGGCGAAAGGGGGCACGGAAACACCATGGTCATGGGCCATCATGGTCAAACCTACAGCCCGCAAACTTCAGAGAGAACGAGGCCTTCTCGCCACAAGGCTTGATGACATCTCCGGTCTCTCGATTGTCTGCTAGTGCGGAGGTGGATGATCACAATGAGGCATCGAATGCTCTTGGGTTGGATGAGCCTCAGATGATTAGCACCAAAGACGCCGCTCCATCAAGTCTAAGCACCGAAACAGGATCTAACAGGGTTCCAGTTCACAATGTCAAAAGCTATCTTGGAGACTCGGGATTTATGCCAATCTTTGACCAGGCTTCCCGAGACGAGGATAGACAGATCACTTCGCCTTCTACTAATCATGAGCAATCCGTTCCAAGTCTGCCTCCTCTCCTGCACCAAAGCTTTGCTGAGGCATACATGGAGTACTGTTTTCCTTGGTGTCCGGTCTTAGATCGAGAAGGCTTGCTTGACGATGCAGTGTTCGCACGCTCGCTTCTCCTACAACAGGCCCTCGCACTACTTGGTAGTACTGTCAATCCTCCAATAATTCGACATCTACCACCAAGGATATATTATGCTCATATGAAAAAACTGTTCTATGGACACTATGAGCATAATCCCCTCGTGAAGGTCATCTCGATTATCATGATTTATTGGTGGAGTGCAGGACCTCCAAATCATGTCAGCATGGAAAGCCAATACTTTTGGACGTCTATCGCCGTTCGGCTTTCGCAAGAAATTGGGCTTCATAAAGAGGTTACATCTACACATGTATTCAGACCTGGCGAAACACGGGGATTGAGGCGTCGAATTTGGTGGACTCTCTTTGTAAGATGTTTCGCCCTTATTGCGTGCTCAAGTGCTGATCCATTATAAGGCTAGAGAACGATTGACATCCATCTGCATGGGAAGGCCATGCATCATACACCTTGAGGATAGTAATGTGCACCCGCCTAGCGTTGAGGATTTTCCTCCCCACGAACGAGATCGATCAGCAATTTTCATCAACTGGGTCAATCTCTGTGATATCATTGGCAAAGTGTCCCGACATCTCGCGTCCAGAACTGAAGCAACCCTCTTTCCTCTTGGCCTTGTGCAGAATCTAATCGACTGGGTAAACTCGTTACCATTGGACTTGCGCCTACCTTTCAGCACGGCTCGCACCTCCACATTTGATCGCCATGTACATCAACTTCATCTGCCTTATCTTACCACTCTCACCCTGCTTTACATGGCCCCTTCGTCGCAACCACTCCCACGGGCCTACACCACTGCTATCCTGTCAGCATCCTGTGTGGCTCGAATTTTTGAAGACTACCTATCTCGAGGGTCCATCTCATTTCTTCCAGGTATGGCTGGGTGGTACATCAGCATAGCCATCTTGGCATTGCTGCACGCTCGCCAAGTTGAATCTCTCAAAGAAAGTGCGAATGACCAGATAGACGTCCTGTTCCTTGCCCTCAGGGAAATGGCAAAGATATGGCATTCAGCCAAAATGTTTCTTGTGGGATTCGAGAAGCTGCTGAAAGGGCCACAGCTACGTACTGATGAAAGGGCTTTTCAAATAACCGGTACGGAAACGAACAGATCAACATTGAACGAGTTAATCAGAGATGATGGAGTAAACTACTTGGACTTCTTCCCTGGCACCACCGTTGAAACAAGCAAGCTTTTTAGGACGCTTCTCACAGAAAATCCACCCATAATATTTATGGGCGCTGAATGGACAAACGATCTTGGACTACAGTTGCAAGATATGTTTGACCAGCCATACGATAATGTCGACTTGGATGCTCTTCTCCTCTGAGCAAGACACCTTGCCGCACGCATGCTACCCCAACGAGCTCGGGACAACCATAGAAAGCGAACCAGTAGGTGATGATTATCTTGATCATGGCATAAGCAGCGGTACACTATGTTGAGTGTCGCCTGCCATCTGGTAGAAAAGACTTCCGTCCCTAGAGTTTATCTTGTTTCTGCCTCAGAGCAGTTTCAAAGTCTCCCAAGAAATGCCACAGGAGTTTCCCCCGCCATCCCTTCTCCTTCCAGTCATTCGCCTTAAGTGGGAACAGGTCAACATTCCCACGCAAGGAGCCATCATGAGCATAAACGAAGAGAACATTATCATCCCCATCCGCTTCCTGCGTCTTCTTGATTGTCTCAATAGCCAGAGGGATGTCCAGTCCCATATTCGGGTCAAAGAAAGGCTCGTTGACTGCCCTCGCGCGACTCTTCTGTAGCGCTTCAAGCTCCGCACCGGGACAGAACCCGCCCATGAAATGAGAAAAGGCATCAAGGTGGACTTTCTCCGGCAGAGGCAGATGCTGGGAGGGCCGAATCTCGCCTCCGTGATGGCACAGATCTCCTCCGAAGAACATAAATGTGTCCGGAGTTGTTCTCGCCAGCCCGGCTAGGTGGCCCACGGCGTGGCCTGGAGTGTCAAGTAAATAGAATGAACCATCGCCGAATAGATCGATGGCGCGGAATTTCCCGATCTGTAGGACTTCTGGACCCTCAAAGTTGATTTCACGCACGTTACGATTTCTGTGAGAAAAAATCGGGCGCGCGTCAGTGTTGCGTTGCAAGGTGGTCTCAGGATCTTGTATTAGGCTACGAGTAAAGGATTTCACTCACTTGAAATCGCTTTCTCGAACTGGAGAATCCTCCTTTGCTGGGTAGCCGGGGAAGAATGCGTCCTTGAAACCCGGCCCGACTATGAGTTCAGTGCTCGATGGGAAAGTCGACGGGTCGCCCAGATGGTCCCAATGCCAGTGACTATAAAATTGGAATTTCATTACCATCAGTGCCTCGTTCATCGCACCAAAACCAAATTTGCACCTACCTCCAAACAACACAATTAATCTCAGCAGGGTCGACCTGATGATCCCTTAAGATCTCCTCGACATGCTTCTGCGCCGAGATGTCCCAATCAGCTTCGTGCAACCTTTTAGTGACCACAGGTGAGAACTCTTTCCAATTCGGCGGCACGCCGAGATCGAACAGCGCCTTTTTACCCGTATCGCTTTCAACCAGAAAGGACCAAGTTGGGATGTCAGGCATGAATTCCATCCCCACCATCGGCGGCGTCATGAGAAACTTCGTTGGCAGCTTTTTGATCGACGTCGTGCTGTCGATGATGCGGACCGTCGCGACTGAGCCCGAGGGGACGGGGAAGAGTCTGCTTGATCCCATATTTGGTCTGATATATTCGAATTTCTGATGTGTTTGTTGTTGTGAGGAAATTTGGACTTGATCGAGGGAAATTCGTTTTCTTCCGACCCTGGCTGTGAAAATCTGATCTCAGGTGAACTCTACTCGAGGTACTATGTACAGTACTTCAAGTCGTTCAATACTATATATAGTACTGATACCAGTCCGAGTCATCGGCAATTATAGAGTATTAGGGTTTAGGACCTGGGAAAGAATCCCAAGATGCTAATAGTAGTCTTATCGCGTAATACAGTATCCTCGTCGCTCCGAGTCTTACGTACATACATGAACATCTCATAATCATTCCCCGCATCTCGGCCTATTTATTGGGGTTCTGTCTCGCTTGAGTCGCTTCCAACGCGTTAAGCCGTCGCGCCGGCTATGGCGGCATTCAGTTTGCCGGATGCAGCAGACCAAATATCGAGCTAGTCTATCTATATATATATATACATAGGACCATAGGGCAGTCTGAAATTGAAGTACTATAGCACTTAGAATTACAATGTGCTATGTATTTATGTACATATTATGTACTTATCAACGCCGAGACTCCGAGTCTTCAGATTGACTCTTCTTGGTTTTCATCCCCATTACACAAGGGAGTGTTTGTGGGTTGAGACTTTGTTCCTCTCATAGCCTGAAGTATAAAGCCTCCCGGGATCTGGAGAGCAGGCCATGTAACATGTACTTGGTACCTGTCGAGACCCGCATGAAGCTTCCAGGTCTAAACGAGTCAGCTTCAATGTTAACTCCGGTTGTAGGGAATCCCCCGGGGAATTGGACCGTGCTGCGCGGCTTTTAGACGGAGCTACAAGCTTAGGATCTTTTCAATAGGACCTATACTATGTACTACATTCCTATGTACTATGTATGTAGTACTTGTATCATTCTTTGTTTTCACCAGCTGAAGAGTTCTTCACGAACCACTCATGCTTCAAAATACTACATACATATTACTTAGTATGCATCCTGAGCTAACAATCGATCCCTAAGCTGGAACATACTATGTTCTTAGTCAGTACTTAGTATACTAATGCCCAATGGTTTAAACGCTACTACTTCGTACTATCTATGTCTCTTCCTTAGAACACTGTGCAACTCTCTCATTACTAAAGCATGGTATGTTTCTGAGAGTAGTACTACTTAGTATGTAATATGTAGCTTCCGAGTTGAAAGTGGCTACATAGTACATGTACGATACTATGTACCTTTACCTGTAGGGGCCTTAGTCCGCATGAAGTTTGTCGAAAAGTGTTTGTCCCTTAACAAGCTCAAAGTCCTACATGCTAGAGACCATGTGTCTGTCTAGGCATCCGCAGATCCCACGTCAAATCCAGGCGGATTTCCCGGCCATAATATAGAACTTTCCCTTGAAAATACTCGTCTAAAGATCAAGAATTCGTGAAATTGCTGTAAAATGCTCTTCATCCCAGCGCTTACTGGCTTCTAGTTCTCCATGTCGCCTGAAGCCATGGGGTACGCCCTTGTAAACGTTGAAAGAAGTCTCGATCCTGCGATTCTTTAGCTGGTTGCTCATGCCAGAAAATTACCATCAATTTTCATACCCAAGCCGTTGCAGTTTATCCATGAACAAAAACGATTGATCCCGTAGGATGTCTCGACCCGCAATCTGAAAGTGAGTCGTTGGAGAGCCTTTCAGAGACTCATCTTCCAGCAGGAGGACATTGTAAAGGCGATCGGTACTGGCATTTTCGCCCAGCAGGGACTCGAAAAGATCCAGCCGCGTTACTGGTAAGAGTGGAGCTAACCGATTCTCTTCGTATGAGCCCTTGCCAGGCAGGATGAGATGCGCTGGGAAATTCGCCGAATGGCATAGGACCGGTATGTCCAGGATTTGGCCCTGTATTCGATTCTTCCCGTGCTGATGCGATGCGATTGCGCTTAGTTAGCCTCAAATGTACAGATTGCGACTTAGGACATGTAATTCATATATCATACCTGCTCACGGTCTTGTATTGCGACAATCGCAGCGAGAAGTCCCCCAGCAGACCGTCCAGATACAATTACTTTGTTTGGGTCCCCACCTAGCTCATCGACATGGTCGAAGACCCAATTGAAGCCAGCGAGAGCATCTTGTCGTGGCACAGGCCATGGATACTCTGGGGTGTGACGGTAGCAAACGTGGACAACGATCACATCCAGCTTCTGCACCATATTGAAGCAGTGGCCGTCTTCTCCGTCGAGACTGCCAAATAGAAAGCCCCCTCCATGATACCATATGTAGATAGGAAGCTTTCCTGGCTCTGGCTTGGCTGTCATTCGCTTGTATACTCGCAGAGTTATACTGTCTTCCGAGCCGACTCCCAAGGCGAAATCTTTCTTGTGAACTGTGTCTTTGCCCGCGCTTTGAGTCAATGATTGTATCAGTTTGAATAGGGTATATTGGAATTTTCCTACCAACTCCTGCAATCAATTTCTGTGCCGCCTGTGCCCGGCTGTCGTTGGTCAATTGCCGAAGTTCGATCGCCGTGATGTTTAGAGGAAAGGTGAGTTGAGGCTGCGATTCTACTAGAAGTTCCCATTCAGGCGCAATGCCACCATGCTGAGAGAAGTCTGACATTCCTTTTGCGTCTTAATGTAGTTCGGTTGACGGTCTGGTCTCATGAGGTGCACGTGGAATATTTGAACACATGGAAATATGGAAGGTTGAATTTGAGTTTCTGCTTCTTATCGCGTCAACGCCCTGTTTATTATGTGCGGTACCAAAATCTAACATCGGGCCTCGGCTGACTGATTTCTGTGCTCATTAGTCTTGTTCTCATAATCAAAATTCATAGTAATATGATGCTCTTAGCAGCCATGTGGGACCAAATACTGTACATTATCGGTTGACAAAGGCACAGGAGAAGATACGAGAGTCTACTATGCAGTATTAAGTAGGTGCGGGCATATATATTATACTGTATATATGGATAGTATTTGGGGATAGATAATTATATTCTCAAAGACCGGGTCGAAAGACTACTCTTTAGTATCTACACCTGTCGTAAAGCCTTCCGGAACCTCGTCGATGTGGCTTATAGTGAGCTTCGGAATGCCGTGAACAACTAGTTATTCACGTGAGAGGATATCCACAGAGGCATGGTCTAATTCCAGAACTTACTGGAAGAATCTGAACCTAGAATAACAATCAGCGTTTATCCTCTTCATTAAACAAGAGCCACAGCATATCAATACTATACCATACCTTCTCTACGTTCCAGACACCTTCCTGAGCATAGATGTCCTTGCGAAGTTCCTCTAGCACCTCCTCCTTGGACGAGGCTTTCGCAACTAAGCAACTGCCGTTGAATTGCTTGTCTTCACCTTCCTTTGGTGCCGCAGCGGCCGTTGCTCCTAGCAAAACAGTGAGCCAATCATCCATATGAGATTTTGGGCTGCATCTTGCCGCCCATCACCCATATTCCACTATCGATCCGAGGCTTCAAGCCCTCCAGATGCGCCCTTTTCCAAAATTTAGCGAGTTCTCCAATTGTTGGCAATGAGAACACTCACGGCCTGGCCTTCATCCGCTTTGGCAAAGCATTCTCATGATCTGGGATCAGGACTATCCAGTCCATAACGGGAGCAGACATTGTCTTGGCGTCCTGGTGGGGGTTTTGGCGTTGTTGAGGAGAGTGAGTACTTGGAGGAGATTGATATATAATTTTCTCCAAGTGAGTCTGATCGGCAACTCGAGCTGCCGATGTTGGAGACGAAAGCAAACCTATGCTAGCGGGATTCGAAGCGGTTCTATGCATCCGGTAATTTCCTACCTAGAGAGGAAATGTTTCGGCCCGGTCAGCTGCGATGCCAAACTCGACTGTACTTTGGGTGCCACTGGTAATGTGCCCGGCTGTCCTTCTGATCTGGATTTAGATTGGGCAGGCATTCATGCGCTTCTTCGGTTATACCGCATGGTCTCAAGTCTGGGGTACGGGAATGAGTCGGTCCCCTTTAAAGGATCGCATCCTGCACAATCTTAAGCATCGCTCCTTTACCCAGAAGTCCATAGAAATCAAGTGGAGCTGTCCTGAGGACTTCTTTTTTACTATTCTTGGATATCATGGATTCTGTTGACAGGAACCCCAAGCCCGATATGAAGCACATGGAGTACGAAGAAGACCTTGGTTCGACCAACAAGGAAGAAACAAATGCACGAGATGAGATCTCCATTGATGAAAAGCTTGAAAGTCGCATCAAGTATGCCATCCACATTGCTTTGGCGCCATTGGTGAAATTTTCTGTGTTGACAGCTCCCTTCTTAGGCGCAAAGTCGACATTAGACTACTGCCAATGCTGGCCGGACTTTACACTCTCTGCTTGATCGACCGTACCAACATTGGAGGTGCACGTATCTCTGGACTGGACCAAGCGGTAGATCTTGATGTTGGGAATAGAGCCTCAGTCATTAGTAAGCTGTGAATCAAAGGGGAAATGAGACGTCTCGAGACACTGACAAGACGTTTAGTACTCATTTTTTACGTCGGCTATATTGCGATGGAATTGCCATCAAACATGCTGCTTCGAAAGTTTGGAGCTGCTACCTGGCTATCATTCTTAGGAGTTGCTTGGGGACTTGTTGTTCTGGGCTTTGGCTTCAGCAAGAATTGGCAAACTGTGGCCGTGCTTAGAGTCATGCTTGGAATATTGGAGGCAGGGTTGTTTCCTGGGGTGATTTATCTTGTCGGATCTTGGTACACTCGATACGAAATTCAAAAGAGGTACTGTACGATTCAAAGTTCCCATACCCTTCTAGGCTGACACACAACGACTAGGATTGCCGTGGTGTTTCTCTCAGCAGCATTTCTCTCTTCGTTTGCCAACATTCTAGCTTATGGGCTGACCCAGATCGCATCTAACCCAGAACTTGGAGGCTGGAAGTGGATCTTCATCGTCGAAGGCGCTCTGACTGTGGCATTGGCTCTGGGCGCTTATTTTATCCTCATTGATTTTCCAGACTCCAAGCGAAACAAGTTCTTAAGCACCGAAGAGATCGAAGTCATCAACGCGAGGTTGATCCGCTCCCGAGGAACACTAGAGGGAGGCAAAGTGACTTGGCGAATAGTCAAGGATACTGTTACTGATTGGCAGGTTTGGACAATGTATGTATCAAACGCAAGGTTCGGGGCTACTTGGTATTAACCAGCTGACTTGTTTAGTGGCACTGTTTATATGAGTGGCTCCTGTGGCACATACGGCTTTCTCTTCTTCCTTCCGATCATTCTTCGCCGTGGATTGGAGTATTCGCAACAGTTGGCGTTCGTCCTCACAGCACCACCAGCTGCAGTAGCGATTGTTTATGGTCTCGCACTAGCTTGGGCGGCGGACAAGTATCGTGTTCGGGGTCCTTTCATCCTGCTTCATTGCACGTTTGGTATCGTCGGGCTTTGCATGATTGGCTTTCTGCAGGCCCCCACCCCACGATATGTTGGTAGCTTTCTCGGTCAGTGTGGTACCAATGGTCTCATTGTCACTGGTCTCGCATGGGGCCAAAACAACGTCAGAGGAGACGCGAGGAGAAGTGTCGTTACTGCGATTTTCATCATGTTGGCGGGAGTCGGAGGTATCTATTCAGCCTTGGTGTTCAGACAACAAGTCAGTATACTGACTGACCACTAAATGTCATACGCTGAGATGCTGATTATCTTTAGGATGCCCCAAATTACCTGCCAGGTGTCATCGCGACCGGCGCGCTAATACTCCTTGCAGCTGTTCTCACCCTTATCACCTCTCCTTTGCTGATCAGAGCAAACCGACAAGCTGACGCTGGAAAACTATTGATTGAAGGTTCAGCAGAGTTCAGATATACCTGGTAATTTCTGGATGGCTAGAAGAAGGGACCCGTGTGTATTGAAGTTTGAACGGACAACTTGACGCTCATCCCCTCAAGAATTCTCGTCATTGCATGACAGAAAGCTTATTAAAACTCCTATTTGACCCGAAAGGAGGTAAATTGCTGTTGGAGAAAGAGCATCTTAGACCTGGTTTTGTAGAATGGTGGTTTTGAATTTCCGCCTGCTGAAGTTTAGAGCGATTTCCAGAAGATAGTCTTGAAAAATTCAAGAGCTGGCCTATTGCACTATTGCTTACCATTCATCCTGTGCTTCTAATATAGATTGTACTTCTCCAAAAGTTCGGCTGATTGAAACGGATATTTGCCGAGTCTCCCGAACCTTGGTCAAGACCTGTCTGGTGTATCTCACCGAGCCCAAAGAGTAAAAGTTGAGCATTCAGGCAGTCCCTTTCCTTACTCACATCGGGACTCGCAAGACAGTCCGCAGAACACAAAGCTGACTCTACTCTTCATGGCGACACAACGTGGCCCAGAGTTCACTCCAGTAAGCTGCCCAGCTGAAATTGATTCTACGAGTGTTGCAGGTCTCTCTGTACTCATAACGGGAGGTTCGTCCGCGTTGAGTAATCTCCCTGACTATGAGCTGAACTTTTTAGGCAGCAGTGGCCTGGGAGCCGCATATGTCAAGGCATTTAGCGATGCAGGGTGAGGAATGGACCTCCCTCTAGACGGAAACTTGATTGATAAAATGCGGCAGGGCATTTGTTACCAACGCAGATTTGAAGCCGCCGTCGCCGGCTGCTAAATCCAAGTAAGGACTCGAACGTTCAACAGATCCAGGCTGACGGAGAAGTTTGCAACATATTCGATGTGATGTCACGAACTGGGAAGACCAGGTCGCAGCGTTCAAGGCTGCTATCACGGGCTCTCCTAGCAATAGCATTGATATTGTGGTTGCTAATGCCGGTATCTCTGGCTCGGACGAGTTCTTCGAAGGTATACGGCATGCTATTCCTAGAGCTTATCTATTCTAACCCAAAGGACACTAAAATTCGCATAGACGATGGGGATGAGCCCCATAAGCCAACATTGCGAATTCTGGAGACAAATTTACTAGCTATGATCTATACTTCCAAGCTTGCAATGCATCATATGAAGCGACAGGGCCCTCATCGAGACCGCTGTCTTGTACTGAAGTCGAGTATCATGGGATACCTAGATACGAACGGGTCGCCAACATATGGTGCAGCGAAGCATGGTGTCCGTGGTTTGATGAAGGTACTTCGACGACGAAACGGTCTCAGAGTCAATATTGTGGCGCCTTGGTATAGTCTCTGTATTTGAAGTTCTTCCGATGCTGATATTTCGCAGGTATATTGCGACTCCGTTGATGAGTAAGCTTGTTATTGAGAGACTGACCACTCAGCTTGAAGCTCAAGGCTCGGGGTTTGCGCTCGTAGAAGATTCCGTGAAGGCTGTGATGCGGATCTCTACTGATAGGTCTATCAACGGTGTGTCTGGAACTAATACGTGAAACGCTATACTAACATCCGTCTAGGACGATCTCTTGCTGTTGTCCCCAGAAGCGTACAGAATGCAGGTTACATGGATATCAAGCTCGACGATTTCGCAGAGGATTCGATTTATCGAGAACTGCAAGAAGTATGCTCAACCCTCACACATCGACAGCTTGCTCCGAGTGATCAGAAAGTCTAAGTGAGATTATGGTGGTCAGGATGGAGCAGTGGAGCCCGCCCATACCAGAACAGATGATCCAGTCGCGTGGTCCACGAAATAACCGACAATCCACCTGTAGCTACTACAATGCAGATTTATATGCCAGACTGAGCACAAACAAATTGGTTCACAGAGGGGGAGTTCCCGGATGGGAACGGCCGGCTACCGGTGGTTTCTCAACGTGATACAAGTTGCCATAAAGCAGTATTGCTCCCCCTCACCCCAGCCACTGGCTGGCTGAAACTGTGATGGGATGCGTTCTGACGGGAAGAACAGCGCAAGATCAGCTGCGGCAAAGGGTACGGAAATTTATCATATTCTCGCACGTCGGTTATGGCTCCTTTGGAACCGGGGCCGAGATCCCGGCAAACCATCATTACCGATCGGCAAACAACCAAACGAGCATTGCCACTGACACTCCCCGCGCAATTGCTCCAACAGCCGATGGCTGGTGATCCATTGAACGCAATTTCAATCATGTTCAGGTAATAAATGCTTGCGAAGGAAATTCAAAGCCTTGTAGTTTTATCTGATCAGAGTCCATTGCCTGTGCTCCTGTTCAATTGTCTCCAACAACGATGGCGCCGTCTGCTGTAGAAACTGACGTTAAAAACCCCATGCGGCTGCAGCACAGCATTATCAAGCAGAAGATAGCCAAGACAGACACTGTGGGCGTCGATCATACCTCTATGTCCCGAGATGTTCCTCTCAACGGTTCACAATCTCAGAAACAAGACGGAGCCTCTTATGACACGGAAAAGATCCCACACTTGAGTATATCCAAGAACTACAAGGTTTCAGAGCAACCAATAGGTACAGTACGGCCTGTCCGTATGATATGTATTGGTGCCGGGGCAAGTGGGGTGAATCTTGCATATCAAGTCCAGAAGAACATGCAACATACGGATTTGGCCATATATGAGAAGTCGCCAGCGATTGGAGGCACGTGGTATGAAAACCGTTATCCCGGGTGCAAATGTGATATTCGTGAGTGAGAACCCCTCAGCAGATATGGAAATATAAATGTTGACTGATTGGACAGCGTCTCACAACTACCAATTCTCGTGGGAGCCGAATCCCGATTGGGCAGAGATGTTCTCCCCATCAGATGAGATCAGAGAATATCTGGAATCTTGTGTCAAGAAGTACGATTTGGCAAAGTACGTCCATCTCAACCACAAAGTGATTGGCGCAACCTGGAACGAAAATGATTGCGTATGGAACGTCGAAATCGAGGACACCGTGAATCAGTTGGTCTTCTCCGACTGGTGCCATTTTCTGGTAAATGCTGGCGGCATTCTCAATAATTGGAGATGGCCAAACATACCAGGGCTCCATGGTTTCCAAGGGAAACTGGTTCACAGTGCTAGTTGGCCAGAAAGCTGGGATTATGACGACCTGAAAATCGCCGTCATCGGCAACGGCTCGACTGGAATTCAGATAGTTCCTGCTATGCAACCAAGGGTCAAGGAGCTCGTGCACGTCATACGTTCTCCGACATGGGTAACACCAGGAGCAGCCTCGAGGTATCCATCCCTGAGAGGTGGGTCAATGCCAGACCGATTCAGTGATGAGCAGAGAGAACATTTTCGCAACGATCCTAGATCCTACATGGAGTTTCGAAAACAAGTCGAAAGAGAAATCAACGGCAAGTTTCAGATGCTAGTTAACGGAAGTGAAAGGGCAGAAGAAGTGCGCAAAATGGCCTACGAGAGTATGGTACAGCTGCTCGGTCCAGCAGGTGCTAAAGAGTACGCGGAGAAGATAATACCAGAATTTCCTGTTGGATGCAGGAGGATCACGCCCGGTATCGGCTACCTAGAGAGCTTCACGAAAGAGAACGTCCGGATCATAACCGATGCGAGGATTGAGAGAGCGGACCAGACTGGATTGTTGATGTCGAACGGCGAGCATATCGAGCTGGATGCGATAGTCTGCGCCACGGGTTTCGACGTTTCTTTCACCCCTCGTTTCTCGATAATCGGCCGCGAAGGCGTCAGCTTGACGGACGTATGGTCGAGAAACATCCCTTATGCGTATCTTTCAATGACCGTCCCGAAATTCCCAAATTATTTCGGTAAGGCTGAGAGGCTCCTTTTCCCGCTTGCCCTGCCCGACGGCTGACCGCGTACACTCCCAATATAGTATTCCTTGGCCCAAACGCCCCCATCTCCCACGGAAGCGTATTCACAATTACTGAACAGTGCTCGAAATACGTGATGCAGCTGGTCACGAAAGCGCAGATAGAAGGCATCAAAGCATACGACGTTAAGCAATCCGCATGTGATGATTTCATCACCCACGTTCAGCACTTCATGCCACGCACTGCCTGGGCAGCCAAATGTCGATCATGGTTCAAGAACGGGAAAGTCGATGGCCCTGTGCTGGCCATTCATCCTGGTAGGCCTCTTCTAGGGAAATGGTGTAACAATGTTATATAGTACTTACCACCGTTCTAACACTTGTCTTCGTTCAGGGAGTCGCATTCACTGGTTCCACACGCTTGAGCGACCCAAGTTCGAGGACTATGAGTATACCTACGAGACCGAGAATCGCTTCCAGTATCTGGGAAACGGCTTCTCTACGAGGGAAATGGAGGGCGGTGATGATACTTGGTTTTTGGAACATCCTGAGGCGACGTTTCTGTACTACTAAGAAGAACAAGGGCAGCGAAATTCCAGAAGATAAGGAAATTCTAGACAAGAGAAATGCTTTGAATTTCGAAACGAGTGAATTGGATAAACAGATGCTAGATGATAAATTTTGCGGATATAGTTGAAGAGAGATACTGAAGTTGGAAAGCCACAGAATAAGCTGAGAAACTGCTTGATAGTACCCAAACACCTTCCCTTTCCTAGACGAATTGAACTCCACCACTTTCAATGGAATAATTTCTGGATGAAATTATCACGATTTGTTGAACGATACATATAGTGGCAAAATGAGATGGGAATCACGAGTCCGCGCTCTTGGACCGATTCAGAAAGCTTATTCTCGAGTCGAGCCGGAGCGTTCCTCGGCGGGACATCAACAAAATGGCTTCATTTCGAGGGTCTGTCGGGTATGATGGTAACTCTGCGCTGCCGGGAAACGAACTAGGTCTGCTCGACGGTGGAGTGGAAGGAAAAGGGGGACCTGGATTGACCTCTGTTAATAACTCGGCGGCCCTGGATAACATACTGATTGCCACGGAGTTGGCGGCGCGGACAGCCCAGTCGTACGGGGTTTGGCCTTCATGGTCAAGAGCGTGCAGGTTCGCTCCGGCTTCCAGGAGCATCGTAATGACATCCGGGTTGCCGTACTCTGCTGCTGTGTGCAGTGGGCTAATCTTGTTCAGGTCAGCCTTGTTTGCGTCAGCCCCGGCATCCAACAGGAGTTGCATGACGCTTAGATGCTCGCGAAGGACGGCGCCGTGTAGTGCGGTGCCGCCGAAGCGGCTCCCCGGAGCGTCGAGGAGAGCCTTAATGTCCGGGTTACGGAGCAGATCTTCCACCGTATCAGCTAGACCGAACGTCGACGCGTAGTACAGCGTCGTCGTGGTGTGAGGGTAGAAGTCCCAGCTCCCATGGATTGCGTTCAAGACCTGCACCCAGGACATGAAGGTTGGTGATGGAGGCGTGTGGAAAAATCGGGTAATGCGGTCCTGTAATTTCGGGGTCACCGTCGTAGCGCGGACGAAGTACGACCAGCTGACCGCCGCATAGTTGACCAGTGGTAAGCGAATCAGCCTGGATGTGTAGTCGTCAGCGCTCGGACAAGGTCCAGAGGATAATTCATGGAAAGACAGATAGGCCAGGCAATTCTCAGCAAGTTCATGGTTAGCGCTGTCTGGTTCGAGTGCATACGCCGATACGGCCTTATTCTGCTTGGTTCGCTGTGAGAGGAGATACTCCTTCACAGACAAATGGGCGAGTCCAAGATACCCTTCCTCAGACGCAATAACCAGACTACCACAGAGGTCAAGCATGTCTTGCGGGGTCCGCAGAGTTGATTCTTCGTCCAGGTGGTCCATATAAGGGTCGATGGCAATTGCCTCATGGACGGCACTCAGGGTCAGGGGCATGACGGCGAATGAAACCCACATCAGAATTCGGCGCACGGTTTCCGTGTCCGAGTCTGGAATTTTTGTTAAGATGTTGTCGTATGTTTCGTCCAGTCCCTTGGGAAGTTCCTTGAGAGCAGCGCGAATGGCCTTGACTGTGCGAAGAATTGCTATGGCGTCGATCTGGCATTGGACCCAGCGAAACCTGCCTGATCAGCAGCCGTCCAGGGAAGTCAAATGAAGCACTTACATCCCAGCGGACTTCTCGATCAGCAGACTAGCTATGTCATCTTTGACACTATCATTGAGCCACTGTAGTCTTCGCTCTGACGAAAGCCGGTGCTTGATATATGACTCCACGTCTTGATTAACTTCTGCTAAATGGCCTTCAATTCTCATGTGGGTAAACATGTACAAACCAGCTTGCATCTCTACATCATCTCGGCTCGTGATCAGAATACTTGGGGAGGATTTTGTTCTCTGTAGACCTGAGATGAAGTCGACCGCCTCCTGTCGCTGGAGACATTCATCTAGGGCATCGATTAAAATCACAACATGAGACCGTTGCACAAAGTTTTCCAGAATCTGTCGAAGAAGCTGTAATGTCGGCTTTTGGTGACCAACCGTATTGTGAACTTGTTGAAAAGCTTCTTCGAGTTCGATCGGGAAAATCCCGCTTTGAAAGCAGAGTTGACTGACCAGGGATCCTATCATATTCACCAGGTCTTGGGTTTCTTTTCTCCTAAAGTCGCAGTAAAAGATTGCAACTAGATTGTCTCCACCTCCGTCGTCCACTTGTTGTCTGAGATAAGTCACGGTACTTGAGCTAGTAGAAGTCAGGGCCCAGAACTAATGAAGGATAGCAACGCTACCTACAACAAGATTGTCTTACCAGCACCGGCTTTGAGGGCGAGAAATCAGTACATTTCAGGCATAAGTTATGCTTCAGAGTACGTACGGAAACCACTTAGCCACAAAAAAGAACGCTTTGCCGTGTGCCAGCGCTTAAACTCTTCAGATTGCACGAACCAATTATTTGTGCCATCTTGGTGGATCTTTGTGGCCGCTTCGTGACTAACCCTTGGGTCAACCGGAGAAAGCCATTTGAGGATGCTTCTATGCGTCTTGTCTTGTTATGAAGAGTTAGCGGTCGACAGGTTTCAGGTTTTCGGGATAATTATGGAACAAACTAAGTTCTCTGGTTTGCATATTCTGAGTTATTGTCGTAATATCGCTTCTCATCGACCCGACTGTTGAGGCAAGGGAAGAAGTCATCTCTTGAATATCAAGCAGTAATGCACTTGGAAAATAAGTCAGCCGGGGTATCCGTAAATAGGAGCAACAGCTCGACATCTCCAAACTCTCGGAGTGGATACATTTGGAAGGAAATACCACGTACGCTTCGTCTGCTGTGATAGCCAAGCTGAGGGTACTCTTGATGCGTTCAATCCGTTGCAAGGAAAGTCGAATTTCCTCACCGCCAAACTGCCACTTCATCACTTGAAGTAGGGCTTTCGTTTTGGACCCTTTCTTATCTCCGGATTGACCACCTATCAAGGTCTCTAAAGACTTGAGTTCCCGTAGGCACGCCGCCAGGGGTCCAGTCTGGGGTTCGGAGACTATTTCGAAGGAGCGCCACTGCTTCAGCGACAAACCTGGGTCGGTATTTGAGTCCCTTGAGGCGAGTTGATCCATCGTTTCGAGGACACTCCGCAATTCCTGTATCTCAGTAATGATCCACGTAAGCGTCTTCGGGACATCTTTCATGGCAGCCTTGAAGTCATAGCAAATCGAAATGACAGCATTAGCTGCTTGGAGTACAGCAATGACGCTGGCAATGACGCTGAGAGGATCCATCGCTCATCAAACGTGTGGTTTCTAGAGTCTAAAGACGAGGTTGTAGTCCCATATCATCCTCTTTCTACGTATCATCCAGAACTGACGACTCAGGCTGTTCGGGATGGACGGAACGCGATGCGTCCTTGGCCACTGGTCTTAAGAAGTTAAATGCACGAACGCCGTAAGGTAAATAGGGGCACGGTGTTAGAGCAGTCTCTTGTTTATAAAAGAACCCATGAGGCTTCGATTGATTAGATTAGTCGTCGTTCGCTCGCCCTAGTAAGCTTACCTAGTTTTCCCCTCCGCGGATGGTAGAGACTATTCTAGGTTAGCGTGTACCACCTCAAAACCGGTTACACCTCGATATCAGTACTAGTAGAGTTATTATACCTCCTACTAGCTATTTTCTGTATCTATAAGTATAAAACTTCTGGAAGTAACTAAACTTAATGTATACTAGATTTTATAATATAACTCGTATTAGTTAAGATTTATACTATAGCGCTATTATGTATAAACGTTAGGAATGACAACGCTAAGAGATGGACTAGGCCGAGTCCCGTGACCTTTAGTTAACGTCACGTTACCTATAGGCCAAGAGGGCCGCCAAGCCTATAATTATTTGAGAAGCCCGTCGCATGGGACCCTTTTGGGATCCTTATGCTTAGAGCTTGCTACGACGCGGACGTTAAGGTACTACTTGTACTTAAGAGATAGGGTCTGCCAATTAATATATCTACTAGCTATACCCGCCTCTTAGCACGAGTAGTGCCTAACAATAAATCTATATAGTGATTAGGTAATGAAAGCTATTTCAATCCTCTAGGACACCTAGTAATATTAATTTCAAGTCTTAGTCGTTTACGCCAAGAAAAAAGGTCGTTGGCTAACGCAAGGGAGATAGCCATAATATTTTCGAGGCGAAGAGATAACGTCTCAAGTTCTCAACTATCATGGATGACTTATTTTCCACAACCCGTGCAGCAATAGGGAGAGCCCCTCCCCACGAGAGTTTTGGGTATGTTGGACGCCCGGGAAAACATCTGCTCGGTGTTATGAATATCATTCCTGTGTGTCGTAAACCCCTAGGGCTCTTGGTCGCTTGATGAATGATCTCCGAAATCCCAGCACCGGATAAAATTCGATTGAGTTTAGAGGAGATAATCTGGTCACCTCTGCCATTACCCTCCAAGCCAAATCTACGAACGATGTGTTGCGTAGAACATGCCGCGTAGTGATCACGGGCCTGCTAGTCGGCCTAAAATCTTGAAGTAGTCTTGGTCGAACAGACTATCTTCTCTTGCAGGCAACACTAAGCCACGCCTCGCCCGTACGAACTTAAAAATCTTCATGTGTTCGAAATTGTGACGTGTGACTCTTCTTCTCAATAGCACGAACACGGCCATACTTCGCTCAGATTAAAAGGACAGACCAATTATCTGTATGGACGCCTGTGCTGCTCGTGTTCTCGGGATGTAATGTGGCAGGAAAACGTTGCGATATGGACAGCGTGTCAACCTGCCCAGTTCGGTATAAAACTTGCCCTCCCGAGCTAGATAGGCGTCTGCCTTTGCTTTCCTGGCGCGATTCTCGGCACCATGCTGCAATATCAGCACATGAAGGAGGAAATGTCATTCAACTGCAAACAGACCTCGGCACATCATGAATATGGTCGGTCGATGTCGACAGGCCTCGCTAGGAGGGCGCCTTGGGATAATGATCAGTAGCAAATGCGAGCAATGAAAATGGAAGGTAGATAAACTGAATCCGCTGCTTTCTGGGCGTCTCACCGAAGATAAGGTGGTATCTGACTGTGTGCGATCGATCTTGAGAGGTCTGATTAGGTATTTGCTGGTTGGTCAGAACAGGATAACCACTAAACAAGTAGTGCGGGTTTCTTGCTGAAGGCAAGGTAACTTTCAAAGTTCAAAAACCTTCTAATACCGCCGCTGGGTCCAGATTCGACCCATGCTATGATCTGCTTCCGTATGTGTTAAAAGAGACGCGGCCTGAATCAATTGCACTCACTCAAAGATCATCTGCAAAGACGGCCAACTATAAGCGCTCAGCTATGATAGCTCCTCCGGGTTCTGTGACAGAGGTTAGCGTCATTAACACATGCTTCCTTCGTGAAATACCGATTGAGAATTATATGCAACCTATTATTCCTGGGAATGAGCACATGAACGTCCCTTGCTATGTCTTTCTGCTTCGTAATAACGAAGACCGCAAAGTCCTATTCGATCTAGGGCTTCGCAACGACTGGAAGAAACTCTCCCCCAGCGTACAGGGAGAGATCGAACGCGAACATATCAAGATCACCATGGATCAGGACGTGATCGAATCTCTCGACCAGCATGGAATCGCCCCCGGGGATGTCGAGGCTATAGTTCTTAGGTCTGGCTCTTATCCACCAGCTATGAAACTCAACGACATTACTGATCGAGAGATAGCCATCATCATTTTGATCATATAGGAGATCCATCCCTATTTCCAGATCAAACAAATATCGTAGTAGGGCCGGGATTCTCAAAAGCTTATATGCCTGGCTATCCTCTTGGTAAGGATTCTTCAATATTGGAGAGCGATTATAGGTGCGTGCTCTCCCAAACCTGATCGCCTCTCGACGGACACAAAAAAGGTGATACTGATCCATCCGTGCAGTGGGAAAAGAGTGATAGAAATCAACTTCAAGGGCTCTGAAGGCATTGTGCAGATTGGGCCCTGGCGAGGATTTGATTACTTTGGTGATGGATCATTTTACGTCCTCGATGCTCCAGGACACACCATCGGACATGTATGCGGCCTTGTCAGAACCACCCGCAATCCTGACACATTTTTGCTGCTAGGTGGTGATGCTTGTCACAATAATGGGGAGTTCAGGCCATCAAAACAACAACCACTGCCAGACACTATTACCCCAGACCCATTCGCACGCCGAGGCGTAAGATCATGCCCAGGTGCCGCGTTTGAGCGCTATCTTGCAAACATTGGGAAAAGCCGCGCAGAGCCTTTTTTCGAAATCCCTAAGGGTCTACAGTATGCTGAATTCTGTCATGACGTTGTTGATGCAGCAGCTACAATAGAGAGACTACAGGCCCTGGATGGCTACGACAATGTTTTCGTGATACTTGCCCACGACGACAGTATTAGACATATTGTTGAGTTCTTTCCCAAGACGCTGAATACGTGGAAGGCTCGAGGATGGGGACAATTAGGCAGATGGGCGTTCTTAAAAGATTTTTTGAGCATTGAACAACCAGTTGTGGACGGCATTGGCAGTAGATGATTGCTTCGCCGTTGAGCTCATCGTAGAAGCTGATACAACAGAGCTCTGTAATTGAGTAGCGTACAGACAAACAACAGTGGAATAGCATTCAAGAAGCACACTCTCGAGCTCAGTCTACCCATCAGGGTTATCCTAGACCTGCAGCTATCTTATCAAGATCTTCGTTGCCCGAAACAGTCCGATCCTGGAAGTAGAGTCAGTGAAACTTCCCGGATAGCCCGGCGTGTCAATTTACCATGATGAACATTGATATGAATGTTGAGCAGAACTTTACAATGCTTGCGTAGTTCCCTCTCCAAAGTTTCCCACTCGCATCACCCAAGATGTCTCGTACAACTTTACTTGCAAATAGGTCGCTGGGCGTTCTGGTGTAGCCATTGTTTGCATTGGCTATTTGATTCAGATTAGCCTGCGCAGGCAGGTATCTCGAGCCTTGAGGCACTTTGAGGTCTAGAAAGTTAAAGGTGACGTTTGTCCGAACCGAGCCAGTCGCCACCGCCAGCAGTTTGTCGTCCAAAATTGAAGACTCGATTTTCAGTGTCTCGTCAAATAAATGAACGGCAGTTTTGGATACATTGTACACGCCTTGGCTTAATAGCAGCATCTTGAATTGGATCGTCATGCTTCCAAATCTCACCTGCGTAAGGAAGGTTGCAATCATTTCCTTTGCTGCAATGAGGAGAGGAGCAAATCCTGGGATCATGCTGATCTTACCCCAAAGATTGAGGTCGGACAGTATTTTCCCTCGCATAACATCTATGTCCAGTGCGGGAATGAGGCAACACTGGCCGAAATCGTTGACCAGGTAATCAAAAGCGCCTCCCGTGCAAGACTTAACGGTTTGGACAACCCGGCGATATCGGCTGGGGAAGTGACATCGAGGTCGAGTATACGGATGTTCAGGGTGTCTTCTAAGAGGGCGTCTTGGCCAAGTTTCTGGCTGTCGCAAAAACTATCAGTCCCCCTTTCTGAAATTCTCTTGCCAGAGCGTAGCATATTCCTCCGACACTGCATCCGACGATGATAACGGTCTTTTATGGCATCGATTTGGCCGATGTACGTCTTCTAAGCTTCTCCTTCTAAGCTACATCTTTGCGGAGCACAGGCCCATTTTTTCTTTCTCGTTGCTCAAATTACACCATGGGTTACACTGTTAACTACCGACCGTAAGTCCAAAATGATTGCACCATCCTCTCTGCAACTCGGGCGAATTCATTTGAAGATCCTGGCGAGAGGCTGTGGAGTAGGTGGGATGGAAGCCCACATAGTTCAGTATCACGTATAATTTACGACTATTGTGACACCGATTCTATTCAAGAATCTATCCAATCTATTCCAAGCTAGCTAAGCTTCGGATATCCCGCCAAGGGCGAGACGCTCAGGTCCTCGAAGCGAAGTGAGCTTGGGGAAAGTCAGTCTTCGCCACTGATTAGATGGACATTTTGTTTGTTCGTAAGTATTGCGCCCGATCATGATTTGCCATCGACCAATGAAAACATCAGTCGTAACTAGCTTGTGCAGTGGTCAGAGTCACGGCTACTTTACCAGAGAATACCTGTGTAGGTTACCTGGGTCTACCTTCCAAGTATGGACTGGCTTGTTGACAACAATCCTAAACGAACTTCATCCGCCCTTGGCAGTCCTCGGTGGAGCTAGCGACCCCCCATGCGAGAAGACTTGATTCCGACAGGTCTTTGACCAATGAACAGGCACCCCACCGGAATCGAGACTCCCATGGGTAGATAACAAGGCATGCCTACTACTGTAGTCTTTAGCAGAAGGTTGTGCATATAAGCAATTGACATTCATCTCGAGCGTTGGAAGCATCGACTTCGACAACCTTCTTCTACATTGCAAGTTTCACCCAAATCCACCTAGTCATGGCTACCAACACCGTCGATCCTCAAACCAATGATGATGATCTTCCTCCAGGGACGGTCAAAATGTTCACTGGCAAGAACAACCATTTACTTCGTGCCACGAAGACCAGTATGCTAACGAGAGCCCAGAACCTGGTGGACTTGACCCACGATTTCAGTTCAGTCCCACTCCAACATCGGATCCTAATCAACCGTTGGTATGTTCAAGTCTAACATCAAATATGACCTTCACGCAGGCTGATGTGCTTCAGAACTGGAAATTGGGGCGCAAGGCTCTCAATTTCGGTCTAGTCCTAACCGTGACTCTTGTCGTCTTTACCGCGTATGCACATTCCTGCACTTTGGAACGTGAGAGTCACTAAAGTCTTAACCTAGTCTAAGCGTTCAAGTCATTGTTTGGCAGCAATTGGTTGTCTCGCTCAATGTCACCTTCAAACAACTTAATAACTCGCAATCCATCTTTTGCGCTGGTCTTGCCATGGGAACCGTCGTCTTCATGCCATTTGCCATCAAGTATGGCAGAAGGCCGGTCTATATTATTTCGACGGCTATAGTCTTCGCCATGTCGGTTTGGTCATCCCGCATGGACACTCTGTGGGAACTCTATCTCACGAATCTGATCATGGGCTTGGCTGGGGCAACAAACGAAGCAATTATCGGCTGTACAATTGCCGATCTTTTTTTCGTTCACCAACGGGCCACGATGAATGGCATCTACCTACTGACAGTTGTCGCCGGAAATTTCTTGACACCTATGTTAGCCGGAGTGCACGCAACAGCATCAGGGTGGCGTTGGGTCTACTATGTTCTATCTATTTTTACCGGCTTCGTCTTTCTCGCATTCATTTTTTTATATGAGGAAACAAAATATATCCCTCTAAGCGAAGGACAGCAAAGCATAACGGTGGCGAGCTCCGAAGTTCCTTCTCAAACAGCCATAGAGAGAGAAGGTGGATCGATGGTAACTGAGCCTGCCAAAGCTGAAGCAGAGGAGTCCTTGTATCAGATTGACACAGGAATTCAAATTGACGACACGGTTCCTCTAGCCTCTTGGAAACAGCGGTTGTCTTCAACTCGCCCTACTGATGAATCACTCCGAGAGTTATTCTATCGCCCAGTCCTGATCATGTTCCGTCTACCCATCGTCGCATTTGCAGCATTTCAATACTCAGTCGCTCTTTGCTGGCTTGTCAACATCATCGTGGTTCTCAATATGGTTTTTCCTTACCCACCATATAATTTCACACCGGCACAAGTCGGCTACATGTGTCTAGGACCCTTTACAGGCTTCATGATTGGAACCTTGTACGGTGGTCCCCTGACTGACAAAGCTATTGTATGGTTTGCCAAAAGAAATCATGGCTACTACGAGCCTGAAATGCGCCTTTACCTACTTCATCTGCCCTGTGTGCTAACTGCCGCTGGTATCATTATGTTTGGGGTTACTACAGCAAAGGTAAGTTAGTCAAGGGACAATCTCAGATGACTAAGAGGAGCACATAGCTAAAGAATAGTGTAGGGAATGCATTGGATCGTTCCTGCTATTGGTGGCGCAATCTATGCTGCTGGAGGAATCGCATATGGCGACAACATCTTGACTTACGTGATTGATAGTCACAAACTAGTACGTTTCATAGGCCTAGTTCTTCAGCACTCATGAATTCCACTAACCTTGTCTATAGCTTGCTGGTGAGGCTTTCGTCACAATTAGCTTCTGGCGAAATCTCCTCATTATTGTAATGGCTCAGATACGGATTCCGTGGATGATCGGAATGGGCTTACAGAATATGTTCATTCTTTCGGGGTTCCTGTCCCTTGCCCTTACTTTCTTGTACGTTCCCATGATATATCTCGGCAAACGGACTAGGCGAGCTTCCGCCAAGTGGTACTATCAAATGGCCGAAAACAGAATTTAAGGCAGCGACTTGCGAAGCTGGATGTGCCAAGTGCATTTTCCGCGAAAGCAGTCGTCATGGCCCAGGCTTCTCGGTCTGAAGAGGCACTGAGACTGGCTCCAGAGGCTTGAGGGTTTCAAACTCACACATGGAATAACACCTTTTAAAAACAAATTGGTATTGTCATGGAGTGAGCGTTACCTCCTATGTATGGTCAATCTTGATCATTTACTTTCGTGAAAGAAGTGAATTGCTGTTGAGAAAATGGCATAAAATGACGCGACACTGAAACAGAGAGTTAGGCGAATTCTACAACGTATAAGAGCCCTGAGGCCGAAAAAGCCCTTACCCTTGGACGCCCTCCTCCTATTGCCACACTAAGTGATTCCCCCACTTGAATTGGTATCTGATTCCCCACTTGCTCAAAGGTTGATAGGCCCGCTCATGAGATGTATACCGTTGTGCAGAGACACAGTCCAATATCATATCATATGGGCCCATTCCAGATCAGGCAGGTAGACACACTTACTAATATACGGATACAGCGGAAACCCCCTCGTGAAGGCGAATGCAATCTCCATGGGCCCTTGGGTGGGAGAGGGGTCCATGGTATGGTGATTATATAGTCTAGCACCCTCCTATCCGTCTTTACTCGTTTCCGAACACAAGCCTCCTGCTGATATCACCCCACCCATTCCGGCTATCATTTTAGTTCTTGCAGTCTTTGCGCAGCCGTTGATATTGGTCGACAATTCTTGAAAGTAACCTTGAAGCCTGTTTTGTAGGAAAGGGTGCGGCCCAGAATTCTATCGCCGCCAGCAAAACCAAAATGCAGCTTCTTCGCCTGTGGGCGGCATCGATGCTCTACACGCCGCTTTGTCTCGCTTGCTCCCGAGCCGTCTATACTGCTAATGAGCCTGATGGGATCCGCGTCGTCTCTGGACGCACTCTTGACTGGTTTACCGCACACAAGTCATTTCTTTATGCATTCCCAGCAGGAATGGACCGTGACGGTGCCGCTGGAAAGGGTTCTCTGAAGTGGACCAGTAAATATGGCAGCATTTGTCATTCCATGGAAGGAACCGCTATCACCGATGGCCTCAACACCGCCGGCTTAACTGGCAACATTCTCTACCTCAAAGACACCAACTTCGGCCGATACAACGCTTCTAAGCCGCAGGTATCCGTTGCAGTCTGGCTACAGTATTTCCTCGACATGTACCCATCCATTGCTGAGATCGCGGAGGACCTATTCGACGACGCAGGCGAAGCCAAATACCAAGTCGCGACGGCCTTTCCGGCCCATATCTTCCCAGTGCCCCCACTAGTTCACATCTCGTTGGCCGACCCCACAGGAAATAATATGATTCTAGAATGGATCGATGGCAAGCTAACCGTTCATTCATCTCCGAAATATCAGGTCATGACGAATGAGCCTTCGTACGACCAGCAACTCGCCCTTGACTCCTATTGGCTAGGCATGCAGAATATCACCCTACCCGGTACGGATCGTCCTGCTGATCGATTTGCACGCCTTGCACATTATGCGCGCGTGGCAGCCCCAGTTAGAGGCCCCGTTCGGGCTCTTGCAACACTTCAAGGCATGATCAGGGCCGTCAGTGTGCCATTGAGGTACTGCTCCATGCATCTTCCTACCGGAGGACCGAATGTAGCCCCGACATTTTGGAGAACATACGCAGACCTAAAGGATATTCGTTACTACTTCGAGAGTGCCACCGAGAACGAGTTTGTCTGGGTGTCTTTGAAGAATCTCGATCTGCGCCCAGGCACTGGTGTCCGCAGAGTAGTGGTAGATGTGGAAGGAGGGAGCATTGAAGGGAGGCATGGAGACATAACTCATGAATTAGTCCCCGATGCTGGCTTCATTCCTCTGCCATTGACAGATGAGGATCTGGCAAGACAACTTGAGGATGATACTGCAGAGTTTGGTCAGAAGAAGCCACTAGACCAGTTGAAGGAAGTGCGTTCAGAGCTCTAGAAGCCATCTTAGAAACTCTGCATCTGCTGATGAATAACTCAGGCTACGTTGAATTTGATGAAGAGCGTAGCCCCCGTGGTCTTGGATTTGTTGTGACGTACTCAGCCTCGAGTCCAAAGTCGGTGAATGAAAACATATGGGCCCAACAGAAAGAACTCTTGCGGTTGTCTCCAATATCGAGCAGTGGTTCCAATGATGCCTCGGATGTAACTGGCGTCCGATTATAGAGCTAGCACAATGGAACCTCAAGAAAGATAGCAATACATGATTATTATATCATCCTCGCCGTAGTTTAGTAGTATCCGATACCTGAGTCATGAGCGGCGGAAGTTAAGCACTGCCTTCGAGTTGGAGTTGGAGTTGGTTTTTTGCATGGTCATAACAGGAGGACTTCGATACCTCTCATTTTTGCAATTTGATCAGGCGTGTATTGGAATCCCATCTTCAAACTCTCGATCATGTCCTCAATGATCTGCCATGCCAGTCGCGTGTTCGACGTCTGATCGAGGGCAGCTTCAATAGTGATCCAACTCTCAAGCAGAGGGTGCCAGCTCCGGTGTTGATGAGCTGATATCACCTCGAGGGTCATTATAAATAAAGGGAACAACGTGTGAATTCTGGGACGTGACTTGTCAACCACATAAGCGGCCATTTCTCGTCCATTGTAGATCGCATCCAATGCGCTGAGACCTCGACGGAGGACATCGTCGTTGCTTACATTCGACATCCGCCGGTCTGCCCGTTCTACATCGTTGCCAATTTTTTCTTTGCGTCGGTGGCGGATATCAAGGACCCCAGCGAGGCGGTAAGATTCCCAAAGGTGGCATTGTGTGATCGACCCTTCATATCCAGGCCACAGCCACAGAGCTTCTTCCGCTGAGGCGCTGACCTCGACAGCAAAGACGTCAATTAGTGATCTTGGAAGACCGGAGATAATCTCAATTCCGTCTATCTCGTTGTTACTACGGCCAAACTTTTCTTTCCGATAGCGCTGCCAGATATTGAGACACGTTGTGGTGCGGCCAACGTTCAGACGCTCTAGGTCGAAAACTCCCATTATACCTAGGCAGTGGGAAAACAGTGGCCCTGGGTTGATTGAAGGGGGTAGCTGATCATATACGTCGAAAATAGCCTTCATTCCCTTTAGATGAATCGTCCACGGTACTCCTTGTAACATCTAGTCCGGTGTTATTTGTCAGAGCCTTAACGAACCTTGGCATGGTTACAGGACATTCACCTACCCCAATCGTACACAGCAAAACGGTGGCGCCAAGTGTACCATCGTTTAACTGTTGGTAAGGATAGTGAAGATCTGATTGGACGGAGGTAAGCAATTGTTCGTAGAATTTGAGAAACGACTCAGATGGCCCATGTGAGAGGTACGCCTGACATGCAACGCATGCATGAAAGAGTGTGTCCGAACGTTCGCGACAATCCCTGATCGCAGCAGCCCATATGCAGCCGTTATCCGAATTGCGACACATCGTGACTGAGTACTCGAAGTTTGGAGTACGAGGGAGCATGGAATATAAGAAGGGAGGCGCAGAACTGAGAACTACGGATCAGTTAGAGCATAAAGCCAACGCGATAGTGGGGCAGGAGAATTGCAAGGGCTCACATTCCAAAAAGAGTGCCTCCTTCTGCATATCGTACGATGTAATGTTCAGTGTGCTACCGCCTATTTGCGTGATTGAAGAACGCGGTGCTGTTAGTGACTTGGGGAATGTGACGCGCTCCTAGACACTCGCGGGTTAGTGCATTGTGATCGCTGGAAGTGACCAGGATGTCGAGCTCCTGAGGGCCGGAAGCCACACACGGAAGTGAAGATCTGAGCTTTCTCTTTCTCTTTATTGAATCGGTCTCGCCGACGTCCCCTGGGAACCATAGAGCGATTGTCCATTCGGGGTTCATGCGCTTCTGTCAAGTAACCGCGCGAGGCCAGACCAACGCCCCATCGGAGCCTTGGGGCGTAGCCTTCGCACACGTGGCCTTGAGACATGCAAGCCTGGCATCGCGGGTGCGTTTCATCGCATTTTCTTCGTCTTCTCTGCTTGGAGCTATTTATGAGTATCTGTGTGAGAGTTCTCATGAAGGGAGCACTTCTCCTGCAACTTTAGCACGTCAACAGACCTTGCAAGTCCAACATCCATAGTGTGATCGCTTTTGCGACATTGCAGGTAGAGCGAACTTCTCGCGCGTCTTGATACAGGGAACAAATGTGCTTGAGTACAAGCAGCGTTGAGCCTCCGATGAACAATTGCAGGAGCTGAGTGAGAGTGGTTTGAAAGAGGACGTGGAATCCTAAACGCGGGGCAACCTGCACCAGGACAATTGTAAATTGGTAGGTCTTTCTTTTCTAATGACGCCTAGCCTCGGCGTACTACGAGTACCGTTGATAAATACCTGGCGCTATCCAGTCACGCCAAAACTGGTCCCCGCGGGTATATAGATGACGAGGGCTTTCGTAACACTTAGAATGACAACTTACTTTCTCTACTACTTTACGCCGCGCAATCACACAATTGAGATGGATAAATCCATGCATACTCGAGCGCCTTGTCAAGCACCTCAAGCGGGAACCCTTCGCCAGAGCTAGGGTAACTTGCCCTCACTTGTGAAAAGTGAAGGTAGCCTTGCAAGATAACCATGACAGCCTAGACTATCATTCGCAAGATCGCTGAGCTTTCCGCACTGGGAGAAGTTGGACGGTCCTACTGAAGCTGTCACGGAAGGAGCCAATTGAATGCCAAGCCCTTGGCATTCCACTACTACATATGATAGCAATAGCTCCATAGCACTTAGTAGAGAACAACATCCAGATGAATGAGGCATTACGCTGCCGAAGCAGCTCCGGTCCTTATCTCCTCTGTGGACCTACAGGAGACGCTGCCAGTGACTGTAAAGCGGGGCCAGTCTGTAACCAGGCCACCGAGGTGCGTCCACCTTCTACTTTAGGCATGAGTTATACCCTTTATGGCAACGCCGGCGACAAGTCGAGGTTGAGTGCTTTTTGTTATCACCGACACCGACACGACGGTACTATGGTGCCTCAACACCTCGGGTATTGGAAGCCCTCCTCCGTTTAGGCTCAACCCCAATCAATCATAATAATTCTGAGGGTTGATGTGGTTTGAAAGAGCGCCTTTGAGAGTATGTTGGCCTCATTTCTGATGAGACTGAATGATTAGCCTGTTCCAAGTAGAAGAAACTTGGTGATGGACGCTCTGGGATGAGCTACATTATCCGACTACTTGACGAATGGTTACCACGTACGACAAGTACGGCAGGGAGGATAACAAGACCTCGGTCAACCAATTTCCTCAGCGTTAGTCAACAGACTCTTGTTGACGTTGACCCAGTGATGTAGAGGCCAGAGCATAGGACCAGTCAGACATTTCAGGGTGCAATTCGGGATTTCTCGATCTGGTTGGTTTTGTGCATTCATATAGGCATCGCGTGTCTATACAGAGGTCTATTGGATTACATTTTGCACCTCTTTTGAGTCTAATAGCAGTGCTTTCATTGACAAATGCCTGTATGCAGGAGAACCAAAATCTGCGACGCCAACTTGTGACCTTTGTGAACACACCTGAAAGTCGCTTGTGCAAGCTTGAATTCTTTATTTACAACAGTGAGCAATGCACTTGAAGGGTTTGTATGTTGATTCCTTGCTGACATCTTAAATACAAGGCGTGTTCCATTCCATACAAACTAACTACCTGATGTCAAGGATCACTAATAACAGCTGGGTTCAGGCTGCAATATACTACCACAGAAGGAGAAGGAGCAAGATGCTATAGCTCCAGAACCTTCAGAAAGCAGGCTATCTCCCGCCCCAGGAAGGGCAATTGATACAGCTAGTGATGGAAAATCCTGCACTACATGTTTCTGGCAGCCTCATGGTTAGTCATTCCTGATATGGAGAGATTCGAGTTGGAGCGCGCCTTCTCTAAGACCGAGTCCGTAAATAAGACTTGTGAATTGTCGAATGTGCAGAGTGCCTCGTCGGTGACTTCGATTGCTGGCGACCATGCTCCCATCGACGGCTTACCTGGTAGTACTAAGATTCGTTATGGCAAGGTTCAGAGCGGTGATATGATAGTTAAATGGACTACTAGTTGCAACTACCCAGAAACAGTTTCTTTTTCTAACTCAACTGAGTCAACTACGCAAACAGCCTTCCCCTTAAGCTTCCCCGACTGAGCAAGCTCAACCATCTGTGGAACCTGCTCCAGCCCATAAAATATAGTGCTCTCGCACTTGATGTCGTGCTTAGCTACGTCATCCAACATTTGTTGACTGTACTCTGATCCAGCTATCAAAGTTCCTTTGATTCGAATGTCTCGGAAAATTAGTTGTTGAAATGTCACACTCACTTTTTCAGGCTGTGACACTTGAATCATGACCCCGTGCATCCTTGTCACGGCACAAGCCATTTCTGCAGAATCATCGCTTAAGTTTATAGATGCATGCACGCCCAGCCCACCAGTGAGACGCTGTACTTGGCGGACGATTTCATCGCTGCCTTGCCGAGCATCGATGATATGTTTCGCTCCGTATTTCTGACATACTTCCAATCCTTCATCTCTCGCCTCAATGGCAATCACTTGAAGACCTTTTGCCAGCGCAAACTGAATGCCAAGGTGCCCCAATCCTCCACCGGCGCCCACAATTGCGACCCATTCATCCGGTTTCAGTTCACTGATGATGAGTGAACGATATATTGTTCTTCCCGCGCAGGCCAGCGGAGCCGCGATCAAAGAGCTTACATTCTCTGGGATCAAACAACTGTTCCGGCTATCGACGACGTGATAGTCGGCAAATGCCCCATCAATAAATACGCCAATGTGGCCCTCAATATTCTCGCAGTATTGATGCCAATCGTTAGGGCCCTTACAGTTGTAGCAGACCCCACACGGATTCTTTGGCTCCCCGGACATGACTCGATCTCCTATCTTGAAATTACGAACCTTGGAACCGACAGCTGCAACCACCCCGGCTCCTTCGTGTGAAGCCGTGCATGGCAATTTAGTTGGGAAGATACCCTCAATGACCATCAAATCTGTATGGCAAAATGATGCAACTGTTGTTTTGAGCAGGATGTCATATTCTTCAAGGTAGGTTGGGGTAGGTATTTTGTAAATTCTGTAAGGTTTGTTGAACTAATTTCATCTCCGCTTAGCATAAATAGTTGTCTGGGAAATAGCGAACTGTTGAAAGGAAGCATACTTCGATGATTTGCACCGCAGTCATATCTTCTGGGATTCCATTAATGCGCAATGCATTCGATGGAAGTGACACCGGAGTGTTTTCCATATTTGCAAGGCGTGAGTCAGCAAATGTCTGCTCTCTGGCATCTGAGAGCCAAAAGACAGTTTATAGTACGAGATGCAGAAGAAACGCTGAAAAAGGAGAATGGAGGCTGATGCTGGCTTCATTTATTCCTGCGGATCTTTATACGCCAGTCCTACGGATGAAGTTCTCTCCGAGCCGCAAACATGCATACCAGCCTCATCCGATCTTCTTTAATTGCTTGGACCACACCGTATGGCAGTAGCGCGAAAGAGAAGTCTCACCGACTCTCAAAGGCTGTGCCTGAATCCAGTGATTCGTCTCATTCAATAGGAATAGTGGCAGTTGTGCGCAAAAAGTTAAAGCTTGTGGGTTAAAAGTAATGGCAATGGAGTCTATCAGCGGTGGAACTTCTGCGTGCGTGTCGACCTCCCTGTTTTAGATTAGTCTATCGTCACCTGTATCTAATCAGATGTTCGTGTACTGTAGCTGCAGATCCTCTAAAACATAACATTGTACGGTTGCTAGCTTATTTTTGGTCACTGTCCTTCAGTAGGAAAGAGTTGCCCTTTCTCGAGATGGACTGAAGATACAACATAATCGCTGGCAGATGCTGTCCGAGAAACAACCCGTAATCACCTATTTTCTCATTTCAAAATTTAAGCACTTAGTCCGCTCCAGCCTGCATCTTCAGCAATCAATTCTGCCGCTCGTTCACCCACCGCCATGACTGTCAACATCAGGTTTACAGAAATCATCGTTGGAAAGATACCGGCGTCAGCGATGCGGAGATTCTTCATCCCTCTTACTTTGAGTTTCGAATCAACCACTGCCAAGGGGTCTGCCTCCAGATCTCCCATTTTGGTCGTGCAGGCTGGATGATAGATCGACGCGCCCACCTTGCGAGCATATACATCTAAGTCATAGTCAGAGACGATGTCCGGGCCAGGCGCAACTTCTCGTTTGATCCATCTCTTGAGAGGCTCTGTCTGCGCCAATTTCCTTATTGCCTTGATACCAGCAACAAGGAGTTCCGCGTCATAGCCTTCAGGGTCTTCAAAGTACTTAAAGTCCAACGCCGGTGGATCAGTAGGATTATCTGACTTCAGATATAATTTGCCTTGAGTTTGTGGACGCAGAATGGCAGGGAGTACACAGAATGGATTATCCGGGCGAGCATAACCTACGCGACTGGTATCGTCGCTGAATTCTAATGCCCACATATGTAATAATATATCTGGAATGTTTCCATCATCGCCGGCCCAGTTCTCAGGTTTATGTCGGAGAAACGCAAGTCCATCGGAATGAGTGGCAGTTTGTGACGGAGCTTTATCGTGTAGATCGTATACGACGACCGTTGCTGGGTGGTCTTGGAGATTTTGGCCTACTCCCGGAATATCTTTAGTGATCTGGATCCGAAGATCCTCTAGATCTTGACGAGGTCCGAGACCAGACAGTAGCAATAGCCTAGGGGTGTCGATAGACCCAGCACAGAGTATAATCTCGGTAGACGCAGGAATTGTCAGTCGCTCTCCGTCATTTGTCGTAACATCGACGCTGATTGCAGCATCGCCTATGATGTTGAGGTGAGAAACCCAAGCACTTGTTAGGATTGTAAGATTTGGCCGCTTCTCTTCTCCACGAAGAATGGGATGGATGTAGGCCACGCTGGCACTGCTACGGTAGCCATTGTCTGGGTTGTAGGAAAGCGGTGTCCAGCCGACACTAGGTCTTAGACCTTCAGAACCACTAATGTCATCGTTTAGATCCAAGATATAGGGCAAACCCAGAGCATCATGCGCAGAAGATATCCAGTCCTTAGTCAACTGATTCCGGTCGCGAGGATGAGCAGCAGGATATGTAGATGCACGGATGCGATCATGTAGTCGATTAAACGTATCGAAAGTCCACCCTTTTGCACCCAGTTTTTCCCAAATTCGCGTGTCGTACTCCGGTAGTCGGAACGATACCATATCATTGTGACTGGAGCATCCACCTAGAATTTTGGCTCGTGTATGCACAATATGGCTGTTACCTAATACATGATACCGTCAGCACTGACTCAATAATCCTCGTCATGAGAAGTAAGTAATGTCCCCGTACCCTTAGGCTGCTCCGTTGTTTTGTATCTCATATCCAGCTCGGTCCCTTGCGTACTGACACGCTCTTTGAGGATGAGAGCTCTATCATCCCCAATGTCACTTGGGCCGCCTTCAATGACAATGATTCGTTTCTGAGGCAGATATCCAGACAGGCGACTAGCAACAATGCACCCTGCTGTTCCACCTCCTACAATCACATAGTCAAATTTGCTGACGTCGTCCTCTGCAAGGCTAGTAATAATACCCATGTTGGCAGAATATTAAATTAGACTAGTTTGAGATGAAATCGTATGAGCAATAATGTGGCAGAGTCAGGCGCACAGTGATATCACTCCTTATTAAATGCAGCTATGAATAACAGCAGCTGTGCATTTCTGCAAAAAGGTCGACTATAAATCAATTTGACTATAAATACATGTATTGTAGTAAGTGACTAGTTAACACGTAGACAGAGATTCCAGAAGCACAGTCCGACCAGGGTCTCTCTCTCACACAGATGACCTAGGAGCACGCGCTCGCTCCATATCACACATCGGCCCACAAATCTCGAATTAGCCCAAGCAGGCAAGTTAAAGTCTGGATGCTCGGTTAGCAAAGTGAAAAACCGACGTCCAATCCGTGAATCTATTAACCAAGATATAGAATGGAGCTCTGACCCTGTATTGCCGAGCGTTTCTATTGGCAATTTAACTCTCTCAGGTACCCCAGAATACTCACACGAACTACTCCGGCAACACTACCAGTGCGGGCCTAGGTGCGGACTTCTGACCTCCCCACTGCCTTCTAATCTTCTAGCTGAATTTCACAATAGACTTGTACCATTTGGACCCCCGCATACAGTACATACCTCAATATACTTAAACCCTCGCATCGATTAATGTGCTGGACATGATCATTATGTGAATGTAGCTCCGAATTCAAAGCTCAGACAAGGTATGGTGAGAACCATAGTGGACAAAGCTCAATCGAGTATCTTGCTTCTTTCATTTCCGCCTCGGCTTTACCGGCCGGAAAATCAGAAGTACGCGTAAGCTACTACAGCCTCATTTCGAAGGTGGTAGATTTTCCGTGGAATTTTCCCAATTGAAGTGCGTAGATTGCCCTAAAGGAGTAAAGACTGACTTCAGTACCAACATTATAGGTATAAGCATGAAGGGCTAGGGTCTACCTTCTCCTTTTGTGACAGAGCGTGACGACAGCGCCATTCCCTCAAGTACAAGCTCGTTATATCAATCCGAACTCAGAATAGAGGAAACAGAGCATCTCCAACTCTGATAAGAGGGCAGCAGGGCCGACATTTCGAGGTCCAATAGGACTGTGATGCGTTCCAAGACTCCAAGGCTCCAATAATTTCAATGCATTGAGCCTATATCTGAATTGTACTTTCACGTTTGCAGCTGTTGGTTTCCGATAGGGGGTGCTGGAACTTTACGTACGTAGCAGTAAAAGTGGAGTGGCAATATCAGTAGACGAATAAATTGAGCCATCTTGAAACCCTAATGAGGATCCCCTACCACACATCGTTTCGCACCCAATAGGTCAAGATCACCAGAGCGTCTACCTGCCCGAACAGTCATAGAAGGATTACATAGTCCCAGAGAGATTTAATGTTTGCTAAAGGTTGCCCGATTCGGAAACTAACCCTATCATTTAGTTAATGCAAGATTCTACTGGCTTTTGAAATCCTTGGTGCATTGAAAGCTTGAAATCACCATGTGTCATACTTACCCTCTTAGGCTAATCGTACCTACCGTTTTCAACCACGAGAGGAGCGGACTGCTGGCCTTGCATGGTCTCGAGTTGATGTCTCTGCACGAATCATACCAATGAAATTGTTGTAGTCTCCCGAGTTACAAATCTTAGACCAGATGAAGTATGTCAGGCTTTGTCTAATACTTGATCTGAATTGGTGATAATAACATCATATTTACACATCAGCTCTCGTGTAGCATTCGTACATCATTGACTTCGATCCCGAATACTTATCCTCAGATATCCAGCTCTGCACCGTTCTCAGCAGTACTTAGTAACGTCAATCATCTTGTTGTCATCCAAGTTGTGCGGTGTAGGGGATGGCTCCATCAACATGGGTCGTTATCGGTGCGTCACGAGGAATAGGCCTTCAGTTTGTTGAGCAGCTGCTTGAGAGCGGCAATCACATCATTGCGGTGGTACGGAACCCTGGGGCGGCGACTCGTCTTCAGCAGCTGTCTCAATCTAATTTTCGAACATTTCGTATCGAGCAATGTGACATTGCTGATGAGACGAGCATTGATGTAAGATGACACTTCTGATTCATTGCGTATAACCATCAGCATCTATCTTCTCTATAATTTGGTTGCATCTGTCGTTTATTTCAGTTCTAATGCAAGATTAGGCTTTCGTGCAAAGGATAGGGCGGTCCTTGTCACATGGAGGGAAGATTGACAATATTGTGGTAAATGCTGCAGTCCTGAAGTACCCTAATGTGAGCACTCCCGGAACCAAGGGGAACTATTTATCATTATTCTTGCTTAACCATATCTTTAGAGAGCCACAGAAATGTACGTGCTCGCAATCGGCTCTTGAAATATCCAGACGACTCTAACATGCATAAAACCTCCGACAGATCCTTCAGCGACTTTGCGCTGCACCTCCACACGAACAGCATCGGTCCTATTATTATTGCCCAGAGGCTACTTCAGGTCTGCAGTCCATTGGTCCCTTCAAAATTGGTCTTCATTTCTTCCGACTCTGGATCGGCAGGGGACTTCCAGGGCCATGAAGACGGCTTTGCTGCCTATGGCGCAAGCAAGGCTGCCTTGAACCAGATGCTCAGGCATATGGCTCTCGAACTGAAACGCAAAGGAGGTCCTGAAGCAGATGTTTGTATACTAGCAATACATCCTGGCACGGTTCAGACGTAAGTGTTTCAATGGATGAAAGCTAGGCGAAGACGGTGCTCACACGATATGAGTAGAGACATGATCGACCTCCAGATGGATTGGGCCTTGGACACGACCATGAGTACTAAGCAAAGCGTATATCAAATGCTGGGGGTTATTAACGATAAGGGAAAGGAACAGAGCGGGACTTTCTGGCGCTGGGATGGACAAGTTCATACCCCCTACAATACTATAGCCCATAACTAACTATTATTATAGGTACAACCCTGGTAGTAAAGTAATAGCTAAGCTATACTTTAGGAATTACCTAGAATCCGTAATTAGTATATTTAGAGATTTTAGTTCCTAGCTTATAATTAATAAATAAAAGAACCTCTTATATAATTAAATAATAAGTTTCTAAATACGTATAGTTACGAGCTATTAGGAAAGATCTAAGAGACCTAGAAGAAGATAAGAGAAGTAATAAGAAGAGGAAGAAAGCTAAAAAGAAGGTAGAATACTTTAGGAGACTAGAGATTAAAAGGAGATTAATATTATAATCCGAGCTATAAGTAGTTCTAATTAAGGTAGGGTTCCTTAATAGAGTAGGTACTAGAGTATTAACTAAAATAATAAAGGGAATATATAATCGTCGGACTATATCCTAAAATATAGGTATAGGATTACTAACGAAGTTAACTACGAACTATACTATCTAGGTAAAGGAGCGTATATATATAATACCTAAATCCTTTCCCTATATCTATACCTCCTTATCCTAATAGTCTATAGACCTATAGGCCTACTATATTTTCTAATCTAGACTCTTAGTTATATATATTAGCCTTACCTAGCCTTATCGGTATACCTTTTCGTAGATATCCTCCGGTAGGCTAAGGGTATCTATAAAACGATCCGTTTCTCGACCCTTATAATACTATCCCCCCTTTTAGTAGTTTATCGTCCCGATATACTTAAGGTAAGTATTTCCCCTCGTTTCTACTCTTTCCTTCTCTTTTATCTCTATAGCTTACTATAGATAGGTTCCGCGTCGCTAAGTCCTATAAGTTAAAAATTCCGAAGTTCCCTAAGACCCTAAAACTCTCGCGTCCTCGAACTAAGACGGAGCGACTCCTCGAAGTTACTACCGCTATCGCCGTTAAGGAAAACGAAGCTATAGTATTTTATACCGAGTATATTAAGTATAATATAACGTATTACTATAATCGCGACTAATCTATAAAATACGCGGACTATCTAAAATATTAACGTACGACGAGACGTTCTCTTTAGAGGAGTTCCGTTAAATTAGTAAGTAGAAGAAGAAGGCTAAAAATAATTTATTTAAAAAACGTCGCCTAATAGTAGATACTTAGCGGAAATTATTAGAATTAAAGAATTAAGGAATCTAGTCCGAGTTATAGTTACGTTATCTAAAGAATATTTCTAATCGAATAATCTAGCGCGAGATAGCTACTCTTAGAGTATTTAAGGACTATCTAGACTTCTAATAGGTTACCCTTAGCGACTAGTTTCTTAATTAGTATAATCTACTCTCTTATTAGAAACGGATAAGCGCCGCTAAGCGAACGCCGAGATTCTAGTATATAAGAGCTACTCACCGTATACGGGTCTCAGGGGAACCTTATGCTTTAAGCTTACTACGATAGACACGTTAAGGTATTACTTATAATTAAGAGATAGATCTAATATTAAGACTATTTATACTACTCTACTAGTAGTCCTACCTATTAGCACGAGTAGTACCTAATATCTCTATAGATTAAATCGATTTTTTATCGATATTTTTTAGTAAGGACCCCTAAGGGGTTCTTAACTCTTTTTCTAGTAGTACCGGGCTATAAGCTTTAGGTTAAGGTTTATCTCTAGTTTCTACGTATTCTCCTCTTCTAGATATCCTAACTATTTAATTAGATATTTTACTTAGTTATCTTCTCGCCTATATTAAAGTATAGTTTCTATATTATAATAGAGTTCTTAGGTTTCTTTATCGATATATACTAGTTCTAGTCTAGCTCCGTCTAGTACTTTCTCTAATAGCGATTTATAGAAAACTAAATATATATTTAGTCCTCCTAGTAATTATAGCTTATAAGAAACTAGTCCTAGTATCCTCTTAATTCGATATAGTCTAATTTTTATATAGTCTAGTGTTTTACTTAGTCTTTATATTTTTATATTTTTTATATTAATATAAACTATCTCCTCCTCCTAGAAGTCTAGTTCCTTAGATCTTTTCTTATTCGCTATTTTTATAGTTATTTTTAATATTTTATCTAGTTTTATCTTTAGTAGGAAATATAGTTTATATAGATCTTCGACTTTTATTCTTACCTTTTCTACTATAGGTCTATCGCCTAGTAGTTCTTTTTTAAAATTTAGGTACCTCCCGTAATTTATAAAGAATAGCGATATTCCGGTTACTAATATATTATTATTAAAAGCGAATTAAGCTATTAGAAGTAATTTAACCTAATTCCTTTATTAGTAATTTACGTAGTATCGTAGGTATTATTCTATCGTCTAGTTCGTTCTTTCCGTTTATTCGTTCGTCTATAGATAATATAATATTAATATTTTATATTTAATTCCTAATAGGTCGATTAATAATTACTAAAATTATAAATTAAATATTTTATCTCTATCTATAATAATAACTTCTAGTATTTCGTATTACGCGAATACCGTTCTCGTAACTATATATACTAGTTTCTCTACTATCGATACTTCTTTATATAGTAGTAGGTAAATATATTTCGTTAGTATATCGTTTATTATAAGTATACTATTATATATCGTACTCGTTATAGGTTCCTTTAATAGTAGTAGCTTAACTATAAAGTCTATCGCTATTCTTAACTATACCTTATCTATATTTTTCGCTAATTATTATAAGCTATATAGTTTATATCTTAAGTATTTAGCTTTATAATATATATCGTAATTCTTAATATATTCTTCTATATCTTTCCTTAATTTCGTCTAGGTAAAGTTTCGTATTACTAGTTCTATCGTTTTATTAATATCTAGATATCCTATACTTTTATTAATATCTAGATATCCTATACTTTTATTATTATACCTTATTTATATAATTTCCTATTTTTATTCTATTATTAATTCTATTTCTAATATTACGAGTATTCTTATTTTTATTTTTCTATACGTTAAGTAATTTTCTTTTTTCTCTAGGAGCGCCGCTAGCTCTAGTTCTAATCCTTCTATATAGTTTATTCTTCGATTAAGGATATCGGCTATTATATTTTCTATTCCTTAAATATATATAATTTTAAAATCGTAAGAGGCTAGAGTTTTAGTCTATTTAATTTATCTTTTACTAAGTTCTTTAGTTATTATCTAATAGATTAGATTCTTATAGTCTAAGTATATTTATACTAAGTATCTAGTTCCTTCTAGGTATACTCTCTATATTTTTAGATATTCTACTACTACGAGTAGTTTCTTATTATAGACGTCGTAATTAGCCTCGAATTCGCTTAGTTTCCTTAAATAATATACTACTAAATAAAGCTTTCCTAGCTCGTCTCTTTACTTAAGGTAGCCTTCTATTACTTTATCTAAGATATCTATTTCTATAATTACTTCCTTTTCTAGATTAAATATATATAGAATCGGCGCGAATATTATTCGTCGCTTTAGCTTCCTAAAGATATCCTTATATTTTTTCCTAAAATCGAAGATTATTTCTTTCTTAGTTAAGTTAATAATTAGTACTACGATTTTCGAGAAGTTTCTTATAAACTTTCGGTAATAATTAATTAGTTCGTAGAATATTTATACTTTCTTAACTATTATTAGTTCTAGCTATTTATCGATAGTTCGAACCTTTTCTTAGTTTAATATAAGTCCTTTCGAAGATATAATATAGTCTAGAAATTTAATACTATTCTTATAGAATTCGTATTTAGATAGCTTAAGTAGAATTTTATTTTCCTTTAGCTTTTCTATTACTTTCTTTATATATTCTATATATTTCTTATACGTCTTCGAGAAGATTAAAATATTATTAAAGTAAATAATAACGAACGTATTTAAATATTTTCTTAGGGCGTTATTTATAAATTCTTAGAATATTAATAGTATATTAGTAAGTTTAAAAGGTATAACTAGAAATTCGTAGATTTCTTATTTTATTCGGAATATCGTTTTCTATTCTTCTTCGTTAACTATTTTATTAAGACTAAGCGATATTCTATTAACGCCTAGTTACGTAATTAGGCTTATATAAGCTAGGATTACGTAGTATCCATTAAGTAAGGCTATACTTAAGCCTTACGGAAGATTCTATAAAACGCTATTCTATTCTATAGGATTAGAAATTACTTAACTTAATTTCTAAGTAT